AATCCACAGCCCCAGCCAGCAGTCGCTTGACTCAGTGCGACAGAGCATGCCTCGGGCCAGCTCGGCGCTCTCAGATATCCTCGATGGGCAGGAGTACTTTGATCGCGCTTCGCCAGCGCACACAAATGACTCGGCAAGCACCTTCTGGTCACCGTTCCAGCCGATCATGTCTCCCAGTTCAGGAGCTTCTCGAGGATACTCTCCCACTACGAGTTTGACCAACCTCTCAACCACATTCTCTCATCCAGCTCATCACGGCACTGCTCAATCGACTTCAAGCTTCTCTACAGGACGCCCTGGCACGTCGGCGTCATCTCAAGAGACAGTTTTCCAGCAGCAGAAAGTGGATGACGAGAAGACACGCTTCCTCAACGAACTGAGACAGTCCCTTACCAGCCTTTTGCTTTCTGACCTCGGCAACCAAGTTTTCTCACGGGGTTCTGAGACTGATGGCTGGTTCGACCAGTTGGGACAGCAGTGTATCGATCGTAAAGATGCTTTGGATCGTCGAGCTCGACGTCGATCCGAGATCAAGGAGAAGCGAAGTTCGGGGCGACCAAGAGTTATTGAGAAGAAGAAGAGCTTTGGCAACTTACGAGGCGCTGGTGAACCCTCTGACCGGGCGTCAGAAACCTCGGAGTCCCTTCCTCTGGGCTCCACTGAGGAATCAAGCACCAATAACTCCACACCACGCCTGTCGGTGGCCAAGGAAGACAAAGACAAAACAGAGTTCCCTTTCAAGAAGGCATATCAGCGACTGCTGAACATGTTTTGCGTACACCCCAACCCTTACGCGAAGCTAAATGCTCTGCATGAACTTGAGAACCTTATTGTAGCTGCGCTGCAATCAAGTGGACAGAAGAGGCCACGATGGAATCGATCTGATGCTGGGTCAAGCGTGGTGACGGAACACAACACCAATGCCCGCCCTACACCACTGGAAGGGACAATCGACAATGTCAGAGAGCGTCGATCACAAGCACTTCAATCTCAACTTCAAACGCCCTTCTTTGGTCCTCGACAGGCCAATTCTGAGACAAGGTCAATTATGTCGGGAGGAAACGCCAACACCGACATCATCACCAAAGAGCTGCAAGCTCTCTTCCGAGAAGCATCAATTCGACCAAAGACACTGTTCCGTGACTTGCAGTTCATCGCATCTTTCGTCCCACCCTCGGTGCTGGACAAGCAGGAACGCGGCAAAGCATTCTGGAATACTGCACTGGCTGCTCTCAAACTCAAGTCAGAAGTATGTCGAACAATGGTTGAGATGGCAGATGAAGTAGTTGCAGCACACACACATGTGCGCAAGCCAAACGACAACACGATACCAGACGTGCCACAGTCTACAACAGGCACACCACCACCGCCATCCACAACATACAAATTGGATGACGCGGGTAAGATGTGGACAATCACGGCCAAGGAAGGATTCCCAACAGCACAGCGCGAGCTTGCGTTGTTCTACCTTTCCAACCCGGAATACGTTGAGCGGACAACGCTCCCTCTTTCAAAACCTCGCGAGGTGTTTAAGCAGACGGTCATGGACAAATATGGACGTCTCGGCAACGGAGGAGGCCGCACCGGGTTTTCAAGCGGAGGCGAAGGCAAGGAGAGCGATGTGAGAAGTGACCCAGGACTGATGTGTGTCGCGGTTCACTGGATGGAAGCGGCCGAGCATGGAGGCGACGAGCTGGCGACGAGCTTCCTGCGACAGAATGAGTTTATGGGTGGTCGCTGAGTTGCTTGCTGGTGTTGAAGATTATACCCCCGTGTTTTTATGTTTGGCGCTTGGGCGTCTATAAGATTCATATGGATGCTTTATAGAGGACAAGAGGATGTTTTTTTTTTTAATGCATTTCACGGATTAGATGTTTTTGGAGAAATGCAATGTCGCAGGGTTTTTTAACATGAGATACCATGTGTGAGCATGTATGGTGTTGATACTGGCAGAGAGCCAGTTCTCTTGCAGCATGAATCATTATTATTATTATTGGATTATTACCTTGATTCTCACTGAGTTGTGGTTTAGTGCTGATCATTTGTTAGACCGAAATACGGATACCCTGAAGGGCATTGGATGAATGTAAGGGGCAAGGGCAGCTAGCACAAACCCTTGCAGATATCTCGCTACACTACAGATACACGCCCATACACCAATGATTCGAAACACCTGAGACTGCTTAGGACCTCTACGCTAAGCGACGAAAATACTAAGGTAAATTTATGATAGTTTATGATAATTTAGGGTAATTTAGGGTAGATTTAGTAGACCTTAGATTTGGTATTTCTGGCACCTTGATTATAAGTACGTAGTAAGGTAGGAGGTGTTATTCATCCTGAATAATACACATGCAATCCGCCTGATACCGGTCCACTATTCCACGTCCTCATCGTCCTCGTCGTCGGAAACATCTGTGTCATACATCGTTAGCAAAACCCCGCGCTTATAGATCAAGCGCATATAGGTCCCAAATACCGTCATCATCATCCTCATCCGCGCTGGTGTCTTCGCTCGGCCATTGCACACTGATCTTGGGCATCATCTCGTGTCCAACAAAGTACTTCCAATCCGTCCCGGTGTACTGTTTCACACTCTCTTTCTGACCTTCAAATGTGACAAAAGAGCGTGTTGGCCGTGAAGCCCACTGTTGTTGAGGAAAGCTGATCTTGATGTGATGTAAGTCAAGATTGGGGATGTCTTTGAGCTTCTCTAAGAACTTATTCCAGAAGCTCATCTTCGGTAGAGTCCCCGAGTGGCCATCCGGCAGGCGTCGTCGGAGAGTGACTTTGTGCAGTTCCAGTCTCTTGAGCGTAGGCGCAAACTTTCGGGCAACGGCAAGGAGGTGCTGAGGTTCCACATTCATCATTCCAAAATTGAGCTCCTCCAACCGGTCATATTCCGGCGACGGCTCAGGGGGTGCAAGAGGTGATCCAGGTGCAGAAGAAGGGTTTACTGGAGGCATTGACAATGGGGTATTTTCGCGACCTAGCCACCCAAGAAGCATACCGGGACCAGTAACACTGCTATGTGTCTCGTTGATGCGCAGGTGCTTGACGTTCTTCAATTTCAGGAGAAACTTGCGGAGCATCATATCCGCAGTTGATGAATGACCAGCAGCATCGTCACTGGAAAAGTCACTCCCGCCAAGTAAATCGATGTCGATGTGTAGCTTCTCAAGATTCTCCAAAACAGGTGTGACCGAGGCTTCCATGTACGAAGGGATGTTGAAGGCACAGTCTCGCAGATGATTCCTTGAGTGCGACATGTGCTCGATGCCCTTTGGCTTCGCACCAGCCTGTCCGAGGGCGAAGAGTACGGATGTGAAGATCGTGCTTCCATAGGCCGTTGACGTATCAGGTCCCCAGGCCATACCACTGTTCTGGCCAGGACGAGACCCCGTCTCCCTCAAAGCCGTCGTCGATCCATAGCTTGTCCAGTGCTTACCCGGGCCATCGCGTGTACGGCGAACCGAGTTGAAGTCGCGAATGACGACATCTTCGAGATTCTCGAGATTCTTGAACGCTTCCACAAGCATGTCCCGGTGGTACCCAGTGCTCAACAGAGAAAACTGGCCATTGTACAATTCCATCTGCCTCGCTGTCCTGGCATTGTGACCATGGACTTGCAGGGCATGTGCAAACCTATCAAGCCCGAAATGAACTTTGCGAAGATGGGGACTGAGTCGACTCTTTGAAATGTCGATGAGGGCCTGGAGACTTGTTTCTGATATCATAAACTGTTTGCGGGTGAAGAACTCATTGGTAAAAGTAGTGTACAAAGCCTGCTCGATTGAGCGACATGTCAGACGGACGTTGCCTAGCTCGGGAGTGGTGAGGAAGTAAGTAATTCGTAGAAGGACCTCGAGAGGGATCCTTTGGAATGGAGAAGTTGCTGTTGTCGTTGCGGCCATCGAGGGGGTACTGACATCGACCATGGCGGTGTCTGATTCGGCTGTCATTTTGCAAAGTTTTGCAAAGTTTAGTAAAGTCTTATAAAGTTTTATAAATTTATAAAAACTTAAAGAAATTTATAAAGTTTTATAAAGTTTTTAACAGAAGAAAGAGCCGTGTGGAAAACAAGAGTAGTTTTATCGCGTGAGTGAGAAAGTAGCAGTTGATCGCGGTGGTAGATTAGAGCAGGCAGCGAACAGGCAGTCGCTCCACTCATACACGAACGACTAAGGTAAAGAGTATCAGTTCGGTGCTCATTCCAGTGGCACGCAAGGTTGGCTGTACTTACTTGCGCATGCAATCAAGTCGCAGCTCTTTCTGTGCAAGGTACCTATTCTAAGGTGAGATTGAGGTGAGAACAATTGATCAAAATGACGTTACGGTAAGGTTCGGGTGAGGGGACCTCGGACGCTATAGGCATTGATCCACCGAAACATGGCCATGGCTTTGAACCGGGTATTTATTTTATTTTATACTGGTGTTGTGCCGTTTGACATCATGGCCATTGAGGATATAATTCGGGACAGACAATCGCTTTCTTCTCCCACTTAGCCAACCCACCCAGGATGAGGTTATCACATATTGTGGTATTGCAGAGTACAGTCTCGTTCTATGCGTATCTTTGACTTCCCAGGCATAAGGGGGGCAATAAAGCTTAGGATATCGACCCTAGATGATGAAAATACTTGGGTAAATTGCCATAATTTTGGGGGACTCTTTGATGAGTTTATTTTGGCATCCATTGTCAAGGTCTGAACTTGGATCCATTCATTCCAGGCAGCCATTCCCGCTTTGATGGGTTTAATTAATGTCACATGATGTCGTGACGCAGTCGCGCCCAGAATTCGGGTCTTTTGGCGCGTTGGTGCCTGGAGCGCGTCTCCTTGGCTATTTTGGGGTGACAGAATCAGCGAGCAGGTCTCTGCAAACATTGAGCATTCAAGACTCGTCGCTTTCACCTTTACGAGTCAGAATAGTTTCCTTGGGCGAGATGTTAGCGGGAAAAGACGATTGTTAGAACGTGGTTGCTTTTAAATAGCCTTTTCAACCAATCAGAGTGTGCTTTGTTGTTCATTTAATCACTAAAGACCATTTAATGGCGGTGCCTTTTTGTCAGCCTGCCCCAGCTGTCAAAGGGATCGCTCAAAGTGGGGGGTTTCAGCCTAGATGCCTGTGCTACCTTCCCATTCAGCTGGACGTCACCTCATATGAGCTTAAGCTTACAGGAACCTTTAAAATGGGAAGGCGCCGACCTCATCTCTAGATCTTTCAATTTCTTCTCAACTCACCTCACTCTCTTCTCGCATCATCATCATCTTCCACTTGTTTCCACCTCGTAATTTGCTCCTCGCACCATTGGACAAGGATCGCTCGCCCTGAGATTCGGCGATTGCTGCATTCGGTTCAGCTCAAAGCTGTTGGGTATGACGCCCCTGAACCAAGCTCTTTTCCCACGCGACGGATGATTAGGGTTATTACGAGATTTGCTAACTTTGTCTTAAGTTGAGACAATTCCTCTCTAAACTCTTACACTTTCCCCCTACTCTTACACCACTTTCAATCTCACATCCGCCAAAATGCCTCCTAGAAGAAGAGCTGCCGCGAACCCTCCAGCTGATCCACCTCTGGACGGCTGTGCAATCGCAGTCAGCGGCAAGTTTGACGACATTGGTCACAGTCATTCCTCTCTCGAGGCTCTCATTCGCAAGCATGGTGGATCATTCACCAGAAGCGTCACAAAGGCTACCACCCATGTTGTTTCTACTCAAGATGACTTCAACTCACAGAGCAGCAAAGTCACAGCGGCCAAGGATAAGGACCTTCCTGTCGTGGACCCTTTGTGGCTCATTGATATCGACTCCAAGGGTAACAAGCTGAGCGCTGACGACTATACCTGGGACTCTGCTTCCAAGCCCAATGGCATTGCTAAAGCTACCACCAATGGCAAGTCAAAGAAGCGATCGCCTCCTGCCGCTGATGATGAGGATGAAGAGGAGGAAAGCCAACCTAAGTCCAAGCGCGCAAGGAGCACCAGCGTTGCGCCTAAATCGAAGGCCAAACCCACGGCGGTCAAGAGGAGCACCAAAGACAAGGCCCCCGTTGAGGATGAGTCTGAGGAGGAGGAGGCCCCCAAGACCAAAGCCAAGCCTAAGGCTGCTGCAAAGAAGGGTGGTAAGGGCAAGGCTGCTGTCAAGGATGAGCCCGAGGAGAGCTTGGAGGAAGAAAAGGTCGTTGCCGAGGGACAGTTCATCAAGAAGAAGGATGTTGCAATTCCTCTCGATGAGCACTGCACTCTCCCCACCTACCAAGTTTATGTTGATCCTGACTCTGGTCTCATTTATGATGCTTCACTGAACCAGACCAATTCCTCAGCAAACAATAACAAGTTCTACCGCATTCAGGTGCTGAAGAATCCCAAGTCCTCTGACTTCAAGACTTGGACTCGATGGGGCCGTGTTGGAGAGATGGGTCAGAAGGCCATCCTTGGAAACGGAACCGTTGATGACGCTATCAAGCAGTTCCAGAAGAAGTTCAAGGACAAGTCAGGCCTCGCATGGGACAACCGTACCGACAACCCCAAGCCTGGCAAGTATGCGTTCGTCGAGCGTAGCTACAACCCTGATTCTGATGATGACGACGAGGAGGAGGACGACAAGAAGGCTGTCAAGAAGGAGGCAGATGATGATGAAGACGATGCATCTCCTCCTGAGTGTACACTTGAGAAGCCCGTCAAGGAACTGATGGAGCTCATTTTCAACCAGCAATACTTCCAACAGGCCATGACATCTCTCAACTACGACGCCAACAAGCTGCCACTGGGCAAGCTGAGTAAGACAACTATTACTCGCGGTTTCCAGCAGCTCAAGGATCTCGCTGCCTTGATTGACGACCCAACCCTTGCCGCATCAAAATGGAACATGTCCATGTCTGCTGCTACTGAGCACCTTTCCAACACCTACTATTCATTCATTCCTCACGCATTTGGCCGAAACCGGCCACCTATCATCCGTGACAACACCCTGCTCAAGCGGGAAATAGAACTTCTCGAGAGTTTGTCTGACATGAAGGACGCCGCTGAGATTATGAAGATCGATCGCAAGACGAGGGATACTATTCATCCTCTTGATCGCCAGTTCCAGGGTCTCGGCCTTGAGGAGATGACTCCTCTTGATCACAAGAGCAGCGAGTTCAGCCATCTCAAGAACTACCTCAACGAGTCTCGCGGTTCTACTCACAACATGAGCTACACCGTCAAGGATATCTTTCGCATTGAGCGACAAGGCGAGTTCAAGCGATTTGACGACTCTGAGTACTCCAAGATCTCTTCCGATCGTCGTCTTCTCTGGCACGGCTCACGAGCGACAAACTACGGTGGTATCCTTAGTCAGGGTCTCCGTATTGCCCCTCCTGAAGCTCCTGTGTCAGGTTACATGTTCGGTAAGGGCATTTATCTCGCCGACATGTCCTCCAAGTCGGCCGGATACTGCTGCTCTTACAACACTGGTGGCGAGGCTTTGCTTCTGCTTTGTGAAGCTGAGCTTGGTGATCCTATACAGAAGCTCACTGGAGCTAGCTCTAATGCTGGCACTGATGCAAAGAAGCAAGGCATGCACAGTACCTGGGGTCAAGGTAGAACCGGCCCCAGCAAGTGGATTGATGCCGGTGTTGTTCATGAGAGCCTCAAGGGTATCAAGATGGTAAGTTTACAACTCATTCGCGTAATTCGCGTAATCCTTCGATATCATGTGGATACAATCGTTAACATCCTTTCAGCCCGATCCCGATGTCAAGCCTGGTGATACCAACGTTTCCGGTGCCGGCCTGTACTACAACGAGTACATCTGTTATGATGTCGCCCAAGTCAAGCTGCGTTACCTCCTCCGCGTTAAGATCTAGGGAGATGACCTGGACTGGTAATGTCAACGCTTGTTCATGGAATAATCAGTAGACATCCATATTCATAATATGTGGGATTACTGTTTATTTGGGGCATCTTATTTCTTTGTTTCGCCGTTATTCATAATTCTCTGTATTGGCGCACCAGCGGGATGATTTGATATGCAGGAACAGAAAAGCGGTTGCTGGAAGTCAAGGTCATCACTGGCAGTAGACCAAAGGATCGCAACGGCGTTATATGGACATGTGGTGTTTGACTTTGATGTTTTATTTCATTTCTCATGTGTCTTTCGGACTACTGTATGTACATGAAGATAATACACTATGTAGAACATCTGCGCATTATTTCGTGAAGGGGATCATATCCCTGCAGTATCCTGCATTTTCTTTTTTCAATATTCCAACTCTTGCTTAAACGTAGATGGAAGTCTTTGTGATTTGGTTGTGCATAGTATGTTCTTGGCTTGTTATCGTCCTCATTCTTTGAGAGGTCAAGATCCAATGTTGACAACGTGACCTTCAGATGCGTATCAACCATACGGGTAGTAAAGCTGGATTCCAATACTTGCACAATTGAGATTTTGCCAAGTAGTACGCGATGAATGCCCAGAAACGTGCGTGAGGGCTCTCATGACTCAAAGTTCGTGCTTTTTGATGAGTGATAGGGGGTGGATCGGCCGACATTGATTTTCTAGCCTGTGGTGGACGTTTCTGTTTCGTCTGCAGGGTGTGACGCGGCGGTTTCAAAGTTCGAGAATTCGGATTCGTTTGCATATCTCGATTTCATCGCCTCAGTGGAAGTACTCCTGCCTTCGGAGGGTTTGTCGGATCATCGGGTTGAGAATCGGGGCTTCGGGATGTCGTCGACCCACAGCGAGTTCCGACACTAAATATGGTGTAGATGGCTCTGAAGAACTCTTGAAACTCCTCGAGCGGAATTCAAGTCTTCTAGCCTGATCCAATCCTTTTCAAGCTCCAACTCCTCCATTGAGAGCATCGATGCTGAGCCAGTCGTTGTTTGGCATCCAAAGATTCTGATCAAGTCCCATCCCATACTCCAACCCGCTATCGGTGCCTAATCCATCGGTACCTCCATCGTAGGCGTTGTTGATCTCTGAAATTCCAAAGTCTTGACGTGGTACTATCTCGGGAACGCTCACGGTTGGTTTCGCAGGGGCTTGGGCTTCGGTGCTTGGGTGTGGCAAGTCCGGCGAGACTTGACTTTCGGGGACCCACGGATCGGCGACAAGTGAAGGAGGAAACGTTGAATCGGTCATGGCGGATATCGAAACAGAGTTCATCGAGCTGAACTGGTTGGGATCGTTCATATTGTGGTCATCCGGGAAACCATGTCGTAGAGCTTGTCGAGAGTAGCCATTATCAAGAGGGAGTCGACCGTGCTGATCTGGCGTTGCGGAAGGTCCGCGGATGGCGATTCCATGAGTTATTAGCCTTTCCAGATCTGCTTGAATGCCTTCTGCAGTCTTTCCCGCGCAGCAGGACTTGATAGTTGACAGGCAAATCTTTGCCCGCTCCATGACGGCTTCCAAGTTGAGGTCATATTTCAAAGCATTAGTATGATACGCGTATGTTAACACGCGGGCGCATTGGTATGCGCAGATAGCCATATCCAAATCGGTTACAGGTTTCGAGTTGAGTTTGTGCATAGATGAGAAGATATTGGCCATTGACATGGCATGTTCGACACATTGTCGTTGACAATGATCGACAAAAGCATCGTCGAGAGATGCAAGGATAACACGGGGAAGGGCTTCCCGTAGACCACCCAGGGCAAGACGGTAGAGATCTATCTGACATTGGTGCCACCAAACATGAATCATGATGAATGTACATATTCGAGGAGAGTAGGCTCGGAGTCGCAGTGAGCTCTCTGAAAATTGAAAAGATGCTGGTAAATGGGTTGCGAAATCACTGAGATCTTTCTGCAGTCCCCAGATACCGGCTTGCAGTTCATCAGGCTTGGTGTTTCGAGACAACATGACGCGTCGAGAGAATTCCATAATTCGTCGTCGCATGTGCTGTATGCGAATGTGGAGAGCTAGACTTCCGACGTCTTCGGCCTGGGGGTTTCGAGGTTTGTCGGGATCATGAATAAGTCTTTCGGTCGGTTGTGGAAGATCAAATTCAAAGTTGCGTTCATTGCATGGCAATCCTACATGGATCTTATCAGCACTCCAGAGAGAGTAGTCACGATAGCCGCCTGAGACACCCGAATCGATACAGTAGAGTGCCCACATGAGTCGACGGCGAGACTCTTGGGCGAGGAAACAAAGATTTGGAGCTTCGTGATTCAGACGCAAGGCTGCGGCGTATCGGGAAGCGATACTCAGCAGCATAAAAGCGCTTGGAGATTTCTTGGACAGGATACGATGCTTGATAATCAGGACAAGCGCCTGTACTTTGATGGTTGAAGGCCGAGTGTAATCGGCAAAAATGAGAGCCTCAGCATCGTCGATACATCTTTCACCATACTCCTTCATGCCCGGTCCCATATCCGTGAGGTATGAAGTAATGCCAATCAGGGCCAGCAGAAGTGCCTTTTCAACTTTGCCTGTGTTGTATCGTCCTTCAAGGGAGGCTCGATGGAGAAAAGAGAACATGGGAATATGATGGACATGGTTGAAGAACTTATTAAAAGTCCGGCCTATTAAAGCATCGAAAGATTCATCTGGAAAGGGGCTACAGCTGTTGTTAGCCAGTGGAGGTTTAACTACAAAATTGACTTACACTTCAGGTGCGAACCCTTGAGGCGTAGCGGTACTAGCCGGGTCGGTCAACCCAGGGTCACTATCGTTGTGACCATCTTCTCGATCACCTTCTTGGCTTTGCGGGCTTCGGCCTTCGCCTCTCATTGTAATGCGCGCCCTTTTGCTTGGTCGGTAAACGCATTCAATGCCTTGGGAGCGACAGCGATCGCATGACGGCATGTGTCCGGAACATCGGGCTTTTCGACTATGACAGCTGATGCAAGCTTGTCGAACTCGGCGACGCGGCAGAGCGCCAGACAAAGCACCGGCGTCGCCATCATCGTAGGAGCAGGGAAAGCCAAGTCGCTCGCAGTTGGAGCAAATGTCGCGCGCACCATTGCATCGTACTTTTCGAGCGCGACAGGTGACGCAGGTCAGTGACGATTTTTTGGGTTTGCGGTCGGGAGAATTGGCATGAGAGGCTGGCTGAGATGGGTTCACGGATTGCTGAGGGACGCCCGAGATAGAGGAAGTGCTTGGGACGGGGAGAGGAGAGTCGAGGGAGGAAATGAGGTTGTTCGGGTGGTCGCCAGCGGCGGAGGCGAGATCCATGGCGACGAGGTGGGAGGTTTTAGGCGCATGGAGGGACTCAAAGACTGGGGATCATGAATATGAGCTTTGGCAGCGAGTTCCGAGATTCAAGAGCAATCCACCGAGACCAACGTCAACTCAGACGAGGGTCTTGAGGTGGGGAAAACGATTCCGACTGTAGCTTGTTTGTTTTTATTCAGGTAGAAGAAATTGAGTGACGATGATGGTGATGTTGGGTTTGGGTGGGAGTCAGAAGGCGGGCACTGCACAGACAAACAACGTACGTAGCGCAGTGGGTAAGATAAGGAAGGTGTGGCCCTGGCCTGGGGTTTCTGGGTCTGGGTCCGGGTTCTGCGTTGGTGGGAAAGCGGGACCGGAAGGGCCTACAGTTTCTGTTTACGGGTGGGTTGGGTGTATGCATCCTAAAAAATTGGTGTTGATACAGTGGAAGCTGCTGCTGTTACCGTTGAACAACAATGTCAGATCTTCTCCCAGATCAGACATATAAAAGTCTAAATCGAGCACGCAATTACTCTTTAGGCTGACGTACAAATTGACGCCTTCCATCTCAATTCCATGAACCTCTCTGGGCTTTGACGATAAAACTCATGGAACGACAATGTGTGGACCGCCATTTGGCCCACAGCCTAAGCTTGCTTGGCAGAAAAAGCTGTACCCGAGTCTCATTCGCGAGCCACGGATGTCACGAAAAGGTCACCGCTGATATTCACAGTGAGAGGCTTGTCTGTCTGTCTGTCCCGGTCCGTGGAACGTTCGTTGTTGGGCTATTTATCTATCGGCGTCTAAAATAGAGAGCTCTCTCCAAGCCATGATCGAAGGATTACACGAGTCAGTTAAGCTAACGAAACGGAACGGGGAACAAATATCAGTCAGGCACCTGATGCTACACAGCATTGCAACGAGATGACCGAACCAGCCAATCCATTTCTCGGTCTGATTCTTACAGAATTTTCCCGGACCTTTCTGTCCAGTCACTGAAATCTGCCGAAAGGCGTTTCGAAAAACGCATCATCGGTAACTCTATTGACAATGTGACAAGTGAGGAAAACCTGGGGATACCAATGAGAGAGAGAATGGACCGAGAAGCGACGCCTTCAAAAGGGTCAGGCCCGCTCGATCCCGGCGCCTTGGGCTTGATAGTCTCCGCTATGAACCAGGTTAATTGACCGGGATTAAGCAAACTTTGAACGTTGTTGACCGATGCAACCGGTCACAATCAGACAATGAACAGAGACATTATATGGAAAGACAACATCGTCGTCATGTTGAGCGGATTCTGCGTATGAATCTCGATCCTTCAATCCTTGGAAACTGCAAGACTCTCCTTCAGGACAACCCAATCGGTCAGGGATACCGACGGTCCGAAGTGAGCTGATCAAGGTCGCGACCAACCGAAGCAAAGATGGACAAATCCTTTGTTAGCGCCTTTGTCTAGCGGATATGCAGCGTGACGCTTGTCCTATTACCACCATTCAATCAACACCTGCGTCATTTATCCGACGGCCGCTCCGACTCCCGGAATATCATCGTTTTACCCCCCCCCGGCTCCAGCTCGTATTTGGCTGCGTCCCGTTGAATGATGCTCGGGTTAAGGTGGTGGTGTCTACGGTTGTCTGTGGTTGGAATCAGTCAAGAGGCTATTTGATGTACGTGCCTAGAAGGATCTTCAATAAATTCGAGATCTGGATTTTAGACACATGTCTTACGTCGCAGCCATAGGGTAGTTATGATCAGTTCCGTGCTGGTCTTGCTTGAAACCTGTTTGAATGTCATGATCATCAGCTAATAATCTCGACTATGTTACTATATACGAAGCCACACAAACAACTCTTCATAGCTTTACTGATGGGCAATGTACAAAACCCAATTAAGCCATTAAACAACTAGCGTGCAAGGGAGATCTAACCAGGCATCCAAACCAGGCTTTGGTCTCGCCACGCTATCGATGGTCCAGCTCGTCGATACCGACACCCCTGACAGAACTTCACCGGCGAATGAGGTATAATTTACACTTTGACCAGCGATTGTAAAACCTGGATTGTTATCTCTCTCGGTCTCCCCCTTGCTATCCCGGGGATCACACGACTTGATATCATCGAGCACTAACAATAGCTTGAGGGAGCTCCCCAGCTCTTCCCCCGCAGTTCAATCTAGCTGTCAGACTAACAATGGTTGCTAAACTAATCTGCTCAGGTGAATCGTACTTGTTCACGGCCATTCCATAAGCTGTACAGACATGCGGATGAACAAAGCATCAAGTTCGAATCTTTGAGACGGGCATCTGGGATTTAGTTCCTGATATCTCGTTCTTCTATAATCAGGAGGAGCAGATCACATGATTCTAAAGTGCCTAAATCACTACTTAAACTTAATATTCTTATTTCCGGTTTAGTAAGAGACTTAATTACTTAAAGCTATTTATCTTAAGATAGTAAATTTTTATCAAATTAAGAGTAATTAATATAAAAACGAATTTTATATTTATATTTATATATATAATATAAAACGCAAAGTTTTATTTAAATATTAATATATGTAAACTTTAGTATAAGAAACCCTTATATTCATATTAGTCTAACAGTATTAAGTATTATTCCTAAGCTCTAGGCCTTTAGGACCTATTCTCTGAGATTGTGATATGTCTATTAATCCAATTATCATATTTCCCGGCCGAGTCCCGTATGTGATCTGCTTCCGGCTCGGTCCGTTGAAGTGGAGGAAGACCCTGCGTCTCGGCAGCGTGGGGAAAGGATGTCACCTGGAGGTCTTGGCTTTCAGCTGGGCTTAAGTTCACTCTGGTCATGAACGTGCGGCTCTTCTTTACGATTGCCATCCTTGTCAGCGAGTGAATACCACCTGAGGTTGTCGAACAAACATTACTTGGGCTGTCGTGGACCCAAAGCCCGGTGACCATGTTCAGAGCCTCCCGCTCACTGAACTTTTACAATCGCTTCTCAACAAATGAGGAGCAGTACGTATCAGCACGTTGAGGTCAAAGGTCGCGATTGGGACCTAAAGGAGTGATGCCTAGACCCTAACATTGAGCCAGAAGCGACATGGCACGCAGAGCACACATGAGTAACATCAGTGTCATTATATTCCTTATCACATTAATTCCCCCCAGAGGACTCCTCCCATTTCAGTACATATACTGCTCGTCAAAATCCGTAAAAAGCCCATTCAGATCTTGATTTCCAGCCATACTCGATGCCCACGCATTCAAATCCAGCCCTCCACCATAAGGCAGACCAAACATCAAATTTTGATCTGTAACGGGGTCCCTGATGCCCCAATTCGCCTGCTGTTCAGGCGATTGCTGCTCACTTTCCGGCTCAGGTGGAGCTGCAGGAGCTGCATCATGACTGTCGTCGACAAAATCGGATTGTCGAAGAAGACTGTGTATCGCGAGTCGCTGGCGGATATATGCGTCTTTGGCGAGCTTCGAAGACTGGGCCGGATTTGGATCAGTCGTTGTTGTGATGGCGCGGTGGTCCGAAGACTCAAGCCACGCTTTGTGTTGCTGTATAACTCGTTCAAGTTCTTGTCGCTATTATCATATCAGCAGCTTGAACCTCAAGAGCCCTGGGTAAGCTTACCATGGATTTAAGTTGTTCTGAGAATGCAAAGTATCGTGTGATGACATCCAGACACAGCTGCGCCTTATTGATGGCCATCTGCATGGGCAGCCCAGTATTGTCCTTGCCTGTGTATGTTCCGAAGAGCACCAACCTGGCCGCATGGTACGTACAGATAGCTGCTTCAAACTCAAGTATTTCATTTTCTTCCTTATGCTGCACAAAGTCCGACAAGACTTTGACGATTTGTTCTGCATGCGATAGGCACTTGTCTTTCATCAACCCCTTCTCGGCTGCGGAAATCCCTTCAATCATGGTGTCTGGTGTAGACTCAGGATATCCAGTGAGGAAAATTCGGTAAAGGTCGCAGTGGGTTAAGTGCCAGCTCATGTGCTAGTTAGATGAATTAGCTAAGTCAGAGCATCATGTAATGATGCTTACCATTACAAAGTATTGTGGTGATAAATGAACGTCTTGTGCATATGAGGGTGGGTATTGATCACAAGGAGCAAGTCTGGTCCTTAAGCGGAGAAGATCGTTCTGAAACTTTTCCATCGACGAAAGGAGTTCGGGGAGATTGACCTCTTTCACGTTTATTCGTCGATTGAGTCTTACAATCGCTCTTCGAATGAAAGCCACTCGCACAAACGCAGCTCGTGTTCTCAGGACCTCTGGCTCGAGCCCCTTTCCAGGCTGTAAGTATCCAGTAGGGACGTGTCGTTCTTGCTGAAAGTCGGCGTCTTCGCAGGGGAGTTGTAGATAGATCGTGTCGGCGTCGAAAAGTTCGAACTCTTTCAGACCAACGCAAAAGCTATCTTCAAGCAATGACAGAGACCAAAATGTTCGTCTGCGAACTTCTTGAGCGACGGGACTTAACTTGGAGTGTTCGTAGTTGAGGCGTATCGCTGCAGCCCATCTAGCTGCAAGTCCAGCCATTATGAAAGCCCTGGGGAACTGTCCCACAGCAGCTCTGTACCGTATTAGGAGGAGAGATGCCTGTATCTTGAAAATGGAAGGTTGTTCGAGCCGGTCGAGTATGAGCTGCTCAGCTTCTCCAGCCCATGCATCGCGCTCGCCTTGACACTGGTCAAAGTAGATGGCCGTGATAGAGCAAATAGCTAACTGAAGCGCTCTATCGATGGTCTTGTCGTGACATCTTTGGATGACTGTGGCTTGGTGGAGGAAGCAGAAAGCAGAAAGGGGATAGAGCCGCTCGAAGTACTGATTGACGAGCGATATTATCGCCTCGTCGGGAATGAAAGGCGGAACTTCTTCGATTGAGTCAAATGGGATTGATTGGGAGCTTGAAGCGATACTTGGTCGTTGTTTTCTGGGTGAGATAGCAGCTTGAGATGCTGTCACAGACACCGAGTCATCTCGAGACGACGAAGCTTCAGTCGTTGATGACCCAGCTTTTGAGACATATGTGCACGGTCTATTTCGCCTCGTACAATTGGTACATTTCGGAACATCGCCAGAACATCGGACCTTCATTGCCCGACATTCCTGACAGGCTTTCGCACCACGACATTTTGGCGGTATACGAGGCGCAGACTGACCAGTGGAACCGTCCTGTTCAAAGGAACACTGAAAGTTGAGTCGTTCACAGGTACGGCATCGAGGAACTGTGCCGTCACATCGGACCTCCAGGAGTTAGTACCGACCGAGTACCGGGGAGTAAGTTTGTACCTACCTTACGGACTCGACATTGGACGCAAGCCGCTTTCATTTCAGGGTTTCGCACTGCTGATTAGGAGTCTTTGAAGAACTTGTCGAGCCGACATTCCAATTCAATGAGGGTTAATGTTCAACGGCGGATATCTCTTCTCCGAAATGTTGGCTATGGGCTGGACTGACTTAGGGCAGAAGTGTCATATCCCGCTCTGCGAAATGAAAGTGCAAGGAATAAAATCTATTCCCTTGCTAGCACACTACAATGCACCTCGGAAAGGGTCAAGTTTCGACCATCTTTGTTAGTTGCTGCTGTAGAAAATGGAAGCACGCCATTCTGTGCAAAGAAGGTAACTTCATCTCGTCAACCACGGAAGTGTCCAATAAAGTTATGAGGTACTCCCCGTCACATCACTTTGGCCCGCGATGGCGTGCGGGGTCTCCGCAAAATGCGACACCCTGTATCCAATCATAAGATTCAATGACCGATACGCGCATTAACCCTGTTTTCATGGTTGAGGTTATGTGTGCGAATCTCCGGGTTATTTCCTGCAACTCCCCGATGCTCCTTATCGAGGCTCACGTCAAGTTGCAAGTATGGTTGATGTGCAAAAGAACGAGACCTCAATTGAGGTGTCTTGTTCAGTGCGCCAATTCTTTGTTGGTGCACCATGCCACAAAAACCACTGTTTTCTACCTTTGAGCCGTTGAATATTCTTAAGGCACAATGGCAAGCATCATTCAATAGCCTACTTGGGCCATGTCCTTCATCATTTACAAAGGCCGTAACCGCTTCAGCAGTTTTCATGGGCCCTCGATTATTTTCCAAGAACCCAGAAAACGCATGTCAGACGAGATCGCTGGTGTTCGCAAGTTCTGCCACACCCAACGGGCTCGTGATGATCTTTGTTGAGAACCCGGACCATATGGCCAACGGAGCTCTTGGGGCATTTGTCCCAGACCAGAGGGTTGAAGAGAATATGCTCCAGTTACCAAATCCACTAATACATGAGATTTCGGCGTGTTGGATTGTCAACACCTAATGGTCCAACGATAGCTTATCCGGTGGCCATGAGCAGAAACCTATTGTGGCTCTTGCTTGATCACCGGCTCTCTCTTCACCTCATCTGACTCAGTGTACCGGGGAACTGGAGAGGATTTATCTTCAGTGTCCTCCTGTTTTATTCCTTGGCTGTTCACATCGGAATGCTGCTCGATTGGAACTGGAAGAGCGGCAAGAGAACTGCTCTCTGCATCCCCAGCCTGGGAGGAGCTCCCCTGAGCTACTTGCGCTGCTTGTCGCGCCGAGCTTTCTCTCACGACTCCCGAGTTATTGCCACGGCCCAACAGGCGCCTATTTGGCTGTCCCCTGTTACCCCTGCCATTGCCCCGGCCGCGAGCTTGAACGCGACTGCGATGGCGGCGAAGCAAACGGGGACCATGGTGTTGGCCTGGGACTTGAGCTGGATAATCGCCTTCACCCTGTGTGAGTTGAGGCAGCTGCGCTTGACCTTGAGCTGCATGATGAACCTGACCCTGTTGGGGTGGAGGCATGTATGCAGGCACAGGATGCGCATAAGGATAATAACCTGGCGGCACCGCGTTTTGGTACAACACCGGGACGTAAGGAGAAGGATACACATATGGATAGGGCGGCGCAGCGTAAGGGACTTGTCCATACGCTGGGTATGCCACAACTGGGGGAGGAGGAGGGAAAGGAACAGGCTGGTAGGCCTGAGGGTAGCCTTGAGGCACCGCTGGAACGGGATATGTTCCATATCTTGCAGGATCAGGCGCTTGCCCTTGGGCACCTCCAATTTGAGGATGACCCATGTTTCCTCCTCTGGAATACTGACCGCGTCCGCGTCGGGACAGGCCTCTACGGCTGTTGCCACGAGTTCGGTTCTTCATCGTTGCTGTTTCTGCTGTTGTTGTTTTTGTAATAGAAGAGCAGAAATGTTGACGACGATGAAGTTAACGGAGAAGAAAAAGAAGAGAGGGAGAAGGGAGAGGTGGGGGTAGGAAAAGAAAATAAAAGAAGTAAGTGGTTGCGCGCACCTGCGCGCCGGCCCTGCCACTGCCAGACACCTGGTCCAAGACTGTCGAACCTGGAAGCGGGCCATCAAAAGCCTTGCGTTCAATATGATTCAGGACCAATCATCAGTAATGAACTTCAAGATTCTTCTAGCGTCTCTCTGTTGTGATGGTCCTCTCACGAGAATTACCAAAAAACGAGAAGAAGATCGATTCGTGAGTGGGATTCTAAGACCGAATGCAAAGAACTAACAACTGGACGGATCAGGACCAATATCGACAGCTTTGCGGCGTGGGAGAACGACTTAACATTGCAGACTTGACGGATGTTGACAACACACTGCCCAAGTTTGATAGATGTAGAAGGGCACTGAAATAAAGTCCAGAGTAACCCGATGGCACCCAAGGCCTCTTAGATGCCGCGATGAACGTGATGGAGAATCTGTGAGCTAGCGAAGAGAGAAAACACATTGCACAACCCACCTTGGTGACGGTATCTTGGGGTTGAAGCATCAGTCACAGTTTGTTCATCTATGTGGCAAAACCAGCATATGTTCTTCACGTCAATTGCATTGTAAACGCCTATCCTTCTCTTTGACCATCTCATGTCCAACTGTCAATGCATCCAGATATTCCCCCTTTCCGTCGGAGTCTTTGCATAACCAATCGCGATACTGCTTGGTTGGTTTTGGGAAAGTAGATGCCCTTGCTTCGGCACGTCGGGTGTGCCTCTTTCGATGGCCCATGAACTTGATCCGGAATCACGTTTGGACAGAATACTGTAAACCCGTCACTCGTTCTAGTTCAGTCTGTAAACACGATGTTGCGGGGAGCCTGACCGGCATCCATTAGGCCATGCCATGTTCTGGCCTATCATTGTTCTTACTGCCATCCGAATTGGCCAGCATCTCGCCTCTTTGAAAAGGCCTCAGAAGGGTTGCAGTTGTTGACTGGGCCTCTGAAGGTAAGGCCTAGCTTGACTAATTCCCGATATACGCAGAGGGACTGGACACCAAGACTCGACCTGGCATCCGACTACATGGTGGCCCTATCATCCATAGACCGGCGAAAAGACTTCGACAGGCTCAACACCCTCTTCCACGACCGGTTTCTGACTGCAGAAATGATGACCCAGTAAGTTGCCATAAAATGCAACATGGCCAGAGCCATTAAAGTCCCGTAATATGTAATCCTTCACATCTTATTCCCACCCATGGCAGATGTTGCGTCAGAAAAATCTTCCTTTATGACCATGGCGACCCATCTAACGACCCTCATCATCGGACAGGTGCCCTTTGAAGAAACCCAGGAAGTATTGTATTGGGTCCGCATTCATGGTTCCTTGAGTTGCTGACGGCTGGGTACCACCTTTGGAGTCTTTGTTGACTGGACCAGATATGGAACCACTTCCCGACCCCTGTACAGTCTGATTCCAACCATGTATCTGTGTTGACTGGCCTTTCTTTTGGGGCCAAGTCGTGTCAGCAGCACGACCTGGGCCTTCATAGAAGTTGGGCCCTCCAGCTCCAGCTCCACGACCCCAACCACTTCTCTGGAATGGATGGTAGCCACCCGGACCGTTACCTCCATCGAAGACGAAAGCTCCACGACCCCTACCAAAACCACGACCGCGACCTCCAGCCGGGTATGGTGTGTAGCCTCAACGACCACCAACAGAGTTGGGCGTTGAATCCCCCACGACCACGACGGCCTCGAACACCTCCTCTGCCGCGTCCTCGACCGCGTCCACGACCACGTCCACGACCACGACTCTCGTTCCGAGGCCTATCATAAGGACCCGCGCGGAATGAATGACCGCCGTTTCCCCCTCTCGTATTGTTCGTCTATCTGTAAGTTAGTATCTGTCATGTAGTTATAGTGTGTGCTCTTACGAAAAATTCGTTTGTTTTTATTGAGTTGAGTCGAGAATCAGAAAGGAAGGAAGATTGGCGTGTGAGGTAGGTGCGACTGTCAGGCAGCTGCCAGGTGATGGGTAAGGTAGTGTCAACAACTAATACCGGCCCTTGGCTTTCCACCATGAAAATGCAACTTTTGCACTAATGGGACAGGCTTTTACTTACATTCACAAAATTATTCTCATTCTTTTACCTACCTATCGCTAATCATCACCATGGAGGAGGAGGGGGAGTACTGCCAATGCATAGGCGAAAATCAACCAAGAGAAACCGAAGCACGGCCAGCAGATTACCTTAAGAACCGGCCCCAGACCCCCCCAAGGAGTTTCAACAAGCCATTTGCAAAGGTCAATCAATTCCCCGGATACAATCCAACTATACAGCAAAGACGCCGCTTCATGTTCCTGCTCTTCGAACGATGGCTTCGATGGAAGAATTTCGCAGTCAATTAGTGGGAGATGCGCCAGAGAACACAAGCTATCTTGAAGTCTTCTAAGGGTAGTTCGCTGTCCACGATCGGTTCGTATCGAGAGAAGCGAGAGTTAGACATTGCTATCGACTTCTTTATGTGGCGTTACAATGGTTGACACCCCATACCCTCTGATCTTGAATACGATACTTACTGTCTTTAATCTAGCTCCAAAAGCTCCGGGTCATGTCACCCTGAAACAACGGCAGTGGCCATGGTATCCGGATGGAACTGTCGAATGCCGAATGAAGTTCAATAGGGGATATGAAATGTTGCGGCAACTGTATGACAAGCCACTTGATACTTCCAGCAGTATCAGTACATCCCTTTGCCCTTGGACTTTGGGTGCCCGCAAGAGAAATATATATCGAAAGCTCAGATTCCTCAAAAAGACCTAAGAAGCGTCGCTGGGGAGGCATGGACGATGGGAACGACGACCCCGGGCAAGACGAACCCTCACGTCACCCAAGCTGGTTTAGGAGTTCAGCCGAGTGTCCTCCAGTCTTTGACGGATTTCGACGCAAAGGCAGGCCTGTTCAATCCAGGAGAGACAGTGCTTTTATCTACAGACAGTGAGCGCCGCCAAGATGGCCGTTGTTAAATGGGTTCGAGGAGAGCCTCGGATCGAGGAGTTTCTTGTATCGATATTATTAGGACAGCGTTTGACCAAAATTTGGATACAAACATGGCGACCACAGTTACAGCGTTTTGTTTAGATTATTCCGCAAATTCGAGTTATTCTCATTGTATTTGCGAAATTCTTGTAATACATACATCAGAGGAGGTGGCTAGGGGTGTCGTAAGCGTACCGAGTGATTCCCCTGAAATGACCATTGCCCAAAATTCCATTGTCCACGACGGCAATATTCCAGCACATAAAACTCCAACACTCTCAACTTTCATCAGATATCTTCCTCAACCTCACTCAAGAGCCTTCCAATCAACTGATCCGAGTCGTTACCAACCGTTCGGGGTACAGGTCCTGCTAGTTATTCGGTCTCACATCCTCATCGTGTTTGAAGCGAAGCCGTCTGATCGAGTCGACCACCGTAACCTTGACCTGACTGCAACGAACGCCATCATGCTCCCCATTCTCGCAGATGTTGTCATTCCAGGAACCGAAGCTGTATCCATACTTGACGATATCTTGAACGCAGTACCACGAGTTCTCATGTCCTGTTTCAAGGAATTCTCTGAATCGCCTGAAGACTCTGCCGACGTTCAAGTGGCCTCTAAAGATTTCCTCCATCTTATCATCAAAATTTTCGTCTTCCACGACGGGGAAATAGCCACCAATCAATATCAGGTTGTTCGAAGGGCCAGCCACAGGTGTCTCTGGTGGTGTTGCGGCAGTCGTAACCAAAGATATGCGTCTTTGGCTTGGTGGTGGCGTGGCAATGTGCCTCTCGTACTCGTTGAATTTGTTCCCCTTCTCGTCGGGAGAGCTCGGCTTTGAGGGAATCATGTCGTCTAGATCGCCAACTTCATCGAAATTGCTTCCGTCTACGGTGATGGGGGGTTCTCCTGCGTATTGATCTTGCGCTGCGTGAGTGGCCTCGTTCTGTGATCGCAAAGAAGCTTCAAGTTCCTGACATCGCTCTTGAGCCTATTTGAGAGCTGTCTGCTTGTCGTTCAGGTTCTGATGCGCAGTTATGTTGTCGTTTCTCAAGAGGTCGATCTCCAAGCTCTTTCGAGCACTCTCTGATCGTTCTTTGGCCAGAGCCCTCCTCTGCTTTCGGAGGTCCTGTCGCAATTTACTTGTTTCATAGAGCGCTGAAACATTCTCCTTCTCCAGTTGTCGCTTGGTGCGCTCGAGACGTTTATTTCGTCTATCCGTGTCAAGGCTCTTGCTTTTGCTGGGACCTCTGCGAGTGAGCCCTTTTCGTGCCGGAATGATGGGCTTCTGAGGTGGCTTCTGGTGATTGACTTAGCTATGGCACCGGATACATATTTCTTTCACTGACTTACTGGGGGTTTAATGCTCTGGAACTTGGTTCTGCGTTTGGGTATCTTCTTAGACTTTGCCTTCAAACCCCTCAGGCATTTGATGTTGTTGTCAAGTTGCCGTTCCATCTCCCTAAACTGTTTGCCATCTGGAAACTGTTCAAGCCTCTTCTAAAGGCGACTCATCATATCCTCGAAGCGAAACTGATCCTTTTCCTCAGATGCATCTTTGCCAATCTTCTCATCAAGGAGGCACTTGGGGTGATGACTGTCTTTCGCATTCTGAACTGACTCAGTGACACGTCTGAGTTCTCGGATCGCAGCTTCAAGGGGCGTTCCATTTGTGCGCATAGAGCTGCGCACTAATTCGAGAACATTTCGTATTTCTGTGTCCAGTTGCAGGTCCATTGTTGTTGTGTGTAGATATCTAGTATCGCGCGCAATTTCCTGTTGTTTACTTTCTCGGAGCTGAGAGCGGACTGCACGGTGACGATAACGGCAAGTCACGTGATCACCCTTAGAGCAGACAGGCATTTGTTGAGCTTCGACCGGCCATCAAGCGACTTGAGCAATTGAACATAGACTCGAATCTATCTTTCATAGTATCTGATTATATCCTATCCTTTTGTGTCTAGTATTTTGTTTCGTTTCTGGTGGCTTACACAAGACTCCAGAGGGACGTCTGAGTCTTCGACTGTACTAGCCTTTATCGCCAACTTAGCATTAATCGAGATATCAGTGCAACAGAGATCTCTGTGTTCAGTCACCTGTCTATTTGATACTAATGGTTGCTTAATATAAGCGGTCCTTCAACAGCTCGAACCATCCCCAATCCACTACCAGTACATAATTCTACTGCCTTCAGACATCCTCATCCATGGCGTCCTCGTCGACGACAGCCTTCTCATTTCCAATAACAACTAACCCTGGAACCTCCTCATCATCTTCGTCATCCTCCAACTCTACAATGCGATCGCCGTTTCCAGTTGGCAAACCATTGCCATTCGAATAATTATCTCCATCAAGGATTCCATTTCCATTCGAATAGGTGTTCCGGTTTAGGATCCTGCTCCCGTTCGGATGATTGTTTCTATGAGATATCCCGTTCCGAATTGATACCTCCTTTCCATTAGGTTCTCCATCTTCGCTTGGTACGCCGTTTCCATTTTGCTGACCATTTCTAACAAGCCGGGCGTTCGACCACAGGTAGAGTCCCATCAGGATGTAGTGTTTCTGTATGATTTCGTGTGCTCTTGGGTCGCTTCTATCTACTGGGATATAGAAACTAAGGATAAAACTGACGTATGAGCTGGAAAGTTGCTTGTAGTAGCCAATGAGCTTTCCCTAACTGTCGCATTGACCAGACCACAAGTCATCCCACTGGCGCGACCGCACCATGACATTGGGTACGAACCTCTCACCGCTTGGAAGATCTGGGAAATCTCCAAAGAAATGACTCTTGATAGTAGCAGCCACATCGATAGTAGTTACCGGTGCACGACAGAATGGTCGGCGACTGGCACCCATTGTGAAGGAAATCTTGTTTGCTGCACGAAACCTCCGCTTCAGGTAAGTATTGATGTCTCTGCACATGTCACTCAGACTGGTCTCATTGTCCACGTTTCCAACCCAAAGAATCTCAATCCCGAAGAAGTTCTCTTCAACCACGGCCAAGTCGCCGATGTAGTGGATGATATTTGTTTGGCGCGACGCTTTGTCGGGATTGATGATGGTCATCCTTCGATGGTTCCTATCCCCTCCCTTGGGGAGATGTTGCAGTTGCGTGCGGTATACCTTCCAATAGCTATCAACGTAGTTGTGCCAGGGATCTCTGGGCTCATAGTATTTTGGGAGGATAAACCGATTAAGTGTTCCTTGTCGAGAGAAGGTTATGGTCTTGTCAGGGCGTGGATAGATCTTTTGATTTTGATATGGACTTTCGAGAGGAAGTTTGCCATCCTCCATCTTGGCTCAATGAGTAACGAATTCACGTACGATGTTGTGTATACCTAAGGTAAGAATACCTAGACGGAAGATGATGAATGGTGATAGAGAAAGCGAAACGAAATGAGGGTGTTGAGTGTCAGCTGAATTGAACAGCTGAAGGTCGTTCCTTACTGACAGACTGAAATACGAGGGCCCCTCTCAGCGTGGAATTAGGAGAAGGAGCTAAGAATAGGGCACCAAGAAGGCGCTGAGAGGTGTCTTTGACACCCTGGGTAAGCTCTACACAATAGTTCACAGATTTCACTTCACCATGTCAAGCAATTCTGCCTTCACTCATCTTGGGATCTATCAATACCTAGACTGTAAACTTCTACGTATCCAAGAGCAATACAATATTGGCATCTATATCAAGCTATTCAAGTACAAGATGAAAACACAAACATTCCACCAGACGGAAACTCAAAGCCCTGCTGCCCCATGCCCGAAAGGCCTGACACTCAGTTCTTATCGTACCCCTACGACGAACAATGGACTCACATATGGCAGTACAAAGTACACTGGTCTCTCAAACCTCGTCGGGATTCCTGTGAGACCCAAGAGACCGGCCAGAGGCCCCTTGCATCTTGAAAGCCTCTGTTCCCTTGTGACGATTGGATCTGAGAGTCCGGTCCCAGTCTTCCCAGAGCCTAGCGGGGATCCAGTTCCAGTCAGAGATCTTGGTTCTAGCCCTCCGTGAGGCTCGAGACGCTGTAGTATAGAATCCAAGCACAGAAGAGCCTTCCTCCCGCTGAATGAGCTCGGCCCAATTGACCAGATGCAGAACGTCATCCGTGCATTCCAGATGTTCTCCTGATGAAAAGTCGACTATCTCCCACCTGTTTCTGCTCTTCGTGACTATGGCGACCTGGTTCGAGTACGCCCGCATGAAGTGCCGACACAGCTGGTTATAATCGTCTTCCTCGATTTTGAAGTCTCTGTGGAAGAAGCCATCGACGGAAGGCATTGCAATCCCTTCACGGGCTGCCAAAGCGGAGATAGATTGTCTGTAAGTCATCCACTTTGACCTCGCCAACGTGGAGGCTGAGATCCGGCCATCAATAACATGTGAAGCAGTGCTGTTGGGACAAAAGCCTGCAGCATGCTTCGCCCAGACTGCCTCCATCAAGCCCAGCTTGGACCATAGGGTGCCGTACCGAGCAATTGCGGCGGCGCTGCTAAAGTCAATAAGGCTTCGAATTTCCAGGTCGACATTCCCGTTGTAGTCTTGCCAATCGACTTCGACTAGTCGCTTCATGCCGACCCACAGAGCCGCAACCAGGTGCATCTTGAGCTGGCTGAGATTTGGCGCAGATTGAATCGCCGTGGCATGTGCGGCCTTGCCATTATGCATTGTAACCTGGTTGAGGTCGTGGAAGAACCTCGCACGGTCGGCAGGGATGGCTGTACCAAGCGCAAAATCAGTAAAAGTGAGGCCAATGAGGCCCTGGACCTGCAAGCGCTTCCAAGTTTGATCGAGAGCAGCCCCAATATCATAATAGTCAATGCCATCGCGCGCGGCTGTGGCAGAAAGGGCATTATTCTGATTAGTACCTCCGTTTTCGATGTTCAAGATTTCAAGAATCTCGAACGTTTGATCAGGCCAGTCTTCTAGATCCGTCCATGCCGCGACAAATCCGTCAATCTGCTCACAGGCAAACTTCATGCGACGAGGGAAATCGAATTTGGGAGACGTAATGTAGTTTGCAGGTGCATAGAAGAGGACTTTCGTGTCATCGATGTTGAACCACGACGCCGCAGATATCTGGGCTTCGCGCTCACGCTTCGACAGCTTGAGTGTGACTTCAACCTCGTGGCCAGTCTGCCGATCCAAAATACGTCGTCTCCGCACAACGCTTCCTACTATGTGCACATTTCCAGAAATCTCAAGAGGGAAGTCGGCCTCAAAGGTCTCGGGAAAAGAAATCAGCATGTTTTCATTGCTGGCCTTGATGATGTCTAGAATCCCGGGGTGGATCACTTGGACCTGTCTGAAGTCCTGGATGAACGGGTCTCCGCGCCATTCATCAGGCATAAGATCCTCTCCGCAGAAAGTGATGATCGTATTCTTCTGATTTTGTCCTTCTTTTCCGATCCACGACTTGATCTTGCGCAGTACTTTGTTCATGTCGGCCGAGGCAACGTGTTTGGGGGCGTAGCGATCTTCAAGTTCGGGTAGTTCAAAGAACTGGCAGTAATCGAAGTGATTGAACAACTTGGTGATGAATGGGTGGATGCGCTCAGATGACATGGTCATTAGCCTCACAACGGTGTTTGGGTTCTGCTGATTGTCATTGAATGTGGAAGCGAAGACCGTCGCAGCGTTCAGCGCCAGGACAAATTCCGCACTGAAATCAGGGTCGACGTCCATCAAGAACATTGTGAACGGATGACAGAAGTTCTGGGAAGCTTGATTCCAGAAGAGAGGGTCTCGAAAGCTCTTGAGAAGAGTGAAAAGCTCGCCGTACGAATAGACTGCCACATCTGATGTGACCAGTTGTCCATCTTGTAAAGCTGCTCGTCTGGTTGCGGTGACTCTGGGCATCAGGTTCTTATCCATCATTGCCTTTTTACTTTCCGCGACGACAACAACGATCTTGGTATCATAGAGAAGTCTCCGGAGATACAACTTGTCCGGGATCTCAAAGATGTTTCCAACAGCGGCCTTGAACTTGAGATGGCCGAAGATGTCGCCCTCTAGCTTAGGGAGTTCGATCCAATCATCGATCTCGGCGAGGACATTATCGAAGGCTTCCTGAAAGGCCATTTTGTTTGCCTGTACTGATAGGGTAGAGATGGATACTGGTATTGCTTTTGAGTTGGTCGCAGACTGGGTGGGAGCATCGATGGGTATTATACATCTTTCAGGAGCCGGTACTGGTATAACAAAGAAACTTCCACAATTTGGACTCCAAATTAAACAAAGTCAAGTCCCACTCCTTCGTCGGATCGTATCTGTTTGCAATTTAGTATAGTGTTGATGTGAGATGCTCCATGGGGCGATGGGACGCCTCCAGAACACTCAACATTCATAATTTCACGGTTATGAACCCGAACGACTTGAACAGATTAACGAGCTTATTGCAGAAGTATATTCAAGAAGAATAACAGATTGGTAGCCATAAGAGCGTCAGTAGGTGACTCTTTGTTGAAGTTGGCACCACTGTTATCGCAACGGCTTCGGGGGTGTTTGCAGTACTAGACTATTGTTAGTTACTTCCCCCTTGTCATTGAAACGATGTGTACTAACTATTTCTTTTTGGACCTTAACATATTCGTCGCTGTCAGTGTCATTCCAATCCATCATTCTTTGTCTGGATGTTCGGGGTGGGGAGGGGGCGGGAGCAGGGATCACTTGTTGGTTGGGAACAAAGGAATTGGTATTCTGAATGATCACTCCCTATCCATCCATGGCAATAAGTCCGTGTCATCAAAGAAAACTGGCTTGGATATCTTCCAGGGCGGTCATCTCGTCCCTATTGTCAAAAAGGATGCAAGGCCTTGGTCGACATTGCTGCAAATCGTACGACGAATTCCCGTCGCTGTTCTGAGGAAGAGGTGGCAAATACAATGCCCTTTTCGTCCCCGGCGGAAAGTTTTAGATAACTTCCATCACGGCGATTGATTGATGCCATAGAATTTGCTTTGCTTTCGACCTCCATCGTCCAGCTTGTATGGAGCTGTTGCAAGGTGTGTTTGAAGCCTTCACCCAATGGTTACGATGACAGGTGCTATGCATGTCTCGACTTGACTGGGAAGAAACTCCAGAGAATCTTCCAGATCGTTGAGGGTATGGGCTTCCTGAAAGTGCCGAAGTCTCTGGAAGATCCAGACTTCCTCATCTAGGTCCTTGAGCAGCGGCACTTGCCGCGCGTCGAGGGTCGCAACCTCTACTATGACTCTATTGATGGGAGTTTATTGCACCGCTCCAAAGTAAATTCATATATAAAGACTCGGTGATGTAGTTCTATATGGGTCAGAGATGCTGGACAAACTCGGCCCTTGTTATATCAGAGAGAGAGGTGGACGTCGACTGATGGTTCAATGTCCAATTAGTGTCAGGCTCTAACCTAGGTGTGAGATATCAGTATTTAAAAATTTAGAGAAGCGAAAGGTCTATCGAAGTACTGACAATATTCCAGTGCCGAGTGAATTGGGCAGAGAGCTCTTTGTACCTTTAGCCTTCGAAATTTCGCAGAAAGCCTTCTGTGGTTATAACACTCGTCCATCTAGGTGAGTGCATAGGTATATGCATGCACATCGAGTTCTTTTGAACAATATAGAGATTAATCAGGTCCAGTGGTTGTCTGGAAGAATCCAAGCCGGGGTAGTTCCAAGGCAGGTATAGCAATCGCACTCATCACCAAGACGATCTCCTTCAACGTCGACGATAAGGATTGTCTCCTCAAGTCCTAATTTCATGTCAAGGAGATGAACCCTGAAACAGCAAGGCTTCATAGAAGAAAAAAACCAGGTTTATTCTCGTGAAAGATATCGTCCCGTATCATCTCAATTCACTTCACGTCTCTTCAAAGTAGATGGTCATGGCAAATTTATTCCGCCTCCCGTGTCCGAACAGAAGCCGAACAGAAGCAATGGTCTTGTATTTATCCGTTTGTCACACTGCACCTTGGTCTTATATGGGGTTCAATGAAGCTATCAAAGACCAAATAGGCAACTGCAGTCTTTTGGGTGATATCAACATATCAAACATATGAAAGCATGAAGAATACAAGGATCTCACATACTCACCATGTTTGTTAATTTTGAGTCATTTGTATTGATGGCGAGCAAGAGGCATGCGCCACCAACCTTTCTTTCTTTGTTCTGTGTGCTATATGTCAGGATTTTAACATGTGCCATTTGCTTTATTGGGCCTAAATAGACTAACCATTCGCACTGCAAGCAGCCAATTTCACTACCGTTGTGAACAAACCGCGGTACCTATGAAACACTTTCACCGTGGACTGTTCCCCTATTCGTTAGTACCCTTCTGAGCTGACACTATCGTGGACGGCCAAGACGGGTTACCGGGATCCCTAATACCGCTTTGACTGTTGACAATGGCTAACACGGGCTGGAAAGGGGCCATCTGTGAAATTGGGGTTAAAGCTGCATTCGCATCACAGCACGGCCCCTAACTTTAGGCCAGAGTCTGGTAAACCAGCCTCAGCCGGTGGGCCTCTCTTCAGATTTCATTTCTTAACCTCACCAACATCCTCCTCGAATTGCGCAACAGCGCACACGGACAAATTAAGTTCTATGACAATATAAAACAAAAAGAATGGATGAAGATCATCCGCCGTCAGTCACAGGTTCACAGGGCGCGGCGGTAGCTGTGACTCCCCAGAATCTTCACACCGGGACGGAGATTGGAGAAGGGAGCCAGAGTCTTTCCGGCAGTCTTGTGAACGACACCACCTCAACGCCTGATCAAGCACTCCCCGTACGCAGAGGAAGATGAAGACCACGAGGGTCCAAGAACAAGAAGACAATCGCTGCTGAAAATGCCGCCCGTGTATCGCGGACACGATTTCCCTCGCCAGTGCAACCGCTGGATGATGGAAATGACAGCCACCAGAGTTGGATGGGTGACGGATACATTCCCAGCAATTATGGAGACTCTCCTTACCGAGCTATCGACACATCACAGCTTGGCAGTGAGGATGCTTTGCTTTCGCCCGACAAATATGAGAACCAAGCTGTCGCGGAATTCATCAAGGATTATCGAAACTCGGTCCATTTGACCAGGGAGAAGGACAGAAAGTCTGTTTCCATCAGCAAGGAAAGAACGAAAGAAGAAGAGCAGTATGAGCTCGCAAAATTTATCGATTCTCACACCTGGAGCCAGGATCAAGAAGATGAGTTGGGCGCCTCTTGGGACGATGGTGTAATCAAGGCTGCAATACAGCGCTTGCCGGATCGTGGTACCCATCTTTCCTCGATCTTCAAGATCTCTTTTCATCTCTGCAACATTGATCCTCTACCTTTGCTATCCATGTATCACGACTTCAAATTCGACAATAGCGGTAGCGATAGCTTCATGCATGCTGGACAAATGAAGCGCAACCCCTTGTGGACGTTACATTTCTGCGACAAGCTCAAGAGAATCATGACACATCCTTTGTTTTAGGAGACAAATGCGTACCGGTTTCTCCCCATCGTTATCAGATGGACAGTCATTTGCCAGACAGACAACGGCGAGGGGTTCTCTGCGGAAGAGGCCCACATCTTGAGCCTCCTCGGCTGTGGCAATCTGGGCCCGTTCTCAGGTTCTCCAGTCCTAGAGCGCTTTCGCTTCCATCAAGAACGATTTAAAACTGCTGGTGTGTTTGTGACACCTCACGCCAAGCTTCTGGCGTTGATAGCTGATCAGGTTGGGGTAAGCGCAGTACCAACATCAACCGAAACTTTGCTGGTCAGGACTGGAGACTTGGGTGTCGTGATCAGCGCTTTGGACCGCTTGAATGATTGTAGTATGAACATCTCCTGCGAGGCTCATTATCTGCAATATTGCGCCATTCGAACCTTGAGAAGTTACCCCTCAGGACTGGAGGAGCTATTGGAGGCATACAAAGGGGTTTGGATGAAGCTTCAGAGGAGGAAGCTCTGCAATGCAGCAGTAAACCAGCCTCCCACCCAAGGTGATATGTTGTATCATCAGGCTGATGGACAGGGAGTCCCAGCCAATAACAACTTGCTGACCAACAATGCAGTTTTGGGTGGCTTTCCTAGGAATCCTCAACCAGTGGGACATTTCGAACCAGAGAGCAATCCTATCCGTCGGTTATTTGACCCCGACGCTGGCGACTTGGTCAGGACTATAGCTGATCACAGGGATCATCTTAATCCATTCCAGGCGTTTCTCGCGAACCAGCGCAACAGAGCCCAGTCGAACGTCCGAAGCCCCTTCGTCACACAGCCTGACCCAGGTCCGGCACAAGAGCCTAGAATGAATGTCATTGAAGACAGAGAGGTCATATCAATTGAATCATCTGACGAAGGGATGCTAGAGGATCAACCGGAACAGACCCACAACGTTCCTCAGGTTGCAGGTGGTCGCCCACGAAAGCGCAAGGGGCAGAGGGACAGAGCCCGAGACCGGGAACGGAAGCGAAAGTTCCTGGCCAAGAAGGAGAGAGAGCGCCGCCATGGGCACCGCGGCCAACCTCATTCATCTGCGCCACAAAGACAGGCCGGAAATCAAGGAGGAGCTTGGCTTGGTATTGAGAATCAGCCACAGCCTGGTTCGCAGTTCAATCCTCCAACTGGACCGAGAGCATGGAGACAACAGCATGGGGGACATGGCCCATTTTGATACGAAGTATGAGAGATCTTTTTAGGGGACTGGTTATGAGAGAGGTGACTGCTACAGTTGTTAGATAGTTGGCTTCAGGAGATAACGATAGGTTCCAGGGCTTGAGGTTGAATAATGTACAGATTAATGTGTCTTGGTCACCTTTCATCCTAATCTAGGAAGCTTTCTCTTTGACATCACAAGTCGAGAAGTGATCAATATTGACAGAACAGACAGAATTTTATTGCTAGCAGGAAGTCCTCCCGTCCTTAATACTTCGCTATCTCACGATTGTTGACTTCTGTCATCAATATGCATGCCATTTCCCCTCGTATACTGTTTTATATGCTCGTTCGTAGCCTTTGTCTTTTCCAACTCAACCCCTGATGTAGAGAGATGATGCTAGAAATGATGCAGAGATAAGGACGCACTGTTTAGCGCCGGGCTACTAATCTTTATTACACGATATACTTGATGGCACAATGCAGAAGCAGACTCACGGCGAAAGACCTGAATATTGTCACCATTCAGGTTCATGGAGAAGCTCCTACCAAGACCAGAGCGGCCAGCGAAAGAGTTCCAGCTGATGTTGTCAACCTGGCTGCGGTCGCCCTTTGCACCAATGCTGAACATGATGCCTCCGACAGGAGCGGAAGGATTCATCGCCTTGACGTGGCGATAGGCCTTGAGGAGCGCTTCCTCGTCATCGACGTTGAAGGAGATCGTCTTGGCGACGGAGGGCACTTTGCTGTAGACATTGCACTGAGTGCCACCTCCCTTGCTGTTGCTGATGACACGCAGGTCAGGGGCCTTCTTGCCCCAACGGCTGTTGCGAGTCACAGCCTGGAGGACCATGCTGTCAACTTGCTTCAGAGGCTGCTTCTGCCTCTCGAACAGCTGGGTCTGCGGGGACCAGAACTGTTGCGCAGGTTTGAAGTCCTGGGCAGGCTGGAAGTCTTGGGCTCCTGGGTTCTCAGCCGCGGCAGAGGTCGAGGGACCTCCAAGAAAGTCGTCTTTAGAGCGTTGCTCGGTAGTCTCAGTGCTGTACGGAGGAGGTGGAGGAACGGGGGCCACACGCTGGCCGCGGTTCAACTCAGGAGGGGGTATAATCACATCATAAGGCTGCTCGGGAGAGCCCAAAGACGGAGGGCCCCAGGCGCGCTGCTGCATGCCGAAAGGCGGGTCGTCAAAGCGAGAGGAAGGACTTGGGTAATAGGTGTTTTGACTACCTGCAAATCCGGGGGAGATCCAAGTTCCGTAGGGGTTGGATCGGAAGTTGCCCTGACGAGGAGGAGCAGACTTGGGCATCGTGATGGAAATTCACCTGCTGTCGTGCAGATGAGGATTGAGGTGAATGAGGAAGAAGGCAGAAGCGCGGGTGTGGTGGGGGATATGAAGGTGAAAGGTGGATGAATTTTGGTTGCTGTGGATGGCAAACGGTAAGCAGCCCAGCAAACGGAAGGCGCCAAATTATTCTGCACCTGCCCGCTACCCAAGGGTACCTACCTTAGCTTGCCAAACTCCGCTGTCACTCATTCAAGCTTTTACAAAACTCATCATAAGTTTAATCAAGCTCATCATAAACATATCCTCAACTCTTTAAAGTGCCTATCCTGCTATTCTCAGCTCCCAACTTAGTACCTAGTACCAACCTCTGAACCATCAATGTCCTCGCCTACAGACTGTAGCTGGCCCGACGACTCCCTCACTGAGGACGTCACAGCGTACATACCAGACATCAACAAGGATGAACCAGTCCCTCATCTCGACTATGTCCCTCCCATCCCAGCTGCAAGGTTCAAAGCCTTCTCGGAGCCTTGGCCGGGCGATAACCCCACGAGCTCTCAAAGAACAGAGTATGTCAACGCCTGTCTCGCTTGGGCACGGCACGACGACCCAGTATTGCAAGTTGCAGTACGAATCCAAGCTCGGGCGAGTATTATTACGGCTCTCCCGATGATTAAAGCAAAGGATTGGACAGAGGCGGAGACTGAGCACTTGCTTTATCTCATCGACGAAGAATATTGGCGTCTCTGGCGTGAGTCCCCCGATCACTCCTCAAACAAGCCGACCCCTTACTGACCGTTTCCTCCTTGCAGTTGAAGGCGTTGATCCCAAGCCTTTGTGGCCTTGGACACATCCTGAGCCCGTATTCGTTACCTTCAATGAAAGCTCCCGCTGCTTCATACATCGTCCTCTCCAAAACCCCCCGAGAGCTCCGGATAGCACACCATCCGGGCTGCCATCTTGTTACGATTTACCCAGCAAGAATAATGGCGATACTCACGATGCAGCGATAAATGTCCCTTCGACAGATCGTGGTCTTTCTCGAGCGCTGCATTGGCTGGCCAGTTTTGGCCTAGGCTTGTGATGAAGTGGTTATATATTTCGATGAAATCTACAGAAGCGTGATCTATTTTTGATGGAATCTTATGTTATCATCAATGTGTGTTATGCTTGTGTGGTAGTCACGCTTGCGCACAGCTTGGATACCTTGTGTCGCCTGAGGTGGATAGCTATTTCTGGGCATGTTAGACAGAGCGAGCTACGGTAAGCTTGGCTGTTCTTCCAAATACCACCGTGTAATATAGTCCGACCCATCGATAGATCACTCTAATCTAGCATTTAATTTGTATGTGAGATCTTGTGGCGGCTTGGATCAGCAACAACAACTTCAAGTTCGACATGTGAGGTCAATTAACTTCCGGCGTAGTGGGGTTCCGGTTCGGTGTCTGTCGGTGCTAGATCCACAATTCCGGGACAGTCACCTGCCAACCTACCCTACAGTACTACGACGAATCAGTACTAAGGCAAGACAGTTCACGGTAATGCTCTGGATGAGGTAAAATGGCAGACAGAAACAGATTTTGCTGCTTACTGGTTTCTTTCTAATACTTCCTTGGAAAGCGATTATCATTCAAGGATCCCAGCCTCAATCACCATCGTTTTGATGATAACTATGCGGAGCTGGTGATCAATCAATCCACATGAGAAAAATCGAACGATGACGATGCTATGTCCCAAGAAAAACTCAGAGAACTGTCTTCATCACTGGCATCGGAAGTAGTCATCCAAGACAGGTGAGAAAGAGGAAAGCAGGAAGAGGAACATGTTTAGTTAGGAAAAGACTGGACGGTGACTGCAAGATTGTAAACTGCCGGTAGCCGTGAATGGCTGCTAAAGACCTTCCGTTGAACTCCCCAAAAGCAAGAGTCAGCTTTGGCCCTCAACATAATGCAACCTGGACTTTGATTCCACCCATCTTGCATCCAACCATGGAAACATCTCTTTCGTGAACTCATCTACTGAACTCCTTTTATCATCAGAACCATCATTTATCAGTCACTACATACCAGAGCCACTCGACCAGAACCTACGAAAGCTCTTCTAGTCCACGAACTGTCACCGCCATAACTCCAGACTCAATAATGTCTCGAAGTCGCAACCATCAAAGATCACGAAGGCGTCACCGTACCATAAAGAGAAACAAGCGTAGTAATATGAGATAAGCCGACTTGATCTTCCACTAACTTGATACAGATACTGCCTATTAGATAAAGTCGGCTCTTGAAGACGTGTATCTGTGGTTCACGTAAGATGGCCATTTCAACTTTGTTGAACAAGCAGCTAACCAAAGCCAAAGGGATTTACTTCCCTGGGAACCAGAAGATGACTATCCTGCTGATGAAGAAGACAGCAGTTCTAGAGAGAAGTAGACGGGTACCACACCGCTTGAGCCACCATCTTCAGAGAGTGACGACACCCGACTTACTGACCACTCTTCGGAACAGGTATCAATATGGGATAACCCTCCCACACGGAGCGACGCTCTGAACTGGTGGATTGGGGAAACAGTTCGCCTGGGCCGAGCAACCGACGAGTTCTGGGACGATCTCAAGAACCCAGCCTCAGCCATCGAGAAAACAAGAACAGCTCACAATTTAGAAGCCCGGGGTGCCGAACAAAGGCTTATAAATGAATCTTGGGAACACTTCGTCTGGTATTTCCTAGAGGAGGCAAAGAGAATCGAGCTCCATGACTGGGCCTACGCAAATGGGTTTTATCGGGCATGAAGGAAGACAAACTTCGGGAGGGGCGGGAGAGACATCGGATTATTCCTGCAGCGATTTATCACAGCGAATCGGTTTTCAACTTTGAATAAAACATAAGAGTTTCAGGTCGGAAAGATTGGTTTGGCAAATATGAACCTTGCTTGTGCGCGGCTTTCAGTCCTGTGATGGTGTGCTCGGCCTCTTCCAAACGTTGACGAAGGGACTCCTGTATCAAAATGGATTAGCGACCGTTCAAACCCTCGCGAAGATGATATCTGAGATCCTGAACTGACAATGATATCATCCTTGTTCTCTCTTGAGCCTTAGCGCTCTTGGGAGAAGTTGGTGGAAGTGACAGTGACTGACAGTTCTCAAACATCACAAATGCCAAAGCACCACTCACTTTGGCAATCACTCTAAAGTCAGCCACGTATTCCCTCTGTTCTCGAGCTCTTTACCTTCTTACTCTCTACTCATGTTTCTTTATCTTGCTCACTCCCCTGTATTCAGCCCCTGAGTTTCATCCGTCTGAACACCTACACAATGCCGGGCAAAGAGAACGCCAAAAAAGGGGCAAAGAGCAGTAGCTCTGAAGGAGTAAGTACTGTTGGGAGGGAGCCTTATCCATAATTCTTCAACTGACGAATCAATAGGTGGCTTTCGACGAGACCTCCTTTTCCGAGCAGTCCAGACGCGACCTCCGAGAGTTGTTCACCATGATCGCACGTCTACAAGCTGAAAATAATGCTCTTCGCGCCACAGCTCATCTCGAATCCATCACTGAGAAACTCAGAGAGCAAGTCGAAAAACTCGAGTCTCCTCAACCTGCAAAAGAACAAGGCAATCCCCTGTCACGCCGACTACAGCGACTCGCCGAGATCGCCATCGACTTGCCCCTCGATATCAAAGACGATGACCTCAGTGTAAACGATCTTGCCCTTCTTTGCACCGTTCTCGAGGATGACGTGCGGCGAGCAGCACTGATCAGCTTTGCTGGAGACTCTGTCACCTTCCCAATGTTGTCCTTTTGTCTGCGGTCACTTGGTGAAGGAAACACGGTTGGATTTCTCGTGCATGAAGGGGGACGAACGCCTCGTTGCTCTCTCCATGGAGACGGAAATTGTACCTGGATGACGAGGGAAGATGGATTGATCAAGATTCGACGTGAGCCATGAGTTGTTGGGTGTCGTATGCGAAAGGGGTCCGGGATGGAAGGGATAGGGGTTTGAGTTAGCCCAAGGATCATGCCACACTAAGAGCATCATATCCACCCAAAGTTGAAGATGAATGTGATTTGAAGTTTGGAGGTAAGTCATTAGGTTAATAGATCAATTCACTTGTTGGTGAGAATTTGCTGCAGACCCTCGTAGACATGGACAAGAACATGGGTGTGTGATACCCGTCTATGCACTTTCACATCAGAGCCAACACCAGTACCTAAACAAACGTTGGGGGCCTATTGCTAACTTGAATTTTGTCTAATGCCCCCTACCAGTTGTTTTGGCGGTCCGCTGTACCTGGAAGAAGCGAGCTTCTAACTGTGAGCCACTCGCAGGATCAGCAGCTGCATCAAAGTCTGGCCGCCAGCGGACAGAGCTAGCATGCGTAATTTCTTTCCCCAGACTTCTTGGTTAATTAATCCATTGATTCAATCAAATTTCTTCATCTCGTCTCCTCATACCTCTTCATTGACACCAAGCACTACCACTTTCTCGCAATATCAGCAGAAGCACCCAGAAATGACAAAGCGAAAGTCTACTACGGGTGCTGAAGAGTCGCACCAAGACAGCCACCATGGAAACAGAGGCGGGCGTGCTGGACGCGGTGGACGCGGCGGCCGGTACAATGGTTGTTTCAGTCACCATGGCGGAGGACATTGGCAATGCGGTCCATTTCCGGGTCAAGCCCCTGTTCACGCCGTCACCCATTCTACTACTATTCACTATGGACCTCCAGCTCCCCCAGGATATGCAACCGGCTTCCAACATGGACAATTTCCTTCGCAACAGCCTGTCTCTGCCGGGCCGGCACTACCCCCGTACCAATTCGCTCCTCAAGTACCATGGCAATCTGGAAACGGGCTCTCAAACCCATTCTCCCAGCCGCAGCAGGTCCTACAGATACAAGACGCGAGCCCCAGCAATGGACAGGGCAATGACCATGGAAAGAGACAGAAGAGGAGAAAGCAGAAGAGATCTGATCACACCGAAGCCCAGGTGGTCACTGGAGTCGAAACAGGCCAGGGGCCATCCTCTGGATCCCAGAACACTTCGCGTTCGCAGCAGGAGTTGACTGAAGGTAGGGAGGTTCGAACTCCTCACTGGAACTATAGAGGGAGCACCTTGTCCGCCGATGAAACTCAAGGCTCCTCCATGCGGCGGAGCTTCATTGACAATAACGAGCTGGTCAACGACATTACTTGGCACGCCCGGCCAGAAACGCGCGACAGTCACCGCCGCGGAGTTCCTTTGGACTTTCGTGGACTGAGCATACTCTCCTACAACCGACGGGTTGCGATTCCATACGACGAGGACATAACTTACGTCGATAGATCTCAGCAGCCTTCAGCTCCTATGGTGCCAGAATTTTGTGGCGTTTGCAAGAAGCCTGGTCACAAAGTCATCCAGTGCTGGGCTGTAGATGAAAATGGCTTCACGACTGGCTGTGGAGTGTGTAGCTCTGGCCAACATGACACCGAAGGACACCAGCCAAAGGATTGACATACTCGTCAAAAAAAAGGGCTTGTCTCCCTCCACTCAAGACCAAGCATTCATTCTGGTACCCCTTGATGTGGAAGTGGGTAAAGGCGAATCCTTCTGCCGACACAAGCCATCCTTTCCCCTAGACCAAGGAGTATACCATCCAGACTCTGACAGGCGACACAGAGGAGATTGAGCAAGCTCTCATCTGGATCAGGAACCATCCTGACACAGAGCTTTGCGAATGGCCCACCGACCCTGCAACAGAAACTCGGGAAAAGGTGAAAGAGACATAAGGTGGCGATCCCAAGAACTTTTATAAGCAGAGGTCTAGGCTAAAGAGACATCTCGATGGGCTTTTGACCATTGAACAATATGAATGAACAACCGACAACGCGACGAATGTCTTCAAAGTGACTCGCCATCTGCAAGAAGCATTTTGGAGTGTACAGGTAAGTCGACTCGCTCAGATAGAAAGCATTACTAACATCTTTGGCAGTATATGCTCAACGAACAAAGATGAACGTTCGGACGAACCATTGGATACGGATGACTAGCGCCAACCTTGCTTTGTCTCTGACGGGCGACAGCCCTTGAGTAGGGCTTCCCAAACAAACTTGTGAACACCCAAGAGGATTTCGGCGATTGTGAACGACAGATTGTCCACACGGCTCTGGAAGTTGGCTTTGGTGGTGAAGAAAACCGGACAAGCGCGTGAGCAAACATAGCAGAATAACGGAGGCTTACGAACTATCGCATGTATCAGGTCAGATCATAATTATGCGCCTTTAGGTATCCAAATGTTTCTTTTCAAATGTAATGTTTAATAGTTGAACTGGTCTACCAGAAACTGTGAAAGCAATTTGAATCTTTTCCAAGTATCCTACTACATATTGATTAGAGAGGCTGATGGATATTGATCCTGTTCCCAGGGATGTCCCTTGTTTTGAAACATTGTGATCCCTTGGAGAGATACAGTGAGCTTCATGATCCAGATACTCTCGCCATTATTCAAAGTCAACACCCAGACAGCATTGAAAGTATCATCGCCTTGATATCAGTATATCGAGCTCTGTAGAGGACTGCTCATTGCTTCCAAGCCGTGACGTCTGAGTTCTGCCAGTGCTAGCACTGACAGACGAGGGGTGCTTCTTCAGACTCCCACTCACCGAAACAAATAAAGGAGCTCAGAAGGAGTGGATTCGTTAAAGAAACAAAGTCGAGACCTTGAGAATTCTTTCTCTCATCATCATCCCCTTGAACATGGCTGCACCACAGGCGATGACAGATGACGAGATCGCTAAACATCACCTCACCCTCCATTCAAAATACTTCCCCGGAAAGTTTGACTGGGAGTTTCCTGGGCCCCAAGCATCCGTATCGCAAAGGCGTCAATATATGTACGCCTTCACAAATGGTATCACGGGCCAGAAGGCTTCCAAGTCACGACGAGCCGCGTCCGCAAACTTGCGAAAGACCTAGCTGCTGAAGTTCTGATCAAACGCCATGACCATAGGGAAATGAAAGTCTCTTTGTTGGAATGAAGCATCGACAAAGTGTTCTGGGATTTGTGGTTCATCGGACTTCCTCAGAATAAGCGACTCATGTGCCCATGGGACAATCCTCGCAGGCCCCAAGTTGTAGAAGGAGCTTCGGAAGTCTTCGCGCAGCTCGAAGCAGGGTATTATCGCAAGGGGTTCCTGGTTGAAATGGGGGCTTTAAAAAAGCTAAAGCAGTCTTTGGCTGCCAAAGAGGCTGTCTCATCCCAGGTTTTGACTGCGCCAACTCCTCACTCTACACCACGCCTCATCAACATGGACAAAGAAGACCTTCGGAAGACTCTGAGTGCTAATCAGACCAAATTCGAACTCTGCTACCGTTTGCACACACACCCTTTGCTCGCCTTCGACATCCCAGCGTTTGAGACGAGTTGGTCAACCTCATTCGACACACCAACGCCATGCTGGACAATCGCAGCTCGACGCACAGAGAAGAGGAGAATCCTTTGTTAGCTTATGCTTGGCAGGCATTCTTCCCTCGAGAAGTTGACTAGAGTTGGCAAACCATCGCATTGCCGTCAAGAGAGGAGTGCTCGAGAACCTCAAGGATCATATCTCTGACACGCTCACATTCGAGGACTGCTGCAACAGCGATCTGATAAACAAAACCTTGTGGTCGTCGAATGAATGGTTGCTATATAAAAGCAATCGTTCAGGTACTTCTCCAGTTGAAGCCAGACGACAGGGCGGCGTTGCCAGTCTTGTCGAATATAACTACTATCTAGATCTTAATTTAATACTTTAAGATATAATTAATTATTATTATATCTTATAATAAAAGTGAATTTTTTTAAATCTTAAATTATTTTTATTTTTTTATTTTCTTTTTTTTTTAAGTTTATAAGTTAGCCTTAAAATGTATATCTAAGCATCTCTAAAGTCTAATATAATTTAAATATTTATTACCCCTTAGCAGGCAAAGTTTTATTAAATTAATATTATTTATTATTATTTATATAAAACTTTCTTTTTAATAAATTAGTTTTAAATTAAATTAAATTATAAAATAATATAACATATTTAATAAGTAAGTGTAATAAATAAGTAAGTATAATACTACACTATATAACTAGAAATAGCCTACCCTATAGTATTTAATTACCTTAAATAAAATAGCTAAGAGCCTAATAAAGGTCTTTTTAAAGACAGTATAAAATAGATTATATAATATAATTTTTTTAGATTTTTAAAAAATCTCCTTTATATAATAAAGCTTAATTATATAATGTAAATAAGCTTTTTTTATATTAATTATAAATAAATTAGTTAGAATTATTTAATAATTAATATAGCTTTATTTTATAATTAAATAAGTGACTTTTAAATTATAATTATTTTAGGCTTAATTTAAGCTTTTTATAGGCTTTTAAAATCTGGATTTTAAGATATAAGTTAAGCTATTACACTTACTTATCTATTATACTTACTTATTAACTATGTTAATAAAAGAATATAAGTTAAGAATAATATATGCAATAAGTAAATAATATAAATAAGTAAGTAATATAAAAATCTTAACCTTCTTAAGATAAATTATAATAAAAATACTATAAATTATCTAATTAATTAAAATTAATTACTATATTTATTACTAAAAGCCTTAATACCCTCCTAATAGGTTCTTATATTATATTTAGTCTTACTATAAGTTTTATACTATTAAACCCCCTACTACCTTAACCTTCCTTAACTACTACTTCTTAATAATTTAATTACTACTTATATATTAATATCTATCTAATTAATTAATTCTTAACCTTCCTATATAGTTAAGCTCCCTTTATTTTATAAGTATATCCTTTTTACCCTATACCACCGGCTAAGTATATTATTTGCCTTATAAAGCTCTTAGTTCTTAGCCTCTAATAAGGCAGTCTTTTATATATTTCTTATAACTGCCTTTATAAGAGATTAAAGAGCTTTAAGGATTAACTCTAGGGAGCTATTATAATATCTTCTAATTTATCTCTATAAGTATTTAGACTAAGATTTAGCCTTAAGAACTATTCCTAAAGTCCTTAAAGTCTAAGATTAAGCTTATTAGGCCTTCTCCTTAATAGGTATTAAAGTCTATAGCTATATATTAAGCTTTAAGATTATAACTTCTAGGTTAAAAGGAGTAATACTAGCTCTGTTAAAACCCCCTTTAATATTTGCCTTAATTATAATCTCTTTAAAGGTAATATAAAAGGCTAGGAAGAACTTAATCTTAGATATATAGGTTATAGACTATCTAATTAGTTGCTTTATTTCTTAATTATATGCCTTTTTTAGCAGCCTAAAGCACTTAATATTAAGAGGCTATAGTAGATATAAAAAATAAGAAGGTATATAAAGTATAATAATATTATTAATCTTATAATATATTTAGAAATTAGTAGATTAATAACTTTTATAACTATTAAGGATTAAAAAATAATAAGAATTAACTAATTAATTAATTATATATTAATTAAAGTGCTTTAGCTAGTTAAGACCTATTTTATTATCTATTTAGCTATTTAATATTATAATAATAGCCTAAGTAGCCAGGAGGTTACTTTCTTAGTATTAATTAATAAGGTAATATTAGCCTATAATTATAATAAATAGATTAATAGCTTAGCCTTTTATATTAATTACTTAAATTATTATAACTTATTCCTAGTTTTTAAGCTAAACTAATTTTAGGTTTTTATGCCTTTTTAAGCTAATAACTATTATATTACTTAATATTATACCTATTATAAAGCTAGTCTTATTAAAGTTCTAGATATTATTTAATTAAATATTATACTTTATAATTAAATTTTATAAGAGCTTAAACTAATTATAAATAGTAATTAAATCCTTATATTAAGCCTTTTAATAATTATATTTATAAAAAGAATATATCTTAAGTTATAGTTATTACTTAATAAAATTAATAGCCTAATACTTATTAACTAGTAATATATTATATTTAATAAGTAGTTAATTTATTATTTCCTTAATATTATAATACTAAGAGGGAAATCCTTATAAATTTAAGTTTAAGATATACTTAATTATAACTTATTTTTCCTAATTACTTAGTTTATAACTATTAAGGATATAATTAGTATAAGCTAATATATCCTAAGATTAGTAGTAAAGGTTATAAAAGTTAATATTATATAGAAATAACATAGTTAATAAGCGAGCCGGTTAGATAAGTAAGCCGGTTACTTTCCTTAACCTTTTTAAGCTATAGCTTGAAAGCTTAAGCTATAGTTTAAAAAGGGCCACTTTTACTTGCTAAATTCCTCCCTAGATGACTTAAGAATATCCTTATAAGTCCTAGTATTATAACTGCCCTTATTATATATATTATAGCGCTAACTACCTAGTTACTTTAACCTTCTTTAATTACTATTTCTTAATAATTTAGCTATTACTTATATATTAATATCTATCTAATTAATTATTTATAATACTTCTTATATAATTATTGCCTTTTCTTTTTATAATTTAATTCTTTTTACCTTTTAGCACCGGCTTAGTATCTTATTTATATCTTAAAGATTATAAAGCTTAGCCCTTAATAAGGTAATCTTATATATAATTGCCTTTATTACCTTAGTAGTTAACTTTAAAGCTTTAATAATAGACTTTAGGGAGCTATTATAATACCTTTTAATTTATCTTTTAAGGTATTTAAATTAAGATTAGGCCTTAATTATTATCTTTAGGGTCTTTAAAGCCTATAGTATTAATAGTTAAGTGGCCTTCTTAAGAGGCATTAGGGTTTATAGTTATATATTAAGCTTTAAGATTATAATTTCTAGGTTAAGAGGAGTAAGTCTGGCTTCTTTAAAACCTCCTTAGATATTGCTTTCTATAAAGGTAGTTTTAAATATAATATAAAAGGCAGAAAAGAACTTAATCTTAGAAATATAAGTTATAAAATATTTAATTAAATACTTTATTTCTTAACTATAAGCCTTTTTTAGTATTATAAAGTACCTAATATTAAGAGGCTAGAGTAGATAAGATATATAAGTAGGTATATAAAGTATAATAATCTTATAATCCTAGTAATATCTCTTAAAATTAGCTAAGTGGTAGCTTTTATAACTATTAAGGATTAGGAGATAATAAGGATTAGTTAATTAGTTAGTTATAAACTAATTAAAGTGCTTTAGCTACTTAAGACTTAGCTTATTATTTATCTACCTATTTTAGCTTATTATAATAACCTAATTGCCTAAGAGGTTATATTCTTAGTATTAATTAGTAAGGTGATATTGGCCTATATTAATAATAAATGGTATAATTGATTAACCTTTTGTATTAATTGCCTAGATTATAGTAATTTATTTCTAGTTTCTAGGTTATATTAATTTTAGCCTTTTTTACCTTTCTAATCCTATAATAGCTATACTGGCTATAATAAGGCCTATTATAAAGCTAGTCTTATTAAAGTTTTAGATATTATCTAATTAGATATTATATTTTATAATTATATTTTATATAAGCCTAAACTAGCTATAAATAATAGTTAAATCTTTATATTTAACTCTTTAATAGTTATATTTATAAAATAAATATATCTCTAGTTTTAGTTATTACTTTATAAAGTTATAAGCCTAGTACTTACTAATAAGTAATATATTATAATCTATAAGCAGAGAATTAGCTATTTCTTTTATAAAATATAATTATAAGGGAAATCCTTATAAATCTAGGTTAAAAATAAATTAAATTATTATCTACTCCTTTAAATTAAATAGTTTCTGTAAATTTAGGATAGAATTGTATTATAATTAAATGCTATTCTTTTAGTTATAAAGGGTATTAAATTTAACCTTATAGTTCTTTATAGTGTGTTAAATACTTAGCTTTAGGTTATTTTAAAGGGCCTAAAGGGTAAGAAGGATTCTAGCTTTATCTAAAGGTTATAATATATTTAGTGGCTAAGAAGTATCTAATTAGATAGAAATGTTATAAGTTGAGGGATTTTTAACCGGCTTGCTTGTCTAACCGGCTTGCTTATTAACTATGTTATAGCTTATTACAGATTTAATTTTAGGTCTTCCTAATAGGCCTAAAGAATAAGATTTATATAAGCCTTAATAGTAGATTGTAATATGTTATTTAATTAAGAATTAATTAATTAAATAGTATTAATATAAGGTGAGGGATTTTTATACCACTTGCTTATCTATGCCACTTGCTTATCGCGTATATTAAATTAAATCAAAAAATACTTAAATATTACTTATCTAATAACTCTAAAGACAAGCCACCCTAAAAGATTTATAAGGTTAATAATTAGTAAACAGAGCACTATGCCAAACTTGAAGAGACTGTTTTTAGTTTTTGATGATTTAGTGTCTTGGAGTTGCTGGACGAGTCTGAGCCAAGAATGTAGCCACCGATGTCTGAGGGGGCCCGGTGGTCTAGTCTCGACGATTTCACCATGTATGATGAGGCTTTGGGGAAGTCAGAAACTGATACAGACAGCGAGCCGGTGGAAGAATCAGATGATGAAACGGAAATTGATTATAACGATGAGGATACCAACGACGACCCTGCTTCGGAAGCTCTACAAGAAGCCAAGGCTGAAATCGAGGATCTCTACGACTTAATCTATCGGAAGACATGTGAAATTACTTATTTGACAAATTTGAACTGGAGTCTGGAGGAGCACAACCTGTGTCTTGAGAAGGAGGTGGAAGTCTTGAAGGCCAAGCTGGAAGCTATCAACAAGGAGCCTACCCGCACCTGAAGAACAGGCTTGTGGCAAAGTACTTGAGCTCTTTCCACTTAAGAGGGGATACTAATTAGGAGTTACTTGAAAAAGGAACGATAAGGAAGGAGATAATCTGGATTTGGGATAAGGAGTTGTAAATCCTGCTAAGGAGGCTAAGGATGCTTAGCAGAGTAGGGAATTTCCTATTATTTGCGGTTTCATATCATTGGTTTTATCTAGGATATTTCTTGCTGATGTAAGAAGGCGGTACTTCCATTTTATTGAGAACAGATTGCTTGAGGTCGGCGTGGGAAGGGGTGATCGTGGGCCACCTGACCCATCAGCCATCACCTATTCGCACCTCCCTATTGCCGGGCCTCTATATCTATTCTATCTCGTTTTTCATCTTTACACTTTTATTTTTCATTCTTCAGATTTCGCTCTCTACCACACATCGACATCGGTACATCAACATCACACTCTTCATCATCATCATGTCATCCAATCAAGATAGCACAGAACCTTGGGACTGCATCAGCGTGAGTTTCGAAAATACCTTCATGGGGACTCAGCAGCGAACTAACTATTTCCAGAGGATTTCCGAGGATACTCCTTCATTATCATCCTCTTGGCAAGACCTGGGCGAGAGGCCTGAGGAACCTGAAAGTCAGGCGGCCGAAACGGAGGGAAACCAACAATCACACGAGACAGACACTGAATCCGACGTTGGGGGGGTTCGAGGCCCACAAGTGCAGAGCAACCACATCCAAAACCCATTCAGAGTATGTGGCGTTCAAGTCATATTGTGTCTGTGCGAGCGCTCATTCGAAGAGCAAAGACCGCCGAAGGATTATCACATTATACGTTTGAACCCAGAGTTGCGTTTGGCTGCTGACTTGTTCATGAATGGTCGGTTTGGCGATGAGCAGTTGGAGAAAACAATTCACTATTTTCGCAGCCTCCGGCAAATTCTGGAGCGTTTTATCCGTAACCCATCCTATGATTCTGTCTCCTTCTACTGCTGTATGGCAGCAATAGAACGTCGTGGAGAATCCGTTGCCCGCGGCTGGTAGGACTCTACGGGGCGACTCCATTGCAATTGCCACCCAGAAAGTGATCATTGCTTTTGGCTTACCAAAAGGTTCAGCTACAAGCCGGTTGCAGATTTTCATAATGGAATCAGTATGGAAATTAATGGTTGCAGACATTGCCGTCTCCTTCCTACTGTCAATGTGCTGGAGTAACTGACTTTCCCTGTGGCAGCTGCAGAGTTATTAAGCGTCGTTGGAATGCACATTATGAAGCAGCTCTTACTGTTGCAAGTCTTTTTCGTAATACACATTTGCAGAGCACACAGACAGCGAAGTTATACCGACATTCTTTCATGTACATACCCATACCACATGTATTGCAGAATAGAGCAAGCGAAATCAGACAAACCATTATCGACTGTCCCATTCTTCCTATCTTGCTGTAACTCAGTCCTCTACGAGAAATTACGACTCAACTTCCCTGAACCGAGACTCACATATGTCGCATCCATTTCGATTGCTCCGGTATTGACATGACCTTTGATTTCAGCCAAAGATGTGCTCCTCGTCCTCACCATTGCCAATTCTTATTGGATCATGTACTAAATGACCTAGGCAGCAACAATGTTCAACGTGACAATCAACCCATAGACTGAACACAACGACTACAGTATCTTCCGGGTCAGCCCACTGATTGTCACTTCCTTTCTTCCAAGTCGTGCCTCGGAATTTCAGTGGTTTTGGTCCATGTTCAAAAGTTGTGGTCACATGAACGCCCATCCTTTGTAAAGGTCGTTTTGGATTGACCTTTCTCGGTTGAAGTCAGTTCTGAACAAGTGACCGCTCGCTGAAACAATATTCGAACAAAAAAACTTTTTATTGTTTGTAATTACTCGCATGGAGACCTGACATATATGTATATAACCCTTCGTGAGCCCAGATTAGAGCCAATCTCATATTCACAATTCACCAACCCTCAGTCAACAGCACTACCCTCTTCGCAAACAGGCACCGCTTCAACATCACTACAAAGAGCATTTCCGCCTTCCAAAACATTTCTAACCTGCAAATTATCTTTTAAAAATGGCTGTGCCTACTATCACAGTCTCTTGTCCTAAGACCACCTCCGAATCTCCCATGACCCGGGCGGCTGCCACATCCCCCATCGAGTGGGATCATTATTACTCGGGCGCACGATTTTCCGAGAACCGAGGCATTGCAATGAACGGACCTCAAGGTAGTGATAATTATAGTGTCTACAATGTTGAGGAAGAAGGCCTTGACGAAAACTTCGTGTATGGCCGTCTTTCACCTGTCCCTGCACCTCGGCAGGACACGAGAACACTTTCGAAGATTAACGGATACCTTCCCGGATACCGCTTTGTCGGTAACCGCGATATTGAGATGGATGAGGCTGATGTGGAGTACGAGAGCTCGTCTCATGAGTTCACCTTTGAGCATCCATTTCGCCATGCCGAGGACTTTGAGGGTTCCAGCGGCTGTTGGTGTGAGGGTGACTATGAGGCTGATGTCTCTGAGTCCTGTTTCGAGGAGTCCAGTGAAGAGTATACTGAGTTTGATGGTTCCTGGGAGGACGATAATGTCTCTAACGCTTATGAAGATGCCCCCGAGTATTCCGTTTGCGAGAGTCCCGCCGGCTTTAAAGGTAATGACTCGGGGTACTACGTCAGCACAGAGTATGAAGAGTCTATCGATGACCTCTCTGGGTATGAGCCTGAGGCTCACTCTTGGTGCAATACTTCTGGGTTCTACAGTAACGACCGCGAACACAATGACATGACTGTTGAAGAGGCAGTCTATACGGTTCCTCGAAGGCTTGCCAACATGGAAGACACGAACTGGGGACTTCGAAAGCGTAAGTTTGGTGAGTATGAGGAGGGTCAAATTGAAGAGGATGAGTTCTGCGAGGATGAATCTGACGATGTTCAAATCGAGGAACCTTATCCTGAGGTTGACGATGACTATGGCACACTATCTGATGATGATATGTGCATGGAACATGTCTTGGAGTGTGGGGTTTGCTCTGGCCTCGACTTCAACTCCACTGACGCTCCCCAGGATCACGAAAATTCCCCCGAGGCTTATACTTTTCAGGACGGCGATGTTGAGTTCGAGGAGTTCCCTCAAAGGCTCCCGACAATTCTCGAAGTGGATGAACCTACAAGCCCCTTTCCCCCTGGATATGCAGACTACGTGCCTGAGGATACTTATGCGGACGGATGCTTTGGGGTTGAGGATGAGTTTTATCCTGGTGGAGCCGGCCTGCCTGTAGAGGAAGAGGGTAAGGATTATAATGGCCCCTACTTCAACGATGCTCAGCTTGATTTGGCGGAGGTAAAGTACACTTTCGTCTGATGGGTGTGAAAGTCAAGAGGTTTGTGGTGTTGCTAGCCATGACTATACTGATCTTCTACTAGACGTGCTTGTTCACGAGGAAATATCGACAGAAAAGCACCAAAAAGGTAAGTTAAATCACAGCTAAGTCTAGTATATTTCTTTTCTCATTGTTTATTGGGAGTTCTTGTTTTGAGGAATGGGTACTCAGGTGGGATGTGATGGAACACGTAATTCACAAGGTAAGTATTCGGAAAATAAATACAAGGGGCGCCTCTGACAAATTTTATGTGATTTGCTACCGTAAATGTGAGGATTTCGTGCAGAAAGTGATAAAACACCATTCCCCCAATGAAGAGGAGCGGTACGTCCAGATGGGCCTTTTCAGGGGTTTTAACTCAGGGACTTGCCTTTCTCCTACTGGCGAGCAAGCCTAAGGAAAATAAGCGTGTTGTATCTCATCGATCGTTCGAATTCATTCAAGGATAAATAAACTGACTCGTAACTGATATGCATCATCGGCCACAAGGGGGCTCGGGCAGCTGAACGATGAGTAGTGAGTTGACACGGGTCACATAACGTCGAGCCTCAAAAGTCCCCTTTTCTTGAGCGGACACTTATGCTGATATGGAGTGTCGAATTCGTAACTAATGGCTTGAGTTCAATAGAAGTCAGAATTATTGACCGTTCTTTGGTTCAGTGACAGTGAATCCACTTGACAGCTGTCAGCAGTGTCATGAGCTGGCTGGCAGTCGATTCAGCCAGTCTTCCACCAGCCTGCCAACCTCTAGTTCTCACACAACCTACCACCTCATTTTTCTTGCCGCAGTAATATCCTTCTCACATAATTTACTCCTCATCACCACCATTTGAGCAACGGCACAAACTCTCAGCATCACCAACAACACGATCATGTCTTCCGCACCTACGCGCAGCGAAGACACCGGACGCCCCGGCGAACGCGAAAAGGTTAATGAGCAGGATCTGCCTGGGAACAAGGACGCCGTGTCGATGGAGCTCCTGAAAAAAGAGAACGGTAATCTAAAGCACACAGCCGATATTCAGGCGGGCAAGATCCTTCGCTTGGAGATGGAGTTGCACGAAACCAAGCAGGCCCGCATTGATGACTCTGTATGTGCTGGGAAATCCAAACTGGAGATTGCACTAGACCAGGCAAAAGCAGAGGTAGAATCGATGCGGCTGTCTCAGGAAACTCGGCAACAAAATATCCTCGAGCTGGTCGAAAAGCACAACTACAGGATCACAATACCGGTAGCATCTCATGCCCAAGTCATCGAGCATTTCCAAGCGCTTATCCCTTCGGGGAACAAGGAACACATCAACCACTTGTTGGATTTCGTCTTTTTCGCAAAGGTTGGGAAATGGTGCTGTTTCCAGGAGGCTTGCGAAAAAGGAGCCATGGGACTTACTGAAGCCCGTACTGGTTCGGAATGTCCCCTTCATGGAGCAGAGTGTAAACAGATCATGATGGCGAGATACGATGCTGCTTCCCATCACCAGATCATCTTCAAAAGGTTTGATCCGGTGCCTTCACTTCCATGAACTTCACGGGTGAGGTCGTCGCTCGGTGCAGGGTAGCGCCGGCCCCACAAACCGCCAGGACAGGGCTCCGTTGCCGTTGAGCCCCTCCACCTCCACCTCCACCAACTCTGCCGTCTTCCGATTTGTTTACTCTACCATCAGCCTTACCTTATTTACACTCCGCCTTTTCAGGTGGTACCAGCATATCTGCCGAAAAACTACATAAACGGCACTTCCACTCTCAAACCACTCTCTTTCAACATGCCACCATGGCTGCAGTTCAGCCTCGTACGCGGTCTGCCCGCTTAGTGGCCGGCTTTACCAACAAATCTACTCAACATGCACCGGCAGCGACACCAAGTCCTCACGTTCACCATGGACCTCCGGCGCTGTCGATTTTTTTGACCAATTTGAGTCTTTTGGACCTCGATCAACATGAGGATTGGCCAGGTATCAAGGCCCAAACATTTGCCAGCGGCGGCTCTAGCGCGCAGGGCCTGAAGAAGAGGGTTCACTGCGTTGAATGGGCGCTCTTCCAGCTGTTTGCGCTATGGGATCCTGATGAAACAAAAAAGGTAGGACAGCAACCAAGAGTGAGGATTAGACTGACATTTGTAGAAACTCAAACCGTTCTTCCCTCCTCTTGACCAAACTCAATCGGTCAACCTGCGAGCCGCCCTACTACGAGCTCTCGAGCAAGCAAAGAAGAATGGAGTCCTAGGAAGGGACGCTATCGTACGAAAGACAATGCTGGACGAATGTCGAGGTGAACGACTCGAAGAGGTTCTCGCAGCATTTTCATCTGCTGTTCTCAAACATGTCATTGCTCAAGAGGTCGCAACAAGCGGTGAACACACAGCACTTGCGCTCGGACTTGCGCTTGAGGACCGCGGGTACAAGAGCGACAACACAGATCTCAACACTATGGTCTTGGCGCACAAAGTTGCCATTAGTCGCATACTCAACAGCAAGGTAGCCGCCAGCTCACGATTCCGCGACTTTGCCGACCTTTTGACCGTCAAGGAGAAGGGCATCGCTAGGAGAAAGGAAGCAATTGATGCTCTCGAGGGAGGCAAGACGATCTCTGACGATGCTAGATGGGAAATGTGGCGGACACTTCGAAACAACTGGTCTGGCAATGAACGATGGATGGAGACGCTACTCTACGGAGATGCCAGTGTTAAGAAGGATGGACTTCTGGGCATGCCCTTTGATCGCGTGTGGAGAAGAGTCCAGCAAGGTCGACTTGGAGAACTTGAGGAGCACTCAACAGGTCTCCTGGAACAGCTAGACACTCGAGTTCGTGTACAGAGGGAACGACTTCAAAAGTGGCAGACCTTCCGCAACAGACTGTCAGCCGATCAGCCCAAACCATCCCCATCCAAGGTCAAGCAAAAGGAGAAGGAGAACGGCATCGATTTTGGCTTTGGTGCCCACGAAGCACTTCATCTTGGAACAGCCAGCCCTAAGAAGGCGACTTTCGGCAAACCGAAGCTCCTCAACGAGTACGAGGACCTTGTGTCCAGTCTGAGCCAGGAGTTGCAGAGCACAAAGCCTCAAAAGTCTTCAGCTCTTGACTTTTTGCAGCGCCCTGCTTCCCAGAATACACCAGCAATCAATGCACCAGCTCCCGAACCACAAGAGGAAGAGGAAGAGGCGATCAGCGAACTCGAAGACGAGGATGGCTTTGCTGAAACTCCGATTCAGTCTTTCAAGTCGAAGCTCGACAAGTCTAAAAGGCTTCCGGTGCGCCCTAAGCTTGCTCATACGGATGACTCTTTTGCTTCAGTCTCTTCGCGCGCCAGAAACTTGCGCAAGCCATCGGAGGACGAAGCTCGTATTCTTCGTGCCTCATCAGTCGAACGGACTAGTTCACCCGAACCTGAGGAGGAACCTGTCGCAGCCTCCCCAAGACCTGAGTACGATGTTTCACCCCAGTTGTCGCCTCATATATCACCTCAACCGTCTCCTCCTCCGTCACCTCTGCCCCTACAAGAATCACCAGAGCTAATGGCCACGCAACCGTCCCCTACCCAAGAGATGGCAGATCAGATCCTCGAATCTATGGATATGGCTTCTCCTTCTCCGGTCAAACGACGACCCAAACCTCGACATACTCTTTCACTTGCTGAACGAACTCGCCTGACCATGGCTCGTGGAGCATTCGACCCCGATAATGAAGACATTGATATATCCCCACCAACGTCCGCAGAACCTGTTTCTGCAGAGGACCCCAGTCAAACATCTGTTGACGATGAATTTGATCTCATTGCTCGGACCCGGAAGAGCATGGCTGGTTTCGACAAGGCGAGACAAAAGGCCCAGTTGGACAGGCGACGCTCTCTGCGAAAAACGAAGGCACCCCCTAAGAAGGAGGGAAGTCACTTTCCCAAGGTGGAAGAGGAAGACATGACCATTATCACCGATGAACTCATGGCTCAAGAGGATATGGAGGCTGTCTTCAGATCACGACCCAAGATCAAGGCCAGCCCTCTGCCAAGTCCGACTAAAGATTGGGATGACGACGAATATATGTAGTCACGATAATGAATTCTCCTTAATCATAGTTTACATGCTCTCATATAATGTACACCGTGCTTTTACACTCTACCAGCCCTGCTTCTTAAGCTCCATAACTCTGCTAACAGTTGCCTTGAAACCATGCTTGAATCGTGATCGCCATCGCTGACTCCTTAGTCTCTTCTTCTTAAGACCCTTGCGCTCGTGGAACTTTTGGCTGTGGAATTTGTTCTTAACTTGATCCTCTCGGATGATTCTGTTGAGAACTCGAAGAGCAACCATGGGTGTGGGACCAGTTGTCTTGGTTACTCGGTCCTTGATGAAGACTGTACGGCCAGTGACGGGCTTAGCGCGGATTTGAGGTCGAGCAATGGGATCGGAGACGAGTTCGGTGCCGAATGCGCTGGACTTGTTGGCGATGATGGATGCAATGTCCAGACTGAACGGTTTCGAAGCATCATAGGCATGGCTAGACTTTGATTCGGTAGTAGATTCGGCAGTAGAGTCGGCGGGAGGTGGCGAAGGAGGAACACTGCCGATAAGAGGGTTTGATCGAGCTAGAGGAGCGACGGCTGGAGGTGCCTCTTCATCTGTGGGAATCTTGGGACCTGTTCGGAAGGCGAGTGAGGTTGTGAATGTCCTCTTGGCGAGGCATGTTGAAGGTGTAGCTACTCTCGACAGCATTGAGCTGCCAATTCTGAACGAAGCGGCCCTAAATAATATGAGCATCGAATTCAAAAGTACAAGGCCAATTGACTTACATCTTGTCGATATAGCTAGACCGCCAATGGCCGTCGTCAATAGCTGTCACAGAACAGGCGATGCAGAAAAGTCGCGATATTCGGAAAAATGTAGGTGCGAAAAGAAGGCGGGATTGTGGACCGAAAACCGGCCCCACATTGAAACATTTCAGCCTCGTGCCTGGATGCCTCAACACGGTTTGCGCCTGCATAAAGAATCGCGGAACAACAGCTAAAAACAAATCCATCGTTACCTTGACGTGAATACTTTCTTCAAAAGTCTTACGCGACCATCCTAATTCCCTCCTCCCCGCGCGTATACGCGACGGTGCCAATATGGCATATAATCCTTATGGCAGTATGTTTCCCTTGAATCAGTATCGACAGAGCTAACTTATGTAGACAATCCTTACGGCGCGCCTCCTGCATATGGGGGATATCCTGGATCAAACAATGCCCCTCCAGGAATGGCTCCTCCACCTGGTCTAGGTGCGCAAGCTCTACAAAACACTCGCTACCCGTCTAACATGTTTCCAGGACCTCCTCCAGGCATGTCTTCTGCTCCGGGAATGGCACCTCCAGGTGTCCAGCAGTCTAGCGCCCAGCAAGCTAATCGTCCAAGCGGCCTTCCACCCAACTTCCAAGCGCCTGCCAACATGCCCAACATCAACTTCAATGCCCCCGTGATCCGACTCGGTACATCTCAGCAGGGAAAGCCCGGTACTCCCACAGCGAGCGGTCGTGATATGCCTATGCCCAGCGGTGGACGACCTGGCTTGGGGATGGACAGAGGAGGTGATCGAGACCGAGGTGCGAGGGAAGTAACACAGGTACTTGTTCCCCCAACGAACGAGGAGAAGCTCCGAACGATCTTCATAAACGAGATTCCCGAAGGCTTGGGCGGCGATGAAGGGATCTTACGACTCTTGGGTGCTTGTGGAAAGCTGCGAAAGTGGGATTCTGAAGCTAGTGTCACAGAAGACCATAAAGGCGTTAAGTTTGGTTTCGCTCTTTTTGAGGACCCTTGGTCGCTGAGTACTGCAGTCAAACTTCTCCACGAGCAGCAAGTCGAAGTTCCCGTCAAGCGACAACCAGTAGCCGCGGATGCACCCAAAGACGACATGTACGAGGGTATCGACAAGACGAAGCTCAAAGTTACAGTCGATGAGAGTTCGCTCAAGTACCTGGAGTCCTACGAAGAGAGTCAAGACGGTGCTATCGGATCGGAGAAGCTCGATGCGGCCAAGTCAGCGCTCAAGGATGTTGTTCACGATTTGTTCTACCCCAAAACCAACACAGCAACTGAGGACGTCACAATGGGCAACACCGAGTCTGGCGAGAATGTCGAAGTGGTGAATATCCCATTGGCTCAAGAGGACGAACTCGCAGATATTCCAGCTGAGATGAGGGAAGTTGTGGCACAAGAAATCGCTGCATTCCGAGAACGCAGTAACCAAAGAGATCTCGAACGTCTAAGAAAGGAAGAAGAGATGGAGGAGATGGAGCGACGACGAAATGGACCAGCCCGACATTCTCGACTGGATTCACCACCAGCTACCAACAACATTCCTCTTGGGCCAAGAGGCAGCATAGCAAATGCGCCATCAGGACCTAAGGGACAGAATGGACAGCGAGTTGCCTTTGTGAATGGAGGTATTTCAAACACAGACCTTTCTATTCACCAAGAAGATGACGACACAGACGCCAGCGATGGAGAACTGTACCGACGATACAAGTCCAAGAAGGATGAGGAGGACGAGAAAGCATACCTCGAAGCTGAGCGCAAGTGGAGCAACAGAGAACGATCAAGACAAGCAGCAATAGACCGAGAGCGCGAGCGAGAACGTCAAGACGCAGAGTCATTCGAACAACGAAAGCAAGAGCAGCTTGAGCGAGAGAAGGCATGGGATGATGAGAAAGAAGCAAGTCGCAAGACACACCCGTACTACCGCGATCACAGCGGCTGGGCCCGTAAGAGAGCTGGTGACCGTGCAGATGAGGAAGCACGAGACGAAGCAGACAGAAGAGCAGAGCATGATGAACAGCGTCGCGAAAAGGCTGAGATGGAGCGTGCGCGCGGTATGGCCGACTCGTTCCTCGACAAGCAGGCTGAAGAGATGGACCAGCGACAAGCACCCGCCGCTGCACCCCAGCCGTTCAAGCTATCCCTCGGAGCCGCAGCTCAGAAGGCTCAAGCATCCAGGGCAGCACCACAACGGCGCACAATCGCAGAGGTGGAGGGTCTCTTGGACGACGAGGAAGCAGATACTTCTACAAAGCGACAACTGGTCCCTATTCAATTCGAGCCTTCTTCTGCTACGGCGCATATGACAGAGGAGGAAATTTCACAGGCTGTTCGATCCCTGGCCCAGGAGATCCCATCGGACAAGGATGGTCTGTGGGGATGGCAGGTCAAGTGGGAGTTCATGGATGATGCAGTGGTAAAGGACAAGCTCCGACCATTCGTGGAAAAGAAGATTGTCGAGTATCTCGGTGTACAAGAGGAGATGCTCGTCGAAGCAGTGGAGGAACACCTTCGCGCTCACGGTACTGCAGCCGCTCTAGTGGAAGAGCTAGAAGGAGTATGTTTCACCCATTTTATGTCTTATGATCAAATCACTAACGAATGTTTCACAGGCACTCGATGATGAGGCGGAGGATCTTGTCAAGAAGCTCTGGCGTATGGTGATCTTTTTCACTGAGAGCGAGAAACGCGGACTACCGGCGTGATGAGGGGATGCTTTAAAATGTACTATTATTATAATTCGACGGGTTGCAATACCAATGAACTAGGTGAGGGCGTTTTGAGAGCTGTGGGAATATACAATTGAGTCTACAGTAACTTACCAATGTCTTTGTCTCTCTGTCTATGGTGTTAATGAGGGGGATCGTCGGCGGGTTGCCATTGTTGGGGGAGCTTCCGAGGTGCCGAGGTTCCCCACACTGAGCTTACCGTGGTCCTGGAGCTTGTAGTCATGTAAATAAGAGGCCAAGCTCCAGATTATCAATCGTTCAGACTGTTCAACATCAGTAAATCACATCAATCGCAGTAACAATAATCATCATGTCAAAGTCACTCAATCCCCCAAAGGTGCCTCACACCGTCATATCATTCCCCCATCCTCATGTCGTTCTCGTCACACTTAACCGCCCAGAACATCTCAATGCCCTCCAGCGCCAGATGAGCTTCGATCTCGACCGTCTCTGGAAGTGGTACGACAACGAGCCCTCACTGCGCTGCGCCATCATAACAGGCACCGGACGCGCATTCTGCGCTGGCGCAGATCTCAAAGAATGGAACGTCAAAAACTCAGAAGGAAACGTCAAAGACGTTGAGAAGTGGGCAGAGAACGGCTTTGGAGGCTTGAGTAACCGCCATGGAAAGAAGCCCATCATCGCAGCTGTTAATGGTCTCTGTCTCGGCGGTGGAATGGAAATGATACTTAACCTCGACATGGTCATCGCCAGCGAAACCGCCAAGTTCGGTCTCCCAGAGGTGAAGCGCGGCGTCGTCGCCATCGCGGGTGCACTACCGCGTCTCATCCGAACGGTAGGACGACAACGGGCATCAGAAGTAGCGCTTTTAGGACGCATGTACAGCGCACAGCAGTTCTTTGACTGGGGTATTGTGAACAAGGTTGTCAAGCTGGAGGATGTTGTTCAAGAGGCGCTGAAGTGGGCCGTTGAGATGTCTGACAATTCGCCCGACTCGATTATTGTGTCGCGCGAGGGTCTTTTGGGAGGGTGGGAAGCTGAGGGGCCTAGGGATAGCACGAACAGGATTGACGGGGGGGTTTATAAGAGCATGGAAGGTGGTGATAATATGAAGGAGGGTGTCTTGAGTTTTGTCGAGAAGAGGAATGCTGTTTGGAAGAATAGTAAGCTGTAGACTCTCAGTGCGGGTGTTATTAGAAGAATGAACAGAGCACTTGATCTCCATACAGCTAATTGTTGCTAACTGCTCAGTCAGACCTTGAACTGCCACCAACGTCGATGGCTTGTTAGTGTCTCAGCTTCCAAATCATTATCAATTCGCCAATTCTCGGGCATGTTTGCGCATATCCGTCCAGGCCATCCTAGGGACGGCCCTCAATAGCGGCTCATAGCTTCCGCGATGGACTAATTCATTCTCCGATTGGCATGCGCTCAGACTTTCACCAAAAAGAACCAGGGATGTCGATCGACAGCAAAAATCTCTCGGGCAGCCACATCTCATAGATCATCACCCAAATCTCCCAAAGAAGGTTCTCAGCTCGACGCGGGCAATCTGTATGTCTCCAAAAACGAGATAGTGGTAAACGTAATTCACAGCTATCGGCAATTGATGACGATCCGCGAATTCTGGTTGGTGTGAGGTGCACCCCAGATGCAAGGATGACCTAGTGGAGTTGGCACGGTGAGGGCTCCATCTTGGTTCGAGGATGGTCGTCTTGTTGAGCTCCTCAAATGTCTTGGGCTGAATGCATAAGCCAGTCAGAGATAAGCGGCCCCTTTAGGAGGTATCGCCATGGTAGAGATCGCCGGGAGAGATCAAATCGTCAGCCTGGAAACACCCACTACCTGTTCGCTGGCGCCGCCATCCAAGACATTGAGCCACTGTCGTATCTTGTTCTTGTACCGCCGCAGGTAGTTGCGGGGATGCATACCGGAATTATTGTATTGTCTACCGCTTGGCTGATCTTTGACCGAAACATGGTTCAGTTCGATGAGATTTGAGACACTCCGGGCTAGTGGCCATGTCCAACATAAGAGGCTGCTCCCCAGCTGCACTCGGCTGCATTTGTGAACACCTTGTGCGATGTTACAAACCTCCGCTTGGTGTCACCGAGTGAGAGTGTGCTACAATGGACTACAGTCATCTCGCCCCGAATTCTCTGAACGAGTCTGTCAAAGGCCATCCTGAATCATCTCGGGATTTTCAGAGCAGACCTTCAACTCCGGGAATGGGACCTGACGCAGGTGTCGGATATGGGCGAAAGCCTCGGAAGCTTGTTCTCTGTTTCGATGGAACAGGGAACAAGTTCCATGGTGACGATAGTGACAGCAACATCCTCAAGATCTTTCGAATGCTTGACCGTGAAGCCGATGACCAATACCACTATTACCAACGTAAGTGACCCGTTCGTCGCAGTCACACTCAACTCACACAATTCAGCGGGCATTGGAACATATGTCGTCTCAGGATCACTAACTCATACCGGCATTCGGGCTCGCTTTGGCTCTTGGTATCAAAAAGCCAAAGACTCGGCCATTGGCTCTTCATTCGACCAGCATGTCGTAGGAGGCTATCGATTCCTTATGCGATTTTATAACCCCGGCGATGAGATTTATATGTTCGGTTTCAGTCGGGGAGCATATATTGCACGCTTCCTGGCCGAGATGCTCGATTACATCGGACTCTTGTCGCACGGCAATGAAGAAATGGTCAAGTTCGCTTGGAAGGCATTTGCTCAATGGCAAGGTCGTGAGCAAATTCCTGAAGACGAGGAAGATTGTGACAAGACACCGAGCAAAGAGACCGAGGCCGCAAAGAAGAAGAGAGACGAAATGTTTCAGTTCATGAAGGGTTTTCGAGAAACATTCTCTCGTCCAGTTGGTCGTATCCGTTTCCTTGGGCTGTTTGATACAGTCAATTCTGTTCCAAGATTTGAGACAGCTTGGATGCAACGCAGCAAGTTTCCGTACACCGCACGAAGCAGCGCCAGAGTAATTCGCCACGCCGTCAGCATCGACGAGAGACGAGCCAAGTTTCGTCAGGATCTCATGTATCAAGATCGACCCAAGCAGAAAGATGACCAAGGTCATCACTTTCACAAGGCAATCAATGACATCCGCGAGGAACTCAACGGACACGACGATCGAGGCAGAAAAGGCAACCATCTCTCTCCTAATGACAAGAGAGGTGGCCGAAAGAAGAAAGGCAGCGCATATGCGCCGTACCGAGCTCGCTCAAGATCGTGCAGAAGACCAAGCCAATGCGGAGATCCTGACAATTTCTCTAACCTCTCCGGTCTTGCACTCGATGAGATCAACAACATCGATGACGATGCCGCCCAAGACATTGACGAAGTTTGGTTCTCCGGTGGTCATGCAGACGTCGGTGGAGGCTGGGAAATGCTTGAAGGTAGCAAGAGTACCAGTCACATTCCGCTTGCATGGATCGTGAGAGAAGCTCAGAAAGCTGGTCTCACATTTGACGATGAGAAGGTCGTAGAGATGGGATGTTGCGCTGCTCACGACTGGCAAGAAGCCACAGGACGACCTCCAATTCCTGATCTTCGAGTCTCAAGCGGCAGTGGAGGTCCAGGTCGTGCACCTGATATCCCAATGGACGAAAAAGAAGACCATCCCAAGAACGATTTCCACAACGTCATGCACGGCGCCTGCACAGCTCGAATCCACGACTCCCTCGAATACGGTCAAGGTCTCGGTCCCTTCGCTGTAACAGCTTGGAAAATCATGGAGTACATGCCCTTCCGTAGAATGGATCTTCAGTCCGACGGATCATGGAAACCAATCCGCTGGCCCCTCCCTGGAGGTGAAGTTCGAGATGTACCTGATGCAGTTCGAGTCCACGGAAGTGTCATTCGTCGTATGAAGCATGATGAAAATTATCGGCCTGGAAATCTCATCATTGGCGGTGGTGGTAGGGGTGTTAGAAAGGCCTCTGCTCAGCACGGTATTGGTGATTGGGAGTGTGTAGCTGATCATGGTGATCCGGTTGGCGAGATCTGGGTGAGAAAGAAGAAAGATGAAAGATATCGAGATTAATCATGGTGATGAATGAAGAATCAGATAGTCAACTAATATTTTATTTGTCGACGTCCAAGTTGTTGAGGTGATCTTGAAGTTGATGCTCATGGCAAGTACAAGCGGATCACGTGAAGCTCCTGTAGAGGGCCACGACACCAAGTCTCCATCATGTTTAGCGCAGAAGATCCTCCAACATGCGCTGAACAACACCACATCAACTCATCGCCATGCCTCTCGTTCTCTTCCTGGGCATCCTCGAAAATGGCATCCCCGAACAAGTCCGCCAGCACAGCCGCACGATAATCTACACCATCCTGACCCTCACCCTCCTAACCCTCCTCAAAATCTGGACCTCTGGCCGCAAGAATCCCAGCCCGCGTCTCCTCCATGGCAAAGTCGTCATGATGACCGGCGGAACGTCCGGTATAGGCGCCCAAACGGCCCTCGGACTCGCATCGCAGGGCGCACAGCTGGTTCTGCTCACACAGGCGCCTCCGTCGGATCCGTTCCTCGTCGAGTATATCCAGGATCTGCGACAGAGGACGAATAACCAGATGATCTACACGGAACAAGTCGATTTGTCTGACTTTTACAGTATTCGAACGTTTGCGACGAAGTGGATTGATAATGCGCCGCCTCGACGGTTGGATATGATTATTCTGTGCGCTGCTGCCCTGACTCCCCCTGGTGGAAAGAGGAAGGAGTCGGAGGAGGGTATTGAGGAGACGTGGATGGTCAACTTTTTGGCTAATTTCCATTTACTCGGTATTCTAAGCCCGGCTCTTCGAGCGCAGCCTATCGATCGAGATGTTCGAGTTATTATTCCCACCTGCTCATCCTACATTGGATCACCATCCCTCAAGGAGCCTGTCTCAACGGCCAACTGGAGTCCCGGTACGGCATATGCTCGCAGCAAACTCGCCATGAACGTCTTTGGTCAAGCATTCCAGAAGCACCTCGATGCCTACGAACGACCCGACAAGGCTCCCAACAACACCCGAGTAGTCTTTGTGGACCCTGGTCTTGCCCGAACCCCCAGCACGCGTCGCTGGTTGACGCGTGGATCTCTCTGGGGACTTGCCATCTATCTCACTGGCTACTTGGTTCCCTGGTTCCTCCTCAAGTCTCCTCACATGGCCGCCCAATCTATCCTCTACACCGCCATGGACGGAGACTTTGCTCGAGGTCCTGGTGGAAAGCTCATCAAGGAGTGTATGGAGGTCGACTTTGCGCGCAAGGAAGTCAAGGATGAAGAAGTCGCCAAGAAGTTGTGGCAAGAGAGCGATGCTCTAATTGAAAAGGTCGAGAAGATCCAGGCCAAGAAGAGAGCTGCCAAAAAGGCTGCCGATGAGAAGAATGCCAAGGAAAAGACTGAAAAGGAAAAGGAGGCCGAGATCGAGGAGCTCGTCGATGCCATCAAGAAGGGCAAAGAGAAGCATAAAAAGGCTGCGGGAAAGAAGGGTAAAAAATAGTCAACGGTGTACATGAACATAGACATAGACGGAGTTTGGGTATTGGTCCGGCGGTATACGGGATGTAATATGTAACACAAATGAAATATCCAACGGGCATAATTTTATTGCCATCACCAACTCCGACGCTTCCCCTTATCCGTATCCGTACAAAACTACATAAAGCCATTCCTCGACGCTATTGTTGACGCTCACCGAGAAAGTCAAAAGGTCCGGTGAACAGCAAGCTTTCCATCCCTGGATCAACTTCGAGATCTGCCAATATGTTGGTCATCCACGTATCATCTGATTCACCTGTTATTTGAAGACTCGGCACCAAGCCAGGATCTTGAAAAGGCGATGGGGTGAGTCCAATATCTGCGGTGAACGGGTTTGATGGTGACGTCTCGGTAGATCCGAAAAGACTCCCGACTTCAGGCGATTCGACAGGACCACATCGCTCAAGATACCACCTTTCGATACGCCGGGCTCTTCTCGCAAGACCAAAGTATGGATCTGATTCACCGTCACCAGGGTTTGAGTTTGACGCTGATTCCATGCGGAGGACGATTTGACGAAGGGTGTGAGGCATGTCGAGAATACGTCGAAGATGGCCCGCAGTTTGTGCATTTTCGGGTTGTGCTGCTACAAGATCGAGTCGTACTGATAAGGAGACTGCACAGTATAGCATGATCCAGCCGATGTTGGGCATCGTGTCTTCGTCACCTTGTGGGAGAAGGAGGATCACGCTTATGAGGGACTTTGCAGCAGACATGCTTTGTGAGAGCCAGTCTAGAAGACGGCTTCGGTCTGCGCCCTGTTGAAGACTTTGAAAGCCATTTAGGCCGTATGAGACGCCATCCGGTGAAGGTTGGCAGATAAGCAGGTCAAGGACATGCAATTGCAGAAGAATTGTGGCTAGATGTGTCAGAAGCGATTCTTCCTTGGTGGGAACAAGCACTTACGACTCTCGCTGAGCGGAAACGGCAAGGATGATTTTGTCGACGTATATCGCTCTCTGATTCTATGTAGCTCAGCAGGCAGTTTATCCTGTCTTGACCCTCGAATGGCTCCTATGGCTTCAATCACTGCATCGTCGACCTCCTCGGTAAGCTTCTGAAGATAAATGATGTATGGAAGATGTCTGTCAGAAGGAGCAGTTCCCCTGGATAAGAGCTTGTGGCAGCATTCGAGGATAAATGGAGAGTATCGAAAGTGGTGCGATTTTTGTAGCAAGACAGCCGAACTATTGCCTGTTAGATATGGTTTGGAGGCTGTTGTACGACATACCTGGAAGAGAGATAATAAGTCCCGGCCAAAGCTCTCATCTCATCGTGCGTCATTTCACCAGACCCATGCTTACTCTCTCGATTCAAAGCCCATAGACTTGCAACTCTCGGCCGATCAAGTCTCATGTCTGAGATGATGCTTGCTGCAAGTGACAGATGCTGGGTGTACTTCATGGTTCCTTGATGAAAATGCGCCCTGAACCATTAGCGACGAACTGTGAAGAGACGTTTAACTCACCAAGCCAAATGCACTAACAGCCCTTGCAGCATATCCAGGCTTGCAAAGGGCCCTTTTATCATCCTGACAAGGACAATTTCGTTGAAGAGCTTGCCTAATTCTTGCTGAAGCTTGAGATCCTCATGTGAAGCTGCCGCGAGTATCGCGACACACAACGTTGGTTTGTCTTGAACCAACCCCTGAATAGTTACCGACTCTGCAACCACCACAAACGGAAAATGAGGCGACATGCGCATTCTGAAAGTATCAAGAAACTCTTGTCCCTTCTCAAATGGCAATAATCCCCTGGAGAACGGGTTGTGAGATGCTTCGGTATCAATGCTGGCTGGTGTCGTGGACACACCAGGTGAAGTATCCGTGACATTTGCTGAAGTCGCATTGGCCGAGGTCAAGGACGGTGACCTCGATCTTGTAGGACTCACAGCTTCAAGATTCCTTGACGGCCTGACCCAAGTTAGTAATTGCAAACCACAAAGTGCAAAATTCTCACCCAGGCCTCAAAGCCTTTCGTCGCCGAGATGGATTAAAGACACATGTCTTGTTCAAGCGCAAACACCTATCGCATTTTCCAGACTCCTGTGATTTCTCGCATCGAATCTTGGCATGAAAACACGTCTGGCACGTCTTGAGCAACGGAACATTTGGATCTGATCTCGAAGCCATTGTGAACACAGTTTGAACGGTTTGTTTTGATGCTAGCGTTGATGAAATTGAATCATTAAACTTCTCAACGGCGGGGAAAACGTCTCATTTAGATCCACGACTCATGGATCCTAGCTTATCCTTTTCATCGCATTGAAGTTACCTCAAAGGCGGATCTGATGATTTTCCTCTATTCACCGTGCCCGTAGGTCAAGAGATCACCACAGATTGAGTTGTTTTGGTTGAGAAGCGGACTTGAATCTTGAATGTGGCTGTGACACTGAAGCCAGAGATCGGACTCGGCTTTGGTTTCAGGGCACTTGCAGTGGAGTTTTCTGTGTCGGTGTGGCGATGCAGGTTCAGTTCAGCGCTATATCTCGACTTTGCAGGGTTGCATCGTCATCTCAAGAGGAACGGGCTGTGGCTGGGTTCTCGTGCCCAAGTCCGTGTCCGTTCCAACACGGCACTTGAATGAAAGGATTAATGACGGCTCGCACCGACGCGCTCGTTATTGGTTTCGCTTCTGGGACGGTTTTAAGAAGGTTATGCCAAACGGATTCAATCCAGGGACGAAGCCAAGCTTGTTTCTCCACATCAGCTAAAGCTTGTGTTTAAAGCAGCCTTGTAGGGCGGAATCAGACTTCAACGTTTCCCCGCCTGACAAAGCCATTGCCACCATCCTCGGTGACATTCAATTTGACTGGTGTAACCAGCGCCTGAAAATTGACAATCTCAGCCTGATTTCGATGGGGCCCTGAGATAAAAAGTGTCCGACAGGTAGCAATCTCGGCAATTGAAACGGAGTTCGGACAGTCCCAAACTCAGGATGAAGCTCTTGCTGGTTTAATCTCCTTTAGGGTCAGTGACTTGAGTGTCTGGAAGCTGACTTAAGAAATTATTGAACGGATCCTGTTGAGGTTTATGATGACGATGCAAAAATTGGTCTTCCCACAACTTCCAAATGGTTGCGGACGCAATTTCCCAAACATTGCACCACCATCACGGCCACATTGGTTCACTGGCCGTGTCTTCCCTTCGTTCGCTTTCAACTTGCATTTCTTAACATCAATGATTAATTTCAAGTACCTCATTTGAGTTTGAGCATTACATCTACACTTCCCACCTAATTATAAACGATTTACGCAACAACTGTTGCACAAAGTGAAAGCCCTGTCTGCACTGCCCAAATCTCCAGCATCAACTCAAGATACGTTGTTTGTGTAAGTGTCCAGAGCCTGGTCTTCTCAACCTCTCCAATCATCGATCCGAAATATCGAGATCATCAACCCGACGTCGACGCTGCTGACAAATTCGACCTGAAAGATTACACATATTTTCGATCACCCCATCAATCACGGTTACGCACAGGACCCAGAAAGGATGTTTCGGTCAGTATTTGATCAGAATCACACAGATTTGGTGTATACTGCCCGGGAATTAACTGGTGATTGATTCACAGTTTCTTCGACAGTTATCGGGTCATCCTTGAGGCAGTTGCTCATAGCCGCTTTGTGATGAAACATTGACAACGGCACTGTTAAACACTAAAAGCGATACAAAGACATTGCAGGCCCTTCGCATCTTATGTTTCTTCCACTTCTCGTCTTTCATGGTGCGAATTAAGGCTCAGACGAAGAAGAGTCACATCAGGCTGCACCTCGCTGCATGTTGGCTTCGCAATCACCTGCATGACCAAAATGTGAGCCATCGCCCCAAGACCGGTAGGCTATCAGCCAACAGCGTCCATCATTTCAACCACCCTTGCCGCTTGTGCCTCTCTTGGCACATTTTCAGCTGCAGTATGGCGTACAGCAGTCATACTTCGAACTTGATAGGCAATTGATCCGAGAGCCTGATCCCCTAAGCCCAGCCCGTTGCGCTGTCCAGCGAGGATCTACCAATCGCCCTCTAATACTCCGAGCAAGCCCCGCGTTATCTTGAGCCGCAGCCATCGGGAGAGCGAATATCTAGCAACCTGCCCGACATGCCTGGCGCAGTCCCCAACCATCCTCAAGGCAGACTGTCTTCAGGCGACAAAAACGCCCAAGGCGACCTTGCGCGATACAGAACTGAGAAAACAAAGACTCCGTCACCAGAATCTAACCGCATTGCACAATCACCAATCATTTGGTTGCCACCATGAAGCACAACTCTATTGTGGCATACAAGGTGCGGCTAGAGGATGTACGAAAGCACCTTCGGGCCAAGTTCAATGACCAGAGCATTGAGGTCGAGGTGCGTAGGTCGGGTCACTGGGAGTGGCAGTGCTTTCGTGAACCAGAAGCTGATCCGTGGCTCCAGCATATAGGGACCGAGTTTGTGTTCTATCTTCCAAGGACCTTGACTGAAGTGGGTTGTCTTCTTGCATTTGTATATCTTGTGATGTCTCTAACCCAGCAGCTGACATCTGGACCAGGCTGAGAAAGACGAAATCTATGATCTAGCGCCATGAACCACGCAATGGCTACAATACATTCCTGATATATCTTTTCGCAATACCCAATGTGAATCCCTGCCTTTTTTTTCCTTCTAGTTATTTACGCATATGAGCAATACTGAGTGTTCAGTTCGGGTTACATGAGGGCTGTTGTATACGCCTTCGAGCTCAGCCACTTTACATGTCAGTACCCTACCTGGCCTCATACCCATTGTCTATCTCTACCATCTTCATTCACACCATCAACAAACATCACTGCCAATCCCCTTTTGAGCACAACCAATATCAGGCAGTTTTCATCAAATTTTGCCGTTACATATGATCTAGGCTATGCGATTCTTTGATCCCTGCTTTGTGGAATTGGAATTCTCTTCAAGGAAATAAAATAGCTTGGTCCCGAGTAATCTACAAAGCCATCAAGCACTAGCTCATTATCAAATTGCCATATACTATCATGTCCTCCCAAAATAGTATCACTACTGTGGAGCTGTCCGAACCGGAACTTTACTTCGACAGGATATGCGATGCCTCTCACAACTATCCTCAAACTGCTCCCAGCAGAAGGAGTACCAGAGCCCGGCAAGCAGTAGCTACTACTTGGAATAGAGAAGCGGCTCGAATTTTTCACCCAAGACCTGAAAATGCTTGTCTCAAGATCTTCGAAACGTGCGATTGCATGACTCAATGCAACTGTCAATCACTCTCGGGTGATATCAAGACCATGGAAGATTTATTACTTCGCTTACAGCCAAATAAGAAAGTCCCAAAGATGAGATACGTGTAAGTGCGTTGGTCTGTACTTGGGCACCGGATCTAACAAATTCAGGTCTCTCCAGTCCAAATCTTCCAAAGATCAAGTCAGATGTCCAGTTAAGATGTTCAAATATCTCTGCACATATCAACAAATCCCACCTTCGTTTCTAAGCTGTCTCTACTCTTTCCGGCGATCGCACTCTGCTCAGGAATGGTGCAATCTTCCTCAATTCAATGACGACAATACTTTGCTCTCGCCTGAGGATGATATCCTCCCTCTCGACCGAATGGGTCTCTCGGGACGCGAAATTAGGTATTCGTTTGTCTTGAGATCCGTCGAGAGTTCCACCTCCGTCCCGAACAGATCTTGGGGAGTCCGACAACTCGCAGTATATCATTCCTTTGACATTAAAAACGGACAGTCGTTTTGGGTGACCTGCAAGGGCAACTCACTGAACGAGGAACTGTTCCAAGAGGCTTTGGCTGAGAATAAATGTCTCCGATCAAGCGTTCTAGAATCTGTTCCACAGGCGTTTTCGTCTTCGCTTGAGGTTCTCACTATGCTGATTGATTGGTGCGATGATGATTGGATATTCTACATCAACGAACTCTTTGATGCAATTAAACCACTTGTGGACAAAGCGAGAACGCCTGCCATCAAAGACGAGTCGGCACTTACTAAAGACGTCAAAATCATAACAGGGTTGGCTGGGTCTCCCTCGAAAAGGCTCTCGCATATGACGAGTCTCGAATCTGGGACGAGCCGCAGTCAAAGCGATGAAAAAGAGGATCCGTGGGGTGATCTCAATGACCGAGTCAAAAGACTCGAGAGGCTTGAAGTGTTTTCTTTTGACGAGCTACAGAAACTGCAACAAGGCTTGGAGACGATTCAAGAAGCGCTCCTGGTTCTCAAGCTGAACAGCCAAGTTATCAGACAGATCCGCGAGCACTACCAGTGCCTCATGACTCAGTATCGGCTCCCCGCTTTGAAAGAGATCAAGAAGGGTTGTGAGGACTCGTTTCTTCAATATTGTCGGCAATCTCGAAATATCGAGGCCAATATCGACGCTCATCAGGCGCAGCTCAATGCGCTGCTATTGCTCGTCAAGGAGAGCAAAGAAATGGTAATTCACTCTTCAACACTGAGAGATTCAGGACTGACTTCCTTAGTACAATACCATTCTCCAATACAAAACCATTCAGATCAACAAGATCTACGCAGAGAGCGCTCACTTATCGACTCGGAATATGGAGAATATCGCCAACAAGACCAAGCGAGAGACGAGCTCAATGCATATCATCACTTTTGTGACTCTGATTTTCCTCCCTGGAACATTCATGGCTGTACGTCACTGTCTCCTTGGACATCTTGCAACAACTAATTATATTTGCAGTCTTTCTTTCAGAGCGGCATTCTTGAATGGCCTCAAGTGAACGCAAAGGCGCCATGGAGACTGAACAAGGAGATATTTTCTCTATTTTTTGGCCTTTCCGCTACCATCACGATCGTGACCATTGTTGTTTGGATGATTATTCTTTTCATGCTGCGCAGGCCGCATAGCGAAAGAGTCAAATACGCATCTTAGAGTAACAAAACACAATCTAGGATGCTGATTCCATCTCATTTCCCGCTATTTTGTTCCTATCTGTACCTTTTATAGACAATAGATTTTTTGACACAAGTCATGAGCTCGTGAATAACATGTATCTCAGCGATTATTACACAAAGCAGGATATGCCTGGTGATGTCAAGTCATGTCCATTTGTGGGATCATATGTTAGGCTGCAGCCTAGTTCCCCGCGCCGATGTGCCTGTCACACCATCTCTCTTCTCTCACTCTTGTGTGAGGCTCTGCCGTCTGGTCTCGAACAAGCCTCCTCATGATGAACTATATCCACCATGTTCCATCTCAGCCACTTTCAAGGTACAGATCCTCGGATTAGAGATCCAAATCATACGAGAAGGCAGACAAAGAGTGGCTTCGCTTTTTAAGGCATCTTCAACACAGCCTACTTCGCCAGATAGTGGTGGGCATGATACAATGTTGCAGAGGAGAGAGCCTTGCTGCATATGCACACCCTTCCTAACTAATCTGGAAAGTTGATGACCCGAATTGGCATGAACTGAAAGTGCCTCGTTGGAGAAGATCGCACATGCCTTTTATGCGAACCACTTTCCCGCGACCTTAAATAATTTACCGGAAAAGACTTCCACCACTTTTACCTTCCAACATCATCACCAATATTCTCCTCTTCTGCATATCTAAATTGTACGCAATTGGACCAGAAAGATTGCTGGTTTCACTTTCACACCGGACTCTTGTGGTCCTCATTGAATAGCCGCCATGTTCAATCCTAGAAAGCGCCCGCGCGATGAGCGCAATGAGGAGTTTATACGATATGTTCGGCAGGAATCGCAACCGGGACTTGACGGGAACGACATTGTGACCAGGTTTATTAGCCCTGCTGTCACGGCCAGATGGTGGAGGAAAAGTGGCCAGCAAAGATTATCTCGAGCGATCGATCGCAACATCCACGCTCTTCCCACGACGATTGAGAATGGCTACTTGAACATCTTCTCCATTTTGGTGTACATCGGGAGGACATACCTCATCAACAACTTCACTTCCAATGGTTATCAGGACCAGCGACTACCTTTACTCAATGCGCAATGTTTCGGCGATGATCCTGCACTTGTCGACGACATGAAGGAGTTTTGCGAGAACCAATGGATGTTCTGCCCTCTGATATTCTCGAGACACACCCCCATGGATAAGCGATACATCGATCCTCGGCAAATATTACCTATCAAAACAACTTTCACGATAACAACTGATTCGAACCACTCCAAATCAATTATTAAAGTTGTGAACTTGTACCCTGAATGCTTCGATCACGAATGGAGTTCAACGGTAAATTTCCTCTTCCGCATCTCCCATTCCAACTAACATGAGTAGGGTACTGTCGTCTTTAAAGAATACCGCACACGAGAACGAGAGAGTTTGCGAGATGCATGGATCAAGGAATACAACGCATTCGCCGCGATCGAGTCTTGCGATTACATTGTTAAATATCTTGGTTCGTTTGAACAGAACAATCGCTGTTTCATGATCCTGGAGCATGCGAGTGAAGGCAGCCTTCTCGAATTATTCAAGCGCAACGAAAGACCAGCCACGGAAGAAGAGCGGCGGTATTTCTTATACGGCTTGATGGGTCTCACCAAAGCCATCGACAAGATACAAAACCTTGGAGGCGGCCCTAGGAATCAACGAACAGGATTGTACGTGACACTCCCAATTTTCTTGGTTGTTACTAATGTCGTAGTGCTCACCGGGATATCAAACCTGCCAACATCTTGGTATTCCCTGGTCAAGATGGACGGTACTCGGATGGCTTCCAAATGAAGCTTGCCGATTTCGACACTGCGACACCCAATCGACCAATAGATGAGGATGAATCCAGTTTCCAGGATAATGACGGAAACAGGACATATTGTAACTACTCTCCTCTCACATTATTGGACTACGTTAACAAATTACAACAGGCTCTCCCGAAGCAACCAGGTTTTACAGAGACCAGGAGAAGGGCTTTATGCAGGTTCCAGTAGCCTCCGATGTTTGGTCTCTTGGATGTGTCATCAGCGAAGCAATTGTCTGGGTTGCTGGCGGTACGGCTGCCCTTGATGAAGCTGCCAACGATCGCAGAAGAGAGATCCTGACACACTGGCCATTTCTTGCCGATGGTAGCTTTGGCGAATGTTTCCATAACAGTTCCACAGCGCTTACTTGTGTTGTGAAATCACATTCAGCTGCGCTCGGTGCGCTACAAGGTCCCATTTTCCTATCACGAAATGTCTGCAGTCTCGTCGAGCGTTGGATGCTTGTGCCATATCGGGAAAGACAATACCCCAACCTTATCTGGAAGGCCTTTGAGGAACAATACCGGGAGCTCTTTCACCCTGCCCCCCCTTCAGGGCATTATAGCGCGCCTCCCTTACCTCAACCCGGCTTCCACCACACCATGATGCTCACTCAGTCGCCAGTGAATATAGCCTCTTCTGTTTTTCAGCCCGATCAAACTCCTCATCAACGGCCATTCTCCCATCCAGGACCTTCGAGGCAGGTCGGTATGGCCACGAATCACCCCAACATGCACCAGCGAGGCCCTCTTGGTATCAATACCCGAATGCCTTCAAATAACGGAACACCAATTAGTCGACACATATCAACTCAATGGAGCCACAGTGATGTTCAAGCTGTAGCTGAGTTGGAAGATAAATCTTCCCCTGTGTCAGCGGTATCGGCCAATGTGTTCAACCTTGGGCATTCGTTGGGTTCTCCAAAGCATCCTGGCATCTCATTCTCTACTCAAGATAGTCATCACAATTCGGTTCCTGATGCCAATAGCCCGGCCAAGACCTCCGTTGACATTCACAGACTCACTCCTCAGAAACAACAGAACGGAGCGGGCATGTATGGGGACCTTACTATTGGCGATGTTGTCATTCACCGCAGCAACAATGGTAAGCGAGAAGCATTGGAGGGTTACGAACAGTTCTGCAATCGAATGGGGCGCCGACGTTTCGTCTTTATAATAGACGATTCTGTGACGATGCGCAACAGGGAGCGCGAGGTTCTCAGAGCGATGGAAGTTTTGGTATGGCTCGTCAGAAAAATTGATCAAAATGGTCCAGAAATCCGCTTCGCCTCAAAACCAGACATAAAATACCCCATAGAACGTCGGCCTCGATTTCTCCTGAAAATGGACAAGTTCATCAATCCAGTACGGAAATGGTTCCGTGGTAACGATGCAGAAACCTTCTGCAATATGAAGCACTCTTTCAACCGGATATTCGCAGATGCTAATATGGTGGATCCCAAAAGACCAACAAGCGTTATCATATTGACAGATGGAATATGGGAGGGTGGCGGTCCTATAGAAGAAAAAGGTGTAGAAGCCTGTATAACGAATGTGATCAAGCGAATGGAAGAGAAAGGCCTTGGTGACACCGCTTTTACCTTTCAGTTTCTGAGCTTTGGTAATGATCCAGATGGTCTTCGCCGACTCATCTATCTGGACGACCATGCCCTCTACGGAGGGGACGAGCATAACAGGATGTAAGTTCTCTTTATGGTGGGAAAGTTCGAGGCTGACTGTTGTAGTGATATCGTTGACCACAAGAGCTCTGAATCAAATGTATGGGCAATACTCACAGGGTCGGTGAGTCCAGGTAACGACGAGGCTTCGGCGGGTCCATCAACGGGGAGGCCGTCTTTTTCTCAGGGAGAATGAGCGATGATTTAGGCGTTATTCGGTTTTGGAGTAGCTGGAGTTATATGATGAACATTTACGGGGGGGCATTTAGACTTGACTTATATCTTAATACCCATATACTGCATTTTATCTTTTATACATGGCTTTTATGTTCGATGCTGTTGATCTGGTTTCTACTCCGTACGCTCAATATGGTTGAATGAGAGACGAAACAAGCTATACTTTTACAGTTCTAGCGCACTCTCGTGTTTCCCTTCCTGGCTTTTAGACAGTCTGGGATTGGATGGTGCCGTTAGCTCAGTGACCTTCGCTTGGTTGGCGGAGTGTTACCCTATGCCTTGGGTGATCAACACTTTGGCGAAGGGATTGCATGCGTATAATGATTCAAGAGAGCGGTGAGAAAGCTAAGGCTAGTCACTGGTATCTGGTTTTAATCTTACAAAACAATTTTGGACATTATGTGGTTGTTGTTCGATGGATACTGACTCACATTATGCTAAATGATTCGAGAACTTCAAGAATTGACCATCATAGAAGTCGAAAAGAACAGGACCAAAGGTTTAATTTGATGCTAGATATCACTAGAAGGGCCTTCCTAGAGCATACAGAGAGTAATGTCCTGGTTGAGCATTTGTTTAAGACTTCATATACAAGATTTTGTGATGAGGTTAGACGAACTGGTGAGTAAACTTGTCTCAGCTGAACAAAATTTCGAAGCCTTCCACGAATCTCTACTGTGTCAAATGATGTATAAGAAATAAACACTCAGTGAGTGTGTAATGAACCAAAGAAGTGTTTAAAAAGACCGATTGATAGGCTAATTTCATGAGTAAGTTGCGTGGAATGCATAAATACTGTCTGACTGGCGATAAGGAGTGATGTTGGTGTGAGCTGTCCCCCTCGATAGCTTCACCAGTAGTATAGCCTGGAAATTTCCCGCTATATTGTCTGCGAATTATCGTAGAGGTGTAACGTCGAACGTTGTGTTTCATCTGATTGGATGTGATCTTAGAGTCATCAGGCTGTTATGTTACAGTATAGCCTTGGTGCTTTAAGTGGCTTTGGGGCAAGGCCCAGTCTTTGTCAACGAGAATGTGGTCGTACACGGACATCACCAAGAGAGTGAGCCTTTAGATACAGTCATAGTGTTCGAATTTTATTTGAGATCTTGCGTTCTCGGTGTCCTATCCAACCGCTCAGTGTTGCTACAATATTATATGCTAAACTAATACATCTGCCCCTGGCATCATCCAGGATCTGTGCGGCATTGACCAAAATTCATGGCGCCATAACCAAAAATTGATATGTAAACTGCAATTGAAGGCACAAAATATACGTAACAGTGTTGTCAATCGAGGTCTATTTATGGACATGCTCAAGATATCTGATGTTGGCTGGTACAAGATACGGCAGATTAGATGAGATCCCATGATTTCATGCACGCGGTATTCCGAAGCTCTTACCAAACCTCACAGTGACTTGGTGCATTAAATTCGTAGTACTCAAAATCAAGTAAAAATACTATTATGACTTCAACTTTCAAAAAGACTACAGCAATTGGAAGACAAGCCAAGACGTTTCATCCTCTGACCTTATCCGGGGGCGGGCGCTAAGCCCCAAAGACCCAAGCGCCAAAAGCTAAGCTACCTTCCATCACCTCCCCTCCACTCCAACTTTCAAACCTCCATCATCACCAACAACAACCTCCAATCATGGCCTCCTACATCGACACCTCCCTCTCGGAGGTCCAGCCCGCCCCCGAACTCCTCGGCGAAGTCAAGAAGCCCAAGAAGAAAAAGGTGCTCCTCATGGGAAAGTCCGGCTCCGGCAAGTCAAGCATGAGGAGTATTATCTTTAGCAACTACATCGCCCGCGATACACGAAGACTGTAAGTCCCCCGTTGCCTAGGTATGGGGGTTGAAGCTGATTATGTAGGGGCGCAACTATCGATATCGATCTTTCGCACGTCAAGTTCCTCGGAAACCTCACCCTCAACCTCTGGGACTGCGGTGGTCAAGAGGCCTTTATGGAGAACTATCTCTCGCAACAGCGCGTCCACGTCTTTTCCAACGTCGGCGTGCTAATCTACGTCTTCGACATTGAATCCCGCGACGTCGACCGCGACTTGGCAACCTACGTCTCCATCCTCTCCGCGCTCCTGCAATACTCCCCCGCCGCAAAGATCTACATCCTCATTCACAAGATGGATCTCGTTGTCCCTACGGCACGTGAGTCAGTTTACGATGAGCGCATTCGGGTTGTGCGACAGAAGACCTTCGAGTATGCGAATTCAGTCGGTATTGCTGCGTCGTCGATTGAGCTCACGCCGTTTGCGACGTCGATTTGGGATCAGAGCTTGTATAAAGCGTGGGCGTCGATTATTCATGACCTTGTGCCTAACCTCTCGGTGATTGAGCGAAATCTCGCAAACCTGGGTCTCGCCATCGAAGCTGAAGAATTGCTGCTGTTCGAGCGCACATCGTTCCTTGCCGTATCATCCTGGACTTCGTCTGAAGGACAACGAAACCCGACTGAGGATCGACTAGAGCGCATGTCAAACATCATGAAGCATTTCAAGCAGAGTATTTCGCGCTTCACCGGTACGCCGCGCAACGCCGAGCAGTTCATTCGAATGGAGCACAAGGCCGGCAATCGATTTAGTCTGTTCATTCTCAAGTTCACGACAAACACGTATCTCATGGTTGTTCTTCCACCCGGAGAAGCTCGGTTCAACGCTGCCATGCTCAATTGTCAGATCGCCATTGAGCACTTCAGATTTCTGGATGGTCCCGCAACTCCAGCTCCCAACACCACCACTGCTGCCGCCTAAACTGATAAGACCACATAGATCGGAGTTATCACGGCGTATGGCTTGTTATTTGGCGTTAGGTGTTGAGATACCACTCTAGGTGATATTTTTGAGTATCAGTTACAGACATGCATACAAGACTCATTTACAAGTCATTTCGCATTTTAGCTATCCGTGATTCTATCCATGACCTCTATAAGTCAATGCTAGCATCTGAATTTGTTGGCCAGTCCGTAAATCAACCTCAACGCCGATTTTTCCATATCTAAGTCCACTTGACAACGGCAGTACCACCCTTCTTGAATTCGGGCATCTCACCAAGAACCATGCTGCGATCGGTATGGTCCTTGTTGGGGAATGTTGTGGAAAGAACCCATGATCTGGATCGTGTGTCTGGTGATGCTCCCTGTACGAAACCGTAGACATCGTCGATAGTGTGGGTGGTGTTGAAACGAGCAGGTAGACGTGTACCATCGGGCATCTGGATTCGGATCATGATTGTGGGCTGAGCATCATCGACAGTTGGAGCATTGGATGACGACGGAGCGGCGGAAGAAGCGGCAGGGGCAGGGGAAGAGCTTGAGCCCTCAACACCAGGGACAACAGCTCCAAGTCGCTGACCAGAGCCACCGAAAGGTCTGTACTTCTTGGGTTGTGGCTGGTATGGTGTGTCGTGCTGGTGAAGCTTGACATCGATGGGTTGGTCATGCTGCACATTCATGAGGTGAAGAGGTGCGCGACCAGCTCGGATCAGGGCGAGGTCAGCTTGGTTTGCGGGGTCGTCAAATCGGCGAAGGTCACCGTCATCGATGCTGAAACCATCTTGCCAGATGTGAAGAACTCGTTCTTGAGGTTCGGCGTTTGAAGAGCGAGCTGGGCCGAGAGGATCAGGAATGCTGCGGCTCTCGACACCATCTCCGCCGAGTGTCTGTCCAGTTCCCCGGAAGCGACTGGGCTCAGAAGGGCCAGCCTCATTCTCGGCTTCGGGGCGTTGAGCGTTGCTAAACTGTCAGCTAAATTCACCTTCAAATGCTCAGTGACTTACGCTCGTGCCTTGGCGAGAATGTCACTGATGATCTTCTTGGGACCGCCCTCCTGGTGCGGATCTTGAACAGCCAATCCAGACTTCTCACCACCGGCAAATAGGTTTCCTCGTCCATCATCGTCTTCGCCGTCGAAATCGTCATCATCGTCATCACCATGATCGTGTTGGTGGGATGAGCTACCGAGAGATCCTAGAGTAGCAACCCCCCTCTTCTTCTGTTGTGATGCGGCAGGTTTGCGAGTCGGTTGGCTGCTGCGGGCAGCCTCTGGAGCTGGTCGGCCGTCGAGGGTTCGAGGACCCGTGTAGTTGTCAGGAGCGGCAGCGGGAGCTGTGGATGTGTCGCGGTTATCATCTTCGGCATCACGGAACCAAGCATTGCTGGCCTCGGCGAGATCCCAGTTGTGGGCTTCAAGATACTGTCTGGCCTTGGGCGCGTTAGCTGGAATGTTCGGTGCGAATCAGAGAAATTCGAACCTCTTCAGGGCTTGCGCCGCTCAGGCCTGCAAACTCCACGATCTGGGCTTCGTGGTCTGCCATGTTGACGATTGAAGGCGGGGTAGTAGAGATGTGTGTTGATCAAGTTTTCAGAAGTCGCAGATTTATGAGGAGCTTTGGTAAATTTAGAGGGGATTGAGTCAAGATAAAAAGACACGTCAATCCCAAAGTGCGTTTGTTGATGAATGAAGGTTCTAGCAACAGGCAGGCAGCTTGCTCGTCACCTCGAAGCAAAGGAAGCTCTGGGTTGGTGGCGGTGGACTCCTTCACCCCACCTTCCTTGACTGGGCCATGACACAAGTGGGGACCCGCACTCACCACTTCAACGGAAGTCAGGTCCATCTCTGCCCCGTCCTGCAGCCTTAGTAAGGATCTGGGGGAAGCAAGCGCGACGGTCGAGAAGCCGAGATCGTCAACAACCTCTTCAGAAGCTAGCTCAAGCCGACAACGACCAACAATCGAGCTTCAAACCATTTAATCCTTTAGTTTTATCCGAACGAGCGCTCACATCTCGAAGCCTGCCATGTCCGACGAACACAACCACCTCGCCGAGTCCGGCGTGACATTGCACTCCGACAGCGAACTATACTCTGCAGGCGATGATCTCTCTTCACCTCCATCGTCAAACTCACCCGTCATCCTCTACAAGCCCCCAACAGTGTGGTCGTTGATACGAGGAGCTGCTATCAACCTCCTACTACCTTTTGTCAACGGCATGATGCTTGGATTTGGAGAGCTCTTCGCTCATGAAGCTGCTTTTAGGCTGGGATGGGGAGGTACAAAGGTATGCCATACTGCGCAGTTATGCTCCAAGTTTATCAAGCCCTGCTAACAAATCCAGGTCTTCCCCCTCTCGCGAAGAAGAGTTCACCCTATCGGACCTGGTATCGAGCTTCGAGAAAAGTCATATGCTCCTCGCCCTTCGCTGGACGATTTTGCAAGCCTGGAGTAAACTGTCGGAAACCCTTCACCTTAAGGATTTTATCCATTACGCCCAAGACGCACTCATCGCTATGAATCATCTACGAAAGAGCAGGGACGGATGAATGCATATCATGTTAAATAATTTGAGATTATATATTAGACAGGAACATGGATTGTGGCGTTTCGTTGCACCGGTGGTTCAAAATGTAAAAATCACTCATTCGAACGCAGCGACGTCAATTACAACCACTCGAATCAATCTCGCAACTCTAATCCTCCCGAATCGACTCGTCACAGGCCGAGGCCTAATGACAAGGTCATTCGGAGATCATCGGCGACGGACTATCGCGAACCCGACATTTACCCGCCGGTCCCCGGAAAACCTCCAAAAAATTCCCAGCAACATCGCGCAACTTATTGTCCGACCCATCCCACTTCATCACCGCCGCAATGCTTCCTAGCCGAGGAATTGTGCGCTCTTTGCCTTCGGGCGCTTTCCAGAGGCCATGTGGCCATTCTGTGTGTTTCTCTCCGACCAATTAATAGACTACACTAACAATTGTAGATGTCAAGGACCCTGGGTAGAAAATTCGATGCTCGACAGTTCGGTACAGCGATGAAGAGCGCTCGCACACCTCTTACGGCTGGGACAAGAGTTGGTGTCAGGAACATTGCTGCGCCCATTGTTCTTGGAGGCATTGCTTCGTCAAGGCAACTCTCGCTCTGGGGTTATAACATCTATGGAAAGAAGAAGACAGAAGAGCCAGCTGTTGAAGCCGTCACAACGCCAGAAGCTCCCACTCCTCCCGAGACTATCAATCCTACACCCATCAACGAAGCTCCTACTCCTGCCGCAGATAAGTTCGCAGATGTGACACAGTCTGCCGAACCATCTTCCGTTCTGCCCTCCGAATTCGACCTCGAAAGCATTGCCGACCTTGCCAACCCCAGCATTCTCACCATGCCCGAGAACATTGGTTTCCTGAAGGAGATTGGCCTCGACTATGGCTGGGGTCCTACGTCAGTTATGCAATGGGTTCTCGAACACGTCCATGTGTATACCGGTCTTGGATGGGGTGGCTCCATTGTCGCAACTGCGCTCTTATTACGTGTCATCATGATCTATCCTCAACTTCGTAGTGTCAAGTTCAGTGCTGCTACGGCTAAGATGAAGGCGGATCCTCGAGCCAAGGAAAGTCTGGAGCTTATGAAGAAGGGTTATCAGACAGGTGATCGGGAGATGGTTCAAAAAGGACAGTTTATTGGTAACATGGTCCGAAAGGAATACGGCACCGAGGTCAAGAACATGTTCTGGGCTTTTGTACAGATTCCCTTCAGTTTTGGTCTCTTCCGAGTCATCAACGGCATGATTCACATCCCAGTTCCTTCTATGGAGAACGCTGGCTGGGCCTGGTTCACCGACCTTACGGCTGCCGATCCCTTTTACGCCCTGCCTCTTGCTGGTACCGTTCTCCTGGTCGGCACCTTAAAGGTAAGATTCCCGGCCTCTATATGAGATTCTATTTAACATCAATTTAGCTCAACTCTAAATACACACCCCCTGAGCAAAAGGCCATGATGAAGAACATGGTCTACGTCATGAGCGCAGTCACCCTATTCGCTACAAGCTTCCTCGGCGCTGGTGTCAACCTCATGATGGTTTCCACTGGAGCTGCCACCTTCGTCACAGCCGCCATTCTTAACAACGAGTCCGTCCGTCGGGCTCTCGATCTTCCCATCCCCAAGATCGAGGAGCCCGTCTACAAGCCTCCCCGCGTCACTCAGGCCAAGGGTATCGAGGGTCTTCGTGAGCGTCTCACCGACAACCTTGACAACATGAAGAAGAGCGTCTCCGACCAAGTCGGCAACATGACAAATCAGTACAGCGGTACTGCTGAGGAGCGAGCTGAGAAGGCGAGAAAGGAGCAGATTCAGAAGCTCGAGAACATGCGACGAAAGTTGGAGCGTGATGAGTTTGAGAAGAAGTACAAGCGATGAGCAATTGTATCACAAATAACTGTAAAATAAGGATAAACTTGTACACTGTTCAACTGGATCAGGCATTGTATAATAGGCATTGGAGGGGAGCGACATGATACCGCGGGGGCTTTTGCATGACTGGATATAAAAGTGTCTGCATGTATCTATCGATGTAATAGAAACACAACCTAACCATCCCAATTAATCTGTTTAAAGACAACTCAACTCAACTCAACTCAATAATTAAGCGGTAAACGCCTTTAACGACTTGACTTGACTTGACTTATGTCTCAATTATAAAACTAGGCAAACCCCCTGCCAAGGTTCCTTTTCCGCCCCGCAGCTCCCTTTTGCCCATTCCATTTCAATTCATCTGCTGTGTATTGTAATAAATAAAACCACCACCTTTTTGCCATTTTGCATACGGCAAAAGAAAACACATCTTCTGGTTTAATTGAATAAATGCTTTGAATGCTTTCGAAGAGAGGTTAAAAAAGAAACTGTAAGCTTCACGCTCTATTCCCCCCAAGTTTCCCGTAATGTTCATTTCAGTTAATACATCCAAGAAGGGCATATGTAATAAAACAGCGCCTCTTTTAGAATACGGTGCCGTCGCTCTCGATAAGGATCGGGGGCTCCTTGGTATTAGGTCTGTTGATCTCGGCAATCTCGCGGCCGCCCTGGAATGAGAGTTAGTACTGTTTTGTGGTTTCGGGGCATGTTGTTTGGTGGAATAAACTTACCCTCCAGCTACCAGCCTCTAGCAACTGCGCCAAAGTCAATTCATTTCCACCCAGCTCTGGCTTCAGTGCCTTGTTAACCTCGACGCACAGCATATCGAGGAAACCGACTGTGACACCTCTCCACTCAACGATGACATCGTCACTGGGCTCAAACATGGGTGCTACCTCGACGCCCTTTGCGCCTGTCCGTTGCACCCACTCATTGTAGTTCTGAAGACCCCTCTCCAAATCATCCTTCCTCAAGTTCAAGACACCCATATCGACGAAAAGACCACCGTTTCGGTACTCGGGCAGACCGGTGAGCAATTCTGTTCCGGCAAAGTGCATCTTGAGGAGTTGTTGCATCGGTTGCATGAGCGAATAGGTGAGCCATTGGGTGAGTTTGTGGAAAGGAAGGATAGACTCCCAAGCAGCGGCGTTTGAGCTGTTGGGGAAAGCGGAAACCTTGGGAGATGCGCCAGGTTGAGGCATAGCCTGGCAGGGCCAAGCGTCACCAAGGGAGACACCGTTGATCGCGGTTCGGTTTGCGGGCCAGATAGGAGCGAGGCCAGTCATTAGGACGTTCCACAGGACGGGCAGGGGAACGATAAGCATAGACGAAGCTTGTGTTGAGGGGTGGCCGAGGAGATGGTCTAAAAACGATTAGCTTTGTCGCGGGAGGCCGTTAAAGTTACATACCGATTAAGCATCCAGGGCGACCCTCAAAGCCCCAGAAATCGTCCTTAGCGGCTAAAGCTTCTCCAAGGCGGATCAGAAGATCGGTGCGACCCTGAATACCAGCCATTTCATTGCCAGGTTTTGATTGAAGACCAGCAGCGAGCTTCTCGACAGTGAGATTCTTGAGACCATCCTTGTCGACCTGGAATTTGTTGTTGGGGTTTCCAGAAAACAATCCCTGCCAATATTAGCATCTTGTAATGCGACAAAAAATCTGTACTCACAGTCTTGAACATCTCCAAGCTGGCAACTGCGATTCCCTCTGATCTTCTGTACACGCGGCCATTTTCATTACTCTTGTATTGCCAGGAAGTGCCAGCGCCCGCATCTAGAAGCACGCTGACTAGGAAAAGGTCGATCAAACGTCGGCATCGCTCTGTGTTATCCACATTGGTGGGCCAGGTGGAAAGAAGCTGGGCAATGCGATCTCGACCTCCGACAGCAAAGTGCTGGTATCTACCATGGCCAGGAATGCTGAGGAAGGGGGCATCATAGTCTCGCTGCAAGCTGTTAGCTAGAAATTTGGCGATTTTCGTAGTCACTCACCTTGATAATTCCTGTAACAAAAGTAACCACATCGGGAAACTTGCCCATATCCACATCGAAATGCTTCAACTCATTGCGCAGCGCCTTGTCAGTGACAATCTTGCTTCGCTCTCTCACAGCACCAAGACTTCGCAAGTAACCAGCAGGGTCGAGCTGGGGGTCCGGAGGTCGAGGGAGATCGATCTTTGGGAGTTTGACTGGAGACATTGGGCCACCGGGGGATGTGCTAGTAGCTGAAGTTCGATTGAGGGGGTTGCGGTTGGCGCCAGGAGCAGGAGATCTCAAGCTCGAAGAATGCGAGTTTACGCTCACATTGGATTGGGAGGTGTTGATGGCCTGGTCGCCTTTTGGCGTCTTGTCTTTACGAGAAAACAGGCCCATCTTGGCGGGCTTGTCGGAAATAACGGTTACGCAGCTGTTGTACAGAATCGAGGAAATTCGTGTTTGTTGTATGTAGAAACTGATCTGGGCTGATAGAAAGACCAGACGAGAAAGCTGAGGCTTCGGGGAGGTGGGGCCTCTTAGAGCGATGGACTGAACTGGACTGGGACTGGACTGGAGGGGAAGGGTCCGTGAGTGGGCGCGCAGTCAGAGGCGGACGGAAGAGGGTGAGAGAGGGACGAGCGTCTGTGGTGCGTCTGCGTCTTGGTCGTGGGTGCGTCGAGGATCGGAACGAAGCGAGAAATGATTCGACGGCTACAGCGCGGGATGCGCGGGCGTTGACCTCGTGTCTTTGATGCAAGGGAGCAAGCAATTGAGATCTGACAGGACCTGAATCAGCGTCTAACAAGTCTCTTTTCTGCAGAAGCAAAAAAAAACTATAAACGACAAAAACAGAAACGGTAGACAAGAGGGAAGGGGATGGGGGTAGGAAGACGGGGCACGGCGCTTTTGAGGAACCCAAAGACCCAAGAGCCAGAGCCAGAGCCAGCTAAAACTAACAAGCCAAAGTCGAGTGAAGTGAACTGACTGACTGACCAGGGAGGCCCAGGCATCTCGGAACAGATGAGCAGAGGCAGTCAAAGTGTATCCACACCGGTACAAGGACCCTACCAGTGTCGAGCGAGTGGGAGAAAAAGAGGCGTCAGGGGGGGACCCTCGACTCCTCTGCGGGGATTCGGGGGCTTGAAGGCTTGGAGCTAGACCCAACAGCGGCCCAAGCAATGAGCGACCTACGAGAGTTGGAGGTGACCGAGCGTCGTTCGGGGCCCCTGAGTCCGTCGGCGATCGCGCAGGGTACAAGGGATCCGCAGGGATGGTTAGAAGGATGCTCTGCCTAGCACTGCACCACAGTTAGTGGTCTCGCTGGTGGTTTTGGGGCTTTGCACTGGTGAAATTCGAGGGTTGCTGAGCTTGCTTAGGTCGTCTGCTCTGAACGGGTCTCACGAGTCAAAGGGTTTCTGGTGTATCTGTGATTTTTTGGCGGGGAATTGAACTTTGCGGATTGTTCGCCGAGCCGCAACTCTTGGACCTGGTCGTTGTTGATGATCTTGCTAGGTTCAAAACTGGGGAACGGTTATGAAGCGGCTCCGTTCATGTCGATTACCTTATGAATCGCGAAATGCTCTTGGCGACACGGTCAAGCATTTTATGATGCAATGGCGTATCTCGTAGAACGAGGCTGATTCGGGTTTGGCTTCAAGGTGAAGAAGAGGATAGTGTTCCGTAAAGAAGAACCCTTGCTGCAGCTGCAAAATGGATGGGATGGGATGTGCTGCTAACTGACAGCCTTGCTGGAATTGCCAAACTCAGCTAGGTAGGCAAACTAACTAAGCTATTGGAGACGGCTCGTCTTGATTGACGGCGAGCCAGAAGACGGAAATGAGATGGACGCAACGAGTCATGAAAGATTCATGACAGCCTGCTAAGCGCCTGGTACATTCGCATAACGTCGATGTTAGTGGGTGACGGACTGTCCAAGATCAAGCACTAACAAGGCGGACTTGAAGACAGAAATTGTTGAGGCCGAGCACAATTAATCGACAATGAGCCCATCACTGTAGGAATTGAAATCTCGAAATAACCGCCCGGAAGATGATCGGCACGAAGCGAGACAAGAAATAACGATAAAGTCGAATTGTAAAGTGAGACATTCTGGAATGTCAAATGTCCACCACAATCGCGCGTGCACTCAGACGAGATCAACTCCACAATGAACCGATAGAAGCAGCTAAAAAAGAAAAGAAAGGCTCAAGTGGCGGCAGGCAACCAATTCGGTATCGGGTCTGTCTGCATCGTATCCCTAGGCTAAAGCGTACTGGCGGTTTACGATAAACAACGCCAATCGGTCGGGACGTCAAACGAAAAGAGGAAAAGTGGCTTTTCTTCGAGAAAAAGAAATGACTGACTTGACAAGCGGCAGAAATCGTCGAATGAGACGAGTGTGCCAAGAGGAAAATGATTCGAAAATGCTGGAGAAAAAAGAGAGAAAAAGCAAAGAAAAAGCACACCTGTCAAATTTAGTGGTGATTCGATCTTGAGAATCGAAAGATGTCAAGGAAGGAACTACCTGACCCAACCAGACATGACTTTCTGGAACTGAGATGAGACATGAGGCAAACGAGATAGCGATTTCGTGTTTGCTTCATCAATCGATTCAATCATTACAAGCCTCTATTACTCCTTCTAAGGATACTCCTTCTACGCATATTCATCTTCTTTCGTTCCCCCACTTCAATCTCACAGCACATGGCAAGGGACGGAACCGCACGTGGCATCAGAGACAGCCACGGCCCGGAGAACTATTGAACTCTTGAACAAGACATATGCAATGTGATTGTGATACAATATCCTAAGATGCAGAATAAGTCAACTTCAGAGTTCAGTGGTGATAATGACTCGATCAATTGAGCAATTTATGACCTTTCACAACATCCTATTTGGGTATGCTAATGTTGCTAGATTTCCGAGTCAGCCTCAATCCTACCCACACAAAGTCACTCTCTACTGTCAAGCCCTGCGATTTTCTATGCAAGTCTCCCAGGCACAATCACACTGTCGCATTGAACCCTTGTTCTTCCCCGGTGCATGATCCCTGTAGGAATTCAGGTACGTTTTTGCACATATCTCTCGTCAACCATCTCTCCCTTCGTCCTATCTCACTATCGTCTACGTATTCATTGTTCGCACACTTTGCGCTGACTCGAGTACCATCAACACCTTCTCAATGATCCACTAGCTCTTGTCGATCCCGTCTTCGAGATGCAAGCCAGGATCTTTGTGCAGATTATCCGGTTCGCTGATCTACCAAAGCATTGACCACGCACCACGGCCCAGTGACAACCGCGCGTGTGTGGGCATTATTCGGTTTCCCAATAGCTTGCGGTCGGCCTGCCCTCTTTGGTCCCAAAAGGAACACCGGGGCTAGTCTTACGCTTGACAAGGGAGAGACAATTTACACTGGTAAATCACCCGGGACTAGTGAGCACAAGTCAGGGGTAAACCTACTGCCCCCTAGGAGCAAGAAAACTTGGTACCTCGATCCTAAGTGACAAAATAGGCCTTACAAGAAACCTCCTAACCTGAGAGTAACTTGCCTAAGATTATCATAATTTACCTAACTATTTTTGTCATTTAGGATCAAGGCCCCAAGTTTTTTGACCTCCCCTGGATTGGAATTGGATGCTCGTAACGGCTTCTTCTTTCCATCAAGCTTCTGCTGACTCTCCCCCATGAAATGGACTCCTCTGTCTATTGGTCGCCTGATGATAATAGCGTGGGCTTTTAAGAGTCTGTGCGAGCATGTCTTTTAATGTTGTGCATCGTCAATCCGCGCCTCACCCGCACGCACGAGCATGATGGTTTGTTAGTGACGTTACTTTCCACAGCACAACTTTATTTAAACAATATCAGAGTTTAAGCATGAATAATGAACAGAACTGCTTTCTCACGGCTTGTCAACTCTTCACAAGTTCACCCCGAAGTCTCGCATCATCGTCGATCTAATCGATGAGTATCCACAGCTTCGACCCGACAGGCAAAAGAACCTTTCCTCACAACAATCACAACAGAAAAAACAGAAGCTTGGTACCAAGAATGGCTTTGACCCTTGATATCATCGGGCCGGATCGTCTTCCCCCGGCGGACCCAAACCAAATTTGGTGCTTCACCGGGGGGTTATTCCGACTGCTCTTTTGATCCCAGTCGTTCTGTTCCTGGCTAAACGAAGCGGAACCAGTCAACCGCAGTCTAGAGAACAGCCAAGGTTGCAGCGAGATTAGGGGGGATGGAATTTTCGAATGGAAGCTCGGGAGAAGGGCTCACGAATGTGATGGCTCATGTGAAAAAGTGCCGCCTTCAACATTCCAGTCGACGGACAATATTAACGACCCGAGAAACTCTCAACGTCGAAGTTAACTTGTTCAGGAGATCTTTAAGCGATTGGGATACACGCTAATGAATTGGGTCGTGGTAATGCACTCAATCTTGCATATCCATTCCGCACCATTTTACGATTACCTCAATTCGGACGAAAGGGCGGCACAGGGTCTTGCTGAACTTGGCCGATATCTACAATGGCCGATATTACGGTACATCCCCAAACTACAGAGCCATATCTCAGTAGCATTTTGCGTTGTTTTTCATCACTGCTCATTTACCAGCTTTCACAAATCCCATGTCTCCCCAATAAAACCCCCCCTGCCACCGGGAATCTTCCCCGAACGCTCCCTCGGTTCCGTCATTTCATTTCAGTTCTCGTTAACAACGCCCTTTTTCCCATCCCACATGGCAACCTTTCCTCTTTACTCTCCAGTTGGTAAACTCTCATTCAGCCTTTACTGGATATTGACCATGTGCGTGGCGTCGGACTTTCTCTATTAGGTTCAACTAGGCTTGTCCTAGATACAAATCCGTGTCTGTGCCGTGCCCCGGACTCTGGACGGTTTTTGTCTTGCATGACTCTTGCGCTTTGATCTCCAGTTCACGCTGTGATGACCTGATCCTTATCCCACTGCCAGGACCATCTCTATGCCCGATTTGAGAACATGTCAAGGCTGGCTGAGACAAGAAGTCATCGAGATGATAGAGAAAACGGTGAGAGATACCGAAAAAATACATCTTTTTTTCAGGGTTCACGAGGCAGCAGTAAATCCCCTGTCACTACCACGTTTTACCACACTCCGGGGACTCTTTCACGCCGCAGAAGTGCATAAAATCCCATGCCAATCAACCCATTCCATGCATCCCCCAAAAAGAACCCATATCCGAATATCATCCAACACACACACCCATCCTCTGCACCATCTCCCACTTCCCATCCCTAGACCCAACGACTTTCTTCGAGAAGGACTCACCAGGGGCAATCCCGGACCGTTTCAGCCATGGCCAGAAACAGACCTTCCCTCCGAAGATCCCCTTCGCTTCGTTGACCAGAGAGCCGGTAACCTAGGCTGTTCTCGTCATTTAAACTTTCTCGCTTGGGTTTCAGAATACGGGTTTTGTCCTGACTAACGGAGGTTTTTTGGGGGGGTTTGCGACAGGAGAGCAACAAAAAACGGTAGCTGACTCGGTTGGGGATGGCGATTGATTGCCTGAAACGCACTTGGAATGACATGCTGGTGGTGATAGATAGATCGAAGCTTGTCTGTTTCCGGGTGAGATTGGGCTGAAACTGAGGTTCTCATGGTTGATGACAGTTCCGATAAGATTTAGTCTGGATGAACATGAATCGAGGACGATGGTTACGTCAACGACATAATAGGAGACCTCGCAAGTGTCAGGAACTGTCCAGTGCTTGCGCCTCGAGGACCAAGTTGGCAAAAGAATGCGAGCCTAAAGGGACTCAAGGCGTGGTGCCTGAACAGCATGAATGCTAAGCTTTGTCTCATCGGCAGCCACAAGCGTTGAGCTTTAACTAGCTCCTCGGAGGTGCCCATCAAGGGACACTCAACTGAACATGAATTCGAGCGGCGTCGATATCTGAAACTACCTACCTTTGAGTTTGTGTATTGATAAGTGCCAGTGGTCTCCCAGCCTTATTCATGCCTTACACTAGTTCAGCTGAGATGGCATAATAATAACGTCATGACATTTACAAGGCATTAACGTCCAGTTGTGGCATTCATATTAAGTTCACAAGTGATGAGTGTAACGTTTGCTCCGTCGGCAAGGGGTTGCGGATAGAACGATGTTGTGACTGTAGTTAACTGCCGAGTTGTTGCAACGAGCCATGTTTGACGTTGCGTTTAAGCTCATGGATTATCAAACGTGTTGCCGCGCGTATAAGTCATGTTACCTGACGATATGTCCATTGAACAGGGTCCAGGTGTGATTGAGAGAAGGGCACTTGTGGAAATAACTGTAATCGCAGACATCAACTCCAAGCTCCACTGGCAACGCTCAATTGTAACTTCACCATGCCAACCCCAGAACTAAAAACTGGAAGTGCCTTTCTCGATATGAGTCTTGTTCTAGATAACGAACGGTGCTGGAATAAGCTTGGCGGCTATCTCATTCCGCTAGCGTCCAGTCCTCGAGGCTTAGAAATACCCTGGAATATATCTCTTCACCTAACAAATGTAACAACTCTGAGATTGTAATAATGAAGGTCATATTTTCCGAGTTCATTGACAGCCAATATCCCAAGAGATGGATAGTCGACTGTTTTCTTGCTCTTCTCTCCCCAACTAGCCTGCTTGTGTGGCTTGTTCTGAGCATAATTGAAAGTCACTCCAGTCTTGGGTAGTTCTGAATTGCCTCATTATGGGATCACCAGCATTGAAACGCGCAATAATAAGAAAGAATTGGCCATGAAAGTACTTGGATGACTGGAGTTCAATGTGATTGATAGGCTATCTGTACACATTCTTTCCCATCGGGAAATCGGCTGCGTTCTGCGGCGCTTACTTGGGTGCCGCTTTCCAATTGACAAGGCGCAATCAGCACAGCCTGATTAGGCTGTCAAGAAGAGCATTCCCTAAACTTCACTTTTCATCTTCCACTTACCTCAATGATTCGAGCTTGAGAGCTCTCTTCACCATACAAACCAAACAGCAGTATTACATTGGGAAAAGTTTCGCCTTTCAAATCAATATTCCATCCCAATCTCTGCGATGGAGATTCTCGGAGCTATCGCGAGCTCTATCGCTCTGGCGCAAGCGGTCAAAGGGACACTCAAAGCTGTCGACTTTCTGCGACAAAACTCTGACATGAAGAGGGAATGTGATAAACTAAGGAAGGAAGTGAGTTGGCGGGATAAATGTGGTTATGAATTGTTCTAAAAATGACAGTTACTCATGATTGACTGCTTCATCATGCAAGCAAGGGAACAGACAGGCCAGATGGTGTCAGCACAACGACTTCTTGGGATCGCAGAACACCCACTAATCTCCTTAACGATACAAGAGCTTGAAGAGCTATTGGAAGAGCTTAATGAGATTGTGGAGAAGTACTCACGCTCCCGTAAGGCCCACGATCCGAAGCGATACACGGATAAGGTCAAATGGTTCTCCGAAGTAAGCAAGATTGAAGAGCTTCGAGAAAGAGCTCAGGCTGCTAAGTCTAATCTGCACATGGCAATTACCTTTCGGGTTTCTTCTATGGTAGATAGGGGAAATGTGCGACAAGAAGTGTGAGTTCTCGTTGTGTTGTGTTATGCCTGGGCTGACATATTGACAGTCTCTTTCACCGCGTGGCTCAACAGTTGACTTGCTATACGCAAGAGACTCACCGTATCTCTCAAACTTTACCCAGGCTACTCCAGGGACCCCAACCCGTGCCGCAAAGTTCAACCACAAGTCTACAACCCGGGACGCAAGGCACAACGATTCACAACAAGCCAGATCCGCCAGCAATGGAAGAGAACAGGCTTACTGAGACCTCAGAAGTCTTCTTGACAAATAATACCAATCAGACCGTTACCGTCATCAAAGAGGAGAGCTTCGTCAGTGTGTCATCCATCCAACCCCTCGGCACACGTTCATGTGGCTCGAGATGCCAATGTCGATGTCACCGAGGACGACGAGACCACACTGGTGCATGGGTAGTCTCCCTCTTCTCTTCGTGGCTCACTCGATATGAAAAAATCGATGCCAATTGCCAAAGCAGATGCAGGTGCAAGTCCAGCGTTGAGTTCGAATTTCGCCTTCCAAGTTGGCTGTGGGCAGGAGTCCTTTCGTTTCAGGCATCGAGAGGACCAAATATTACCTTCTCCTTACGTCAGTCAAGAGATCTTGGGTTTGACGAATACTTATGGAAGACAATATCTAGCCCATCTCTACTAGAAACCCGTATCAGAGAGGGGTTTGTATACTTTCCAGATGACACAGCTGGAAGTGCCTGGCCCTTGTTATTGGTAAGTAAAGTAGACGTACAATAGGGTGATAAGCTAGTTGACGAGGGCTCCAGGTAGCATTGCATAACCAAAATCCGGATTGCGTAGAAATTCTTCTCAAGTTGTGGGAAAATATATTGCCAAGTCAGGGGTTATCCAGGTTTGTCCCTTTACAACATGCATATGATGGTCACCGCTGATGCTGGACAGAGAAATGGGATACCGACTAATGCCATATTATACTAGAGATGCTGGGACTGCAATTAATACAGTGATAAACAAAATACTTTCTTTTGTGCAAGACTGGGAAGAGGTGAGCATAACCAAAGTTCACATAGCGGCAGCAGAAGGTGGATTGTTGGATGCATTACGGGAGCAACCCTGGGCCATTGACGAACTCGACGAAAACGGACACGCTCCAATTCACATTACGGTTGAGTATTACAACCTTTTGGGACTCGAGCAACTGATCGCGGCCAAGGCTGATATCAATCGACAAGATGTTGTGGGCAGGACCCCCCTCATGATGGCCGCTCGCAAAGGGAACGACACAATGGTCCAGAAGCTCTTGGGGTATTTTGAGTGCCGGAGACTTATTGGGTCAAAGGTAGATATTTCAGGGAGAACTGCGCTGCATTTTGCTGTCGAGTCAGGATCCTCAGCTTGTGTCAGGTTGTTACTTGAGGCTGGAGCCCCCGCATCAAAGCTGAATCGTTATGGTGAAATTCCGATGCAGCGCCTTGCATGGGGAAAGCAAGAAGACCAGGAAGAGATTTACGAGATAATTGAGCTTCTACGAGCTTGTGGAGCTGATATCGAATCGAAAGAATTACATGGTTGGACACCAGTATTGAGGGTATGTCGAAAAGGTAATGTCCCTGTCCTCGGGGCTCTTGTTAGGGCAGGCGCATCACTTTGTGCCATCGATTCAAAACAAGAAGGCATACTTCATCATACGGCTTATTCTCTAAACTTCGATATTGTCCATTACCTTGCAGAACAAGACCTTGAGGGTATCGACCCACAGCTTCGAGAAATCTCCCGTGGCGACACTCCTCTAGGCTGCTTAACATGGATCTTTAATGAGTACAAGTTGCCTGAAGTTACTATTCCCACTGAGGATCAACAAAAGGACTTCATAAAACTCTATTTCGACTTGCTAATACGCGATTTGGAGCGTCATATATCAACCCTCAGGGATGTTCAAGAAGCAATAGAAGATAGAGACTCAGGGGCCACAACAGAACTTCTTGATCTCCTTATCAAGAGGAATAAGGACGGTTTCCGGCAGGATCTTGTTGATTGGTATAGAGGCCTGCAATCTTATGTTTCAGATGGTCAGTGGGATAATTTGATGGAGGCAATATGCGAGGAACATGATGAGACTGTTGAGAAAGTTAAGAGGGCAGCCGTTGCAAGAGAAAAGACTATGACGGATCCTGAGATAAAGGAATTCTTTTAAGGGCGAACGTGGAGCAATTGGATAACTTATCGTCGTAATGGAAAGTAACGGAATCACAAGCTTGAAAGATTTGTGTAATGGATTGTTGTGTATTCCTTCCTCAGTCAGCTATCTGCAAATTATCTCTTCTCCGTGAGCTCCTCTGCCCTTGTCTGTTCATCGTCTCCCTGTCCATAAAGAACATTATCAGACAGATCCTCAATCTTCAAGAAACACTTTCGGCCCTTGATAACCCAGAATCCAAGTCCAATGACCAACATGACTCCAAATACAACAATAGCAAAGTTCATGTCCCCAACGGCTGGGTTTGGCGATCCAGGGAAAAAGAAGAATACAGTCGTGATGACAGTGTAGATGATGGAAATAATGTTGAGCGCTGGTCCAAATCTTCCAAGACCAAATTCTCCTCCCGAAGGTAACTTATCTCGACCAACGGCCATCAAGACAGCGATAGGGATAGCGTATGAGATTGTCAAAGCAATGGTGCTGACACTCAGAATGGCTGAAAGGGTGGTGCTTGAGAAGAAGTACAAAAATCCAAGGATGTTGATGAAAGCTCCTTGGAGAATCAGAGATCGTGCAGGGACTTGCCAATAGGGGTCGACGTAGGCGAAGTAATCTCCATATGGAAGACCTCGATCACGAGCAAAACTCCAGGTCAGTCTTGACGCTGAGGTCAAAATTGACACACCCTGACCAAATCCGTTAAATGTGAAGAGAGCGATCAATACCGCACCTCCCTTGAGACCAACGACATTCTGAACAACCTCGATGAAAGGAAATCCAGAGGGAGCATCCAGAGTCGTAGCAAGGTCTTGGATGCAAAACAAGCAAGCTACCAAGAAGATGAAGCCTGAAATGGCGCCCATAACAATAGCCAGAACCATTGTTCTCGGGGCATTACGTCGAGGCGCGGGGATTTCTTCAACCATATGAAGAACAGAATCGTATGCAGTCAGAGCATACGCAGACTGAACGAGTCCAAGAAACCAAACCACGCCATCAGCCCAGCCGGTTTCATTGATCCAAGTTCCAAAGACGAATTTCGGTGATTGATACTCGAGAGTTGAGTTCGTTCCAACTAGGATTGGGAGGGCGAGACAGAAGGCGATGAAGAGACCGACGAAACCAACGGCGACAAAGTTGTTGAACCAGGGGAGGAACTTTTCCGATCGGCAGCCGACGTAGTTTACAAACGTAAATAAGATGTTGATCCCAGTGTAGACCAGAAACATAACCCACCCATTATTCATCCCCGTCCACTCCGGGTCAAACATGAGTTTCATGGACAACACAAACTCCGCCATAAACGCAATCTGCGAAGCCGAAAGACACCACCACCCAACAACACTAATAAACGCCGTCAAATAACTCGCAAACCTGCCCCACGAGGTCTTCCAAAGCTTGCCCACCCAGAGCGCCTGGCCCAGCGCAGACGGCATGCTAGAGCACATTTCGCCCAGGGACATGGCGATACACACATTGCAGAGTGTGACGAGGACAAGGCCCCAGAGACAAGTTACAGGTCCACCGTTCTGGATACCTGTTGCGAGGGATTGTGCGCAGACGGCCCATGTGCCGAGAATGCAGAAGGCGAGGGATAGCATGCTCAGGGTGCTGAATTTGCGGGTGAGTGCCTGCTCGTGCCCGAGGGCTGCGAGGTCGAGAGCATCGCGTTCGGCCTGGTTCATTTGTGTTGCTTTCTCCATGGTACGCCAGAGCTTGAGTCGATGGTCGGATGAGTGTAGTAGAAGGGTGTGATCATTCTCTGGCAGTGAAGCAAAACAAGATATATAACAAGATGTATATCAAGTATGATATCGAAGTCGATATTGAATTGTTTGGTGATCTACTACGGGACATCGCCGTCTTATATATCCATCACTTATCTTTTACCCCAGACTCCCATGTTACACCAGCCCGTGCGCTAGTAAACCTCCGCATCGAACAACGTGCAAAGTATACACCCTTTTCAGTTTAGTGCAGGCGATTTGGAGGTTTCCGGGTGGGTTTCCAACTAGAGAATAGATCGCTTCCAGGGACTGTACGGGTGACTCGGCGGGTTGGTGCCTTATCTAACGGTCGAATTACCTCATGGGTGTTTGGAGGGTAGCTGATAAGGGTTGCGGGGGATGGAAGTTGTAGACATTTGGATCTAGAACGAGCCATTGGGGATTGTCATTGGTTGTTAATTTACGAAGAGCTTAGCTATCGCTTTAACATTCCTAAGAAGGTAATGGGGGACAGAAAAGGTAGGGGTTGTCAGCTGCAGAATGTAATGACTTACAACCTGTCACGGCATTGTGTTTTCTGACTCCTCCAAAATGGCTTGTGTAAATTCCTATTTCTAGGAAACGAGCGAGAACAGAAGCTTTCATCTAACTGTATGCGTTGTGAATTATTGAGAAACATTCGTAGAAAGAACAGTCTATTGAACTTTGCTTGAAGAGCTCTGTGTATAAAGATGAAGCTGTGTTCATTACCCCAGGTTCTACGCCCTCAAGCGTTCCAATTACTTACATGCATTGATTTACTTTACACCTTGTAACAAACACCATGGCTGACAGTCAGAATAACCGGGAGTCAAACACCGTAGTTGGAAAAGAACAGTACGAAGAAGCACGAAAGAACTGGCTCGACACAGCCAAAGCAGCTCAGCAGGCCAAAAACGAAGCCAAGCAAAAGTACAACGAAGCCGACCCCGGCACGCCCTACGTCGAATGGCTCTTGAGACAGGTACAACATCATTACAAACTGACGCAGGCCATCGCTAACCCCTGCTAATAGAGTCCCGCATTCACCAGGGCCTACCATGCATTCGGTAAAGCCCAAGCCAAGTTTGACGAGGTCTATCTCGAGTACGACAATGCAGCGGCGCAAGCATGGATCGATGCGAAGAATGCTGAGAAGAAGCGGCTGTGGAATAGGGATGAGGATGATACGCCGTTCCTGATCATTCTACCAGAGAATATTCCTCCGCCTCGCAAGACGGAAGAGGAACTTTGGTGGGAGGGCACAAGCAAATATGAATAGCATTTACTACACTTGGTCATGGGTCGGTGAAGCTATGATAGAAATTCGTATTTCCGGGCCGAGAATCATTGGCATTTGTAAGTCGATGTCAAGTTATGTAAGGATTAGGAAATGTTTTTGACCAGAAATGTTCATGCATTAGTATATGCTTCTTTGAAGTCTGAGTTGGCCGAAGAGCAGCGTCGCTGAGGCTGAGTACCAGCTACAGCTAAGTCCACAGGGCTTATGCGTGCCTGTAGCTAAAATGAACGTCAAGCAACACAGTGTACTTTATACTCAAAACACAACCGGCACAACGAAACTCGCAATATGTTACAGTTGCAATCTCTTTACCCCGTGGGGAAGATCTCACGATGATCTCCAAAAGCAATCCATCACGTAAAAGAAACAAACTCCATCATCTTGATCGTGATAACACACAAAAGCATGGACGTTAAAATTGGGCTTCGGCATTGACCAGGATCATCATCTCGGCCCACACGCGTCAAAGATGGTGCTTGTACGGATTAGGAAATTTCGGGCGACGAGACTGATAAGACGGGATCATTTGTTCTGTATCAATTTTTGTAATTATTTTATTTGACTACATGTCCCAAAGTTCAGGGTCCTTTTGATGCCCCCCTTCTTCTCTTGTTCTCGACAATCTGGTTCTCTGCTGCACTTTGAATCTGCCTGGATTAGTTGTGTTCAGAGAGTATGGATGTGAGATGGCAACCTACTAAGCATAGTACACGGCCCCCTTCCTCCACGCTTTTCACCACGTTCTTCGACGCGGGTCCTTTCTTCCTGATTGAATGCACTTGTCACTGAATTACTGACTCTTTGCTTATGCAATAAGGTCGGCAACGTTCATGGGCATCTCGTCGATCTGGGTAGAGTAGTACACTAAAAAGTCAGCTTCATCCATAACCAGGAGCGGCAAAACTTACACTCAATGTCTCTCAGGATGCGCACATCTTCGGTAGTAACAAAGTTGATAGCAACACCCTTGCGACCAAACCGACCACTTCGACCGATGCGGTGGATGTAGTTCTCACGGTTACTAGGAAGGTCGTAGTTGATAACTAAACTGACCTGCTGAACGTCGATACCACGAGCCCACACATCAGTCGAGATGAGAACACGGCTGTTGCCCTGTCGGAAATCCTGCATGATGCTGTCTCGCTCCTTCTGAGGCATGTCGCCGTGCATGCTGCTGACTGTAAAGTTCGCCTCGCGCATCTTGTCGGTAAGCCAGTCGACCTTGCGTCGGGTGTTGCAGAAGATGACGGCTTGCGTGATGGTAAGGGTGTCGTAGAGATCGCATAGGGTGTCGAATTTCCAGTCCTCCTTCTCGACGGCGATGAAGTACTGCTTGAGACCTTCGAGGGTCAGTTCGTCACGCTTGACGAGAATGCGAACGGGATCGGTCATGAATTTGGTCGTCATGTCGAGAACGTCGTATGGGAGGGTGGCACTGACGACCACGACTTGAGTGGCCGGGGGGAGGTATCGGTACACATCATAGATCTGCTCGCGGAATCCCTTGTTAAGAAGCTCATCGGCCTCATCGAGGACCAGCATCTTGATGTGTCTGGTGCGCAGGTGTCGTCGTCGAATCATATCGGCCACACGGCCTGGGGTGCCTGAGACGATGTGTTGACCGTAGTCGAGCTTGCGGATATCCTCTCCAACGTTTGTGCCTCCAATACAAGCGTGACATTGCACGTTCATGTAGTCGCCCAGAGCCATGACAACGGATTGAATCTGAGTAGCCAATTCTCGTGTCGGTGACAGAACAAGAGCTTGTGTCTCTCGCACCGCGGTATCGATGACCTGCAGCATACTGATGGAAAAGGTAGCTGTCTTTCCGGTACCAGACTGCGCCTGAGCAATGGTGTCGCGACCCTTGCAGACCTGAACGATAGCTCGAGACTGAACAGCAGAAGGCGACTCGTATCCGTAAGCGTAAATTCCACGAAGCAAGTTCTCTGCAAAACATTAGCTACATCACAGAACTGACCCTCACGACATACCCTTCAGCGACATCGATTCGAAAGTAGGATGGACCGTAACCTCCTTGGAGGTGGAAAATTCCATCCTCTCATCGGCCTTTCGGTCAATTCCTCCAGCGCTTTCAGCCATGATTTCGTCTGTTGTTGATGAATATTTGTAAAATGAAGAATTACGCTTTCGCGATGAAGTTGGGGATTTTTCCGGGGTCAAAGTTTTGGTCTGCAACTTTTAGAACAAAGACGTAACACAGCGCGCGCCGGATATTCTTCGGTCGGCAATTGCGCGCCTGAACGCCACTGAAACTCGCGACAGGCTCCGTAATTTTTTAAGCATCAAGCTCACCTCAACTTTACCATCTTCATTCAGTTGAAGATCATTGTATTTCCGATTTGTGATACCCGCGAGAGTTTTTGCAGTCAAGTTTCGCAAGGATGCTCGTTCTCGAAGAGCAGCGCTATATCCATGAGGATCTAGAGCGTCTGGAACAAGGTATCGCTGATCGCATTCGCGATGAGCCCAGACACGTGAGTAGCTTGAAACGCTTGATGAATCGCCCACTGACTCTTCAGATCCGTGATCGCCTCAACAGAGATCATGAGATTTCCCAATTATTAGACCAGATCCAGGTTCAATCAAAAAACCTCCTCGACATCTACAAAGACGAAAATGGTGTCCGATCGCAAGAGATTCAGCAGATCGGTACAGGAGACCCATTCGCGGAGTTCTACAAGCAGCTCAAAGGTGTTCGTGAACACCACGAGAGATATCCCTACGAGCAAGCAGAAAACTCGGAGCAGCGATATCAGATCAAGAGATCAGATGGAGAGCCGCTACCATCTATTGTCGACACGCTATTCTCTGGAGAGGAAGCTTATGGACGATTTTTCGATCTTAACATCTGCCACGAGGCCTACCTCAATCTTCCCAACGTTCGACGACTGACATATCTGCAATACCTCGAGAACTTCGACAACTTTGCCCCAGGACATGGCGGAGTCACGCGAGCGAACAAATTGACGGATCAGTACTTCAAGTACGTTGGACAACTAGCAGAGTACCTCGAGAGCTTCATGCGACGTACACGACCGCTGGAAAACGTGGACAAGGTGCTTGCATCCTTCGATCAAGAGTTTGAGACGGCATGGGACAAGGATGAGATTCAGGGCTGGGAGAAGAGCTCACATTCAACCAACGCCACTGCAAAGGAGACCAGCACAGCAGAAGCTGTATGGTGCGAGGACTGTCAAAAGGAGTTCAAGAACGAAAATGTCTACAAGAACCATCTCACAGGGCGAAAACACATCAAGGCTGCCGAGCAGCGAAAACAACGACAGGAGCAAGACTCGCCAACCAACGGCGCAAACGGAACCGTCTCAGCGACACGACTAAAAGAGCGCGCCGTCGCAGAGCGAGAGTACAGAGTCAAGCGCCTAGCCAGCGCCATGAGCACCGAGCGAAGCGACACCAGAGTCAACGTCGAGCGCAAGCAAGGCATGACAGAACGTGAGCGCGCCCAAGAACTCGAGAACCTCTTCAACGCCGAGGACACACCTCAAGAAGCTCAAGACGACGGCGAGGGCGAAGATGAAGACGGCGAAGAGCGAATCTACAACCCCCTCAAACTACCCCTCGCATGGGACGGCAAGCCAATTCCCTTCTGGCTGTACCGTCTTCACGGTCTGGGTGTCGAATTCCCCTGCGAGATCTGCGGAAACTTTGTCTACATGGGTCGACGAGCCTTCGACAAGCACTTTAATGAAGCGCGACATATTTATGGTCTTAAGTGTCTGGGCATCACCAATACGACGTTGTTCCGCGATATTACCCGTATTGAGGAGGCGCTGCAGCTGTGGGAGAAGATTCAGAAGGAGAAGAAGCGCACAAAGGTTGATGAGGGAAGTGTAGTCCAGATGGAGGATGGGGAGGGCAATGTCATGCCGGAGAAGGTTTATTTGGATTTGCAGAAGCAGGGACTGCTATAGATGTATTTGTATTTGTATTGTATGGTGAAATCAGAGACAGGAGTCTCGCCCATAATTCATTGAATTTAACGCGATCATGATGGGTGTCTCATTACTCGTGAATATTGGTGATAGTGAAAGGGGTCAAGGCATCATGACTTGATTAGTCATGACTCCATCGCCCCTCCAACTCACGCTCACACCAAGTAAACATCACCATCAATTCCATCATCAGCAATCATGTCACAGCTATCAAGACCGATACCAGCCCTTTACGCTGTATACGTGCTCCGTTCAACAAAGCGCCATGCATCAATCTACATAGGCTCAACGCCCCATCCCCCAAGACGTCTGAATCAGCACAATGGTATAGCTCGAGGCGGTGCAGTACGCACTGCGAAAGACACACTGCGACCATGGGAGGTTATGATACTTATAACAGGGTTCCCAAGTTCGATTGCTGCGCTGAAATTTGAGTGCGTTCAAGTCATGTTGTATGAAGTTTCTGGCTTACCGAGTTTTCACAGATGGGCTTTAACGAACCCTCATTTAACGACACATATATCAACCGAGGAGCGCATAACAACAAGGGCGCCTAGGAAAAAAGGACAACGGAAGTCCCGGAAGCCTATTCACAGTCTGAGATCTGTGGTTTCGAATCTTCATTTGCTCGTTGGTGTGTCGAGTTTTGCACGCTGGCCACTTACCCTGCACTTTTTTGTCCCAGAGCCCAAGAAAGCTTGGGATAATTGGCTAAAGAATAAGGAGACAACACCACGAGAGGGTATTAAGATCACTGAAGACTATGCACCAGATGAAGGGTCGAACGGGACTAAATCCGTTGAGCCCTGGGGTATTCACGCTCTGCCACTGGATTATGCGCCCATCAAGCCATACGTCGAGAAGGCGCACAACGTCGTGAAGTTTGAACGAGAAGGGAACTGTGTCCACTGTCACGAAGCACTAGAGTCAGGAAAAGGACTACAACCAATGTGTCCTCACGACGGATGCGAAGCAATGGGTCATCTCGACTGCTGGTCAAAACACGCCCTCAAAGGTGAACCCAAGGAGACATTGCTTCCCTTATCATGCACATGTCCAAGCTGTGGTGGCAAGATAAACTGGAGCGACATGATGAAGGAGTTGACTCTTCGTGTAAGGGGACCGAAGGAGGTTACGAAATTACTCAAGAAGAAACGGCGGACAAAGAAGGATATTGCGGCTGAAGCTGAAGCTGAGGAGGATATCTGAGGGTGGCTTGGCTATTTGCTTTTGGCGTTAATAGGAAGATACCCGCTCTGCAATTCATTAAATTGTTATCGATTTTCAATGTTTCGGATGTGAGCATACTTTTGATCAATCGCCGACCAAAGGTTGACAGCAAGTCGCCATAATGGTCGTGCAGAGTAAGTTTAAGCCAGTGAATTAAAGTGTCGCTGTCATTTTTTTTTTTTTTTAGCATCACCTCAAGAAGCAAGAAAACCCGGAACCCTGACTTAGAATGCCAGTGATAACTCAGAAAAAAGCTGTTAAGTTCTTGCAAAATCCACCTGAGTCTTTTTATTCAGGGCTGAGGGCCCAAGTTTCTTACTCCAGGCACTCTCTTTTGAAGCCTCACCCAAATCCATCGTGTGCCCCGGTTCCCCACGCAATGACCTGACCAGGACCCCGGCGTTTGTGCTGAACGTCATCTCCTCGTGATTGGCTCGTAAGCGGCTCATTATTAACTAACCCCTGTTCATTGAGAGTTCGATATCAGATTGGATTTTTTCTGGGCCCGCCTTTTGTCTCTGTGGCCGTCAGACTTTTAGGGGCATGCCATCGCTATTGAGCGGGACAAAAGGCAGCCACACAACTGGACAAGGAATATGATGATGCCAGTCAGCGCGTGACTGGTTTCAATGTCACCCATGCCCTGCCGCATTCGGATACCTCCTTCTCCATGACGACGTGGCCGTAATATAAATATTTTCTTGTCTGTCAGACTTGTTCCCTTCGCATTGAGCGTGATATTGATACTGAATGTGTCGGGTCACAAGCTGGCGATGCTCAATGGATACCAATATGCCTCATAAGGCTGTGGCATTCTCCCTGAATTTGTGGGAGGTGCGTCGCAAACGTATTGATTAGAGTTCGATCAGGCCCAGACGCTACAGTGACCGCGTGCCGATAAAGAGCCTTTCTTTCAAACCGATATCTTCTTTGTTCTTGCCATGCTACTTTTGTGGACATTGACGATGTGATTCTCGGTAATGGGGGCACCGGCCGGATGTCGTCGCTAGTGGGTCTGCCACATGAGTTTTCGGGGCCCTGTATCAGGACGGCGTTTTTGAGCGCTGAAACAGCCAACAAAGACTTGATTGGAAAGAAAAAGCATCGTTGGAACGCGATATGGTCGGTAATATGAAAAGAATGATACGATGGATATTTTAAAGTTGTAGTTGTCCAGAAAATTCACTGCAATTCTTGTACTTGCTGGTCCGAACCCACCGGCCCTGCCTCCGTACAGTCAGTGACAGAGATGGCGGCGGGTACTTGTGCCTGGCGCCAGAACCGTGCTAAACAGAGGTACCTACCTGCCCGTCCAGTCCACTTTAGTCTTTGGCGTGCACTTACCAGGAACCTCCTGCCGCACCCTGGCCTGGGCTTCCTTCCCTTCACACCCTCGTCCCTTGTCCCTTCTGGGTTCCCTTTGTGTGTCTAGGTACCGTCCGTCCTTCGTCGCTCGCTCGCGCCTCCAAGATCTGGGATTCCCTCGACCCATTCCCACCTTCCCAACTTCCGTTCCCACTCACACCCTTCACCCTCCGCTCCTTCCTCACGCTGAATTCTTTCATTCAGCATCAACAGTCCCTATCAGAGTGGTTGACTGGTTCTTTCAGCCATTACCACTACGAATATCAACTTCGGGTACTTCATTCGAAAGTCGCGATAACTTCTGTGTGTTTTGCACAGCCGACCTTTTTTATATCGACTTGTGAGTATTTCCCGTGTTAGTTGGAGATACTTCCTCGTACTCCCTTCCATGGTATCAATCAAGTACAACTCACCACTAACATGAGACTCCAGGTGCGAAGCTCGACTACACATCGCCTTTCTAGTCATCATTCATACCCTGGTTCCTCGTCGCGATTGAGACCTTGTGGCCTGCGATGCTGGTGAATTATTGACGACGGCCTGCCCGAGTATGAAGTCGACGTACGCCGCGTAATCGTAACGCTCGACCGATCCCAATCCGTTCTTCCTTATTAGTCGCCGCTCAACGCATCGTCGTCCGCTCCCACCATGGTGTCAGTGCCAACTGTTGGCGCCGCGGCTCCTGCAGCCACCCATAGCACGAATGCAAGCACGCGAAGCTCACCCAGTGCTCCCGCTGGCACCACATCGAAACCGAAACCCAAGGTGAATTCTAATGGATACCACCCGACCAATCCACAGACACCTCTCAGCTCACTCACGAGTGCTCCGCTGGATCTTACCTCCGTCGAACGTCGCGGACAGCCCACCGCAGTCAGGGAACCAGTCGTCAAGCAGAGCCGTCCACACGGTCTACAAGAGGCACCGACGTACTGCCCAACGGAAGAGGAATGGAAAGATCCTTTCGAATACCTACGGAAAATCACACCTGAAGCAAAGAACTTTGGCATCTGCAAGATCATTCCACCGGATTCTTGGAACCCAGACTTTGCCATTGATACCGAGGTGCGACAATCGGCGCATTCCCAGCGCGTTCAAGCTATCAATGTGCGATAGCTATTGGTTACTCGTGCTAATTATTTAGAAATTCCATTTTAGAACCCGAAAACAAGAGTTGAACTCGGTGGAAGGGAGTATGTGTTACTCATTCTGACATTATCGCACTCGACTCACATGTTGCAGGTACACGTGCCAACCTTACCTATCTTGATGGCCTTTCAAAATTTCACAAGCAACATGGCACCAATCTACATCGCTTACCGTACGTGGACAAGAAACCGCTTGATCTTTATAGATTAAAGAAAGCAGTCGAGTCGCGGGGCGGCTTTGAAAAGGTTTGCAAGCATAAGAAATGGGCAGAAATTGGTCGTGATTTGGGCTATAGTGGGAAGATCATGTCCTCTCTCTCGACGTCACTCAAAAACTCTTATCAACGATGGCTTTGTCCATACGAGGAGTACCTCCGACTCGCGAAACCTGGAGTTCACCAACAGCTGGAGCAAGAGTATGGTGGACCATTGACCCCGAGCCCTGCACAAACTCCAGCCAAGCGATCAAATGTCAACACACCCCTCAGCATCCGAGGTGATTCCCCAGCGCGCAATGCTTCCGACGCACTCCAGGCCAACATCATTGGAGTGAAGAGTGAAACGGATGGCGACACGCCCATGCCCGATGCCATACCCTCTCAAGCTCCAACATCTGGTGGATTCACAGCAGTCAACTCGGGCGGGTTTACTCCCGCGAATGCTGGCTTCACAAGTGTCAATCGCAGTGTGACCAGTGAGCCAAAAAGCTTCACCCCTGACCCTAAGCGATTTGACAGCCCTGCCTCTTCAGCAAAGAATACTCCGGACAATCGGGCCTCCAGTCTAAAAGAAACAGCATTGAAACGACAGCTAAGCTGCGAAAGCTCATCTGAATCGGCCAGAAAGGACAACGATGATGAGGACCCTGAAGCGGCTAGCAGCCGTCGCAGCAAGCGACTCAAGAAAGGTGAGTGATGACTGTTGGATTCCTCTTCCCTGCTGTCAATCAATGTTGTCGCAACGCAGAGCATTTCCGTTTCCGACTTGAGGACCATACGCAGGGATTTTAGCTGCGATGACCGATCCCGCTTTTCATTGGCTCCATGATCATGGACTAACATTTCTGTCGTAGATGCTGTCCCCACTGTGGCTGGATCGCACATGACGCCATTCCGTCCTTCAGTGCCCAGGATTCCGCGAGAAGAGCCACCACCACCAGGCGAGGTAAGTCAAGTAAACCTCAAAAGGGGATTAGCTGACTTTGTAGAAATGCGAAACTTGTGGCAGTGGTGAAGATGCTGGTTCTCTACTGATTTGCGAGTCTTGCGACCATTCCTACCACCCAGCATGCCTCGACCCACCTTTAAAACGAAAGCCGGATAACGAATGGAACTGCGCACGATGCCTGGTTGGAGATGGCCAATTCGGATTCGAGGAGGGAGGTCTTTACTCACTAAAGCAGTTCCAGCAAAAGGCAAACGACTTCAAGCAGGGTTACTTTGAGAAGAAGATGCCATTCGACCACGAGCTCAAATGCCATCGACCTGTCACCGAGGAGGATGTTGAGACTGAGTTTTGGAGATTGGTTGCCGACCTGGAAGAGACGGTTGAGGTCGAGTACGGAGCCGATATCCATTGCACGACTCATGGTTCAGGATTTCCGACGGCAGAGCGACATCCTCAAAACCCATATGCGACTGATCCGTGGAACCTTAATGTTCTTCCGTTCCATCCCGAGAGTCTATTCAGGCATATCAAATCCGATATCTCTGGCATGACAGTTCCCTGGGTTTATGTCGGTATGATCTTTTCGACATTCTGCTGGCACAACGAGGATCACTATGCCTACTCTGCCAACTACCAGCACCTTGGCGCAACTAAGACTTGGTACGGTATCCCAGGGGAGGACGCTGAAAAGTTCGAGAACGCCATGAAGGAAGCCGTCCCAGAGTTGTTCGAAACACAACCAGATCTACTCTTCCAGCTGGTCACGCTCTTGACCCCCGAACAATTGAAGAAGGCCGGAGTTCGTGTATACGCTCTAGACCAGAGAGCTGGCCAACTCGTCATTACATTCCCGCAGGCTTACCATGCTGGATTTAACCATGGATTCAACTTCAACGAGGCTGTCAACTTTGCGCCACATGACTGGGAACCTTTTGGACTTGCTGGCGTCGAGCGATTGCAACTATTCCGAAGGCAACCGTGCTTCTCTCACGACGAGCTTCTCTGGACCGCTGCGGAAAGTGCTGCGACAGGCCTAACCATCCAGACCGCGAAATGGCTAGCACCCGCCCTCGATCGCATACACAAGCGAGAGTTACATCAAAGGGAACAATTTGTCGCAAGACATCTTGAAACAGCACCTCATCACTGTAAAATTGGAGGAGGTAACGAAGATACATGTTCTTTGACACTTAAGATAGAAGACGAAGATGTCCAAGACGAAGACGAGCAGTGTTGCAGTTATTGTAAGGCTTTCTCGTATCTCTCGCGCTTCAAGTGCCTCCAGTCGGGCAAGGTTCTTTGCTTGCTTCACGCAGGCTACCACGCTTGTTGTGATCTGCCCGAGCAAGCTCGATTCCAAGGCGAAGGACACATCCTTTTCTTCAGAAAAGCGGACGACGATATGGATGCGATCTACCGCAAGGTGATGGAGAAAGCACAAACTCCCGAGCTATGGGAGGAAAAGTATGACAAACTACTTGAAGAAGAGGCAAGGCCGTCGCTCAAATCACTACGTGCCCTCCTTCACGAAGGCGAGCGCATTCCTTACCCTCTCCCTTCATTTCCCGTGCTTCAGGATTTCGTCAATCGATGCAATGATTGGGTGGGAGAGGCAACAAACTTCATTGTGAGGAAGCAGCAAAACCGACACAAGAATGACAAAGCCTGGCAATCAAGCATGCGAAAGTCCATCGGTAACTCTGAGCAGGACCAAAAAGAGAGAGAATCTCGGAATGTCTCAAACATCTATCGACTTCTCGATGAAGCTGAACACATCGGTTTTGACTGCCCAGAGATTTACCAGCTTCAAGAGCGCGCCGAGGCTGTCAAACAATTCCAGACCACTGCAGCGCAGGCTTTGAGGAACACCTCCACCTTGTCACAGAAGACGGTCAAGGAACTTCTCGAAGAAGGGCGCGGCTTTAATGTGGACATCCCTGAGGTTGACCAATTGATGAAGGTGCTGGAGCAGTCAGAATGGAATGAGAAAGCCTTCACCAACCGAGGAGTGTACATGACTCTTCAAGAAGTTCAGGATCTTATCGAAGAAGGATGCAAGCTTGGGATCCCAACCTACAACGACCATTTGACCTACTATCGCGACCAGATGCACGCCGGACAGCAGTGGGAGAAGAAGGCTAAGGAACTCATTGTTGCTGAGTTTGTTCACTACCCACAGCTCGAAGCACTATCGCGTCAAGTGCAGATCAACGTGCTTCCCGTTTCGCAGGAGACTCTGAGCGCAGTTGATCAAATCCTTCACAAACAACGCGAAGCCCAACGTCAGATAGTTTCATTGTTGGAGCGGTGTCGGCTCCCCGATCTGCATGATCGACCCAAGTATTCGGAGGTCGTAGAGATTCAGAAGAGATTGGAAGACCTCAATTCGAAACCAGATGGAACTCTCGAACTTGAAAACGAACGCAAGCGTCATGAGGATTGGATGCGAAAAGGGAAGAAACTCTTCGGTAAATCCAACGCCCCATTGCATATCCTCAAGAGTCATCTTGAGTACGTACTAGAACGCAACATGGATTGCTTCGATGTCGAAAACGACACGCCTCGAATGCCCGGGGAGCCGGTTTCAAGAGAGGTCAGCCCCGAGCAAGGGTCCAGCAAATGGGACGACAGTCGATCCCGACAAGTTTTTTGTATCTGCAGAAGGGTTGAGGCGGGAATGATGATTGAGTGCGAAATGTGCCACGAATGGTAAGTTGTCACGAGAATGTCGCACACGCTTCTAACAAAGCTAGGTATCACTACAAATGCCTCAAGATTGCCCGCGGCAAGGTCAAAGAGGATGACAAGTATACTTGTCCGATCTGCGACTGGCGGATGAAGATTCCCCGAGATGCGTCGCGGCCGAAGCTGGAGGAGCTGCTGGCTCTCGCCGAGGAAATGGCAACATTGCCCTTCCAGCCTGAGGAAGAAGAGGTTCTCAACAAGATTATCGACAATGCACAGAACTTCCGAAACCATATTGCCAACTACTGCAACCCGTTATTGTCTACAGAAGCTGAAGCAGAAACCCAACGATTTTATCTGCGCAAGATTGAAGGCGCGGAGGTGTTACTCACGTACGAGACCAATTTCTTCCGCCAAGAACTCCATAAATGGTGCCCTGTGGCCCCCGAGGCTCCGCCGATCCAGGAGCAGTCCAGAAGCACACGAAAACCACGACCGACAAAACTACAGAAGATGTTGGTTGAGTACGGCGTTGACAATCCTGACGACCTGCCGGAACACGCCCGAGGAAAGGCGAATAGTCTGCGCCGGAAGGCAGCCAACGCTGAAGCCGCAGCAGCGGCGGCGTCGCATTCTATGGGTGGAATCGGATCTGGGTATGGAGGATCGGGATATTACCCACGTTCCGGTGAAGCTGGCAGCCCCAACAGCCACGGAGAGCGTCGCGAATCGCAGTCCTCAGGCCATTCAAGAACCAATTCGGTAAGCCTGGGCAATGGCATGCATGCTGGACCCCTGGGAGCTGGCGGTCCGCAGCTGGTTGTTGACAACTCATCAATGTCTTTGGAGGACAGAATTCTTCAAGGTCACGACGATGGTCTCAACTTCCAAACCGATGCTGAGAAGAGCAAAGCTTTGGAGATTCTTGCGAGGACCGAACTGGGTAGAAAACAAGCCGAGGCCATGTGGGGACCCAACGTTTGGGGAACTGGACGTGGGTCTATTGAGAGACGCGTCTCTAATCCGATGGATGAAGAAATGATCAAGCAGGAAGAGGGCAACGTGGATCAAATGTTCAAGGAGATGACGAACCAAGACGAAGATGACGAGAAAAAGATCGATGCTGGGGGAGATGTCACCATGACCACAGCGTCCTTGGAAAAGGAGAGAAATGGGATGGACGCTCTTCTAGACGGGGAATGAGTTTGTAGTGGATGACAAGGGGTGATGGCGTTTTCGTTCGGTTTAAAAATACCAAGAAGGAAAAGGAGTCAGGTCGGTTATGCCATTTGGTGTTTGTTCTTGAGCCAATTTTGTTTGTACGAGATCCATAAAAGGGCGTCCGAGATGGCGATTCAGAGAATACCACACACAAGACGTTGTACTGGTTTTCAGACCAGGCTATGCTACATATACAATAGGCGGCTACGTTACGTTATTAATGAGATGATTTCATTCAAACTCTAACATGGTTATGATTTTCTCCAGGGCGTTGAGCCCGGACATCTAATGGGACAATGGCTAATAAACGCTCTACCCGCCTTTTTTCCTAGAAAATTTGATGACAACTTGGACCCGACCGAATTTGTTGAAGACATGGCCTCTTTCTTTCTTTTGTCCCAAAACCGCCCTTTGAAGGAGAACCTATCCTGATCCTGAACGCCAAAAATGCAGATAAATCAATGGTGATGGTACTTGGTGCATGTCTCATGACATGTACTCTTCCTATACATGATGAATGTTCTTCATAGGCTTATCGTTTCCATCATAAGCATGTTGAAGATTGCTTCGGCCTCTAATTTGCGACCGTATACTCTCTATCGGTTAATGCCAATAAGGTTGAGAAACTCATTGCGCGTCTTGGACTTCTTCTCGAAGCAGCCAAGGACACAGCTCGTGATGGTGCTGGTAGTCGTCTTCTCGACACCGCGCATCACCATGCACAGGTGGCTCGACTCCATGACCACGGCGACGCCCTGGGGCTTGAGGATCTCCATGATGGCGTGGGCGACTTCTTTGGTGAGGCGTTCTTGGATCTGCAGACGGCGTGCGAACATCTCTGCGATTCGGGGGAGCTTGGATAGGCCGATGACGGTCTCGTTGGGGATGTAGCCGATGTGCATCTGCGGGGAAAAAAGAAAAAAAGTCAGCTGTTTGTTTGATTCTCGTGCGATTTCGGAGGAGGAGCGCAAACCTTGCCGGTGAATGGTACGAGATGATGCTCGCACAGAGACTGTGAGTTGTTAGCTATATTTTTGCAATTGAGTGAAGAAAAGTACTTACGAAAATCTCAATGTCCTTGATAATGACCATTTCACTGTGTCCCTCTCTGAATAGAGCCTCGTTGACCATGGTTTCAATGTTGTCCTGGTATCCCTTGGTTAAGAAGAGCAGCGCCTTTGCGTAGCGCTCTGGAGTTTTGAGAAGACCCTCGCGATCGGGATCTTCACCGACACACTCTAGAATAGTGCGCACAGCGCCGCTCATACGTTCCAATCGCGCAGCCTGCTGCTCCTCCGTCTCCTCTCTGCGCTCTCTCGTTCCCCGACCTTAAAACCGTCAGTAAGCGTTAACCACCAGCATCACCGGTAAGAATAAACATACTGGGTCGACTGAGCCCATCAAAGTCAATGACAGGACTGGGAGATCTCGTCTTCACCACGGCGCCCTCTTCAGGAACGCCCTGGGGTGCAGCGCGACGCTTCTTGGGGATGGGTTCATCGCGGGGATCTCGCGAAGCTTTGGCCAAGCTATTGCGACGCTGAGCGAAAGCACTCGGCTTTGCGCCATTGACAGCGATGGCATCGCCGTTCTTTCTCTTCTTCTCCTTGCGCTCGCGACGGCGCCTGCGGGAATCGTCGCTGCTGGACGATGAGCCCGAGATGCTTGCGACGTCGTGGGATCTCTTCTTTCCGTCTTCGGAGGTAGGCATGGTGGCGATGTCTGTCTAAGCTTTGCAGAAGAGTAAAGGTTAGAGGGAATTGAGAGAGAGAGAGAGAGGATGATGATGGAGGAGAAAGAGGGGAAATAAGTACTAGGTATCTTTATGAGTCAAGAGAGGAAAAAACAGACGACAATTGAGGACAAGACTCAAAAAGCCCAGAAAGCCAAACAGTACGGAAACCGAATTGATTGAGTCAGGGTCCAAATGTCTCTCTCTCTCTCCAACCTAAGCCAATGACCGGATCCAAACGCCGAAAAAATTAGAGGGGCTCCACGGGATTCGCGGGGGAATGCTTCTGCTTCTGCTGCAATTATTTTCCCACGCGGTGCCTTATCTTATCAGTACCTAGCACGAGCTGTTTGACGTCAACGGCATAGAAGCATTGTCTCAGTTGGACAATGGGAGCAGAAACGGTTGTTGGCGCCGTGGGTCCGATCATGTGGGTATCCACGTGACTGGACATCACGTCCGTTCGGAATAGCAGACGCGTTGTGCCTGTTGCTCCGGATCATCCTCCGAAAGCCGTGAAGACGAGAGACGCATCTTGTCAACGACTTTGCGAAAAACGCCGATATCGAAAATACGTATCTTTTCTGACGGACGCCTTCTCGGGACACGTCGCTGTTGCTGCACCGCATAGCTTAGTCACAGCGCCTTTCATTTCGAACCTCTCCCTTTCACCATCAACTGTCACATCTCGAGATTATCACAATGGCTTCTCCGCCCTACGCAACCTCTCCATCGGGAATGTCACCGCCCTACCCATCACCCGCTCAAATCCCCAACAAGAAGCGCCCATCAACCCTCGACGGCTCCGCGCCTCCCCTCAAGCGCCGCAAGCCCTCCCAAACCTCCGTCTCAACCAGCTCCGCCGCCCATCCTCTCCGCCAAACGTCTTTCCCCCCCGAAGCACGATCTCCATTCCCGCGCTCTCCATCCGTCGATGCTCAGTCGCATGTGAGCGGCAGCGCAGTCAGCACGACAGCCAGCGGAGCGCCGAAGAAGAAACGCGGCCGCAAGGCAAAGAACGCCAAGCCAGATGATGCTCGTGAACAAACGCCCAGTCTCGTTGGAGGACGGGCACCTACTGCTGTGAGCGGACAGGGTGGTGAGAAGGAGGATGACGATGAGGACGATGAGAAGGCTGAGATGGCGCTTGAGGATGTCGTTGCGAGAACGCAGGAGCAGAAGCAGGAGGAGATTCGACTGAGAGCTATGCTTGTTGAGGCTTTTGATTCTCAGCAGTATAACCGATACGAGCTCTGGCGTGCGGCTAAATTGGCCGATAGTGTAGTCAAACGAGTATGTTATGTCTACGCCGGTTCAAATTTTGATACTGACATTTACAGGTTGTCAACGCTACGGTTTCTCAATCGGTTCCGCAGAACGTTAGCACGGCCGTCAAAGCCGTCGCCAAGCTCTTCGCTGGTGAGATCATCGAAGCCGCTCGCAATGTGCAAGGAGAATGGATCCACGCCGGAGAGAAGCAAAGCGAACTACCTACGCCTCCCCCGTCGACAAATGATGACCCTGCCGCAGCAGAGGAAGAGATTGATCTCAAGCGCGGCCCTCTACGGCCCGATCATCTACGCGAGGCCTGGCGTCGCTACAGGCTATCTGGAGAGAGCCGTGGTGTAGGGGTGCAGCAACTCTGGCATGCCCAGCAGGGCGATGGAGTTGAGCGCTTTTCAACCCGTACAGGGAAGCGACTGTTCAAGTAAGCTATGACGAATAACAGGCGGCTACGATAAGGATGAAGGTGACTGCGATACAAGAAAAAAGCGAGTCACGATGAGTGGAAAGGAGATTGCACAGGATGATCGCCAAGACATGGTCCAGATCAGTGACATAGATCTGACTTGGCAGAGATGGAGATGGAGATGAAGATTCTTTCAGGCGTAATAATGATACCCCCAAAAATCCTGAAACAAAACAGGAAATAGAACTTTGTACAATACTACCCAAATCAAGAACATGAACGAGCATGTGCCAAGAAAAGTCGTTAATCGGAAATAACAATGACCCGGACGAATACTGCACTGTCCCTTGACAAATGACAAGTACCTTGTAACTCGTAAAAGACCGAAATTTGCTCGCTCAATATTGATCCGGTGGGCTGATGTATTTCCACGTGGTTGATCGGGACTTGCGCAAATCACATACGAAACGAGTAAAGCTTTGCACGGCACAATTTATCCAGATTGACAAACCTTGTGTACGAAGTCACGAATGACATTCAAGTGTTCCTGGGTGCCTCAAACCTTTTAGACCTTCGTATACTAGCCGCTCTAAACCCGGTAAATAAAGACTGCCGGCTGAGTCTGGGAGTGTGGGGAGCTAGCAGAAAAAGGATGTTGGCTGTAAGCAGAAGCTCGATTTAGCGCACGCCATCCAGTGAAGAGTGCCGGGGTGTTGCTGTCGATAGGGAGCAATTTCCGTGGGTGGAATCATCTTGGATCGCTGATAATACAACGCTCGTACTTGGCCGGCGGTAATATCTCATGAGACTTGCCAAGCGGGACCGCGGGGCATATGGGAAAGTCGGCACGTACACAGCCACTTTGTGCAAGTTGTAGCTGTTGAACAGTCTTGTCGATTGGAGCCAAGTCTTGGCTGCTGAGGTCTCGACTCTTGACCTTGACACTCTGACAGTGGGCTCCGCTTGTCTTGTCTATCAAGTGCGGAAACTCCTACGGGCTTTTGTAGGAATTCCTTGGCCAGGCTGATGATGTGTTGAGCCTCGGTTCAACATGGCCAAGAACACCATGTCATCGTCTGGTCAGCTTGTAAACCCAACAGATATTGTTTCGACGAAGGGGAATCCTTCAGTGACAGCTCCAACGCCCAGTGAGTTCACACCTGGTCTTGGCAAACCTTGCAGGGCCTAGACTCATCAATCGACATTCTGTCCCTGAGCTCACCGACCCTGCAACAGTGGTCTCTCCTCCAAGGAGATTGGTCTCAAGCTTGCCCTTCATCACCTTAAATCGTTAACATCGCAGCTTAATCGGCTATGAGGAGCCGAGACGCTGGCTTGGCGGTCGGCTGGACCGAAAGACCGTGGCGCAGCAGCTGCGAGCCCAGCAATGCGTTGAAAATTATGGGGCGCCTAGTCCTCTGGGCATCCCGCAATCAGAGACAGAGCTCCCCGTAGCTCCCTGTAAGACTCGGGTCTTATTCAGTCAAGGGAGGTTAGGGCGGAAAACTCGACAAGTGTATCCACCAGCTTCTGCCTGTGAGCAACGTTTCACAGCTAACTTGTAATTTGAGTCTTGCGTGATGTTGTCAGGTCGCTGTGAATTGCTGTAATTGTAGAGAGCTTCACGGAACCCTGGGTGTGTTAAGCTTTGGACCTCCTCTCGAAAAAAACCAACAAAGTCAACAGGTCCGATTGAGCAATGCACGAAGTCGTGATAGGGTTGCCATGGTTCAATATGTTTAAACATGACTGGCGCTAGCGTTCCTTGACATCGGCTGGATCTGCACCGTCAGGACATGGATCTTTCGCCAAGAAGTCAGTGCTTGGCCATCAACGCGCGTCCTGCTTGGCGAGTCAAACGGTACCTACATCAAGAAGAGCTCAAGTCTCATATGGGCTGGCTTTCGCCGCCATCATTGACGTAGCTTAGACTTTGGATCGGCATCCAGATGAACTGTATTTGCCAATATGACAGGAGAAAAGGTGAGTTCTGATCCTCATCTTGCTGGTGTTTGTCGCCAGCCGGGTTCGTCCTGTTTTGCAGTGTACTTTGTCTGACACATTCCCCTGCAGAAGGAGGGCTCGACCAATCCATCAGCCGTCCGGATTCGTGACAACCAACGACGGTCCCGTGCACGACACAAGGAGTATGTCGAAGGTCTGCAGAAGAAGCTTCAAGACTATGAGCGCCGAGGTGTTGAAGCGACGTTGGAGATGCAACAAGCAGCTCGCAGTGTTGCTGTCGAAAACTCACGCCTAAAAATCCTGCTGGGGTACCACGGCATCACTAATGAGGACGTTGAAAAGTTCTTGCAGAGCTTTCCAGACCAACCCGCTTCAGAAGTCGCAAAGGCAACGATTTCACAGTCGACATCTGGTCAGCCACTTCTCGCCGCAGCACCCAAGGTCCCTCTCCAACCCCTATCAAGAGGACACTCGGCAGAACCCCCGAGGTCAACGTTACCGCCTCCCCATATCGCACCAGAGAAGACGAGTACTCGAGATGTGGTGGACGCCGTCGTAGGGATCAAGAGAGACTCTCGTAAAGCTGGTCTTCCCAGTGGACCAACGCTTCCTTTACCAGTGGAGCAGCGGCAACCGCTGTTGCAACCTCGACCTCAACCGCCCATTCTGCCAGCATTGCCAGCTCTCGTCCTCGGTCAGGGTAGGCCAGACCCCAATCCCCTCGATAAACTCTCAGTTCTTGCGACAGCGAGCATACATCAAGAACCTGACAAAAACAAGCACCACCGCACGCATTCAAATGCCGATAGCCTTCGTGTACCGAGCCCGTCAATACTGGGGCAAAGTTCGCCAGCGTCGTCACATACAACCCCTAGTCGAATAAGTTCGACATCTCCGTGAAGCCAGAAGGACGGATACAGCTGGAATACGGCACAACGAGTATCCGTGCCAACGTACATATTTGACAACACAGTCCATCGAGGGAATATGGTTGAGGAGTCTGGCGGCGAATTCGTAAAAAGAGATACCAAGAAGCGGAAAGAGAACGGAGTTTTTGAAGGCGTTGAGCTGATTGAACGGTACCATAAAAGGTAGCTTTGCCTTTGTCTCGTTGTACGTATGGCCAGGCACTACCCGGCACAAGCGCAGGCTAACGAGCTTCTTGAAACCAGCCTCAATGTCCAAAGAGGATGCACCAGGTTGATGTCAATGGTGCTCAATCCAGGATCAGAACCGAAAACAGAAAGGAATGGAAGAAATGCTGCCATCGAGCAGACGTTGACACCGAATACTTGCATTGGGAGAGTTTCGATACATGATTAACGATAGAAGTCGCTGGCGAGATACAAAAGATACCGAGTTTTGGAGTTGGGATAGATTAGAATTGGTTTCAGGTTGCCGTTGTCGAGAAAGCGATACCAAGGGTATCAATCGAATCCGGGGGAGGCTGTGCATCTTGGCGATTCAAGTTGAAATCTTGTCTGGCATGGCAAACTCTGGGCGTGAGATGCTCGGATATAAGTAGGGCTGTCTCTAGTCGCTCAGATGGGAGGCCGCCAGGTGGAGATATAAGCTTGCAAGGGCGGAAGACTCCAAGAAGGCGGGGAACATGGTTTAGCCGCGCGAGTTGGAGGGCGTCTCTCGAAGGTCGTTGGAGGAAGGATTCTCAACATCTTGGTGTGTTGAGACGAACACGAGACAGAAGCAACGATTAGCCACAACGAATAAACGTCGAACCAACAGCACCTTCTTGCTCCAAGTGTAAACCTCATCACCGTGAACGGCTTGTTTAGGGGAGGCAACAAAAGTCAGAACCTCGATCAGACTTGGGTAAGATATCATAAACTTAGGGGACCCTTTGAGGAGTTTATTTTCCTAATCAAGAGATGCCAGAGTAAACTCCTCAAGAGTCGCCTAGTTAATGATATCTTGCCTGAGGCTAGTCTCGCAGGAGAAACCCCTTTCAGAGAAGTTCTCTTCTCGGCCACTGATGTTGGAGTCCTCCCAAGCCGAGAGAACCGGGATCCAGTTGTTGATCCACACCGGCGTCATATTGACCCATAGAACTGCAAGGTTGTTGGAGGTTTGGAAATGAGATTAGATAGGAAGGGATTGATAATCTCTCGGCCGAGTGGGATATGGTAGAATTTGCAGTGGTTTGCTCTGGTTGTTGGGTGGGTGTGTGGTTTCCGCGGAATTGTCGAGGTTGGCAGGGGCGAAGCTGCAGGTGAGCTAAAGGGGCGTTGCCTGGTGCGCTCTGTGCTGAGGTGAAAGCTTGGCAAGAATCGGTGTAGCAGATCCAAGGTGAAGAAGGCCTGCGAGAAGATTGAGGAGGAGGAATGAGTTGAAGAACAGAAGTCGAGCAGAGAGCGCAGTCAAACAGGAGAAAGGACGCTCAGAGCAGGAAGTGGGCACGCGACCGCGTTCCTGCCACGATGGGGGCCAACCTGGAAACGTCGAACGACAGAGTCTCTCTTGAGCGAACAAGAGATACCTTAAAACTGAAAAGAGAGGAATACAATTGAAGAAGAAGGAAGCCAGGTAGAAATGTCGGTGATATGTGGTCTTGAATGAGCCGCACTTGCAAGCATCAAATTCATGACATCGGGAAGCATACCAATCGGCACACGCCAGTGACAGTCACCGTAGCTTCAGGCCATCCCAGGGACCGGAAAGTGGGTGCCTAACCCTGTAAGCCACCGTAACGATCGTCATCATCTCATGCGTCAACAAGGGGGTCAAGACTCCGTGGGTGAGATTTTGGTGCATGATTGGTGGACTCGCTTGGTTCAAATAAGCTTAATCGTCTCAAGGTGTGGCTTCGGGTTATCATCCGGGCAAGGTTGAAAGTTTCTTGGCCTTGTTTCTTTGAAAGGTTGGCTGGAGATGAGGAGAAGCTAGGAGGGCTCTGTGCAGTTGTGCCATTGTTCAATTGGGCTGAAGGGGGTGGTTTGTTCGTGTAAGTCGAAGTTCAATAACAGTACAAGCACTCGCCTGGATGTCCATCGTTGTCGTTACAGTCATGAAGTTGAATCAAGGTATACAAAGTTCAAAAGACCAACGAACCAAACGCCTTCGAAATCTCACTCGCAACGGTTTCGCGGGAGGGTTCGAAGTTTAAATGTTGCCGAGGGCTAAGATGGCCGCGCGGCCTCGCCAACAAGTTGGTCCCATAATTGGTGGTGGCAGTGCACCCAACCTATCCCATTCAACGTCATTTATCCGCGGAAGCTTTACTTGCAGTAGAAAGGCACTGAAAAAAAGTAATGAGATATGTTTCAAAGAAAAGTCACGATTGGATCGCCAATTGCACGGCTGTGCTTGGTGGCGGTACAGCTGTGGTTGGGGTGATTTGAGATATGAGGTTATTGCCGAATCTAGAAACACCAAGCAAAGTGACCAAAGTGAGTGCACATGAACAGAAAGACTGAGCCTTTTGTTCAATTCTCCATGGTCCTTGGTATTACTTAATCAGGGGCAGTACAATCGTCGTCTTGTAGTAAGTCCCTTCTTCGAGGCAGCACCCAAAGCAATCTCCATCTTCCTTCCTCACCAAGGTAACTTGGCTTTTCTCCAACACTGACCTCACAAAGAAGACTTCCAAATAAACGGCATTCTCTCTTCCATCCATCTTACACCGAAACGCATCAATAAATCCCCATCACTTGATATCAAAGCACATCGATTTTCTACCCCGTCACCATAACCATGAGCGTACCTTGGCGGCTTGACGACCTTGTCACATGGGTCATTGACACTAGCCCGGACAAACGCCTCAGCTTTGCTCATATCCAGGGGCCTCCAGCTTCAGCCAAGGCGATCAAAATACCAATGGAAATCATCGAATCGCCTCGAATTCGGGATGACCACCCTACCTTTATTGTTCAGGTTCTTCCCGACTTCAAGAGGAATGCAGTGATCCGAGGTCAAAACCCTTGGTTACCGAACCTTGAAATCGAGCCAGGCCAACCTATGCTGAAGGTTGAGACATACCTCGAATCAGTAGATCATCTCAAGTCTAGCTACCGGGAAAGGAAATAGGAGTCATCACCCGACGCGATTTCAGACCGAATACTCTTTATCATTGATGCTGACCCTGACTATTCGGCGGAATATGCCATAGCATTGGCTGCTATCACGACATTCGCCGCATCAAGAACAACTGCTGACAGTGGCTTGCATATAAAGGTGGCAACTATATCGTGGGAATGCATCCACCAAGTCACGAGAGAGCTGTTTGAGAGCTACAACGAGAGTATCTTCGAATTCTCGCTCCGAAGATCTGACCCCGAGCCAACAGAGCCTGTGATTCTCAAGATCATGCCCTCAGATCTGCTTAAGTATGCTACAGTGTCGCCTACTAATGACTCTGGGCCCCTATGCCTACGCTTTCGGGACGCAATGCATGATGCCGAAGACCTGGATGATTGGAACACCATGCCATCACAATGGGATCCTTGGATCAGAACATCCAACACAAAAGGGAACTGTAGTTCCATTCCGACAAGTTTAGAACAGCCCGGAGCCAAAATACAAATGCTTCATATGGATGCAAACTCGAGAATAGCAGAACTCTTGCCCTCCTGCCACTCTGTCAGCATTCTTGCGAGTCCTACGGTCCGTCGAGTCATCTTCGATCGCCGCTCTCATCAGTTGTTGCAAACCTTTCTGTGGGTCTCAGCGTCGGAAGAACTTCAGCAGTTTTCATGGCGTTCCCGGGTGGAGAGTTATTATTATCCCGATGTTCTGTGCCTCGATCACTTCAAGCGGCATCGCGCGACAGAACGTCGAATGAAAATACGAAACGAACACGCCGAAGGGTTCATGGCTGCCCTTTTAGAGTTTACTGAGTGGCCTCCAGGCATTTGGGAATTGATGAGAATTACTCAAAAGAAGGACGATGTTTTCAATCATGGTCGTGATCGCTTGCTCTTCCAAGGAATTACGAATAGTGAGCAAGGGCAACTCCAATTACCACACAGACCAATCACCCGCGAGGCATTCTATGCTCTTTTGCCAGAGGTCAATTACGACTGGCGTCTCGCCCACTTCCTCAGCATGCATTCGAGCCCCTTCATCACCATGATAAAAGCACATCTTGCCCCGATGTTAGCAGCGGGAAATGGACCCCTGGAACTGCTCCACGTCCGGAGATTTGACTCAAGAACTAAGACAGCGATGCAAGAGTGTTTAAACCAATGCTCCCTAGTATGCGGCGCCGGAGCCTGGGTACGTCGTAGCACTCTATGGGCAGCCAAAGGCCTAGCGGGCACGATTGATGAACAACCGTGCCCTGACGCCACTACCCCTATGGCCGGTGATAGCATTCGAGTTCTCACAGTTGCTTCCGCATGGTTGTCAGGATTCAATCTAGTCCTCAACAGAGTCTTACGCGAGAACAATGTGGAAGTAGAGGAATTAGCCACCATCCAGGAATCTGTGAATGAACAAGCTTACAACCAGATATCCCGAGACCTGCTGCAAGCATATTCACACCAAGTGGCTTTTGTAACCAAAAAGAAATTGAAAGAGGGGGAGTTACCGAAGCTGTACAACTTTTTCACAAAGAGACCTTTCAAACCCAACCTAAATCTTGCGGTGATCGATTGGGACTATCTTTTCGGTCAAGAAAACAAGGTATTTGGTGTTTATACGCATTTGAAGCGTTTGAGTGACGGAGGGACTACTGTTTGCAACTGGACTTGGATTCCAGCTGGAGTATGGAGAGAAGTCAGAGAAGAAATGGAAAAGGTTCGGGAGAAGAAGCAGACTAAGAAGGAGAACAATAACGATGAGTATTGGCAAAATAAATTTTAGAATAACCAGGCCCACGGGGGCAAAATGAGGTATTCATTGATTATCACGAAGCTATAGAACAGAGACTATCTTAATATAACTTCAGTGCTCTTTGCTCATCAAGTTTCGTTGTGGTGGAACGTACAGTTTATTGTCAAGGTCACCCTTGAACTTGAGGTCATTCCCAAGTCCAAGACGCCATAGATAGTGAGGCATGAACTAGATGTATAAGCCACACGGGCGTCTCCAAAGATGCACAGAGGCGTGTGGTCTTGTGATTTGATAGAAAGTGCACTGATTTCGCTTCGAGAGGCCACATAACAAGATCTACGAAGCACCGGTAGTATCTACAAGGGCTTGTCCTTTTCCAAGGGTCCTTGGGTTCTTGAACTTGGTATCTGTTCACGGGAACAGCCCATGAAACTTGGGTGACAGCAAAGAACTGCTGCTATTGTGAATTCATTGTCCTCTTCCACACATCCGGGTCAGACGTCATGAATCGTATTTCACGCTTTCTATTGTTGCTGCAGAGAGATTTGCTGGGCGGCTGCGTGCCAGTTGCGAGCTCTAGTACGGGGTTTTTGTGGGAGATTCACCAAACTCCTGAACAGTAGAGCGTGTTCCCCTACTTCAACTAGATCGCCGCACAACCTCCTTTCTCTTTTCTACACGCCTAATGCTGGGAAAGAACGAAAACAGCGGAAAAAAGCTCAACAAGTACTTCTTCACAAACCCCATTACTTCTTTTTACAGCCTTCAAAATGCCTCATCCCCGGATCCCGGGCTTCGCTGCTCTTAAGCGGGCCAACAAACTTAACGACCAAGAGGCCCGACCGGAGATACAAGAGAAAGGCATTAGCCTGGTTGAAAGCCTGAGCCTCCGAGGCGTTACCACAGAGAAGACATCTGGCTTGAGAATTGTCAACAATTCTCCTGGAGGTGGACGCCAGGAGAATGTTGTGGCCAAGGTTCCCGGCCTGGAGGGCACCTATGCTGCCGTAATCGACAACCAAGACAGCCTCCTGGAGGCATACAGGATGATTACCCGGGGACGACTGAGTGTGATATTTGCTGTGCCCCCGAACGGCTCGGGGGCCAGCATGACCACCGCGGAAATCCCCTGGAGTGTGCTTAAAGCCTCAGAGGAAGCTGCCCCTTCACAGACGGAGGAGAAGGAGAAAGACGACGAAGAGGACTCTGCGACAATTGTTGCAGATGACGAGACAGTCATCGGCGGCGACGAGAGCACCGGAAAGGTTGCGAAGAAGGCAAAAAACGAGGCCTCTCCCCAGACAACTACCGCCAACCATGACAACCAGCCAGAGAACGACGCGGATGTTCCCTATCCAGACTTGGCTGGTCTAGTTATCTGAGAGTAAGGTCAGTGCAGCCCTGAGCGAGAAGCGGAACAGTTACTGACATTCTATAGGGCATGAACGCCGAGTGTGCACACCAGCGCACGCAGATCCAGTGTTCAATACGAACAGTAAGCGCCCTCGAACCTCCAAATGCTACGCTTGATACTGACTGTCGAGTTTCCAAGGACCCTGAGACCGAGACGATAGCAGGATAAACCGCCGCATTGGGTTGCCGCGAGTGCCCTTCCTTGATTATAGACATGAGTTAGGAACTGAATGCACATTCCCTTTTGCGCCCAAACCGTAGCACGTATGCCGTCGTCGAGTTCGACTTTCCCTTTGTGATTTTCATTTACTGTCACCCAAATTTCGAGGCAAGAGTTAGTAGCGCCCTCTGTGACCCAAGTAGCAACAGTACCCATCTCCCCCTCCACGAAAACATCAACCAAACATCATTCTTTTCTTCACACATCATCACATCAACAAGCTTACGTATCCCGTCGAAAATAATACATTCGTTACCAAAACAGAACTACCATCACAGTCATGTCCTTTAACTCATTCTTTTGCTGCCGCTGCTTCAGAAGAAGCCGTGTCAGGGTCAACAGCCCAAACGAGCAGCCAGAGGATTTGGAGCGCGGCAAGCCTCAGCAAGAGAACGACTTACAAAACAATGAGATCCCGGAAGATGACGACCAGCATGGTGAGCCTCAGCAGGAGAGCGATTTGCAACATAATGATGCTAGGCAACCAGATATTCAGCACAGCGACACCGAGCAAGACGTCCCTCAGCAAGACAGCGATCCGAAACCACATATCGACGCTCTGTCTCAATTCCCTCGATACGATGGCGATTAGTACTACGACGATTATCGGGATGAGGTTCCGCAGGCCAACAATACTCATACCAACGGGGCCCAGAATGGCATGGATTTACAACGAGACAGCGGCACCCAGCAAGATCGGGGGCACAATAGCGTCCATCAAGAAGACAATTTCCTATACAACGTCGCCGCCAAAGTTCCCTTTGACAACACTTGGGCAGGTGTTATAGATAACCCTGAGGGCCTTCGGGAAATTTATGAACGTGGGGAGAGAGATACTGCGAGTGCTATTATGTGCTTTGTACGCGAAGGGCCGAAAAGAAGTGCAGACATGGGTTGGGATTTTCTATTACCATCTAAACGGCCGCGCAGATCAACCAACGGCGGACCTTCCACGGCTGCCCCAGCTGATGGTGCCAATTAGACCTTTCTTATTCTCAACGGCATCTCATAGTGCTGTGGAGTTTGACGACTGCTCGAGATCAGATACTCTCCTTGGTGGATCTATCAACACTCTGGGACGGTTTATCGTCTTGAGACTGTTACAGGATCATGGAAAAGAATGCGATGGTACGTTGGGTCACCCAGGCCAGTCGCACGATGGAAGCTGGCTGTGTTGTGCGCAGAGCGGGCATTCGGGCAAGGGATGGTCTGGATTCATTTGAGCTTTCCTGTACCGGGCATCGCTATAAGCATATTTTTGGGTTACGTTTCTTTATCGTGTCTTCATTTGAGGGTTGGCAGATTATGTCCACAGCTTGTTACATGGAAGGAACTTCAGCGAGTCAATCAGCATTGTTATCACAATAGTCAAGTCAAAGCATGATCAAAGTCTTGCATTGTGATTGGTGAATTATCATCAATTAGCATCGGTATCGAAAATTGGTCTTTGAGGGTCGTGAGGATTTATGTTGTCGAGAATTCCATAGACCTACCCTTCGTCACCCTCGAGTTCATATGACAGTACTGGGTCTAGCGACAACTCTCATCCTTTACGATTTAGATAAGGAATGACTTTATGGTGTTTGTATTCACCGATTTCATGAGGGCAAGGCATCCTTTGGCTGTGTAGTTGGTATAGTGCCTGAAATGTGTATTTGAGAGTGATTATCTTGAGTTGATAGACCCTGTGATAAGGCTGGAGGTCAAAAAAGACTTCAGCCCCAACCCACAAAGGTAAAGAACACAAATTAACACATATGGGCAATATACTCGCCCTCCCTGGTGTTGATAGACCCGACAGCTGATGCTTGCGTCGCGCACCTTACCTCGACACGTTTTGGCGTACTTAATTATGAGAAGACCCTGGATCCTCTCAAGTTTCTCTCATTCTGCTGAAGAGACTGCAAGTAGATGGTGCTCTCAGATGCAGTATATCCATCGCCATCCGTCTTCAGCCCCGCCAATTCATAAATCAGTATCAGCCTTGCGAGAAGAGCACTCCCCATTAGTCGAATCACAATTATCGCAGAGTCTCTCACACTAATAAAGACCAAACTCGACAGGATAAGCGTTCCGAAGAGTGCTTGAAGACAATCGCCTACGTATAAAGCTGAAGCAAGAGTGAGGAACCAGCCCGTGTGTCGTCCGTTAGCTTTGACGCGAAGCTTTGACTGCCATGGTGTTGGTGTAAGTTCGGACCAAAGTCTTCCTCGATCTTCCCATGCGCTTTTCGTCTCGACGGCTATTTTTAATCGTGCGGCGATGTATCCGAAGAAATGAATGGCTAGAGCTGAAGCGGTCCAGATAGCGGGGAGGAAGTCTTCGGCTGGGGCGAATGTGCATACTGCTTGGAGGCAGAGTTGGTATGTGAGATATGCATTGTTTGCGACTGATGCAGCGGCGATGATGTACTCGGCCAACGACACAATCCCCTTCGCTCCAACAAAGCGCGGTACACCAAAAGAAGTTGAAGATTCGGTGCCCATCTTGGTGATAAAGTCATCATAATCCGTCGCCGTAAGCGGCCTGACTCCAGAACTACACATCGCCAACACCACCGCTAATCCCGGTCTTCGATACGCCAATATCGCTGTATCGAGATATGAGGCGCTGAGTAACTGAAGCACTGATGGCGCGAGACCAAGAATGACGGCAGCCGATGCGAGTTCAGCTTTTCTGAATTCTGGCATGGTGCTGAGGATGCAGTCGATGACACCATAGCCTGGACGAAGGGCGGGACTTGATATGTTGAGGTATGCTTCTATTTCGGAGGAGCAGTTGTATTTGAGCTGGTCTTTGAGAAGAGGCTCCCATGCTGGGAAGAATTCTCGGAATTGTTTGTTTGAGCGTCGGAGGGCTGTTGTGGGCGGGATGAAGGAGAGGATGATCACTGTAGAAATAATGAGGTTCAAGTTGCCAAGCTTTGCTGATTGGTGGGCCATTTTGATTGAGCTACGGATGATAGCTTGATCGAAGCTAAGAGTGACGCATATGGGAATAACAACAAGGCTGCCTGAACAGGGAACACCCTCACTTTATGCCTGCTCCATCCATGCTGCACACTCCCAACTGTTCAGCTTCAGCCCCAAATCCTCCATGTTTCACAGCACCAATAGTAAGCAGAATGGTTTCATTATTTCCGGTTAAAATAAGACAGGCCATCTTCAGCCGCCAGCCTTGTTCATGTTCTGCAGTCATGATAGGTAGGTCGGTGGCCTCAATCTGACCAATGTGACTGTCATGCATATCACATGCAGGATGTGAGACATGGGGATGGAAACGGGGTTATTTTTAGGAACGCTGAAGGAGGATCATTTGTGCTGACATGCGAATATCCTAACCATTCCTCAGGGAGCAAGAAGCTTAAGATGTCTATCATGAATGATAGAAGGATAAATGGAGACCTGAAAAGCCTTTAGTAGTCATTTTTATCATTGAAGGAAAAAAGTCCCAATGCTCGCCGCCTCTGGCCATCCAGAAGTTTGGTGTTGCAAACTTTAGTGTCGAAGATATCTCTTGAGTCCTTGGACAGTAATACACCAATGAACTGATTACTAAACAAGCATGTATCTCGGATGACGGCTTATTCTGTCTTTGACTGGGCGAACGGCATCTGATCCGTCTAGGGATCACCATGTTCATTGGCCATCACAGATCTGTGGCTTGCCAATATGAAAAATAGCACTATTCGGATAGTTTGATCGATTAAAACAATGTCATAGAGACCAAAGGCTTAACGATAGAGTTTCAGCTAGGATGTTCGGCATAGCAAGGACACTATAGTCCTTTAATACAAAAGTCATGTAAAGGCTTCTGTTTCTTCCTTGTGAGATACGAATGTCAAGACCTGTGTCCGAATGAATGAGTCAAAATATCAAAAAGATCCAAAACCCTTCGATTCCAAAGTCACATAACACTAGTATTTCAATCCCATCGATAGCATGATGTCTCGAAATATTCTCATCACCGGTGCAGCGGGATACATGTTCGTCTCCCTAATCTTCCTTCGCAAACAACTAATAAAACTAAAGAGGAGGTTTCATCATTGCGAATCTTTTATCCAAGCACCCTGAGACCACTAAACAACAAGTCTTTGCCGCCGTCAGAACAGATGAGCAGGCCAAAGCTCTTTCAACCCTTGGCATCAACGTCCTCAAACTCGATTTATCAGATGAACAGGCCGTTGTTAACGAAATGTCCTCTCACAAAAGTAACAACCTGTTAGTTACAGAACAAAAAGCATATACTGATGGTCTCTAGTTAGTGTCATTGTACACGCTGCTAATTCCATAAATCCGGAGCTAGCCTTGCCTTTGATAAATGCTCTGGCAAAACAAAAGGAGTCAGCTGGGAAGCCAACGCACTTCATCCATGTAGGTTCTTCAGTCGACCCAAGTATGACTTCTGACATCAGCAGACCTCAGGACTGAGTGCATTCTACGCAAACTCAGGCTGGCCCCGCACCGTCAACAAAGACACAGATGCGGTGTTCGAGACGGAGAAGGGGTTTGCAGACTCTTATCCAATCCGAAAGGTGAGTCAGCCTGTATAGCATACGTGCAAGGGGTTGACAATGCAAGACCGACGTCATGGTTATAGAGTATGCACAAGCCCAAGGTGTTACACCATTCGTTATTGTACCATCTATCATCTGTGAGCGAAATCATGCCTTTGCCTTGATTGATATTAATCATTGAACAAGATGGAAGAGGAACTGGCGCGTGGAATTAACTCTCCGTCATGGTACCAGGCCTGACGCAAGCGAGCTTCAAACTTGGAAGAGTCTACAAATTCGACGAGAATATTGCAAGGCCCTCTAATAAGCCCTGAACTTCGAATAATAACAAGTTGTGGTCGTTACAAGCTGTTCATATCAGTGGTCTGACCGCTTTGTACTGTCGAATCATACATGCTGCTCTTAAAAACGAAGAAATACCAAGCGGAAAAGAAGGATATTACTCTGCAGTTGCTCATGAGACGGATATGTGGGAGTTCCAAGATCATCTCGCTGCAGCTATGAAAGCTCGGGGACTTGTGTCAAGCAATAAACCGGAGATGTATTCTAGTGATTAGTTTGCTGCAGACGCAATCAATGTGCCGGTTTAGTTTCTAGATGCTCTTTATAAATCTGGGTAAGTAATTCCTTTGTTTGTTTAAGGCAGCTCTGAGGATGTACAGGGGTAATTTCACGGCGACACGACCACAGAGTATTGGCTGGAAGCCAAAGTGGGATAAGGAGCGTTTTTTGAAGAATATAGATTCTGAGATTGAGGATGTTCTTGAGTTGGGGAAGGCAAAGAGTAGTTTGATTGATTCTTTGATTGCTGCTGTTGGGAGGTCACACTGATATTACCCATCGTTGAAAACACATTCGTACCGTGCACAACTCTACGTAAGCACATCTATCAATTACAGACAGCTAAGAACCCCCAGCAAAGTCTGTAGGCATAATTTCCATCTCCCACTTCCCGGATATTAACTCTTAGCACATTATAGTGTATACATGTGCTTCTAAACTATCCCTAGCAGTTAATTTGACATAACACTTATCTGTGTTCCCTCACGTGTTTAGCGATTTCAAAGCTAGATATAAGAATATCATAATAGAGGAGAGTAAAGCCCATTGTCAGCCGCTAATCTAATAATTTGCTCCCACTTCAAGTCCCATATATCTTTACACTTGGGTCTTCCTGTACGTCTCATCTCTTCAACCTCTCTCATTACCCAGTACATTAAACAGCCCGTCTCGTATCCCCCTTTAAGCATCTGGTTCAACTGTAAAGTTTAAACAATCAAGTCACTCAAAAGCTGGCAGTAACATGCGGCTCGAGCTCTTTCTCCGTCCACTCCCACAACCGATCGCGAAGCTGACTATTCTTGCTCAGCGACGAACCCTTCCCCTGTACACCGACAGGAAAGTAAAAAGCGCCAGACTTCACATCAGGACTAGTTGCCGTCCACAGATGATTCAGCGTCCCCTCCTCGATGCTCACAGTAACGAACTTCATGGCAACCTTGAACAAGGCGGCCATCAAAAAGTTGTAGTCTTTAACCACGGGGCCGCTGAGGTTCGTTGCAATGACTCCCGGATGAATACTCACAACTTTGAGGTCTGGGTGGTGATTTGCTAGTGCCTGGGCGTAGTGCACGGCTGCTAGCTTGGACTGGCCGTAACGAGTCCATGTTGAGAACTTGGGCAACGTGGTCTTTAGTTCATCGAAGAGATAGGAGTTCTTGGGTGCCATGTTCTCAAGTTCAGAGCTGAGAAAAATAACCCGTGCATCGGTAGATATGGCGGCGGTTGCTTTTAGGGTTGGCAGCAGCAGGGTTGTGAAGAGCGCAGGGCCGACATGATTTGTCCCAAACTGTATCTCGTATCCATCCTCCGTCAGACCCTCTGGTACAGCCATGATACCAGCATTGTTTATCAGAATGTCCAATCTATCGGACATGGATCTGAATGTAGAAGCTGCTGCCTTGATGCTCGCAAAAGAGCCTAGATCAAGCTGGAGAAAAGTAATAGGTCCTGCATTAGGATTCTTCTTGCGGAGTGTCTTGATAGCTTCGTTGGCCTTTTCTTCCGATCTGGCTGCTAGGTATATGTGTTTTGGCTTGTGCCTGGACAGCTGGAAGATAACTTCAAAACCTAACCCAGTGTTCCCTCCTGTGACTAATATCACCTTGCCCGAGAGGTCAGGAATATCTTTGTCTGGGCTAAAGGATACGCCTTTTGTCATGGTTGAGATCCGTAGCTCACGTTTGTAAGAGAAATATTAAATCCAGTATCATAAGCCACTTTTACTTAAGGGAATTCACTTATTTCCTCACTAAACTCACTGGCATTTATACTAGTTAACATTTGGAGAATTTACTTAGGTATAGTAATGTTTGTAGTTTAAGTTTGAACATGTGGGCCAGTAAGTGACATCTAGTTCCATTTCTATTCGACAATCAGGCCTAAACGAAACCAACGCTAGAGCTGCTTCGAGCTAGCCATCCGGTCTCAGCATATACGGACGTATACACAAGCGCGAACTCCTTCGCGCGCGGCTTGGTTAATGCACCGGTACCGACATGAGCCCACGCGTCTGTTCTCTTAGAGCTGCGCAGGGTGCAAGTGCCGGTTGCATCTAAGGAGAAAACACATTAGAGCCTCGCACATCGGAAAATACAGAAAAGTGCGAGGGAGACCGAAAAACTATGATGCCATGCCTATATACGAATATCATACCCTTTGTCACGGCCTTACAAGCTATTGTTAAAAGTCCGTTGCTTAGCAATCCGATAATTCTACTTTATTCTTTAGAAGCAATGTCGATGAAGCGTGTTTACTACAAGTATAAGGAACCATTCTCATGTCTTCTCTACCAGGCTTCCCCTTACAGCACCATTAAACATCAACAATCAGCAATTACCAAGTTGCCTATCATTAAGAAATCATACACCAAGAGCATATCTTTTGCCAACTCACAACCCTTAAGCATTTTAAGATCCCGACAGAACCAGAACGCAATGTCTCAGAATCGTGGAGCCGTCAACCCTGCAGCCCGGGCACCCCTCGAGGTCAGGACCCTCGACACACCTACCCCAGGACCCGGTGATATCCTCGTCAAAAACGAGCTTATCGCCATCAACCCAGTCGAGGTCAGCATCACCAAGAACGATCTGTTCAAATCCAAGTACCCCTGTGTAATCGGCACGTCGTTCGGTGGTGAGGTCATCGCTGTTGGCGAGGGTGTCTCCGACTTCAAGGTTGGAGACAAAGTCGCCGTCTATGCCAGCCCAACCGATGGCGACAAGTATGCTGCCTACCAGGCCTATGCGTTGGCAAAGGTGGACACGACCATTCTCGTCCCAGAGGGCGTTGATCTGGCTGTCCCTGTGAGCATGAACGGGAACCTGACAACAGTCGTCGGCATGATCAGCGCCACAGCCGGAGTGCCCAAGCCAGACATCGAGAGCGAAGTAGCCTCTACTGGCAAGAAGATCCTCATCTACGGAGGGACTTCTAACCTGGGTAGCTTGGCTGTACAGTATGTTCGCCGGGCAGGCTACAGCGTGGTCACCACCACCTCGCCCAAACACAAGGCCTTTGTTGAAGCTCTCGGCGCCGATAAGATCATCGATCACAGCCAGGATCGTGACACCCTTGTTAAGGCCTTCATTGCCGAGGGGCCATACGATATCGTCGTCGATACTATCTCCTATCCCAACACTGTCAGCATACTTGCCGATGTTCTAGCCGCCCAAGGCGGTGGTACAGTCTACGCTACCATGCCCCCCTTTGGCCCGGAGACACTGCCCCAAGGTGTGGTCCGTCATTTTACTTCATGGCCATTTGTGCTGTATAAGGAGGGCAATGAGCACTTCATCAGATGGGCTTTTCAAGAGTTCTTTGCTAAAGGTATTGCAAGTGGCAAGCTCGTGCCGACGCAGATTGAAAGGGTTAGTGGCGGGTTCGAGGCGGTTAACTCTGCTTTGGATATCCTGGGAAAGGGTGTCAGCAACTCCAAGGTTGTTGTTGAGCTTGAGAAGTAAGAAGAGGTGGATTATTAGAAGATTCTAGTAGACTAGATATAGTTATAGATGACATACGAAATAGACTAGTGTTGCAGATAAGGATTTTATTCCACCTAGAGTAAAGCAAATAATTATAGTTAAACTCTATATCCTTGATTTGAAACAAACAACAGTCATGGTTTTTGCTAACCAATCACCCTCCCTTGTAAGCTTGACAGAGTATTATCCAAGTTCCGCTCCTCAGGCTAATTTTTACGAGATGAGTCCATAGTCGACGTCGGAGGCAGAGGGTTAATTGGGGTAAGGAGTATAGCGACAGACGCTGGGTCAGTCCAGCTCTAAGCTCATCAAGAAGCTCTCCGCTGTCACGTTACAAGAATGGTCTGGAGCTGGAAGAGAAATTTGGAAGTTAGTATCAGGACGATATAAAGTAAATTCTGCCTCGGTTTACATGAAGCATGGAAGATAGTCGCTTCGTCCAAGGCTGGCGGTTGTTATGGCATTGGACTTGAATACGTTGTTTTTTAAAGCATGGGGTTTGAAGTTAGAGAGATGCTAGCATGTCTCGACTGAGCTTAGACTGGCAGCGCTTTAAATAGAATAGACATAAGCTCCAACAAATACGTAGAGAAGAAAGGTAAACGGACGAACAAGGCGGTAATGGTGATCCAAGATCTCGATATGACCCTGAGACACCATATCACGCTACCACTTTCTAATGCCTGCAGCATCCCTATATAGATCAAAAAGGAAATTCTCAACCTTCTATGCTCCGAACCTCCGAAAGTTACTTAATTCAACTCAGCTATGATCCAATCGTTCTTATCCTTGTATACGAGACGGTTATTCTAGAATACGCGGCTTCACTTCTATTGCTGGGGAAATTAAAAACTCGAGTCGTGATTGGTGGAGTTTTTGACTAGGTCAGTCGGTAGTCGGCACTCGATGGGGCTATAACTTACCAGATATGATCATATCGTCCGAATAGGAGTTTCAGGTCAAACACGCAGCCAATCTCCGAAGCACGGATACTTTTGGGGGAAACATTATAAAGAAGCCGCCAAGGCTCTGTCTACTCTTCAATTCATCTCTAGTCCATTCATTCAGCCCTACAGTTTCAGTTCCACATTACATTCCTTTCACCATGAAGTTCTTCACTGCTTTCTCTGCCCTTTTGGCTGTCGCTTCAGCTACGCCTACTACTCCTTCCAAGACCCTTGATAAACGAGCTACCACCTGGTGTGATGCTTTCGGGTCCCTTCAAACCGAAGGATACACCGTTTACCACAACAACTGGGGTAGCGGCCAGGCTACCTCCGGTTCTCAGTGCACTACCTTCAACTCTGTCAAGAACAAGTCCTTCTCATGGTCTACTAAGTGGAGCTGGGCCGGTGGAAACATCCACGTCAAGAGCTACTCCAACGTCGCTCTCGAGAACATCAACAAGAAGGTCTCAGCCATCAAGTCCATCCCCACAAAGTGGACATGGCGCTACAGCGGAACCAACATGGTTTCCGATGTATCCTACGATCTGTGGCTTGCTCCCTCCGTCGGTGCTGCTAACAAGTACGAGATTATGATCTGGGTTGGAAGCTATGGTGGTGCTGGCCCTATCTCCGACTCTGGATCTACTCCCCTTGCGACGCTCACCATCAACGGCGCTCAGTGGAAGCTCTTCCGTGGACCTAATGGCGATACTACTGTTTACTCTTTCGTCGCTACCAAGAACCAGGGCAACTTTGAGGGCGATCTTCTTCCTTTCCTTACGTACCTTACCAAGAGCCAGGGTGTTCCTAGCAGCTATGTTGCCACTAGCTTCCAGGCCGGTACTGAGCCTTTCGTCGGTAAGTAGTATCTTGTGTCTCTATTAGAATGTGTTCTGAAGCTAACTTTTTAGGTTCCAACTGTGTCTTCTCTACCTCGGCCTACAGCCTCTCTGTCAACTAAACTGCCTGCAGTGCAGATTAGCCGGCTAGTCTTTTCTTGTACCATAAATATGTCCATTGTATATAACCTGAAATCTGTCTGTCATAATTCAATATCTCTGAGAGAAAGAGCTTGGATTCAATCTGTCCAAACTTCTATGAAATGTCCAAGCACCCAAGGCTATCGAATTTCAATCGTCTCAATCTTGGCTCTCCCTGGTGCCAGAAACTCCGAGACCTCGCCATTCATCAGACCTATCATAAAGCAACACCCAACAGAAAGGTAGTGGTCATCCTCGGGACGGAGGACTGCAAGCTCGCTCGAGCCTGCAAGAACACAAACCACATCTCCAGGCAACACATCTTCTGACATCGTGCCGATATAGCCATCCTCGGTTGTGAATAACTTGTTGCCGTCGAAACTTTGTCCCGCCTCCAACCACTCGGATAGTACTGATTTAACATAGGGTTTTTGAGACCATTCCATACCCAGTTTCGAGGTCACAAGTTTGCCCGAATAGTATAGCCAGCAGCCTGTGCAAAGACCTACGTCGAAAGCATAGTTTTCATAGGCTTCTTTTCGTAGCAGAGTGCAACACAGTACCTCTAATACGGTTTTGCCGGTGGGGTGCATATCCTTTGATGACTGGGTAAAGGACATGATACATTGTTGTAGTCCATATGACGTGAGCGTATTAGAAATAGTCTTTTCATAGACAGTCTTTACAACTTGGATCTTGATTCCCTTGACCCATATGCTATCACAGACAATAGCTATGGACAGGCGGTTGAATAGCTCAGGCACTGTAACAAATGCTGAGCGACGCTCTGTGGGGTCTCTTACGATTGCCTTTCGCCTGTCAGCTCTTGAAAACACAGGAACCCAGCTCGGGAGCCCGTAAAGACGTTTCAGGCCAACATCATGGCTGTTCAAGAAGCTAGAGAGTTCATATCGCCATTCGTCTTTGCATAGGGCCTCCCAATTCTGCTTCTTTGCCCTCTTCTGTACTGATTTCCAGAAGGGCAAAGCCCATGTCATGAACTCGAGATTCACTTCACGAATGGACTTGGAATAGTCGGGTGCTATTGGCGACTTGGTGACAGCCAAGAGGCCATAGATATAATCCAAATCGTTAGAGGCCTCAGAACCCAGAGCGAAGTACAGGCCCAAGTGCCACATACCATATGCAGGCATTTTATTTGTATCGATGAATCCTTGAGAGACAAATCGGGTGAAGAAGAGGTGGAAGATTCTGGAGAAAGCGAACCTTAGCCCCCTGATGTTGAATCGCGGGGCAGACTCCATGCTCGTGTTAGTCATGTACTGCATGTAATCATCAAGACCAACTAATACCACGAAGCATAACGAATGCTGTAGAGAGCAATTTCGAGACAGTAGGTATAGCCTTTTTGCAAGTATTACCTATGGTGAATCCACACTCTGTTCCAGAAATTGAGTTGACAGAAATTGAAAACTGGTCCGTAAGGTCCCTCGAGAATGATATCACGGTTTAGTACATCAAAAAGAGTAGTTTATGTGAAAAGAGCCAGGAAAGCTGTTTAGGCTCCCAAGAAAGCCTGCCGTAGCAGAGCTTGAAAAGTTCTAAATCTGTAAGACCTGCAAACTTGATCGGTCCAGCCTTTTCCTCGGTGATGCGGACTATCCGTTCGAAAACATCGAACGCTTTGATGACATCGTCATCGTTTGAAGAAAGCCAAGCCAGGACCATTGCCGCTGAAGAATATATATCCGCCATCATGCTGACTTGGTGCAGTCTTTCAGTTAGGTCATCTTGGTTGATACAGAGAGAGCATCAGCCCACAAGCGAAACTTAGAGGTATCAAGGTCGGGATCTGACTTCCTTTCGATCTCAGTCCAATGCCTCTTTACATGCCGAAGTGCAGTAGCAAGGGTGACGGTAACTCGTCGTGGGACACCATCAACAATAATCTCTTCAGTGACGTTCGGGTCACCCCAGACGTAGGAGATGCAAGTGTAGTAAAGATCCGGTGTAAGAAGGACGATGTGCAGTTTGCAGTTGACTTTGCCGTCAGGAGGGTTGGGGAGGATCTCAAGAAGACGTATTTCTCGTTGATCCTTGTTGAGGGGTTGATAGACGAGTGGAGATGCCTCTGTATCTTTGCTGGGAGACGCCATCTGGTGCAAGGCTGACCAACAACTGGTGAGATTGACTTGTAGTTGGTGAGGCGTACCAGCAGTTGTTGAGATTGATGGAGGATGAGCAAGTCTGCCTTGCGAGAGATACTTTATATAGGTATTCTGGGTTACACATAAGGCTGCGACTTCTCAGGTTGTTTTCTGCTTGACAGAAGTATCACGCTATATTATGGTAAAGGGGGTTGATCTGAAAGCTTGATGTCAAACAGGTTTGTCAGTTGGATGATGATTGATGATTTCTCTCTCTCTCAACACTTCTGTCAGTGTATTTCATCCGTCTCAGACAATTTCTCTCAATCTCTTACACCTATAATGTCAAGCTTGTAAAAGGCACACGGATTGCTGACTAGGCAGAGGCTTGGCTTTATTCTCAAGCTTGACATGAAACTTTTCATAGGGGAATCAAACGTCACAAAGTGAAATCAGATGAATCTCACGGGCACTCGAATTAAACTTTGCCAATTTAGAGGAAACAATTGGCTTTATATTTGCTCAGTATCAGTGATTGAATGGAAGACAATTCATGGGCTTGTCGGTAGGCATGATGACTGTTTTTGCTTGTATCTCAAACTTTTGGCATAGCTATCTGATTTCAGATTGTCTATAGATTCAAAACGAATACATTTTGATCTTCTTAACTCGGTTTTGGTGATTGGCAAGTCAGAAAACAGCACAGTGCCAAACATGACATAGTCCTCATAACTTCACTTAGATAAGCACAGTGATACAGCGTCGCACAAAAGGATTGCCCGCAACTGAATAAAGCCAAGAGGACCTCACTGTTTGCTAAGAGACAGATTTATTCGGCCAAGCGACTTGTGGCAAGCTAGACAGAATTTTTCTTCCTCACAATTCAACCAAGCCAATAGCTCAGTGGCCAAGACGCGGCGCATAAACTCTCTACCGATCGGCGAACATGATTGATCAGATAAGATTAGACAATGAACCGACGCTAAGACACCACTGGAATGCTTGACCTGAGACTGTGTCTAGTGGCTTGAGTAAAAAACCCAATGCTATGCCAAGAAACGCATTACACAACGTCCAAGACTAGCCCAACCGAGGAACCGACATCATACGATGTCGCAAGAACAATAAATCGAAGGATCAAAGCTGTAGTGGATGTGATGCAGCTGAGATCGACGACCAAGTGGGTTGATGCACATCCAATTCACAATGAGACGTTATCAGATCGATCCCACGTTCACTGACACATTGTCTCTTCACCCCACGCCTCGCCTCAATCCTTCGCCGACATGTAATCCTCGGCCGGCGATTTATCTCATCCGCGGCACTTTGACATAAAGTCGCGTGTCCAAACCTCCCAATATCCGATAGCCTGTCCCCTAGATCCCTTCTAGACCAAGCTCTGTGGATATTCCATCAAATTTTTTATATCCGCCAAGGAATTTCGGGACCCGACGACGTGGAATGATATCCCAAAGAGGAACTCATCCGTCCACCAAGAAGCTTAGGTTACGCACAGCTTCTTGCAATTGGGCCCTCGAATTGCCGGCCAAGAGGCGGATTCTCGAGTGGCATGTTATCAATCAGTCCCTTAACCCAATGCAGCTTATATCCGCGTCATCCGGGTGCACTATCAGATTTTTTCACCCTTCGCTCGCTGGGATTTTGTGGACCAGAGCGAACGTTGCATTCTGAGGACAGCGCCGAGGGTTGAAGATCCCTTCCTTTTGGAGGATGCATCGGCGAAACCGCAGGCAGCTGTTTAAACATCCTTGTCCTCTGTGATTTGACAGAGAAGGCAAATATGTCTGTGGATCAGTGGGTTTTGCTACCCTCGGCTGACTTGACTAACGCCAAGACTGAAGAGTCGCTGTCGCTAATCATTGAAACTCTGTCTTTGTACGAAAGTTTATTGTGTTGAAGATCAGAAACTCCCTTCACGGGTTGTACTCTACGATGGTCTCAAGCACGGTAACGCTGGCAGTAAGATAGTGCGCATAATTGGGTGCAAGTAGACATCATCCGCCACCATCATCATGATCAAAAATCCCCGTCGCTGCACGCTACGGACGATACTAATATAGCGCATCAGTGGTTCACAAACTCGCATGACGCCCCTCCCTATCAGATCCTCCGAAAAGTCTTCACTCGGCACGTTAAAGTTATCTAATCAATCTGAGTGGATCTACCCTCACATCCTATAAACCTTCCATCCTCCCCCCCATCAACTCCTCCACCATGCGCTCCCCTCTGTTTGCATGAACCTTTCTCTCAGTGCATGAACTCCTCTCGAGATTCACCATGACCTCCCCAGAGAAAACCCCCGACAACGACCACGGCCATGAAGTCCCCTCTTCAGCCGCCGACGCCGTCCGGGACATCACATCCCCCGGTGTCCAGCGCATCAAGGCCATGTCAGAGGTGATTACCCTCACCGACCGCATCTTCATCTTCTTTGGCGTCTTCCTCATCGCCTACGCCTACGGTCTCGACGGCACCGTGCGCTACGCCTACCAGCCCTCCGCGCTGAACAGCTTCGAGGAGCACTCGCTTCAATCGTCCGTTAATACCCTCCGCGCCGTCATCGCAGCTGCTGCGCAACCTACTGCGGGAAAAATCGCAGATGTATTTGGTCGTGTGGAACTCATTTGCATATCTGTGTTCTTTTATACCATTGGCACGGTCATTGAGGCTGCGGCGCAGAATTTGGATACGTACTCTGCTGGTGCGGTTATTTACCAGATCGGGTATACCATGATTCTGTTACTTGTGGAAGTCATCATTGGAGATATCACTTCTGTTCGATCGCGTTTGTTCTTTAGTTACATCCCCGCTCTGCCCTTTATCATCAACACATGGGTCAGCGGCGATGTCACAGAAGCTGTCCTTGGAGCCACGACTTGGCGATGGGGAATCGGCATGTGGTGCATCATCTACCCCGTCTGCGCCCTCCCTCTCATCATCAGTCTTCTCGTCGTTGGACACCGCGCAAAGAAGGCCGGCCACCTCGTCGGCTACCGCTCATCATTCCAACAGCTCGGCTTCAACAAACTAACCGTCGAGCTCTTCTGGCTTCTTGACATCATCGGCGTAATCCTCCTCATCGCCGTCTTCGCCCTCCTTCTCGTCCCCCTCACCATCGCGGGAGGTTTCGAGAGTAAATGGTCAGACCCTCAGGTCGTAGCCCCCCTTGTCATCGGCTTCGTCTGCATTCCCGTCTTCGTCGTATGGGAGCTCCGCGCTCCTCACCCCTTGGTGCCCTTCCACCACATGAAGGATCGCTCCGTCTGGGCCCCCATGGGAATCGCATGCATGCTCAACTTTGCCTGGACAATGCAGGGCGATTATCTCTACACCGTTCTCCAGGTCTCCTTCAACTTCAGCATCAAGGCCGCTACACGGGTGCAGTCGCTCTACTCCTTCGCGAGTGTCATCACCGGCACAATTCTCGGTCTTATCGTGTACAAGGTGCGCCGCTTCAAGGTCTTCATCGTAGCAGGAACATGCCTTTTCCTCGTCGCCTTCGGCCTTCTCATCCGATACCGCGGCGACCCCAGCTCCGACAACAAATCTGGTGTCATTGGTGCACAGATTCTCCTCGGTATCGCGGGTGGTATGTTCCCATACCCCGCGCAAGCCTCACTCCAAGCCTACGTTACCCACGAGCGACTCGCCGTCATGACAGGTCTGTACCTCGCGCTGTACCAGGTCGGCTCGGCCTTTGGAAACGCCGTCTCCGGTGCCATCTGGACCCAGGTTCTCCCTGTGCGACTTGCCCAGAGCTTCTCCAGCTTCGGAAACGAGACTCTCGCAGTGTACGCCTACTCTCAACCTCTGTCTGCCATTCTCGACTTCCCTGTTGGTTCTGACGAGCGTGATGCCATGATTGATGCGTACAAGCATGTTCAGCGCCTGCTTACCATCACTGGTATCTGTCTTTGTGTTCCTCTCATCGCGTTCTCGCTGTGCTTGCGTAACCCCAAGCTCACCGATCAGCAGAACTTGGTTGAGGACGAGAAGCCTGGTGCGGCTGCTGAGCGCTCTTCGGCATCTGCTTAGAAAAGTCAAAAGTATTCAAAGGTTGTATGTAATGATGTAATATGGTAATTGATCTGGCCTGGGGCTATTTGTTTAATTTTCTGGTTCTCTGTGAACATGTCATGAATTGATCAACTTAGTTGAAGTTTAATTGATGCTCTGTGAGGTCAGTCGTCTTCTCATCCCGTTTGTAGGCCCAATTGAGGTCAGTCTGGGCATGGTTGCATGAATTGGTCAATTGTTATGCACAATAAGACCCGCCCAAAGATCTACGTCCATCTCGAAGCCCAGCGATCCTCAGTTCTGAGTACAAGCCAAGTTCTTCTGGTATTCTGATCGAAGCGGCCGAAGCTGCATTTGATGTCCACATGAACAGGCTCACACCCAATTGATCCTCATGATTGATGTACCTCGATAGTCAATTTATTTGACCAGAGCTGTACCAATGCCTGTCAAGAAATCCTCAGCTGAGAAAGGCCAAGAACTGATAAACTTTTTGATATCCAACACGTACCTGCATATCTGAATTCATCACCAATCAACCCCCCCCCCCCCAAGAATGTCGTCCCGCTGCCAGACACCTCATCTCATCACACTGCAAGGAACAAGCTTATCTTCTCTTCTAACTCTGTCCAACCCACGAAAATGCCAAATCATCCCGTCTATACCCTCAGATCACGGAGCTTTCATTCCAGTCCAAGATCGCCGCAGCTTCATCTTTATCGCATCATTATCGTCTACATGTCATCAAGATATCCCGTCCCTTCACCCAACTTCTCTTGACCAATCCATTTTCTTCCTCAACGGTCGCATCAACGGGCTTCCTCGTATTCTCTGCATACAAAAAAAACCTCCGAAGATACCGTTTCTCACACAGCATGTGGTTCGTAAGCCATTGTGACACGTGTTGATAAGGTTCTCATCTAAAAGTACGAGATTTCCCCCAAGAACACCCAAACTGTGGTTATTTAAAGCTGATTCCAAGGATGATCCTTTCTCTGTGGCTTGCGATATTGACGGGCCTCAAAAATATCTGGTAATATATTGGTCTCATCAGCCGATCTTAATCTGTTAGTAGTGGTGTTTTATGCTGTGCTACACCAAAAGTTAAAATGGCTTACTCCTCAAACTCGCTGCGCTGAGACCTCAAGAAGTCATTCTGTTGAGCATCATACAACTAAAATGGGTATATAAGATATGACTTTGTCGTTCAATGCTGGATCATCAAGTGGCCTAGAAGGCATGCGTTCGTTACAGTCATTCGTCTAAACCCTCATCATGAAGTCAATCACTCTCCTTATCGCCTTTCTGGTAGGCTTTTCTATCGCATCTCCATGGAGCACGCTCTTCAGTCGTTCTCTTGACAGACGACAAGCTGGACGATGCGGAACTGGCTTCGGAACAGTCTGCGGACGAAATGAATGCTGTTCCAGCGCTGGGTAAGTCACTCACTCCTCCTTCAATCACGTACTGACCTTCGAAGATGGTGCGGAACTGGATATCTTTACTGCTCCGCCCCTTCGTGTCAGATCGAGTATGGTCCTGGCTGCGACGCAAACGTTCGTCCAGGTGGCCCTGATACAACGAATGTAGCTCGCCCGAAAGTTGGAAGTATTCCGTATGGCCAAGCTATTTATCGGTGTAACCGCAATGGAGACATTGCGTTGACGTATGATGATGGACCGTATACTTATACTGAAGACCTTCTCAATCTCCTCCAGGTACGTCACAAGCTCACTTCAGTATCTCTCTAACAATCACAGCGATACAATGCTAAAGCGACATTCTACATCACCGGTCGCAACCTCGGGAAGGGCGCTATCAATGATCCAGATACACCATGGCCAGTTCTCATTCGGCGCATGGTTCGAGACGGCCATCAAATCGCCAGTCACACATGGTCGCATCAACGTCTCACGACCTTAAGCCGCTCCAAATTCTGGAACCAGATGATTTACAACGAGATTGCATTTGCTGATATTCTCGGTTACTTCCCTACTTACATGCGTCCTCCCTACTCTGCCAGTAATACCACTACAGATGCTTGGCTGAATGAGCTCGGGTATCATATCACGTACTTCAATCTGGATACAGAAGGATATCTACACGATAGTCCAAACATGATCAGCACATCTAAACAAATCTGGGATAATACCGTCGAGGGTAGAAGTCCGGCTACCAACAAATGGCTTCACATCGAGCATGATCCCGTGTATCGGACAGTCTACAACCTGACAGAATACATGCTCCGCTCCATCCGCCGCAACAACTTCACCGCCGTAACAGTAGGTCAATGTCTCCAAGACCCCCCATCAAACTGGTACCGCACCGTCTCCTCCTCCCCTTCCCCCACATCAACATCCTCATCGTCCCCAACATTCCCCGCCACGACAAACGGTCGCTGCGGCTCACGACACGGCGGCGCAACATGTCGCGGCGAACCCAACGGCGAGACATGCTGTTCGCAAAACGGCTGGTGCGGCGGGACGAGCGACCACTGCGGTAGAGGATGTCAGCCTGTGTTCGGGACGTGTAGAGACACGCCCGAGCCAGCGGCGCCAGGGAGATGCGGAGCTGCGCATGGGAGCGCGAGGTGTACGGAGAGTGGATGGGGATGTTGTTCGAGGGCGGGATGGTGTGGGAGTACGAGTGATCATTGTGGGACGGGCTGTCAGAGTGATTTTGGGACGTGTAATTAGCGTATCTACTGGGTCAGATGTGTAATTAATTGGGTATGTGTACAGAGTGCTAGACTAATGTGTTGGAGAGTGGAGGAGGAGGATGAGAAGGATGTAATATTACTCCCGAGGGAACCCCCGATCTCCATTGATCTACAACATTGTCATCAGCTGTGATGGCAAATGCTCGGAGGGAATTATGCCGATTCTTGGCTGATGTTTAGAGCGTTGTGGTTAATTTAGTCGTATTAATTTCAGGGGCAAGCCATTCAAGCCACGAGCGTGATGCTTAATTTAGCGGAAGCTTGTTTACATTGGTCATTTGACAAGGCATACTCTCCCTGCCCTCTGCTGCATATTCCCTTGCCTCTTTCGGCTCTCTCTCAGTCTGTGTCCAGAGTTTAACTCTATGCAGCATTCTTTCGCACTCGATACGAATACTACATTCCACGGCAATCGACGGTCAGACTCAGCTTGACGTAAACGCTCTCCACACCAAAACGCACGCCAAGCCTTCAGCCCCAGACAGCAGCAAGCTTGGGTGGGTTTAATTGGTCAATTTGCACGCTATCCTTTCAGCTCAGGCTTTGATTGACGCCAAAACATTCGCTACCCCTGAGTATGCTGTAGGGCTGATTCGTGACTGGATCACGGCACATGGACCATAACTAATATCACATTGGCGAGACATGGTGAATCCTTCGGGCGGTGGGTGGAAATGAAGTGAGACTAGCTACGGTACTAGACAGGCCATTTACTGGGGAATATAAACTATTAAAGGATGGCTTGATCCTCTTGTTCTGCCTGTCTCTCCCTTCACCACCACTCTCTCTATCTTCAGTCTATCTCAAGTTTAGATACCTCAGACCTTCAAAATGCAGTCCATCATCCTCACCTCCCTCCTCGCCACCGCCGTGAGCGCCAACTTCATGGCCCACCCCCTCATGAAGCGCGATCTCCTCGCTCCCCGCGCAACCGCCCCAGCCGTCGGCGGCATCACAGGAGAGTGCCAAACCGCCATCCTCGACGTCTACAAGACGCTCCCCACGCCTCCCCCCGCCATCGTCTCCGACCTGACCGAGAACCCCCAGACGGACCCCTGCTCCTTCAGCACCCCCGCCTCCCTCTCCAAGGACTACGCCAGCTACAGCTCCCAGATCCTCTCGTGGTACAGCAAGAACGAGGACGAGATCAAGTCTGCGCTGTCCGAGTGCCCTGAGCTGAGCCAGTATGCCACCGCCGTTCCTGTCTGCGCTACTGCTGCTCTTGGTGGAAAGGGTGGTTCCGGGGATGCTACTACCACTGCTGAGAAGCCTGAGAAGACTTCTGCTTCTGGTGACAAGACCACTGCTGCTGCGGGTGAGGAGACTTCTGCTGAGAGCGAGGCTTCTACTCCTACCTCTTCTGCTGCTGCTGTTGAGACCAACGGTGCTGCTCGTGAGGGTGGTTTCATCTACGCTGCTGCTGCTGTTGCCGGTGTTGTCGTCGCTGCTCTGTAAGAGGCCTTCGACAAGGAGAAGTGGTTGGCTATCTGTGAGATTTAAGTTTATCTGCTTTTAATACAAGACATTTCTCTTTCACAAACCTCGTCCAAATGTAATCATGAGCACCATCAAACATGTGTGAACGTCGTCTCAATGTAGTCATGACATCCAGTCTAATGATTGTCCATCATCCAACCGTTTGAGTGTAACGCCACATCCATCGGCTTGGTCTCACTACAGTCCAAGCTTATTTTGATGATTGGCATTCTTTGTTTGACTACATTGACTCACAGACACTCCATTTTGTGTCAAACAACATGTACTAACAAACAACCAGCTACAGTTGACATTCCATGACATTCACTGTCATCCCTGCCCTCAACGCCAAGACACTTATTCGATCCTGCCAAACGCCGCAACAAAGAAGATGACAATTCCACATGGAGCTCCTTTCCTCATGGTTCAAAGACCGTTTGATCTGCCTCTTTCATCATTCATAAATACCATATCGTCCCCCTCTCTGCTCAACCAGAATCTCTCAACTTACAACTTTAACCATGGACGCAAAACTCACCATCGCCGACAAGTTGGGCCGCGGGCTCACGAACGGCATCTTCTTCGTGACTCGCAAATGGAAGGTCATCATGCTGAGCTACGTCTTCATCATCTCGATCGGCAGCGCTCTTCTCTACCTTCACGACGGTTCGTCTCTCTTCTTCCACGTTTCCCTCTCTGTCCTTCTCCGTACCCTGCTCTCACATCATTAACATCTACTAACACCCTCAGAACAACAACCCTCCCTCCACACCCGAAGCTGGGGCGGTTTCGACGAACGTCCCCGTACAGAGAAATGCTACCGCCAAGAACGCACCGCCATGATTCTCTCCCTCCTCTTCGGAACTCTGGGTGTCGACCAGTTCTACGCACATCACTGGCCTCTCGCTGTGTTCAAACTCCTCACCGTCGGGGGTTTGGGAGTCTGGGCGTTTGTTGACATGATCCTTTGGATTGTTGGCGGTGTGTATGGGACGCCTGGATGTCCTGGGGGGAGTTCCAAGGGATGGCAGTATTAGGATGGATGGGGAGAGGGAGCTGTTAGTGGGAGTGAGCAGTCAGTTATCATTCTTTGTTGATGGATTATATTAGTGGTGTTGGCGAGATTGCAGTGGTTTGGTGATGGGTTAAAAATAAAAAATAAAAAAAAAAGATAGCAAGTCATTCATTCTTTGGAGTTTAGAAATGTCGGTTGACTTACACGAAGTGACTGAAGCTGCAAGTCTACGGCACAGTTTCCTTTTTGAGATCGCTCAGCCTCATCTTCAGCTCGTACGGCTTCGATACAGATCAGAACCTGACATCAAGATTGATCACTGCGCTGAACACCATTTCGGGATCCAGTTGAGGCTTGCCTTCAATAAAGCCACTTCACAAAGGCACATCTGAACCCCCGTCCACCAACACAGCCATGTCATTGATGTCACAACATGTCACTACAGCACAAGACTCCATCACATATCTCAAATAACTGCCATGTTTCTTTTCATTATACTCATTGATGCCATAGCAACCCTGACGAAATGACCAATCCTTTTCTACACCAGCCATCTAAGCATAAAATCACATATCACATTCTACTCCTCGTCCTCCTCACTCTCATCCTCAGCTTCCGGCTCGCTCTCAGCCTTCTGTCCATTAACGGGCTCCGTCACACTCACGCCGCCCTCCTTCTCAAGTTTGAGCCACTCATCCCACTCGGGGAAGAGCTCGTCGTCTTCACCGGGAACACCGATCAACTTGGCCACCCTGGCCTTCTTGTTCTTCTCCAGGTTCTCCTTCCACTCGTGTACTACCGGTACAGTCAGGCTGGGCTGGTAGGTCTGAGAGAAGAGGACGGCTTCGGCGAGACGGCCTGTCTCGGTGAGGATCTTTGTGCAGGCTTCGATGTTGCCGAGGAGCCATTGGCACGAGAAGGCGACGTTGTGAGAGCCGGCTTCTTGTGCTTGAGCCGCAAGAGCAGCGAGACCATCGCGGTCGCCTGTTGATGAGTGGAGAAGCAAGAGAGATCCGAGATCCTTGGCGTGGGTGAAGCACTCAGCAGCAAGGGCGACATCCCAGGCTGATAGAGCAGCGTCGCCAACAGTCTTCCACTTGTGATCGGCATCAGCCTCACGAGCAAGGTCCAAAGCAATAGCAAGCTCATTCAATGCCAGTGCAAGCTCAAACTTGTGCTCAGGATCTGTCGCAACCTCCAAGGCAAGCTCCTTATGGCCTTGACCTTCCAAGAATCGCGCAATCTTGTTGAGTTGGTCGTGGGGAATTGTTGGTAGCAGCTCAGCGGCTGTCTCCATATCCTCTCGGAGGACAAGAGTCTGGTACTCGAGAACGGGAAGTGACAGACCGAAGGAAGTGACGTTAACATCCTTGTCGGCAAGGTAAATTCGAGAATCGCGCTGAATGTAGCCCAGGATGTACTGGGGCTTGTCGAAGTGGGAGACAGTGTAGGTCTGGTCGCCGACAAGGTAGTTGAGTCGGTTAGTGCTGTTGGTGTAGATGAAGCAGTCGCCGATCCATTCGCCAGTTCGGACACTATATCGTTAGCATGGCAGATTAAAGGGGAACGGGTGACATACGACTCGCTAATGTCAGTGATAACCTCAAAAGCGGCCTCGACACCATCCTCCTCAACTTCCCCAGACTGGACAGCCTCAACATAGTTCTCGCGAGAGAATCGCAGAACGTAAAAGGTATCCTCACAAGCAATTGTCACCAACTCGCCGCTATCAGACCAGTAGACCTGCTTAGGCTCAACCTCAATTCTTCGAACGAGACCACCAGTAGCCCAGTCGAAGAAAGAGACACCACCTTGACCCGTGACACCGAGAAGAACGCCACCGTGGAGTCTCTCGGCCTGGAAACCAACATCGAGTCCACCACTCTTCTCGACAAAGTTCTTGAAGATCTTGACGCTCATGGCTGACTCTCGGATAGCAAAGTCATTGCTGTTGTCCTTGGAGGCCCAGACAAAGTCGAGTGCTGAACCGAAAGCCTTGTTTCGCCAAGCGAGGGCAGTGTAGATGATGTATTCGCCATCACCGCAGACAGCGACGAATCGACCGTTGGGGGAGTGGATAAGCGTTTGGGGGTAGACTTCGCAGGTACCGAGATCCTTGGTGGGGAGGGAGATTGGCTCGTTGTCCTTAATAGAGGCATCTGTCTTGTTAGCTTAATCCAGTACTGGTACAGCACATGTGTACATACCTCCTCCCTTGATGATTGAAGAGACAACCTCGTTGTGTCGGGCCCAGATGAGCTTGCCAGACGCATCCATGGAAACAGCAGGCTCCTCGCGACCAAGCTTGACAACAACAGCACCATCATCGAAACCAACAGCGACACCCTGCTTGCCCTTTTGATACGAGACACACCAAGCTCGCTCTAGACTGTAGTTAAGGGATTGCTCGAATCGGTAGGTGTTGGCGTGCCATATTCTTATCGTACCGTCCTCGGAACCGGAGATGATGACGGGCAATTCGGGGTGATAGCAGGCAAACGAAACGTTGTTGGTGTGACCTTCGAGGGTAGCGATCAGGGACTTTGTAGTGTAATCCCAAATCTTGACAGTTCGGTCGTCAGATGTGGTGAGGAGATAGGGCTTGTCGGAGTGAGGGTAGTAATCGACGTGGTTAACACCCTTGGTCTCATGTGCCTCGAGGGTGAAGTTAGGAGTAGAAGATCCAAGGCTCCAGATCTTGACAGTTCGATCAAGACAAGCCGAAGCAAAGGTGTTTGTATCCTTGGGGTTGATGGCCAAACCCATGACATAGTGACCATGACCCTCAAAGACCTGCACACACTTCCAACCCTTCTCCCAATCCCAAAGCTTGATGGTCATGTCATCGGAGGCAGTCAAGACGAACGGCTGTGTGGGGTGAACGGCGATAGCTCGAATGTAGTCGGGGTGCGCCTCGAAGGAGGTGATCTTCTCGGAGGTGTTGTAATTGTAGACTCGTAGTTGGAAATCATCGGAACCGCAGACAATCCAGTTTTTCCTGGCGATGAATCGACCGGCGCGAACGGGGACATCGGTGAGCTCAAAGGTCTTGACGATCTGTTGGGTTTCGTGGGACCAGATGTAGACGTGGCCTATACTGTCAGCATTGGATCTCGAGCTGCGAGGTGGACATACCGCTGTAGAGGGTTGTGAGGATCCATGGCTCGTGAGGATGAAAGTCAATGCCCTTGACTCGCTCACTGCGAGCGTAGAGCTGGCGCTGTATTGCGAAACGTGTCAGCTCAGATCGCACAAGTAAAGCTGCCGCCGCAGATATTGAGTGCGCTCGCTGTGAATAGCATGACGCTAATCGTCGGGCGCATTCAACAGATCCCCAAACTGACCTTGACGTCTAACTTCATCTTGTCGTGTGTCGTCGCTGTCGCGTTGCGCAGTTGAAGTTGCAAGCTGTCCAGCAAGGGCGGTGATATCGAGGTAGTGGGGTCGAAGTTAAGAATCCCTGAAGGAGGCTACCATGCGGGATGACAGTGGTCGCAAGTGCACAGAGTTTGGGGGGGAAGCAGAAAAAAACAGAGGGTCAACCGCTAATCATCAATCGTGATGTTTGAATCGACAAAGCTTGAGCTTGTGTATATTGATTTGGAGCTCCCCGAAATGTGTCCTGCGGCTCTTGCCAGGCTGGCCATGGATGTGGTGTTGGCCTGAAGTGTCAGGCTCCACCTCCTTATCCCTTCTTATCAGGGATACTCCAGAAAAGGGGGTTGTAGGGTAGTTGGTTGAGACAGTCACAGAACTGAATGAGACATTATGGCATTGAGAATCAAGTGCTTGCTGAAATCAATTAAGCTTTTTCTACATAATATCTGTATACCTTTTTTTCTCTTTAATTGATTTCCGTGGTTGAGTGTCGGTTGAGTGAGGTCAATTGTTGACACACTATACCGTCTGGTACGGCATCACTTTGCACATCCCCAGCGACAAACATTTAGCCATGTGAAGATGAGTCTTGACAAATCTTAGAAAAATTTACCCGTGTGCAGAATTGACACAAAATATTCTGATTCTGTTTATAGATCCTCCACACAACTCAGCCAAGATATCTCGACACGCGTCGTCTTCGTACATGATGAAAAGTGTGGCTGTACAACAAGTTGGTTGCTTCACATCAACCATATCAACACTGTACACCAATTGACGCTCTTTGGCTGCTGGCTGCTGAGCTGCTTGGGCATTAATGGCATTGTTTATGAACTAGTCTCGCTTCTCCTTCTCATTTACCCCTTATGTTATGGATTATTTGGCTGGACCTCGCTCTAGGCTCATTCTCTAGTTGATCAACAAAGCTAGAGCCCGTGGCTGTGGCTCAAAATCGACCTTACGGGATTACTCCAGACCATCTCCACAGTCTGAGCTCCTGTGTCGCAGACTGAGACACTGTGTTTCTAGCACCAAAACAGCACTACCATCGACCCTAGCCCACAGTGCGGGCTGCCTACGGGAAGATCCACCTTTTCTGCTGTCGCCCAATGGGCCTTGGATGTCATAGCAATCCCCTTCTCCCATCCATCCCCCGTATCCACCTCATTCATATCTCGGCTGGTCTTGTCTCGGGCTCTTGTGCTTCGCCTCCTCCTCATATTCAATCTCTGCCATCTTTGTTCAATTTGAACCTCCTTTCCCTTCCAACCAGTCGGCGCACAGTCTCCTTTCGTCTCGTCGACTTGCGATCCTTCATACAACCAAACAGCGGCCGGTTTACGCTTCCACGCATGCGGGGTTACAAATCATCCATTTGTTGAACACTCTGCCACGCCATCAGCCTCTTGCTTGATCAGGAGTTTGTCAGCGCGCAGTGAACACTCGTTGCTTGACCCTTCGACCCTGCGACACTTGTTGGCTGTCGATCCTTGACCCCAACCATCAAATACCTCGTTGACATCAACAACAATGTCTTGGAAGCTTACCAAGAGTAAGTTTACATGTCCGATATCTGTCGCATCACTAACATCCATCAGAGTTAAAGGAAACCCATCTGGGTCAATCCTTGAGTCCTTTCTCTCGATCCCCCTCTACTTCAACCATCACCGAAAAGGAAAAGGATGGCCAGGCTAGCGGCGCTGTTACGCCTACAACGGAAAATGCCATAGGTGAGCAAACTGGACTGGAGTACCGTCAGTATCTGACTTGAACAGCTGCATCTGAGGCCATGACACAGGCCCCTGTTGTTAAGCCCCCCAAGCCCGGTATTCTCGTTGTCACCCTCCACGAAGGTCAAGGATTTTCTCTTCCTGAACAGCACCGAAGTGCTTTTGCCTCGTCACACCAAGGATCGATGTCTTCGTCCAACGCTCTTGGAATGTCTGGCTCTGTTCGACCAGGATCTTCACAACGTGTCGCCGGATCATTTGTTAACGGCAGTAACCGACCGCACTCTTCCGCTGGCGGCTTCAACGGCATCCCCACCAACCACGGTCGAATTTCCGGAAAGTACATGCCATACGCCCTCCTCGATTTCGACAAGGTCCAGGTCTTTGTCAACTCGGTCGATGGAAACCCTGAGAACCCTCTGTGGGCCGGTGGAAACACCCAGTACAAGTTCGATGTGTCAAGAGTGACAGAGCTCGTCATCCATCTTTACATGCGCAACCCGAATGCGCCACCCGGATCTGGACGAAGCCAGGATATTTTCCTCGGTGTTGTCCGCATCAACCCCCGATTCGAAGAGAGACAGCAATACGTGGAGGACCCCAAGGCCAGCAAGAAGGACCGCGAGAAGGCTGCTGCTGAGCATGCAGCGCGCAATGGTCACCAAGGAGCCGAGTGGGTCGACGTGCAATATGGCACTGGTAGAATCAAGGTTGGTGTCGAGTATGTTGAGACCCGAGCAGGTAAGCTCAAGATTGAAGACTTTGAACTACTCAAGGTCGTCGGCAAGGGCAGTTTCGGCAAGGTCATGCAGGTACGCAAGAAGGACACAAACCGAATCTACGCTCTCAAGACCATCCGAAAGGCGCACATCATATCGCGATCCGAAGTTGCCCATACACTCGCCGAGCGATCTGTGCTGGCACAGATCAACAACCCTTTTATCGTACCTCTCAAGTTCAGTTTCCAGTCACCGGAGAAGCTTTACTTTGTTCTCGCCTTTGTCAACGGAGGCGAGCTGTTCCACCACTTGCAAAAGGAGCACCGATTTGACGTCAACCGATCCCGCTTTTACACTGCTGAGCTTCTGTGCGCCTTGGAATGTCTGCACGGCTTCAGCGTCATTTACAGAGATCTCAAGCCCGAGAACATTCTTCTGGATTACCAAGGCCATATCGCTCTTTGCGACTTTGGTCTCTGCAAGCTCGATATGAAGGATGAGGACCGCACCAACACATTCTGTGGTACACCCGAGTACCTCGCCCCAGAGCTGCTGATGGGCCAAGGTTACAACAAGACAGTCGATTGGTGGACTCTTGGTGTTTTGCTGTACGAGATGTTGACAGGTCTGCCACCTTTCTACGATGAGAACACCAACGAGATGTACCGCAAGATTCTATCAGAGCCTCTTCACTTCTCTGATGTGGTTCCCCCAGCTGCCAAGGATCTCCTTACCAAGCTTTTGAACCGCAACCCTGAGGAGCGACTTGGTGCCAATGGATCAGCTGAGATTAAGGCGCATCCTTTCTTCCATGCTATTGACTGGAGGAAGCTTCTACAGCGCAAGTACGAGCCTACATTCAAGCCCAGTGTGGTATGTACCTTTTCCCAGTCTCTCACATCGAACCCTACTGACATTCACAGGCCGACGCTCTGGACACTGCCAACTTTGACCCCGAATTCACATCTGAAGCCCCTCAAGATTCTTATGTCGAGGGCCCCATGCTCTCTCAAACCATGCAGAACCAATTCCAAGGATTCAGCTACAACCGCCCGATCGCTGGACTCGGAGATGCAGGCGGCAGTGTCAAGGATCCATCATTTGTCGGTAGTTTGACAGATAACCGATAAATCGCTGGGTTGGAAGAGAGACAACGGGTAGACAGCGAGCAGGACTGGCTGACTCGGACATGGTATCAGTCTTGTCAATGAGCCGGCTGAGGAGGGGAACATGTGTAAGCCATGATAAGGACAACCTAGGAGGTGGAAACCTAGAGGATGAATGTAGATAAGAAGCCTTTATTTGCTTTGGCGTGTTGGAGTTTGATACACTCGTTAGTTCTGTGGATATGTCATTCTGTCAATGTAGATTGTCTTTCCGTGGCTTTGTATCGTTCACTCTGCTGTTCATTGTCCATTCTTCTTCACTTGTGACAATGCTTGTTGTTTCGATCATTGTTCTGCGAGGCCAGCATGCTTTGGCTCTCACTGCACTTTCTCATTGTCTTCTGACCTCAACACGGACTTGAATTCACAACTGACCTGAAGAGACCATTGTATCCTATACTAGAACCCCGAAAGCAAAGAATTGAACCAACCCCACAGTCAAGTTTCAACGGCGTTAGTCAACGCTATTCGGTGGTATGACTCTAATAGCCTTTCCAACGACATTTGCCACAACACCAACACCAACTAACAACAATCGTCAACAAAACAAGACAATGGATGTGCTAGAGATAGCAAAAAGCAATGCTCACTGCAGGGTTCGAACCTGCGCACATTAAATGTAGCAGAATCCTCAGCAGTTGAGAGCTTAAGTCTGCCGCCTTAACCACTCGGCCAAGTGAGCTATTGAGAAAGACGTGATTTTTCGAGCCGTAGCAGGGCATAAGTACAATGTTACTATCACCAGTTGCATATTGCTAGTTCAGTCTTAGGATCACGCTTTGGGGCTCCATGAGGCTTTTTCGGAAAACGTTGGGGGTCTTTATGATGGATGAGGGATATCATGACAACCCATGCTTGATGAGTCTAGGCTATAGGCTGAATGAAATGGAAAAGTTTTAATTGAGGCTGAGATCGGAGAGATTACCGGTGTTGGGGGAAAGGTGAGAGTCAGCTCGGTCAGGACGACGAGCAGTTGTTTACTACGTTGCTAGTCAATATGCTGTATGCTGTATGCTGTATGCTGTATTCAGTTTACAGTGAAGTTCTTTTCTATTGATGAGACACTATCCTAAAGCTGTATAGACTTCCAGCTAGGATGTACCAGGCAATTGATAAAGACATCTCACGATAAATAAGCTGTCCTCAATGCCTCAGCCGGAGGTGATGCGGGACAACCACGGCGAGTGCGCGGCATAACCGGAGCCCCTTGACTGTAGAGCCTCCACTGAGATTATGACGCATGCAGGATAAGGGAAAAAGAGGCTAGTATGATTATGGAGACATGACGAAAAGATTTGGAAAAGTCCAGTCAGCCAACCTTGATGATTTGTAAATTTGGTAACAATCGTTAAGTAAGGCGGGGCTTTAAGTTATAAGCTGTTGAAGAGCTCTGGTTTTTAGCTCGGAGAGCATGGTGTAGCGTCATGCTGTCATTGGAGGGGTTAGCTGACATCTGTGAGAGAGATGGACATGACTTGGGGGAATTGACAAAATGAGTGATAAAAAGATGTCATACCATAACAATTAGGAGTAGCTAAAGTGGCATCATGATAGTATCAATCAAATAAACTGTATAGAACAAGAAAGAATAGATGATGGTTGAAGTGGGATGATGAATGCCCCCACTCCGCCCATGCCGCTCTCTGCTCTTTCCCCTCCCCCTCCATTGGCATTCATCGGAGCTCTACCATGAGACGCACCCAAGACAATTCAGAGACATAACCTCATTTCCCCTCCCACTCTTTTCCGATCTGCTATTTCTTCTCTTCTTTCCATCACCTCCATCCTTATCTCCCCATCACTATCTCTACACAGCATCAATATGGCCCCCGCAAACACTCTCCCCGCTTGGTCTGACCTCCAAGCCCATCGCGACAGCGTAGGCAAGTCCTTCGTACTCAAGGAGGCATTCGCTTCCGACCCCCAGCGATTCGACCGCTTCACCCGAACCTTCACCTCCGACGGTGTATCCTCCGAGATCCTCTTCGACTTCTCCAAGAACTTCCTCACAGATGAGACCCTCGATCTCCTCGTCAAGCTCGCCGAGCAGGCTGGCGTTGAGAAGAAGCGCGATGCCATGTTTGCTGGCGAGAAGATCAACTTCACCGAGGGTCGCGCCGTGTACCACACTGCTCTGCGAAATGTTAGCGGTTGGGATATGAAGGTTGATGGTGTTGATGTCATGAACACAAAGGGTGGTGTCAATGAGGTTCTTGAGCACATGAAGGAGTTTTCTGAGCAGGTTCGAAGTGGAGAGTGGAAGGGATATACTGGCAAGAAGCTCACAACCATTATCAACATTGGTATTGGTGGTTCTGATCTGTAAGACGCTCGAATGCCCTGATGATAGTACTAGACTGACATCTTGCAGCGGCCCTGTCATGGTCACCGAAGCTCTCAAGCACTACGGCGCCGAAGACATGACCCTTCACTTCGTCTCCAACATTGACGGAACCCACATCGCCGAGGCCCTCAAGAACTCTGACCCCGAGACCACCCTCTTCCTCATCGCCTCCAAGACCTTCACCACCGCAGAGACCACCACCAACGCCAACACAGCCAAGAAGTGGTTCCTCGAGAAGACCGACAACAAGGGCGACATCGCCAAGCACTTTGTCGCCCTCTCCACCAACGAGGAAGAGGTTACCAAGTTTGGCATCGACAGCAAGAACATGTTTGGCTTTGAGAGCTGGGTCGGTGGTCGATACTCTGTCTGGAGTGCCATTGGTCTGAGCATTGCTCTCTACGTTGGCTTTGACAACTTCCACAAGTTCCTTAGCGGTGCTCATGCCATGGATAAGCACTTCCGCGAGACCCCTCTCAAGGACAACATTCCTCTTCTTGGTGGTCTCTTGAGTGTCTGGTACTCTGACTTTTTCCAGGCCCAGACTCACCTTGTTGCTCCGTAAGTCAGTCAGAAGATGCGAGTATGCAGACTAACAATTATAGCTTCGACCAATACCTTCACCGATTCCCTGCCTACCTCCAGCAGCTCTCCATGGAGTCCAACGGAAAGACCATCACCTCTGATGGATCTTCTGCCAAGTACACTACTGGTAAGTGGATAACCTCCTGCATGAAACCCAGCTAACGTTCCAGGCCCCATTCTCTTCGGCGAGCCTTGCACCAACGCTCAGCACTCCTTCTTCCAGCTCGTCCACCAAGGCACCAAGCTAATCCCCACCGACTTCATCCTCGCCGCCAAGTCCCACAACCCTGTCAGCGACAACCTCCACCAGAAGATGCTTGCCTCCAACTACTTCGCCCAGGCTGAGGCTCTCATGGTCGGCAAGACAGACGATCAGGTCCGTGCCGAGGGTACTCCCGAGGAGCTTGTTCCTCACAAGCGCTTCCTTGGAAACCGACCCACGACCTCCATCCTTGTCGGCGGCGCCATTGGTCCCGCCGAACTGGGTGCCCTGATCGTGTACTACGAGCACCTCACCTTTACCGAGGGTGCTATCTGGGACATCAACAGCTTTGACCAGTGGGGTGTTGAGCTGGGCAAGGTCTTGGCCAAGAAGATTCTCAAGGAGCTTGATGAGGCGGGCAATGGTGAGGGACACGATGCTTCTACTGGCGGGCTGATTGGAGCGTTCAAGAAGTATGGTAACTAAAAGGAGGATTGAGTGTTAATGTGTAGCGAGTGGAACGATGTTGATAATGATTAAGGATAGCATGAATAAGTTTGACGGCCTATGTTCTGGACCTGTCTTGTAAGTTGTATGGACGTACGAGGTGAATGATGTCTCTGTACATGTCCACACGCAAAAGTACTCGTGAGTATGATGAAGAGTGCAATGTAGTATTGATCGCTGTGTATCGTGATTATCTGTATACATATTTCAGATTTCCTTGTTATTCTCAGATGTTGATTCCATTGCACCGTCAAACACGGCACAAGAAGACGGCACAAGTATACCATGCACCTGCGCGATTTCTCACGTTCACATATTAAACCGCAACACCTTATCACTTGCATTTATATTAATGACACGTGGAACAAGGCACCTCGGTCAAATGAGTGTTTATGTATGTTTTGTCTTGAGGTTCCGTGTCTCCGGCGGATGTATGTATTTCCACTTTGGGTAGTGTCACTGCTTGAGTAAAGGTGCGTCTGTGTAGATCAGTCCATTCATACAGTATCAAGGCGTCTGAGAGCACTGCCACGTTCTGAGAGCATTGATACCGTTAGAGTCCGGGTGCATTAAGAGTGCTGCGTTTAAGAACATTGGCCTGTTTGAGGGTCAATGGTGAGACGAGCAGGTGAGGTTCAAGCGTGTGGAGTTTTGCGGGGGAATATGGGGAAGAGGGGGGGAATCCCTCTGAGGGTGTACAAGGTGGTATGTTTATGAGATATATCACGCAGAGACTTATCACATCGGGGTTATAACGGTGCTTTTTATCGCGGGGGAATCCCCAGACCTGAAGTGCAGGAGTGAGATGGAGGGTGGGGAAATGGAGATTAGAGGATTGTGTGTTGGTTGATGGCGAAAGTAAGCGAGTATTGTTGGGCCTCGATGTTCAAGGTGCCGTGATGTTGACCATGATCTTGATGTTGACGTTGGCTTATCACGATCTTAACTGTACACGGGAGTTAATTCGGCTCATGTCGGAAACAACATGTTTATTTTCTGAGTCTGGGTTACAAGGCGACGATCTCTTGAAACAAGAACAAAAGATCGTCATTTCAAGTCACGGCATCCGAAGCGAGGTTTGCATGCAGTGAAGGTGATTCCATCTGAATAAGCCGCAGTCAAAGCGAACTGCATCTGCCAATCCAAACATCTCTACCAATCAATATCACGAACCAAAACTACCAGTCCGTTCTGATTTCGTCAGTCCCAACTCCACTCACACTAGCCCTCCCCCAATGCAATACAACAAGACACGGAAGAATTTTTGTGCAGGACATTGTCATTGGCGAGTGTGAGTGGGTAACCCTCTGACGTCGAACTTGAGGCTTTTCACGATGTTCTCGTTCCCGCGTCGATGACGAGATGTTTGAGTGGTTCATTTGCAATTTTTTTCTTGGTTGGAGATATGCTATGCTACATCGGTGTGGGATGGTGGCTTGGACCCCTAGACCCTTGAGATGAGAGACAGTAACAAACGGTTCAATACGTCTCCATCACAGTCTCAGTGAATATGAAGATAGAGATGAGGATGACGGGCTTGGAATTGAGTTCCGAAATTTGTTGAGTCGTATAGGTAACTAGATTCAGCCTGAAGAGATACAGTTTCCCTTTCCCAGATCAACAGGTCCCGCGGTAACCGACCGAAGATAAACTGAAGCCATCACCAATCAGAACACGGCGCTAAACAGGAGAACGCCTGAACGGTTCCATCTTGGCTCTGTCACTCCACTGACGGTTGATTCGCTGCAGCGTTATCTACGGAGGGAGGCTATGCTAGAACGGAAGCGGGTTCGTCGGGGTTGAGGGCCGAACGGAAAAGGGTTACGATTTGATCCGAAATGCCTCAGCCAAATGCACTCAGATGGAATACGCCCTTAGAGTTGAGCCAGTTTGAGGTTGAGGGAATTATGCTTGAATAGTGGCATGGTTCGGTGATTCTACGGTAGAGAGGGATGAATACGGTGGCAGAAATGATCCGTTTCACCCCTGGAAAAACAGGAACCAGAGGCTCAAGGGAGGGGGAGGGGGGATAACCCTGGATGTAGGATATGACGTATAAGTATGCAGTTTGAACTTCATTGGGGAGAGTAAGACAATGGCGCTCGTATCTGACGGATGCAGTTACACAGATGATAACGATATTTGTTTACTTGTGATTATCGGCACTAGACCACGAGACAGTAACACAGAGCACGAGATACACCACAAGTCCTATCATTATCTCAACAATTACACGTGCTGCATCAAACTTGGGCAGTCTAGATTTTGTCATACACGCACCGGAAATATTTTGCATGTGTGATACCCCAAGCATTGCCGAAAGTCTTCACATGCATGACGCCCGTTTCAACTCATCATCATCAGTCACTTTGGCTAGCCTCAAAAGCACACACGCGAAAAGCCGCCGTGAGCGCCGTCTAATTGATGTCCATCTCCACACCCCTGCATCGTGAGAACAAAAGAAAACAGAGAACCCTTGTTTGGGGCTTAGACGGAGGGGAATGGCCGAAATACCGACGATGTTTGAAAACATATGATGGTGATGATCAAGTCATAAAAATGGAATTAAAAGTGTCATAAAATAGGGGGAATTAAAAATGGAATACAAAGAAAAAAAAAAGGAGAAAAGGACCATAGATCGAAAGTCATCGTGATATTGAACAAGTGATGTCAAATGCTGCCCCAGAGAAAGAGAATTGTGGAAAACCTGGGGTGTTCAACTTAGGTTCTGGAGGTACATTGTTAGTGTTGCACTGCGTTGGAGGAAAAAAAACCACAGTCCATCTTCACAGTGACCCACGATACAGACAGTCGACGTCAGAGGTGGGATTGACACGAAAACGGTTACTTGACAAGATATCCACTTTTGACGGATCGAGCAGTATCCAGATGATTCTAGGTTTAGTAATTGTTTCTATTGTCTGATACCTTATTTGCAGTATATATCTCGTGAAAGAATCCCAAGTTAAGTAGGATAAATTGTCGTGGCGATATTAATCTGAATAACGAGAATACCCTGAAAATGAAGCATGTGGCATGAGACAGGGTCCTCTCTACAGAGGCACTTCCGGGCAGAGGTGAGGTGAGGTTGCAGTGGGACATGCATGCATAACACCCCCAGCCCCTGTGCGAACACCCTGTAGAGCGCCGGATAACCTCCGTAAGGCAGTGGAGGCGGCTTCACCAGTTACGGTCGGTGAAACGGTAGAGGGGTTGATCCACATGGTGAGGTTGGTCTGTTGATGTGGTTTTATTTGTTTGTCAGCTTATTGGAGGCCTATTGTACAGTTGTCATGTATGAGTGAGCATGTTACTGATCTGTGCCTTCAACTGACAATTCGTTGAACTGGCTAGATATGGATACGGTTCGGCGAGGCTACGGTGTAATGATAACAGTGAAAGAAAGAGCCGGGAGAGACCGTATCCAATGGATCATCGCTGGGATAGGCACGGGCTAGAGTGTTGGATGGTTGTTTGACAAACAGACGGCGCCAAGCCAAAGAGTCAGAGTGCTGAGGTCACCGAAAAGGACACAGAGTCCACTGTACCGATGATGGCATGGTACAGGCACAGGTACTGATACAACCGTAACGTACTGTACTGTACGGGCTGTGACTGTGAGTTAGGTCGGGCTGGGCTTGGGGCTGTACTTGGCATGGTCTCCACTTGCCCGAGTTGAACTCAAACTTGACTCGGTGGGACCTGCCAGACCAGACCGGACCCATAACCCAGTCTTGACCAGGGCAGGAACGACACAGTACGTACCATGATGGCATCAATGGGTCCCCTTCCCGTCATCGTCACCCTCTGCCTCACCCTCACCCTCCAAGAAAAGACAAGGAGGGTGGCTTTGGTCTAAACATATAAACTCGTCTCTCCCCCCTCGATACGGTCACCGTTTTCATCACTCCATTCATCACCACTTCACTCCTAAACACTCTTCTATTGCTTCCTATTGAGGCATTCGCCTTCATACATTGAGACATTCTTACATACTCCCACTTACACATAACCCCACACAACCGCAATCATGGGCAAGACTGCTGTTCACTTTGGCGCTGGCAACATCGGTATGTCTCGTCTCACCCAACGCTCTAACCTCCCATGCTAACTATCCAGGCCGTGGCTTTGTTGCCTGCTTCCTCCACAACTCTGGCTACGATGTCGTCTTCGCTGATGTCAACGACTCAATCGTCAACCAACTCAACAACACTCCCTCATACCGCGTCATCGAAGTCGGCTCTGAAGCTACCGTCGAGAACACCATCACAAATTACAAGGCCATCAACTCGAGAACACACGAGGAAGACCTGATTGAGACCATCCGCACAGCTGAGATCGTCACCTGCTCAGTCGGTCCCAACATCCTCAAGTTCATCGCCCCTGTCATCGCCAAGGGTATCGACCGCCGATCAACAGAAGAGTCTCCCCTGCATGTCATTGCCTGCGAGAACGCCATCGGTGCAACTGATACCCTTGCCGAGCACATCAAGAACAACACTGATGCCTCTCGCCTCGAGGACCACCACCTCCGAGCCCGATATGCCAACTCCGCTATTGACAGAATCGTTCCCGCTCAGGACCCCGATGCTGGTCTTGACGTGACACTCGAGAAGTTCTTTGAGTGGGTCGTTGACCGCACTCCCTTTGAGGATGTTGGCATCCCCGACATCAAGGGTATCAACTGGGTTGACAACCTTGAGCCCTTCATTGAGCGCAAGCTCTTCACTGTCAACACTGGCCACGCCACCGCTGCCTACCACGGTTACAACCGAAGAAAGCGCACTGTCTACGATGCTCTCCAGGACAAGGACATTATGGCCGAGGTTCGCGGTGCACTTATGGAGACCAAGAACCTGATCGTCTCCAAGCACGCTATTGACGAGGAGGCCCAGGCCGCTTACGTCGAGAAGATCATCAAGCGAATTGGCAACCCCCATCTTGAGGATGCCGTCGAGCGTGTCGGCCGTGCTCCTCTCCGAAAGCTGTCTCGCAAGGAGCGATTCATCGGCCCTGCTGCTGAGCTAGCTGAGAACGATCAGCCCATCAAGTACCTCCTCGACGCTATCGAGATGGCCTTCCGCTTCCAGGATGTCCCCGATGACGAGGAGTCCAAGCAGCTCGCCGAGATCATGTCCGAGAACGGACCTGAGGACGTTGTCAAGCAGGTCTGCGGTATTCAGGACAACGAGAAGATCTTCCCACAATTGGTCAACGTTGTTCAGCGCGTCCAGGCCGACAGTGCTGAGGAATAAGCGGTTTCAATTCGGCGCGATTTTACTAGAAGAGATGGAGCCACGGGTACAAAGTGGCATGGCATGGCGTTTACGAGATATGACATACAATTTGCTTTAATGGCAGCATGGCGCAGGAAGGACTGGGATTGAATTCGAGCCTAAGGCATGATTATAGATTGATAGCGCTGAATAAATCGGTTGCTCAACTACATTTGATGTGAATAATGCATTGTGATTGCTGCGATTGGTGAGTAATCTGACTGAGTTGCTGCTGGTATTGTGACTGGTTGTTAGTGACTGGGAATAGTGGCAAGATGAGCCATTTGTCCATCGGGCCTTACGACATCAATACCATCCCAACATGGCGATGTTGACGTGGACATGCCGAATCAATTAATCTCGCCAATTGTCAATTCTCGCATGTCCTACCCTGCATCTGCACTGATATCGACGGAGATCGGATGTTGCGTTCCCTGTAGTAGCCGGGATCATATCTCGATATATCGCCAACGGAGACCCGATCCCGTCGCCAACCAATGCCCCGAAACAAATTTCTCATTCGCTGTAACATTGTCAGAAATAGTCTGAGACATACGTCGATATCATGAGATGAGATTCGGCCCAGTTTCCTAGACAACTCCACTAAGAGCCGCTAGCGCGACCCCTTTTAACCTTTAACCGTCCGATCGGGAGGTCCGTAATCTTGCATCAGGCCACGATTTGCATACCCACACCAACCAACACCGATCCTTGATCGCCCCACGGCATACACAAAAGAGGACATTGAAGAGAGAAGAGGTTGTTATACGAACGGCGAATATGCTCAAAGCGCTGTGGCTAGCTGGCCTGGCCACCGCCTCAATCACCATCCAAGTCCACCGCGTCGACCCATTGCCCTTCAGCGCGTCAGGTATCGCTACATCAGCCTCTGATCTGTTCTCGCGGAGTTGTCCAGAAGAAGCGGAAAACACAGCCTCACTACTCGCATCATCATTTGATGACCTCGCTGGAAGAAATGTATTCCCCTCGTCGGATGGGTTTGTGAGGGGCGCTGTTGAGGCGTGGGCCAAACACGAGCATCTCATCTTGCGACCTGATGAGATCTGGTTTGAAGTTTTGGCACAGATGAATGTGTACATGAGTACCCACTCTGAGGCTCTCCGGCATTTATTCGTTGATCACTCTGGGCGCGAAAAGATTACCGTAGAAGGGTTTTCGTGGGACGGTATCATCGGTGCGTTTAGAGGGGAGATCCAGAGCAGGGTTAAGACGGGGTGGTTGTTGGAATGGATAACACCCGGTTTTAGCACTTCGACTGCTCAAGATGACGTTACGGCCACGGTGTTGATGATGGGACTGATGCAGCATTTCTTTGAGTTTGAGGGCATGGTGGTATGTGGAATACCGAGTATGACGCTTCTTGGGGAGAGGGAAGATTGGGTTAAGCTGGGGGCGAAGGTTGAGATGCTGAAGGAGTTTGGGGACGAGGCGGCTGAGTTTGCGGAGAGGCTGAGGCCGATTATGAAGAGGTTTGTTAGTTCCTGGGACGTTGATACTGAAGGGGGTGAGGGTGATGGGGAGAGGAGGTTGTTCTGGGAGCAGATTGTTAGGGCTAAGAAGAAGTGGTCTTGTGGTGAGGGGGCGAGTGAGTGGGATGTCTCAGGGTGGATTACGGGCTTCATGCATTGGGATCGTGATGGAAAGGTTAGAGGAGTCTATGAGGATTGGTATGATAATTGGGACGACGAGGATGAACAGGAAGCTGGAGAGAAGGTTGAGGAGGTCAAGAGAGACGAAGTCAAGGTTGAAGAAGAAAAGAAAGAGGAGGTACAAATCGGGATCTTCCCCAACGACTGGTCCATCACAATCGACGGACAGAGCTACGTTCCCTGCACCCTCTCCGACATCAGCATCGGCTACGCCAAAGCGCCCCTGACCATGAAGAACTACCCGTCACCAGGCGTCGACACACAAGCCTATCTTGTAGCAGGAAACGTCGGCGTCGAGAAGAAGAATACCCCGGGCGGAGTCATGGCGCAGCCCGTGAGCGGATGGTTTGTTTATGCGGGTGTTGATGCGAATTATAGCGCTGGGCCGTGGCTTGGAAGTGGTGAGGAGTTGGGAGGGATTGCGGGGGGGATTGTGAGCTGTAAGGCTGCTTTGGAAGCGAGCGGTAAAGACGGGGAGGTGAAGGAGGAGGAGAAGAAGAAAGAGGGAGAGGGAGAGGGAGAGGGAGAGGAGGAAGTAAAGGATCTGTAAATGTAATATCTAATGAGAGAAAGAAGAGAAGAATAAGATGGACTAATACAGGAGTTACACGGGAAATACAGGCTTGGGCGCTTTCCATCCTCGACAGCAGAAGCTGGACATGTTGTGCATTTTCTTTCCGAGGCAGCCCCAGGGAGGATCATATCCATTCACTTTTTCTTTCCAGGCGTCTTCGTTGAACTGGTAGTAATTGCCTGATACGCGTTAGATGTGCCTGGTAGAGAAGATTGGCAGAGAAGAGAATGAGGAGGGGAGAAACGTATCATCTCTACGGGCGCAGAGACGAGGAAGACAGCAGTTGTTTGGCTTGGGGATTATGCTGATGTCGTTAGCGGGTTGACATTGATGTTGGGTTGAGGCTTGAGGTTGAGATCGAGGTACAGGTGAGAGGTGGGCCGAGTTTGAACTGACGAGGAGTAGGGAAGACATAATAGTGATAACAGCCACCAATTGCCTTCTCAGGAACAGGTTTGTGAACAACCGGCTCAGGAGGAGGAGTAGCAGCCGTGAGTGCGACAAGTGTCAGTGTTGCGAGTGTGAGTTTCATGTTTCTTGCTTTGAGCTGAAACAGTATTGGAGGAAGGGAGAAAAGGAAGTTCATATAGTTGAGACATCATGGTTTTGATAGTTTGGGATCGATGTGAGATGGGTTCGATGACAGTGAAGTATTGGGAAGTGGATACACGGTTGTTGGAGGTTTTGGATGTTTCTTTGTTGGCTCGAGTCAAAAGCAGGTTTGAGATAAGGCGAGAATGGAAATGGGGTGCTTTGTTTGTGCTATTTTGGAAACGAGAATGCTTGAGTTAGAAATGAAAGGACAAATGGTCTTGATGGGCAGTGGTTCTTTTGACGTGAGTGAGTGTTACTGGGGGTTACTTTATCATCATGGAGGACTATCGGCGACATGTTGTTTTAATTGACACTGGTACAATTTCACGGGGATATCAAGTATTGGGTAGTTACTGTTGGTTCTGGGTTCAAAGGGATTGTGAAAACACTCAAGCGATTGCAGCTCTGCCCAGATGCGATTGGATCAATTGCTTGGTAGGAGACTGAGCTTGTCCATAGCTCTACTCGGTGCGACGACATTATCGCAAGGACGGGATGGACATAGAGAAACTTTGGGGAGACAGAAAGGCCATGCGGAATGAGTGTCGGGGCTGTATGGATAGGCGTTGGATCAGAGAACTGTGTATTGGGTTGACATTGAAGAGGGACGAGGTGCCAGTCGTGAGATGGCACAAGTGTGGGTTCATGAGAGTGACTAGTGTATTGAAGAGTACACTAGGCTATGGGCTCAAGATAGAAGAGAGCGAGGATCCAGGAGCTGCGAAGAAGGGAAGAGAGCCCAGTGCAGTTGAGCATTGCTCTTCCTTGCAGATGATCCGGCTCGTCTTCAGCATGCGATGCCTTTCATGCTGGAAGTAGTTGGTAAACAGGATAACCGATGCTCGCATCGCGTGTCTCACGTGGTGTATTTTCACATGCTTTCTTGTCTATGAAGAACTTAGATTGGATCATCGTAACAGGAAAACAGTAGACAGGGTCCTTATACTGCATAGAGAGGGGATTCTTAGATGTCATGATAACTGACTTTTCAGCCAAAAGCTTCATGTTAGGTATCAGTGAGGCCAAAGAGTATAAGGTATGTCTTTTACCTCTGTGGTCTTATCACAGATACTGGAAGTAGGAGTCCTCAGTGAGCAAGAAAACTTCTGACGTGGAATCAGGGTGCCAAAATGAACTGGTCCAAAGCTACCAAAATATACCTACTAAACTTACCTCAGTCTTTTCATCACTTAGAAAAGAGGTCCTAAGTTTTCTTGCCTCCTCTTGGGAGTGCATCGTTACTTGTGCTTTTAATGGACCGGTTGTCTCCTTCTTTCGTGATCTTATCTGAGGGGAAGGTCGTCCTTGACTCTCTTCTCTCATCATCATCATCATCAATCTCTCGTCAAATCAAGAACATCAGCATCATCACAACAGTCTGAAATCCTCACATCAATCTCTATTCTACAATGCCAAGACGCCGAGCCCCTGGTCCAAGACAATGGACTGTCACTGCAACGCTTGTCGAGTGGGATCGCCTTGAAATAACGACCAGACCGGCATCTAGAAACGACCTTTCCCCTACGAACTGGCGCCTCTTACATGACAGATTCCATCTGCGAATTAGGTTTTCGTTTCGTATCACCATGGACAACTCAATGAGGGAGATGCGAGATTTTGCGCAGATTGCCTTCTGATGGGACCGAGAAACTTGGACGCACTGAACTAAACGATGGAGAAGGCTTACAAAACACTCTTTCAAGTTAAGGGTAGAAAATACACAACAGCGACTTCTATTATGCACTCTGAACATTTGCCAATTGATTTTGAGACGTGTTCTTCATCCTGTAGTCGCCGTCAAGTTTCTTTTGTCCCCTCAACCTTATACACACGGCGAGTATCACCAACAACTCCGGTCGGACTCGGTCGAGAAAACGCGCGAGTGTTGAAGCTCATTTGAAAAGATGTTATTGTGGAGCTCTTAAATAGAATGCAACCGCCTCGAAAAGGTTCCGCCTTAATATTCGTCCTTCCAGCCAATGTCACCATCCACTCGCTTGATCAGCACTCATGTCGCAGAGACCGCTGAGCTCTCACGAAGCGGTGCTTGACTCTTAGCGATAGTGATGAACGATATGGGAACGTCCAAAAAGGCTTGTGAAGATCGAATGGAGGCAACAACAGCCTTGTCGCGGGGCTGTCCTCGTTGGGAACAAATGCGCCTACATGTCGAGATGGGCTGGATGCATCTGTGTTTGTTAGCCTTCGCTGAACGAACGGCATTCTTGCAAGTACGAAAAGATTAGACTTACTCGTTTGATCACTGCACCGTGCTCCAAAGCCTCTCTCATCCTCGGGGTATGCTATGGTCTCCAGTGTCTTGTTACAAAGGTTGGCTGGCGATAGGCAGATTCGCGAGGTCCACTTTCGCAAGTCTTCTCGTCCTCCATAGAGTTCCGAACTCCCTCGGAAATGTTTTCACTCATGTCCCGAGAGTGTCGTGTTCAACACCCATAGGTCTGGTGCTGTACCAATTGCCCTAGGGCCTGTGATGGCGAGGTTGCATTAACAGACCCTCTGTGAACGGTCAGCATTGCTCTAAAGGTTGGCATGGAATTACTAAACTTTTCTTGAGAAACAGCCGTCCTGATCCCCTACATAAGTCCAAAATCCTTTGCGCGCTCATCCGCAAACTCAATCATGACCTCAAAGTTGACGCGCGCCTTGGTAGTCACTGAGACCAACCATTCCGCTCCGCCCTCACCCAAAATCTCACGAAGACCAGGCAGAAATGAACGAGGCGAAAGCAATACTAGAGCCCAGCCCGGTGGAAGTGGATTTACCGGGTTGGCGAAAGCGACGATACTCACAGGCTCATTCAGTGACACAGTGAGAATGTCTTTGATGTTGATGAACGTGTGGGGAATGTTCGATACGTAGATCAATATCTCGGGAGACTCCTCAGAGGAGTTTCCGCAGACCCAATCGTAAAGATCAAACAAACTGTCGTAGCAACTGACCCGTGCGCCCCAGGTGTTGTCGTTGCCAGGTATACGCGCGCAGATATCGGTTTGAGGACCACTTTCTCAGGGGTTGCGGATGAAGAGTGTTCTTCCGAGCGCGGCGCTCTGCGTTGCGGCGGCCAGACCTGGTCGCATTCTGCTGGCTGGCGTTCATAGTCGCGAGGCCGATGACGTGAATGTTGATGATTCGGTACGTGTGCTTGCAGCGATGATGATAAGAGGGTTGATTGAAGAGGAAATAGAGAGGAACGGGGAGTGGGAAGAGAGAAATACCGAGGCAGCTGGGAGGTGTTGTTGTCAGCTGTTTAGCAGTGCGAAGGCGGCGAATCGGGGGTACTCGGCGGCTCTCACATTTGGCAAGAATATTATTGACAGAATTGGGTGCACCTTCAACAGATCTCGATTGCGTGTATCTCATTTCTCATGATTCGTCATCTCGTACAGTCTGTGTGAACCTTTCGATGTCCCTTCGTTGGCAAAATGCCTTGACAATTTGTTCTAACTCCCGACGTTCAGAGTACCGTGATAGAAAAAAGAGAACAAACCGAATAACCTTCAAACGCTATCGTGATATACGTGACATTTTCATGCCTAATTCGCTAATACAATCACAGTTCCACGCTGCCATCACCTTCACCATGCCATCACCTTCACCATGCCATCACCTTCACCATGCCAGACAACTCCCCAGCATCACCCTCAAACACACAAAACCTCAACCCCAACAGCCCTCCCAAAAGCAACCAAACCCCCCTCACTAATCGGTTCACCAAAGGCCAACTCCCCCTCCCCACGCCCAATCCTCTCTTCCACATTAGCACCGGATTTAGCCATGATGATCGACCACGCACTCTCACCCCTCGACGGCCCCTTTTGAAAGCACGACAGCGTCATTCCCGGGGACATTGAAGGCGGATGCTCCGAGTTCTCTCCATCTTGCCTAACTGCCAGTTTCGCAAGCCATATGTTTCGCGGGCCGGGAACGCGCCAGCAGATGTTAACCTGGGGACCTGATGTGTCGCAGTTGACGACGTAGAAGCCGTTTGACGCGATGATGCAGGCTCGAGCGACTTGGGTTAGGCTGAGCCGTCGTAGATTTGCGGCGGGATATCGCTTCGACGCTGAGTTTGGCTGTCTTCCTGTTGAGATTCTTGGGATTGTCGTTGCTGGTACTGCCGTTCTTACGCCATCGATTCAGCGCCGTTTCTGGGAGACTGTTGACCGGAACTAAACTGACACAGTCGTCAAAGACAACTAAACCGGTTCGTGGCAACTCGTCTACGATATTGACTGCAGTTGCTTCAGTACCCTGCTCATCATTTCCTCCTGGTGTCTCATCCTCAGAATGTCGCGGACGGCCTCTCATTGTCGGCGTGTCCGGTTGATCAGCGTCATGCTGATGCTGATGCTCATGAAGATGGTGATGTCTTGCCATCTCGTAGCAACTTTCAGGCAACTTAGGTTGAGTTATTACAGTGATCTGAGGGTTGTAGCATGAACAGAAAAGAATGACGGAGGAGATTCCTTGTTAGTGGAACGTGAGCTGACTTGATCAGCTGCCATTTGCACTGACACGGAGGCTGTCAACTCGCACTTGTGAATCATTACACAGGACGCAAAGTTTCACACAGCGAATTGATGATTAAGATCATTTCTCGTGCATTCTGTTATATTTGAATGCTTTCTTTCATGTCATCCCTCTGCCATGGCCTTCGTTGCAATCCGAGTCTCGCTAGCCATATGTTTCGCTGGCCAGGGACACGCCAGCAGATATCGACCTGTGGACCCGATGGATCGCAGTTGACGACACGAAAGCCACGGTCCGTGGCGACGATGCGAGCCCTGTCGATGACCGTTATGTGGCTGCTTTTTCGAGGCTTATTCTTTTGCTCTGGGCGGGCGCTCGTTCGGGGTTGTGCTGGTCTTCGGTATCACCCCTCTCACTGTGCTCCCCATCCTCCTCAGCCGATGGCTCGTCATCATCGCGGCCGGCCGCCTCTGGATTCAGAGGCTCGCCATTTCCCTGGGCATTCGGAGGTAGGCCAGGCGGAAAAGGGTCGTTGTAGTAGTAGTGATAATGATGGTGATGATGGTGGTGGACATGATGCTGTTCCATCTTGATGCATGAATTCGATGGAGTCGGTTTGAGTTATCACAGCGATGTTCAGTATTGCCGCGTCTCGATCGTGAGATGAACAGAGAAGAAACGAAAAGCGTGGGGCCGGCTTTTGTTGTTGACGTGAGCGATGGCATTATTGGCGGCCATTTGCACTGATGAGGCTGTCATCTCGCAGCTGTAAGGCACTGTCCGCAGGTGGCGGGCTTCTGAACAGCGGCGCCTCCATTGGAGACATTTTAAGACAACCTATTACTAAAGTGAGCGAGAATAGAATAAGATGGAGGTTCTGATGAAAGGCATGATGTCGAATTTGGTGTTCTTTGGTTGAAAGCACTAAGCTCACGGTCGCGTTCTCAGTGAGCATCAACACCATGGGCAACGCTCACACCTGCAACCACCATCGCGATCAGTAATGCGGTAAAAATGAGATCAAAACAGAATTACTTTGCACTTGTGAAATTTGCAATTCGTGATACTCAGTTTCATGAAGTTGACGTTGATCGTCATGAGTGGCAATTTTCCCCAGCTTCAATCCCCTCAAAAACGTGCATCAAAACTCCTCCCCCAGACCCCAAGCCTCCGCATCCCATCATCTCGTCAACTTAACCTTGTGCCAGAAAAACACTGGCCCAGGAGCTGGAGAAGTCCCTGCTTCTCGGTCTAAAACTCGGCGAAAAATCCCACAGTCAACTCCATTGTGGGTGAAAGGAAGGGTCCACGAGGTTGACAGTGACACTTTTAATAATGGGTCGCGTGTCACAGGTTTAGCACGTCAGTCAATTAAAGGCCATCACGACGAACAGCTTACGGACGGGGCATGTTGAAGAGGTGATGGCGCAAGAACAGACGAGGTACACTTGACGTTAATCTCATTGCAATAACTCACGGTTGTCATTGAGTCTGGATTTACACGAGATCCGCTCTGACGAGAGCCTCAGTACCAAAACAAGGATATCCCGTATCACCAAAAGTCGTCATCTTGGCACTCACCGTAAACCCTCATTATGCCCGCCTAAACGCTCGGCTAACTCCCGTTCTTGCGCCGTTATCCGCCTGCCAAGGCATCTTTTCTCCGTCGGAAGGATCGCCAAGACCACGGATGCAAGACCGGTTCCGAGTCTCCAATTGGCACGCCTGCTACCAACTACCTAACCCAAGGCAGTGAATGAGGATGTTGGATTGTTGGTTGAGATTGAGATTAGTTGCGGCTTAAAAGCTGACGAATCTCACAATGAAACAAAACCGCAATTACCAAAAGAAGCAATCCGAGAGTCATTGAAAGGAATCCAAAGTTTAATTGCGCAAAAGGATCGGCGTATACGACGGTCTTGAGTAAGGGAGGGTGGATGATCAATACAATGCAAGCAAGATAGGAGATAATCCGATGTCGGGTCAATGGATAAGAAATGCCGTCCTTGAATCAGTAACTTGAATCAATTGGTAGCAGTCCTGAAGTTGTGCAGCCAAGACAGTGGTTGTTCTGCTGGTGATGCCAATGTTCTAGCATCGCCAAGTTTACAAGTTCAGGTCCCCAACTGATGATCTCCCGCGGCCAAGAAACGTGCTTTTAACGACGTGCATTTCTTGTCCCTTCTTTCTATCCAATTTTATGGAATTTTGGACGAGATCAACGTTTTGACACTGCAGCTCAATTGGACCCTTTGATCATCTTCCCCAGACCCAATTGTACATACCGTTGAATGCCATTCTGGGCGAGGTCCACTACAAACAACAGACCTGCACCTGTAACCCGAAATAGGTAGCGAACCTCGCATTTCGACGATTGTTTTCGCTTGCAAGAGAAAACTCTGAACTTTATTCCTGTACACTGTGCTCTCCACGTCAATTAAAAATTCGCCCTTTTTCCAAGGCAGAGCAATTCCTCCTAACTACGAATTTGTCACCAACAACCACTCCGAACCACAAATTCTGTGTCTTCTCCACGTAAACTGGAACCTCAATCACGCATTGAGCTCTTTGTCCGCTCCTCATAAGGACATGATCTTCAGAGATTCTGTGGTTCCCACCCCCGACCTTTGAGGCCCGATATTTTTGCAATCCCCAGGTTCCTGTTTTTTTTCGCCATTTTTTAGACGAGAGCTGTGGACTTTGGGGAAGACCCTTTGATCGTCCATAACCTCATCCACATAAACAAATCATCAACTGCAAACCTCAATAAACGTAACCGCTGTTAATCGTGTAAACCTTCACGTGTAGAGCCTCGGCTTTATCATGCTTAATCACTAGCACCATCGTGGACATATCCCCTGAACCAATGACGTCTCTGCCGCTCTAAATGATCGCCACGACAAGGGTTCTTTGGACCAAATAGAACGTTTCATCCGCTACCCTCCAGCACTAAGAAAAATATGCCGTTTTTTCAGGCGCCTTTGCCGCTTGCTGACAATAAACTTGACGTCACGGTTTTGTCTGTTTTCAGTAACACCGAGGTTTGCCTGCCCTGCTTCTTGGCAGATCCGAAGGAATCGGAAGACGGCATCTACAGTGTGTGCCCTGTAAGGCAGCGCCTGAGACTCACAGTGGTTAGAGTGGTTTTTAGTGGTGAGTTTCAGTGTGCGACTTGTGAACGACTCAGGCGTGGGGATCTCCAATATTCCTTCGGTCCACCCACTGTTGCACGCGGAGACACTCCAGGTCTTCAAGGGACCTTTTTCGTCCTTGACCAACTTTTTGTCTTTTTTCAAGGATGATCGTCACTTCCAACCCGTGGAGATAGTGGACCATACGTGGAGAAATAGTAATACACTCACTTCAGAATTTTCGCATCCCAGACTCCCTCTCCCACTTACACTCTAATCACTCTGCTCACTCTCAACATATAAACCCTCTCCTCTCCCCCAATGCCTCCCTCACCAACTCCCCCATCCTCCAGCTCTAGACGAGCTCCCTCCTCAAACATAGCAGGTCTATAGCCCCCCCTCCGTCACCATGCCTCCCTCCTTCGCAGGCCTGACGGGCAAGAAATTGTCCCTGGCCATCTCCACCGTCGCAACGACAGGTTTCCTCCTCTTCGGCTATGACCAAGGTGTGATGTCTGGTATTATCGACGCAGACCCTTTCCATGATTACTTCCCCGAGACAAAGGACAGCACCATGCAGGGTTTCGTCACGGCCATTTACGAGATTGGTTGCTTATTCGGCGCCATGTTCATCCTCTGGATCGGTGACTTGCTCGGTCGTCGAAGGGCGATGATCCTTGGTGGTTGGATCATGATCGTTGGTGTCATCATCCAGATCACTGCTATGAAGGGCCACAAGGCTCTTGCGCAGCTCATCATCGGACGAACAATCACTGGTGTTGGAAACGGTATCAACACATCCACCATCCCAACATACCAAGCTGAGTGTTCTACCACTACCAACAGAGGTCTCCTCATCTGTATCGAGGGTGGCATCATCGCCTTTGGTACACTCATCGCATACTGGATTGACTACGGCTGCTCTTACGGTCCCCAGGACCTCACATGGCGCTTCCCCATTGCCTTCCAGTGCGTCTTCGGCCTTATCCTCTGCGTCTCAATGGTCTGGCTGCCAGAATCTCCCCGCTGGCTTCTCACCCACGACCGACACGAGGAAGCCGAGCGTGTCATTGCCGCCATTCGCGGCTTCGAAGTCGACAGCGACGAGACCCGCGCTGAGCGTGATCGTGTCGTCGACTCCATTCGTGCCTCTGGTTTCGCTGCTCAGAAGAGCACGCCCGTCAAGGCGCTCTTCACTGGTGGAAAGACACAGCACTTCCGCCGTATGCTTCTCGGTTCCGGATCGCAGTTCATGCAGCAGGTCGGTGGCTGCAACGCTGTTATCTACTACTTCCCTATTCTGTGCACCGACATCTTTGGCGACAAGAACTTTGCTCTTCTCCTCGGTGGCGTCAACATGATCGTCTACTCCATTTTCGCAACTTCATCATGGTTCCTCATCGAGCGTGTCGGTCGTCGCAAGTTGCTCCTCATCGGTACTGCTGGTCAGATGCTTTCCATGTTCTTGACGATGGGTTTCCTCATCCCCGGTGGTTCTGATCCTGGTACCAATGCGCCTCAAATCTCAAAGGGTGCTATCGCTGGTCTCTTCACTTACATTGCTTCGTTCGGTGCTACCTGGCTGCCTCTTCCCTGGCTGTATCCCGCTGAGATCAACCCTCTCAAGACCCGTGGCAAGGCCAACGCTACATCCACCTGCACCAACTGGCTGTTCAACTTTGTCATCGTCATGATCGTTCCCATCATGATCTCCAACATCCACTGGGGAACCTATCTCTTCTTCGGCTGCGCCAACGCCACATTCTTCCCCATCCTTTACTGGTTCTACCCCGAGGTAAGCAATTCCACTACTTCATCCCCGCAATCACAACTGACAAATCACAGACTGCCAACCGATCTCTCGAGGAAATCGACATCATCTTCGCCAAGGGCTTCGTCGAGAAGATGTCCTATGTCCAAGCCGCCAAGGAGCTTCCCTTCCTTTCTCATGAGGAAGTCGAGCGCGAGGCTATTCGACTTGGTCTCGTCGACGAGTCTAGTCGCGGTGGAGTTTTGGAGAAGCCAAATGAGGAGAGCGGCACAGTCCGCGACGACTCTGGCTTCAACTCTGAGAAGTCTTAGATTTGCTCATGAGTATTGTTTCATATAGAAACGTTTGTGTTAGAACACATTTTGGATACCCTTTCTTTAGAGTCACAAAGACTTAGAGCCATTTGGCATTGAGTTATAGATCAATAGACCACTATAACGAACAAACTCCGTCTCTCCATCTGTGACCCATCACCTTGACGACTTACACCGTGATCTCCGCATCAATTCTCCAATTTACAACGTATGGCGAAAACTCTTTCCCCGACATTTCCCCCCTTGGAGATTAGATTACTCTTACCTAAACCCCGTGGAGACCAATTAGACGATCCCTTCCTTTCAGCTTAGGCAGCCATGTAATTAAAATTGGAGAATCCCTTAACGCGTCCGGAGAAGTCCTCCGCGTTTACCCCGAGGAACCACTTGTTTTTGTGGAGTTGGGCTCAGTCAGTTATTTCCTTTGACTTTGGGGGAGGAATTGTAGTTGGTTGGTTGCTTGTTGGCGGATGTCCCGTTTTGGAAAGCCGAACACTGAATCATTGCACTGCATTTAGTGCATTGTGAGCGTATGTTCCGGAGGGATCATATCATGGACTTTTGTTATCAGGACCCATGATTGGCGTATCTTGCATTTCTTACCTGCCCCGTGGGGATATGGTTGCGGGATCGTGGGATAGTTGTTGAAACGCGGAGATAAGCATACCTCAGCGTTGGAAGCGAGGGTATGAGATGATGACATCAGTTAGTTTAGAGGATAAAGCTCTGAATCGTACTGGAAATGTGTGATAACCAAATCGTATAATCACTTTTTCACGACTTGGTTAATATTACATCACTGATAGTAAGACCTAGGGTGTAGACATTTACATTTTTGCTTACGCTGAGCAAGTCTCTCAACGACAGACTGGATTCGGTTCAATGAGCAAGACATCGCAAAGAGAACATCAGTCCTAGAACTCTGACCTTTTGCGCCTTTGTTTATATCTTTCCTGTTTTAGACGAAATCTGATCAACGCCATGTCCTATATGCATGAGTCCAAAAGCAAGCATATTTGCGCAAGCGTTTAGGAGAAATCTTGAGTTTCAAAGCCCAATTGAAACTCTCTGGTAGATGAGTTGCCGCCTGAGTTGAAAAGCTTGAAGATGAACGGACAGTAAGTAAAAGGCCACGATAAGACCTTCCATAGAGACCACTCAACGAAATGGCCAGAGACTAACACAGGAACGCCCTAACCCTCTATCAAGACACTTTTACTGTAGCTTGGGATCTGTGATTTTACGCGTCTCTTGGAACATTCCTTTATGAGCAAGCGAGAGGCTCTTGTGAAACGAGTATTAACCGACATGAGCTTTTGGGTTGGCGCAACTGGTATACTAAGGCGAGAGCCAGAAAGCGGGCAATTTTCTAAGGGACTGTTTCTCTTAGATACCACTGATATGAATTTATGCGACATAAGAGGTTAGTCACATTTATATTCAGTATATTCAGAATATTCAGCCCCAGGAAGCAAAAGAACTTCTGACCTTGGACCATGCTGTCAAAACTAACTGGTTTCATTGCCTACTAAGATTGCGATGTTCCAAAACTCAAACTTTGTTATTAGTATGGATTCATGGAAAATATGTTCTTACCTAGGCCGTCTTCGACCTGGCCCCTTCCGCTCCACAAACTCGTAGATCATCCACCCAGTAACAGGCTTTATCCCCAATTTCTTCTCATCCACTTCCACGTCACGTCTTCTTTTTTCATAAGGATCGAAAGCAGGGACATAACCTTCAGGGCCTGGAACAGCTTGTATGCCAACAGATCCAGCAAGCATCTTGCAATCATACAAAGTACCATTGTCGTCAACTTCAACCGGAACAGTGACGTATCCACAGGGAATGTTATCCGTCTCGACATAGGGATACATCAATCCCTCGAGGGTACAATTTGCTCGACTGGGAGGATGAACCTTTCCTTCGTCGTCCCAATAGCAAAACGCTGTGATCCAGCCTGTCATCTTGTTGGACCCCGACATCCGGTCCATATCGGCAATTTGGTTCCAGAATGTATGGATAGCTCTGTCGGACGGTTGGGTGAAAGAGAGAACCATGTTTCGAAGAATTGGCCGCAGGAGATTGGCGAACTGAATCGGTTCCTCGCCCATCTCTTCCAGTTTATCAAGTCTTTTGAGAATATCTTCGTAGTCGGTTACTTCTCCGAGGAGTGTTACTGACGGGATACCACATAACATAGTCATTCCATAAGAGAAATATTTCTGCAGTGCACCCATTAGAAGTACGGATCCAACGATGCGATCATTCTCAGTAGTTGTCGAGAACGACGGAAGAACCCATTCTCTCAATGCAGGATCCTTGATGTTATTTGCGATCTCGAGGGCCATTTGCTGAGAGAGTTTTCCGAAATCAGCAGTATGCAGAGTCGCGCAATCAATAACCTCAAGCTTCTTCTGGCCATCATGACTGACGAAGTAATCGCGCATCTTCTCGGAATTGGTATTGATGTAAGCGCTGATTTGGGTGACTATGGCAAACCAGACATCTTCGGGGCGGATCGTCAGATGATGGTGGGTGCTGTATGCGTGGAACGATGACCAGACGAGACCATTCCTCGAAGCTGATACATGGTTTTCTTCAAGAGACCCGTTGAAGGAGAATGAGCTTTGGATGATTTGCTTGCAGCCACTTGCCTCTTGGGAACTAGCTCCTCTTAGGAGCTGTGAGGTGTTTTCAGCTTTGGGATCTTGCCAAGAACTGACTTTACGGTTGGGAATGGCGATAGTGACAGGCATTTTGGTTGCACTGAGATGCTTTTTGTGGCAAATAAATGTTTGGAATATGATGAAGAAACTGATTTGTAGTGTAGGTTGCCATCATCGTTCTTTATAGGTAGAATGGTTCTGTGATGAGGTTGGGGGGTTGAAAGAAGCTTCAGCCCTACTAATGATGACTGTTTATCTGACTATGGAAATTGCCGAAATATAGTGAGTCAATCTAGGATCTTCGTAATTGGGTAACGGAGGAACTTCTCGCAATGGTGCCTGTGAATCTTTCAGGCAACCGCCTTGGCTGTGGCACAGCACCCGTTTCAACAATCGTTGTCACTAAAAATGATTCGCTATTTCGTAACCTCTTCTTCACCCTTAAGACTAGTGCTCCGATGTCTCATCTGACATCGCACTATCAAAATCTTCATACAGAATCTCTTCACGATCCAATAGCACATCTTCATCCCTACCACCATCGTCTATACCCATCTCGCTGATCTTCTCTTGGTCTGACGTGCTGCCGTCATACCACTCGCTCCCGTGTCGAATGTACGATGAATGATCAGGATGTGTCTTGGAAGAAGACCAGTGACATTTATAGCACAGGGTGAAGTCGTGGCATGCTGAGCACTTGAAATAGATACCGTGGCTTTCGAGCAAACAGCAATGACAGAACCAGCTCTCGTCACCTGGGGGCACTGGAAGACTACCTCGCTTTTTCGCTGGAGTATTTCCTTCGCTTGCTGCAGACTTTTGATCTAGGAGCATGTCGATACTGGGAAGGGTGAGCCCAGGTCAGCTTAGATATCAAGGGAATCCGAATACGTACCTTTCAGCGTGGTGATAGTAGGCCACATCACGGAACGTCCAGTCTTTACCGCTTCCATGCCCCTTTGCGTTAATGTCGGCACCATTCTTCACTAAAAGTGAGACCACTTGAAGAGTTGAAACAGGATCCACAAGCTGATGATTCCAGATCGGAGATGCGCGAAAAGCCCAGAGAAGCGGTGTCCACCCGTCGTCGTCTTTAACATCGATATCAATGCCAGCTCGCTTAGAGCGCTCGAGAACCGCTTGCACTAACTCCACGTCTCCTCTCATTACAGCATAGTGTAGAGGGACTCTACCAACTATATCCCTGGCTGAAAAGTCCGAGTCTGGGATTTCCAGGAGGTTGAGAACTTCAAGGGAGTTGTAACAAGACAAGTGAACCGGCTTGCGAGTCAAGGAGTCTTGGTCGAGGGGTGAAGCGTCAGAGTTCAGGAGTAGCTTGATTGTCTCAGTAGGACAGGCCAGACATGCTGAGATGAGAGGATATCGAAATAGCCCAGCTGAGACTTTTGGATCGGCTCCATTCAAAAGAAGTAGAGCGATGATCTCACTTGCTAGACCAGATGATACAACATCGCTTCGAAGGGTCGCTGCGATCAAAGGGGTTCCGTAGACATCTTTACAGGTTGAGTTGACTTCCACCTGATGCTCAATCAATGATCGAACCATGGCCAGTGTACCTGCTCTGCATGCCTCGTGGAGGGGTGTAACTGATTGCTTAGACAATGCCACGGACCCATTCAGCAGCGCAGGCTCCTTTCTCAACATATAAGAAAAGACATCATCAAGCTGAGCTCGGATGGCGTAGATCAGTGGTGTCTCATTCTCGAAGTTCAAGACATTGAGTTTTCCACCAGCGTTGACGACAAGTCGGACGGTATCGAGACTTGTCGAAGTGTTGATACAATGAAGTGCCGTATTCTGCTTGTTGTCCTTCAGCTCCAGATCGGGATTGTACTCGAGAACCTTGCGAATCATGTCAATTGATGCACCTTTTGTCATAGCACATGCCAAGAGTGATTTATTTTCCTCATCGACGGCGTTAACGTCTGCTCCAGCTTCAAGTAGTGCCTCAACAACCTCGGTCCACCCAGAACTAACTGCCGCGCGTAGGTCTGGTTCGATGTTGGCTGCACCAAGATCAGACTTGGCCTTGGTCTCCTCAAGCATAATCTGAACAGCGGCCAGGCTATTCGCACAGATGGCGTAGTTCAAGGCTGTTCTCGAATACGCATTGACCTTGCTGATATCCGCACCATGCTGGAGCAGAAGACGAACCATTTCAGGATAGGCTGTAGCTTCATGAAGTGGCGTCGATTTGGCCTCGAAGTAGGTGACATTCACTTCGGCACTCGCCTCTACTAGCCATTTCACCATGTTCGTGTGTCCACCGTCTACTGCAGCGCCTATCACTGGTATGTCGTCTGAGTCGCGGGCATTGGGATCTGCCCCCTTTTCAAGTAAATATTGAACGATATCTGGTTGACTCCAGTCGGCGGCCACGTTCACTATGTATTGTTAGTGAGTTTACGTCTTTTGATTCATGAGGAGCTTACGCGGCGTTCGTGACCACCCTTCATCTGGCGGTGCTTCACGCTTGTCTATTGTGGCCCCGTGTTCGATGAGTAGCTTAACCATGCCGAGGTCGCCCATGGAGATTGCCAGTATAAGAGGTGTATTCGCATTTTCCGGTGTCAGATCTGGGTCAGCTTTATTGTCCAGTAATATCTTACAAAGGTCAATTCTTCCAGCTTGAATGGCAGATCTCAAGGCGGTTTCTCCTATTGATGTGACAATGTTAGGACTGAAGCCATGTCGGAGAAGAATCTCGAGACATTTATTATGACCAGATTCAGCCGCCTGATTTACTGGGTATCGATCTGGATGATGCTCCAAGCGCTCTACCTCGTCCTTTTGCTGTAGTATGATCTCCAATGCCGTGAAAGAGCCCCATGAAGCAGCCATGTCCAAAGCTCTGCGGTTCTCTGGGTCTTCATCCTCGATACTAGCGCCATGCTCAAGTAAGAACTCGACTGTCTCGCCAGAAGCCCAGTCAATAGCGGTGTGCAATGGAGTATAACCTTGGTCGTTTCTTGCAGCTGGGTTCGCTCCCGCTTCGATGAGGAGCTTTGCGCAGCTTATATTGGAGGTGTTGGCTGCTGTGTAGATGAAGCTGTTGCCGTAGGGGGTTATGCCCTTTGGGGGGGTAGGGTCCACTCCAAGCTGGAGTAGTCTAGTGACAACATCGTCCATCCCTGACTTGACCGCTCTGTTCATCGGCATCACAAGCCAGTCGAGTGGCCCGGATACATGCTTTTCAGATTTCGTGTCTTTAACCTCTTGTTCGCCCTTCATCGCTCCGTCCGATGAGTTGTCTTGCTGATCGTTCTTCTCTTGACTCTTTGTGGGCTTGGAGTTCGCTTCAAACTCGTGTCTCGTGCTTTCTTGCACTGAGGCAGTCTTTGGGGGCTCGGGTAGACCGTTGACGATTTCTCTCAGAGCTTCGCTGTTGTACGAGTTGCCAGCAACTCTCGCGGCTTCGTGTAGATTCTCATCGCCAAAGTCCAAGCCATCGGAATATGAACGCACCAAAAGTCGAATGACAGCAACATGGCCTGCTCTGCAAGCCTCAATTAAGGCCTGGTCCCGTGACTCAGGTTGATCTGGACTTCTTCTTAATAGCGTTTCTGCGACTGTCGTCAAGCCCAGGTGAGCTGCAACAGGAAGGGGCTTTATATGTTTTGGAGGAGGCTTCAAAAGCGTGTTTTTCAAGCCAACGAGTGAGTTTGCCCAGAACTCGAACACTGTATCGTTCTCAAACAGGTCTACCACTTGCATTTCGGAGGCCTCGACTAACTGCCAGTGCTTGGGCCAGAATTCAATGGCGTAAGGAAGATGCAGTGTCGCGTCATCTGGATTCTCAGCTGCGTCTTGGATATAGTCGATGCAAGTTCGCAGAACCATCTCGTGGCGTTCAGTCTCGTCTGTATCATACCAAATACCTTTATCGACAACTAAGTGACGGCTTTCGAGCCAGGCACGAGTGGCAGGGTGTCTGAATTTAATCTCTCCGTTCACAGGAGTGATCAGTCCATGAAAGCTCTGTAGAATATCTGCCAAATTCGGTCGAGTGGCTTCGTTTTCGACTACTCGAGTCCACACTGTATCAGAGACACGGTGGAACTCATCACATTTCAGTGGTCTGTAGCAGGCCAAGAGCCAAGACAGCAACATCTTAGCCCAAGTTCGATGTGCCTCAGCGATATCTTCCAGTATTTCTGCGAAAAGTAGAGCTGGGGTAACGGCTTTGTCCAGTAGTCTCGTGATACGTGCAATTTGAGTCGTGCAGGATCCGAGCCATTCGAGGACCAATCCACAAAGATCATGATCGCCCGCGCAGCTAGAGAGTATGCTGAGGACATCTCGATGCAGGTCGGCCCCGATACATTCACCTAGCTCTTTCATGAGTTTTGATGCCTCCATGTCAACAGGAAACGGTATAGGCTCCTTGGGGTGGTAATTGATGGTTCTGACATATTCTGGGGGAAATTCAGATAATGCAGATACGATATTTGCATCACCAGGAGTTCCTTTTGTGGTGGTTATCAACAACTTGCTCCACATCTCGTTTCTGAGAAGACGTTTGCGCATTTCACGGAGAAACCATATCGAAGAGTCATCGCACTCATCAAAACACCCCAGGACTTGAATACCCATCTCTATATCTGTAGATTTGTCAGCCCCGTAAGTAGTTTGACTTCACCTCAGCTCACCTTCTATGCTTTGTAGTCTCTCTGCCTCGTTGAACAGAGTAACTCGGTGCAGAGCTTCGAAAGTGATAAGAGTGTCCATTGTCCTTGATACCGTGCTTTCAGTCTGCAGTCTGTTGCATGAAATACGAGCAATGAATGTCCGCAACATAGCTTCACAGGTGTTGAATCGAATATCATGAGCATCGAACTTCATGTACAGTAGAGGATGATATGTGCCGCTTCTGTTGTTTAGAAAGAAACTGGCGTTCTCGGTTTCTGCCTCGGCACCGGAAGAACATCTCATATGCACGATGATAGTTTCTGTTCGCTCTGGTAAGTCTAGAAGGTCTGGATGTTGCCAGTCTTCATCGGCCTGGAGATATGGCAATACAGGCGACGCTTGGTTTATAACTTTACGAAGGGCCACACGCTGTTCGTCATTCAAGTCACCCACTGAGTATAACATTAGTGAGTGCCTTTCGGTCAACGAGTAACTTACTAAGCCAGTCTGAGTAAGAGACATCATTGACAGGATGGGACCCATCTTCTCCGGCCAAGATGAGGTCACAGTTTGGTTTCTCCATCTTCACCACTCGCTCAAATGGGGTTGCCATGGTAGACATAGAAAGAGGAAATATCTTTTACAGACTCGTTAGCGACCCATGGCTTGTCATCTGCTTCCATAGAGTTGTGCACGAACCTGTTGTGACGGTTCTAGGTGGAGATTAGAAACCACGTTGACAAAGTTGGCCTGGGTGAGCATCTGAGTTCCAAGAAACGCATCGTTCACTTTCACAATCGTCTTTGTGAGGCATTTGGCGTACCAGACCATGTTGCCGGACCAGAGCTGACGCTTTTGGTCTAGTAAACGCAACACAGACTCTTCCAGGAGATTGATCGAAGGATATCTGTGCGGATACCCAAAGAAACACTGTCGCCATCGCCATTAATCAGTCAGAATAGTCGGGCACTACGAAAGGTCGAGGGCATCCTTCTCACCATAGCACGCGTATAATGTAGGATATCAGCGTATTTGTCTTCGCGATCTGTAGCCATTGATAATGCCTACATCGGTTGACGACAATTAGAGCCCTGCTCACTCTATTCATAAGTACTTCTTACCGCTTTTACTATAGTACCTCCGATATCATGAGAAAATAAGTATATAGGGCGTCTAGCTTCCTGCCGAGATATTAGTTAGTGACATACCTATAACGGGTGTAGGGCAACAAACCTTTATTTCGGGAGTCCGAAGCTCTCGGAGGGCTTCCAAAAGTGCCTCTGCTTCTTGATAGATACCATATGGTGAATAGTATCTGCCTTTCTCAACATCTGTGTGGTAACCGTAGGACATGATGCGTCCCATTCTTGCTGAAACATCGGCGAATGCTTTGTTGATCCATATCGTGTTGGACCCTCTTGTCCACGAATCTAGACTTGTCCCATAGATTCCATGAATAAGAATGACACTTGTGAAGAAAAATATCAGCAGTGACAGGAATCGGGTTGACTCGCACTCACTCAAAGGGTACGAATGGTCCTTCGTTGTCAGAATTCTCGTCGGTGGTTACAAGATGCCCTCCCTCTTGAATCACCTTAAGCGCGGCTTTGTGAGAATGTCAGCCATATTACAGTATGCATAGACGCAGAAAAGTCGTCAAGCCTACTTACTGTTGTTTGGTTCCTTATTGTCTTCTTCGTTGTCTATTGTCGTACGAACCTCTAAAACAGGCTTCTGCCCGTTGGGAATCACTGGCTCAGCCATGATCACAGCAAAGTCTTTGGCTTGTTTGTTTAAGATTAGTTATCAGTGGCAGAACCAGACCCTGAATCTGTATGTCAAGTTGCGATGACTTTTTTGAAATTCAGTAGCCGACTGTGGGAGCCTTACCACGGGCGGAAGAGGGGGAGGCACAGTTAAGCTGACAAGGTAGAGCTACAGGGTGTGTGACGAGTTAACGAGTTGCATATGCTAGTCATATCACTCTCTGTATCTCTCATGTATTCATCGGAGAATTGCTTGTATTTGATCGCTACTGGCTAACTCAAAGTCCTTCATAAGTGGTCTGACCAAATACTAATTCAAGTGACTATCTATCTTCAGCTGTATGTCACACGGCTTCATTTTACAGCGAATGGAGCCTCGACAGCCATTCTCACTTTGCATAATTGATAAAGATCAACATTCGCCAAGTCTTTCAATCCGTAAGACCTCCCCTTCTTGCTGGGCCCCCCTGTACCTTTGGGATTGAAAAGAATGGGATCATCCAATGGTATCTTGGCAAACTTGCGCTCCAATCCGGTGACCCAGTCGACGTCAGCCTCCAGCGTCACTACCGCAGTAAAGCGCTCATCGCACGAGCGTCGCAGTAGAATCGCAGTCGTTACCGAATCCGGAACACCCGTCTTGTGTCGCTCGTTTTCCTGGAAATTCCAGACTGCCACTGTAGAGCCGCCCGAGTTCTTCCCTGTCCCGAGGTTGATGGCGCCTGTAACAGTAGTCGCATCTTTGACATCCCTGCTGTACGTCTTCTCCAACCCTGCTGAAGCGCCAGCATGAAGCAATGGCACACCTGGCGCACCTAGATTCAGCTGTCCGCTGCGTGTTGTTGTCTCTGTATCAGTTGTCGGCACCACTGCCCAACGCTCCTCGGGCGCGATGGCTTCCACAGTGAGATCCAGGGCATCCTCAGCAAAGAACTCAATTTCGGCTTTGGCCCAGAGCACTCTCCGAGAACTTTTCTGAGGGTCAAATCGGAAACGGAAGACCAGAAGTGTTGCTTCGTCTCCTCCTTCATTGTATGATCCGTGACTGACTGAAAGCAGCTCAACGCGAGTATGGATGCTTCCACTGGTTCGCTCGATAATGTTGCGTCTTTCCCAATCGCTCAAAGAGGCATTCTGAGTTCGGAAAGTGTCGTCTTCACCGATGACCTGGTCTTCCATAGGTGGATCAAAGGCCAAGAGAGGCTCGTCTGCCTGATCATCACTCCAGGGATCTGTCATCGCTGTGGCGTTGCTGACCTCTACTGCGCAGAGTCCATAATTCTAATTGTCCAAGTGTTCGATGAGAGAGTATGGGTTCAAATATACATGAATTAGAATCCTCATCTTCCTACTAACCCTTTCTCGGATGTTTATAAATAACTTCGACTTGGACGGTACCTCTTGAGGTACCCATGATCAAATCAGATCAGGCTATAGAGGGCGGCACATGCTGACCATGCAGGTCTCTGAGCGGGTAGAAAGCCAATCATGGGAGAATGGGTGGATGTCGCCAAGACAGGGCTGATGATACCTATTGCGAGGTTCTCTGAACTTTCGCATGCAGGCTCTACCCATCCAATTGAGCTTCTTGTTCATTTCACCATCCAGCTAAGTCTCTCATTGTTTGTCCAAACCACGATGAATCCCACCGAGGAACCTTCTAAAAGCCTGCCCCATGCGCATGAAGAAGAGGATGATGACTACGACGACGACCTCGATCCGAATGACTTTCTGGTTGCTTCAGAAGTTGAACCAGACGAGGATCATGTTAAGGCAAAGTTTGAGCTGGATCTCGAAGAAGCACGCAAACTATCCAAGAAGCTGCTCAGCGCTGATTTGGATGAAGAAGAGAAGAAGAGTCAGAGAGCAAAATTTGTCAATGACAGGCGGGCCGAATGGAGTGAAAAGACAGATGATGAAAGGAGGAATTTCCTTCATTACCTGGCAGAATACAACTACAGAGCTCACAAGCCACCTGTCAGCTTGCAGTGGGTGATGATGCAAGCTGTTCGAAAACTGCCGGCAGTCTTAGCATGGTCACCGGATAACAAAGGTCGTGTTCCTCTAACCACCGCGCTTCTGAAGGTCAACATTTCCTTCTATTACTCAGTATGCCTGAGAATGAGAGAGAGAACATACGAAGATTACAAAGCTCTGATGTTAAAGAAGTACGAGAATTGGGATGGCGGCGATGAGACGACATGCTTACATGCTGCTGCTGCATGCATCGCTGATGATGGAAAGAACAGACAAGATGCGTTTAGTAACATGTGTCGCTTTTCACCTCGACAGATGTTCTTTGTGAGGGATAGCAAAGGTCGCACCCCTCTCCATCGGGCTGTCGATTATGAGTATTGTTGCAAGAGCCAAGTGGGCGTGGTCAGTGAACTTTTACGCACATGTCACGGTCTTTTAGACATACCAATCCAGGACCCAGAAGACTCCAATCGGACTATATCGGTATATCAGTATCACCACCATACTCGGAAGAAGGTGCTAGAGAGCCGACGCAGACATGCTCAGGATATAGCCAGCCAGGAGCTCAAGTCAGGGGCCCCCAAAAAGGTTGATCCCAGGCACGAGAAGGGACTAGATCCAAAGAAGGATGCAAAGAGAGTATCAGCGAGACCAGAGAAGTCCGGTCCAGAAAGGTCGAGTATGGGTCCGCCACCGCCTAGAGATAAGGGAGACTCAGCTTCGAAGCGCAGAGGTTCAATCGCCTTGACACCACAAGGCGTCACTACTCCTCTTCAATCTCCAAACTTGGCACCACTTACTCGTGTCAAGACTGAAGCAGTTCAAAAGATCACTCGGCCAGCCGTGGCTGATAACCCTCTCAGCAAGGAGAAAGAGACGCAAGAGACAGCAAACATGATCAGTGACCTACTGAAACTGGAGGCCTTGCGTAGACAGAGTCCAGAAAAGGCAGCTGAGAGTTTGAGGTTGCAGGATGAGCCAGGTAAGAAGGGTTCCCTTTGCCCCCAGAGTCTACAGGTACTGTGGTTAGGCCTTCATCAACCAGTATCAGCACATGGAGCTTTCACCCAAGATTTCTAGCTAACAAGATGTCCAGCCAAAGAGTTCTGGTTTGACTTTGGGCCGCCCAACACTCTCAGTGAGAATGACTTTAAGAAGCATTTCGGCCATTTGAAGTTCGATACAGCACTGCAGTACGTGGGATTTCCGCAAGTTCGACTAAAGGGAAATAGAGAACAGCCAGATGTGAGGCATCAAGGGAGAAAGGTGAGAGACAATCTTGCTTCTTGTTGTACGTATACTGATGACTTGCTTAGGACATGGTATTTTTCTTTGACTGGCTGCGGGCAAAACCAGTAACTAGAATCATCAAGGTAAGATCTCTGTGGAAGTCACCTATGTCCGAATACTAATAAGAGAATAGGTTGTTGTTGAAGATATGGAAAAGCCTTCGCACAGTGATGAGGCGATCGAGGAGTGTCTGAAGGACCTGGTAGGTGTGAGATATATCTATTGTAATGCTCTTAGACTGATGAATTTAGGGTGTTGAAATACTCGACTGGAGACGGCTGGACTTGGATGCGCTCTGCCTTCGCAAGATTGGGACGCACCTACGCGAGATTCACCTCCAATGGAGTGGCAGTAACTCAACTCTCAGAGCATGGTCTGAGAAGGAGGGTCTAGCCATGATACCGACGCTTGAAGTTATTCATCTGTCCCAAGATGAGGCATGTCTATCAGCGACCCAGTCCCTTGCTGTCGTGTTGTGTTAACACTAACATCTCTTGCAATAGGGCCTTGAGTCTCGCGACAGAACTCTAGAGAACATCAAAGCATTTGAAGAAAGATTACGCCAGTCTTGGCCAGAGGGGAAACATCCGCCTAGAGTAAACCCGCCCAAAACGGGAGGCGGTCGACGGGTGACCCAGATTCAAGTCCCTGACGCTAGACCTCAGCCTCTAGAGCGATCAATCGATCCACACAAGTGGATGAAGTGCATGGAGGACTTTTCCAAACGTTTCAAGCAGATCAAAGCTCTCAGGGACACCAAACCATCTCTCAAGCCAGTGGAAGTCGCCCTGATCGATGATGGCGTCGATTTCATGCATCCTGATCTCAACGACACTAGGGATCGCACCTTTTTGGGCAAAAGCTTTGACTATCGTGATGAACGTCCAACACCACGTGTGCCGCCGTACTGGAGCTCGCCTTCAGGACACGGGACATTGATGGCCAGGCTGATTCACAAGATTTGTCCCAGCGCTGTCATCCATGTCATCAAGCTTCAGACATTCCGAGCAGGGAACTCGGATAAACTTCAGATCAGAGCGGATAGCGCAGTAAAGGTAAGCTCGCTCCCCCATATAACAGGCATCTTCTGACCGGCAAGGCTATTGATTACGCCGCAGAGAGAGGGTCTCAAATTATCTGCATGTCGTGGACTATCAAGCCACCGGAAGGAGAGTTGAAGGGCGAGTTCAACAGGGCAATTCTCAACGCCATCGACAAACATCGTATCCTCATATTCTGCGCCGCCAGCGACCAAGGACAGTCGGCGGACCTCAGCTACCCGCACGGAAGCAGCAATCAATGCTTCAGAATCGGCGCTGCCAAGGCAACAGGAAACATACTCGAAACAGTCGGCGATTCCCATAACATAGACTTTATCCTCCCCGGCCACGAAGTTGTCGTCGACACCAATGAAATGAAAACTCAGTTGGAGAAGTTCGAAGCCCACTCGGGTAGTTCTGTGGCCAACGGCCTAGCCACAGGCCTAGCTGCTCTTGTCATCGAGTGTGTGAGGCTAGGTGCCATCTACACCAGAGAGTTGAAGCGACTTGAGCCCAAGGTTGCCTTCGACTACTATCATAGCTCTATTGACGAGGATGATCTGAAGAACATACAGGAGCGCGGGCAGATGGCATATGCGCTGAATTGGATAGGCACCGATTCGAACACGAATAACAAGTACATCGAGGTTTGGAAGACGTTCAGTGGACTTTCAGAAAAGCTGTCGCGAAGTGAGGGTGTTCCACTTCAACAGCTAGAACAGGTTGCGAAGCTCGCTGCGTTCTTCCTGAAGAAGGGGATGCAGTAGATGGAATTGTGCTGGGATGGAAGGCCAGTGCCATCTTGGATGTATCACGTCTGGGGTGGTCTCGAGAATGACTGTGGAGCTGTGTCAAATTGATATCAACAGACCATTACCAAGAGATCAGGTTGTACAAAGCGCAACTACTAGAAGCCTGATTAACTAATCAAATACAAAATCTATTCATTCATTGTCTATATGCTTGAAGACCCTCCGGTATCAGAAACCTCCTTCTGCAACCACTCTCTCCACGTAGCGTCTTTAAGAATATGTCTAACTCTCGCCTCAAGCCACTCCGTGTTTCCCCAGAATCCCCAAGATGCTTGGAAGCGACACCAATCAACAAGAGCACACTCCCAGTGTCGAACGAGAGTGTCCCAATCATAATCCAAAGGTTCCTTGTCAGAAGGTCGACGACTCAGCAATGTCTCATGGTAGAGATACAACAAAGCCTTTTCACCACGGTCCATGTCCATTTCTTGAGGTAAAGATGGACAGTCGGTTAGCATGTCGAGAGGGACAGAGCATGTGAACAGCTTGGCCAAATCGCAGACTCCAAGCCCAAGACCGACGTACTGAAAGTCGAAGAAGCAGACATCATCCCCTAACTCGGTAGTGAAGAGATTTTCAGACTTGACATCGCCGTGGATGAGTGTCTCGAAGGGTCGACCGGTTGGTGTGAGGAAGTCAGCTACCACTTCTGCAGCAGACTTATCCGATCCTTGAAAAGGCCCGCAGAAGGCATCTGACCACTCGGAGTATGTATCGCCAGCGAGTGACTTGTACTCTGTGCGTCGAGTCGCAAGGTAGGTGTATCCTCCATTCAGCCATAACTTGTTTCCTGCAGCGCCACCTGCATCTCGTCGTTTGAACTCCTCCAGCGGCGGGAGGAGATACTCGTCCAAATTCACAGGTAGAAATTTCCACGAGTTGCTGTGAAACCTTGCCAACCATTCCAGAGCAGACTGAACTTGTCGCGGACTCAGAACAGATCGCTTCCCTCCTTCTACAGGGAACTTGACTCTCAAATCGGTAAGAATTGTAGCAGTGAGGCTCCGTAACTCTCCATCCTCATGCTTAGACTTCCAACTCGACGTCAGACAATGGGCTACTGCAACGTCATCATCCAACTGAGGAGCAACATGTTCGTAGAAATACTGCTCAACGTCGTAACTCAATATCTTGCGCAGATGACCTTCATCCGTTGGCCCAGGTGGCGGCGATATAAGCTTGAGAATGAGAAAGAAGGTATTGTTTGACTCGGCTGCATGCAGGTACTTGCGCACTCTGCCAGCTGTTTCGGCGTCCTTTGGTTTTGCAGTGAGGGCGCAGATATGGCCGTATCCTGCCCACAGCGATTGGATCTCTTGGAAGGATGTGATCTTCAAGCCTGTAGGCTCTAAAAGAACCTCGGCGACACGTCTGGAGCTTGTGTCTGCCATTTTGAGTTTGAAGTGAGGTTATCACGAAGTTAGAGTCGATCGGTTACGCTACGTCATTGAAGCTGAGCTCATCGGCTCGGATTATCATCTCGGAGCGGGGCATTTGAACCTGGAGGCCTCGGTTCGATTCCTTATGTGGCAAGGCTACATGAACTTACAGTCGAGGCAAATCCTCTGCAAAAGGATTGCAATTGTAAAAATACCTACTTAATCGAGCGATATAAACGAAGAGGAGCTGCCATAGCCCCGTTGATCCATGTTCTGATACAGAGGATGCCTAGCGAAATGATAGGGCTGAGTAGCGACCTCCTGCCAAGATCCCGCAAAGGCATGGCGGTGAACATCGTGGAATGGGTAATTAATTGACGTAGGTTATGCAAAGCAGCAGCGCAGCTATTCACAAGGTTCCTATAACTAAACCTCCGAATGGACAGTAGAGAGCCACGTTGACAACCTTGGTCAGACTAAGACGGTCATCAAAGAGACGGGCTACCTCAATTCCATCAGCAGAGGATCAATTCCCCCTTTCATACCACGCTTCTTTTGATATACCATAACGGGACGGTAGTGGCTGCGGAAAACAAGCATAAACTGCCACCAAATAAGCTTGTTAGACGAGATGATTCACTCGCTTACCCCTGTCCCCCAGGGCTGAGCTGTAAGCAAGGGCAGCAAGGGTTGCCAGTGGCGTTGCAGGGGAATGTCACTGATTATTGGACGACATGGTTCCTGAAGGATTTTGAGGGTGAATTGGGTTAAGGATAAATATTCAGCTCATCTCCCGCCTGTCCGTAGATTTTGCCGACTCAGTTCTCTCAACTAGACATACAAACACCATAATGAGGTCTTCGATTACTATCAGTCTTCTCGCCCTCGCGCCGTATATGGCTGATGCGGCAAAGAGCACTACCAAATACTCTACTGAAACTGTCTTTTTACCTCAGAGAAAGACAGGAAGTGCAACGAATATCTATGCCTCCCTTATTACAGAAACTGGCTCAAAGACGGAATATCTTCTCGCTTGTCAGACAAACTTTGGCACTTCATACTCCTGCGATGGAGACTTTCACGGCATTACTGTGACTTACGAAGAGTCAAGCATGAACCTTGCTGTCAGCTCGACAACATATGATTGCTCCCTGGGCTCAGGCTCAGCTGTGTGCGCTACTATTACCGCAACCCAGACTGCATCCGTGCAGTCCAGAACAATTCCTTCGTCGGAGAGCGAACTCTGGATGACGCCTATCACTTTTGTTGATCTCAAGAAGAGAAAGACCACGAGTACCAAATCAACCTCTTCGAAAGCGACAGAGACAGCGAGCAACAAGCTTTGCAAGAGGAAGATTCACCATGGAAGTTCAGGGTCAGACTCTGGAGACAGTGGGAGCAGTGGGAGCAGTGGCTCTAGTGGCAGCAGTGGTGATGACAGCAGTGGTTCTAGCAGCGGTTCCAAGAGCGGTTCTGGTTCTGCCGCCGATGATGATGATGATAGTGAAAGTTCATCCGCGAGCCCTACCAAAAAGAAGAGTCACGACGATGATGGATGCTCAGCAGGGTCTATTACTTCTTGGAGTTGGGGAGTTATGGCTGTTGGATTTGGTAGTTTCCTTGGTATCAACATGGTATAAGATGTGCCAATGCGTTCGTTTTGTTTACTTCACTTGAACATATTTCTGGAAATAACATATTTTCTGCATTACCGCGGGACTTTTGAGACGAGATACCTACAATAGCCTGAATGTGATTACACTAGTAACGCATGCCCTGTCTAGTGCATACGCGCCCTCCAACAGGTTTTCTTATGTAGCCAGACGCTAGATGGAATCTGATGTATTTCATGTCAATCATATCAAGTGCATTTCCCAAGGCCGCTCACTAAGTGTTCCAGATCATTACTCATACTCTATTCAATACCAACAACTCGATAACTAAATAGTAGAGCTAAATACGCTACATAACAGCACAGCAATCATCGCCCTGTCTCATCCTTGGCCCTTTTCTAGGCGGCGGTGCTCTTGCTGGCACTCCAAACGGTGCGATATACCTCGGATACCCCGGATTTCTCCTGAGAAAATCCAGCGGATCATATTTCGGCTTTGTCACCATCGCTAGCGCCTCCTCATAGTAGTTCAAGATTGGCACGAACCGTCCTGAGCGTACGAAGCGCCGTTGGCGACATTTAGCTACAGGGTACGCTACCAAGTTGCAGGTCTTTGGTATACCGTTTCGACACCGTCTTCTGAAGAATATTTTGGAGTTGTGCTTCCAGAAATCAATGACGTGACATTGGAAGGAGTACAGGTCCCATGCTGCGAGGCTTTCGTACGTCCAGCGTGGTTGCCAGGGACTTTCTCTGCCAGTAGCTGATGGACCGTAGGGATGGGGAACTGTAGAGGCGAGACTGAGATCGACGAGGACACCGTCGATGTACTGATCTGGTTTCAAGTCTCGGATCACTATCCCCAGAAAATGAAGCTTATGGATATCTTTAAGCATTCTGGGGAAATGTTTCACCGCCACCATCTGGTCATGGGTCTCGCGTTGCTTTGAATCATGATACGGGGCCATGTCAACCCAGTCTTTGACAATACCGTAGAGTGTACCAGGTGGAAATCCATTTAGTCCACGTCCTTTCGCCCCCGCCGCAACGAGCTTTCTCTCAATCTGTTTTGCCGTGAGAGCAACCCATCCGTAGACCTTGACAGCGATGAACTCGGCTCTCTGCTCCTTCAGTCTGCCGAAAGCTCGGCATTCGTTCTCAAACGGTGAGAAATACCAGTCAAATGCTTGACAGCAGCTCCATAATGGTCTGTTGCCGTAGACTTCTCTGGTGTTGACGTCGTTTGGAGGGCTGACGAACTGCGAGCTATTAGGATGATGTATTGAGACAGTGATGGCAACTCACAAATTTTATGGCGTAGAGCTGTCTGCCGATCCGTGCCTTTACGACAGTGCCGTGGGCGGAGTCCACGTCGAGGACTTTGAGGAACTTTACGTTCCTGTGCATCAGATTGCCTTTGTAGGGGGGGAGTTTTGGCCCTGTGTCTAGGGGCAGCCAGGGCTTTTTTGTCATATTTTATAGCATAGGGGTGGATGGATTTGCAGGGAAGCTGGTAGGCTAGCGTGTTGGACGCCGTCAAAGTGAAGCTATTCAGCATTGCAGCAAGGGGATTTGGAGGGGATTTTTCGAGATTCATCTTGTGGAGGGTATCTAACTGTAATATATCCGAGTATCAAGGTTTAAAGAAGGTTTTTATCTCAACGAGCGATATGAAAGATGCATGTCGAGGCAAAGACTCTTGTAACAGTTCTCGCGATATAACAAACATTGAATCCGGCTTTCAAGTGCGGTGACATTGATGAGATCTTCCTGAACAATTGGAAGAGTAATGGTCCCATATATTATTCATCTAATAGCTTCTGATGCCTGCCTCAAGATGTACAGGCAGATGAACGCGTTTGTGCTGACATCTGAACTTAAGCTCAAACCGTTGAGTCAATTTATGAAGCCACCAAGCACATCCGCACGATGTTATATAAGGTTATCTATGAAGACCTCAGATGTTGACACATGTTCAGAAATCTCAATGGTCATTCGGTATGCGAAAAGCCATGCACCCGACCGCATTACCTGAGTAGTTGGGTCGTGTACCGAGTTCCATTGATAAGGCTGGTATCACTTTTCTGGAACACATATGCAAAACTTCGATTGGCTATCAGTCCCCTCGAAAAGCTTTAGAAGGATGCAAGTAAGCAATAGCTGTGCCGCTCAGCAGGCACGTGCCATCAGCTTCAGAAATCGTCACAAAAAGATAAGCAGAGTATCTCACTCAAGCATCAGTCCCTAAACTTCAGCTTACTGACTCATTCACCAATCGCAAACAACATAAAATGTCAGAAGCTGTATACTCAACACCAGAGTGGTATCTCAAAGCCCAGGATCAAGACGTGAGCAGTGACATAGGCCGATTGACCATTTATCATCTTGGTTTCAAGCAGGCAGCAGAAGAGAAACTAATATTCCCACCGATTGACTTCTCAACGCAGTCTCGAGCTGTACTCGATGTCGGGACTGCGGACGGTCTCTGGATGCGTGATATACAGTCCTCGATTCCTAAGCCAGCTCAAGGTGAACATACCTTCATCGGCACTGACATCAATACTTCTTTCTTCCCAAATACGACCACAGATGGCATTAGCTATGTAAAGCAAGACATCAACGATCCTGCGCCAGAATCGTGGAGTGGATCTTTTGATCTCATCAACATGCGTATGATTCTCATCGCCGCTGGTTCCGGCTCAGCTCAACGCGCCGTGGTGAATGAACACATCAAACTTCTCAAACCAGGTGGATGGATCCAAATTGGCGACTGCGATCGTATCTGCCCAACTCCCGAGACTGAGAACCCGAGGTATCACGATATGTTTGCGTGTATCAGAGCTGTCTGCCAAGCCTCAGGTTTAGATCCTCTCGAAGCACCAAAGATGAAGTCTTGGTTGGTTGAAGCTGGGCTAGAGGACGTACAAGAGATGACAGCTATGAGGGCGGTTGGTGAGAGGAACACGGATGAGGAGTTGGGGAGGTTGGGGGTTGGAGCGGACTTGATTATCGCCAAGGGGTTTGCGGCTGGTGCCAAGAGTGAGTCTAGATACGATCTTGGGGGTCCCTACTAATCGTGATAGCCTTGAGCCCCTCTTTGAAGCCGTTGCCGGATGAAAGGCTGGATTACCTTGCGCAAGATCTGGAGACAGAGTTGAATGGTATAGGAGCTTACTTTCCCATGCGCTTTATTTGGGGCCGAAAACCACTGTAAGGATGAATTTGATGTGATGAAACGATTACTGTTGGAGAGTACTTGATATGAATGATGTATTCCAGTACTTCTGTCATATCTCTCTTTAGTTTCAAGCAATGGCGTCTGTCTTAGCTAGTCAACATCAAGACTCCTTAGAAGAAGCAGCACAAAGCAGGAAAACTCCTTCGGTCAATTATAATACAGAAGTCAGTTTAGGCCTGAGGAGAATTCAGTAAGCTAACCTTGAGGCCTGAGATATTATAACGCAGCAAATCTTTCATATAAGATGGACTCTTCTTCTCACTTAGCTTTCAAGGTGAAAAAGTCATCTAAATCCTAGACCATTCTATTGGTTCTTGGTTATGGTTACGTGAGTCATGTCAAGTTTGATCATGAACTCACCAACCTTAACCAGGTGATCGGAACCAAACACCGATACGCTAGCGCAGAAGGACCCACATCCATACCGACATTTCAGTACTGTCAGTCAGATTTAGTGCATGATCCTCAGGCATTTAGAAGGTCCCGAAACCTTCTAACGCTGGCCTAACAGTGGGCCACGTGGGGACTCAAACTTATCAGCAAAGTTTTTTTTTCCACGATAGCTTCATGTTCCGGGCTTAGACCTATTTCAAGATAGCGCCCGCCACCCACTTTAATAATTTTCTCCTTCTTTATCTTTCTTTCTCCCCGGATTCCACTCCCTGTTCACTCCACGATCTTTAATTATTACAGACTGGGTCAAAATGAGCACCCTCGCGCTGCCCTCGAGCAGCTTACCGCCTTTATTCACACTCTCTAAACGCACCGAAGTAGATATTTTCAACGCGCTGCATTACTTGGCGGCTATTTACTGTCCTTTATCATTCCCTTTTTCGAAGGAGTTGGGGGACTCGAAGCATGCTTTTGCCGAGGTGGATTCGGGATATACCTCCGGAAACGAAGATGACGAGGCGGAACTGACACCTGCGATTATTCGTGCAGATGTTCATGAGAAATCGTTTGCCGAGCGCTGGTTGACGGGACTTATCTCGCGCGTTGAAAGTTTGGAGATCTTTTCATCGGAGGAAGCGAGTCAGCGGGCGCTGGACCAGGCGGCGTATATCTTTGAGTCACTGTTTGCAAGCGCCCTGGATGAAGATGATCAGAACTCTCCGTTTTTGCGAGACTTTTCGTTTGATATGAAAGTCCCTGAGGAGGAGAAGAAGAAGAAGCAGATTTCTGTTCAACTGAACGACGGACTTGCGGGAACGAATGATACAGACTTTGAAGACGTGGGACTCCAAAGTTGGGGTGCTTCGATCGTCTTCTCGGATCTCATGTGTACAGACCCAGAAAGATTTGGTCTGACAAATCTTGACCCTACCGAACATAATCGTATTATCGAGCTTGGTGCAGGCACCGGGCTTGTGAGCCTCGTTCTCGGAAAACTCATTCCCGCTCTGGGCATCAACGACTCCAAGATCATCGCAACAGACTACCACCCAGCCGTTCTCTCAAATCTGGAATCCAACATCTCAATCAACTACCCCTCCCCCTCCCCCGTGCAAGCTTCCCTCCTCGACTGGGCCGATTTCTCCAACTCGGCCCCCTTCGACGTCCCAGTAACCATGCTCTTCGCCACCGATGTAGTATACGCTCCCGAGCACGCACGCTGGCTACGAGACTGCGCAACACGACTTCTCTCGGATGATGGTGTTTTCTGGTTGTTGGTTACGATACGACCTAATGGGAAGTTTGCGGGCATTGGAGATACTGTCGAAGCTGCTTTTGCGGAGAAGGATAGACTGCGTGGGGAGAATGGGAGGAGGTTGGATATTTTGGAGAGACAGAAGTTGGATAAGAGGAGTGGTGTTGGGAGGGGTGATGAGAGTCATTATGAGCTTTTTAGAATTGGTTGGGCGTGAAGATAGATGGTTAGAGACTTTGGTTTTCAGCGATATTGAATAGAGGAGGATAGACTTTAGATTTAGACATACAGGCATGATAGACATGACGATAGACTAGACGTCAAGACAAATTTTAAGATGGATAATGCTCAGTCTTATTCCCAAGTCCATGAGACTCCGCATCACTGACATACGATACCCTTTAATGAGAAGACATGTCCTGTATCGTTGTATTACTCAAATGATATGACCAAGCTGCCATCAGTAGTGTCAAAGCTGTTGGCTGTGAAGACAGCCCCTTGTCAAGGAATCGTCACGCAACCAAAAAGAGATCCCTCTGGCTTCCTCTTTGAGAACCACCTTTCCAATCTGGCCATAGATGTAGTATGATCCAAGCGCCTCTTTCTACTTCAAAACAGCGTCTTACAGACCCCCCTCACGATCCCACGGAAACCCATTCTTCCACAAAAGTTCATCCCGTGACTAATTCGCCGATATGACAACCGTGCACGAATACTCGCTAGCATTCATACTAACAAGCTTATAGAGACCTCGCGCAATATGCTTGGTCACTTGTAGAACTGCATGGTGGATGTCCTCGCATGGAAGAGGCGGATGCCAGAGCCGGCGTTGATGACGTCTACTTTGGGTATGTCGATGAAGCTGGGCTTCTTGTCGGGACTGGGCCATGTAGCTGAGTTCTTGGAGGGGCCGGCTGTGTAGTTTACTTATGTTTTGTCTGACATTTTGGAAGCACGGTGAGCGAGAGAGCGATGAGGGCATATGATGGGAGAGATTAAGGTAGCTCAAGTAGTTATTGGGATCGTATCATATATATACCTCTTCACAAGTACATTCAGCCTAGTGCCATCGAATAAAGTGCCAAGGTCACGACGTCTGCATCTCATCTCAACCAACATGCACATCCCAAACTGACCCTCACTCAAACCCCTCAACCCCCCGACAATTGCTCCCACAATAAACCGGCCAACAATCCTTACACCCCGGATCAGGCTCCTCTCCCTTATGAACCTCACAATCCGGTTCGGTAGCCCTCACAAACTCATGAAGGTGGTGATCCGGACCCTCCTCCCTCCCCACTTCACAATCGCACAAGACACTATCATCTTCTCCAGCGTCTTCTGCATAATGGGCCATTGCTTGCTCATCGTTGACGTAAGCAAACGCAAATATGAGTTTTAGAGAGTCCGGGTCGTAGTCTTTGTGAAGAATGGCATTATCGTAGAGTTTGTTTATGACGCAGAATGTATCGTCGTGTTCGTGGAGATGGTCTAGTTCGGCTTTTGCGGCGGTGTCGGTGCGGACTTGGGGATGGCGGTGGAGAAATTCCTCAATGGTTTTGGAGGGAGCTTTGGGGACGTTTGCTTTAGTAGCCATGATTTCAATTGCCTTCAGTATGGGTTTAGTGATCAAAGGTTGCAAGATTTGTTTATAACGTATAATAAGACGATGAACCGTCGGTTTGCGTTGGATGCGAGTTTTTTTAAATACTTCTTGAGTCACAGGCTGATGAGCTGATTATACGCGCCGTCAAATCGTAGGTCAGGAATTTGGGGCTAATCCTCCCGGAACCTGTACCCCAAGAACAAGCAGGGGCGGCGCTAAAAAGCAGAGCCGCTCGCACGTTACTGCAGCCAGGGAGTAAGAAGCATGGTGCATAACTTCACGATATCTTCACAGTCGCCATAAATATTGAGACAAAGTTTGATCGTCTGAGCATGTTATTCATTTGAGATAAAAAGAGAAGTACCAAAACAACAGATTTACATTTGGCAAACTACATAACTGCCAGCTACCCTTACATCGATGTTATTCCTACCAAAACCGGATCTTCACCATTGAATCATCCCTCCAGTGTCCTTACAAACCTTACAAAGGGTCAACAATTCAGCCAAGTACTCCATATTCCCAGGTCAATCTTCCCTCAGATACGCTCGAACCAAGCCTGAATCATTCCCGACACGCCCGGAAGTCCAAATCCATCCGTATCCATAAACACCTTATCTTCACTCCCAAAAACCCTCCACGCCAGAACCTCCAGCCCAACGTCCTTCACCTCCCCAAACTCAGGAACCGAGCCCGGAAACTCCGCCAAACTCGGGCCCGTGCGCGTAGTTGTATCCTTTGTGATCTTGCCCCCCCAGCGATCAGGCATCTTCTTCATTTCCGCGGCGGTGATGACAACGACCTCAAGATCACCAGGTTTCTTGAGGCGCGAGTTTTTCATGGGGATCAGGGTGTAGGTGTTGAAGACGGGGTCGTGCTTCATCACGCGTAGGGCGAGGGCTTCGTTGGTGGATGTGGCGGCGGCGCCGATGGCATAGCGGAGAAAGGAGCGGAGATAGATTGGGTTGCGCTCCTTTGGGGTGAGAGAAGTAGCGTTAGGGGGAGGAAGGACGACAGGGGCGCTGTGATCAGCCTCGGTCTGAAGAAGGGGGTGAGGCATGATTGCCATGTGAATTATTGTTTCCGGCTGTTGTGATGATGAGTGTGGAGTTATCTGAGATGAAAACCTGGGAGGTGGGAAAGAGGTTTGAGTTGGGACGAGGTTCCAGGAATGAACTTGTTTTCTTATGAAAGGAAATGCTAGAGTGAATAACAAGGTAGGAGTGTTCGCTGTTCCGGTGTCGAGACACTGCGAGAAGGTATTCTGCCACTGTCACTCTGTTCACATCTGCAGCTACTATGAACATGTATGCCTAACGCGAATGTCTGCTGCCATTGAGCAGAACAGTCAAGGGCCTTGTCAAAAGTTCAATCATTATCAGCTACATACAGACAGTGGCACCTCATCTCATCGCCAGCTTCATCTCATGCTCATCCACTCCATCTCCAATGTAAGTGTCACACCACCTCCCAATCCTCTCGAACATATCAAACCAAAACCTCTGCTGTTCAATCCCATGCCCCTCCCCCGGGAACTTGACAAACTCGCACTTCAGCCCCCAGTGCCTCAACGCCCTCCTAAACCCCTTAGCCTGTGAAAACGGACATCGTTCATCTTTATCACCGTGAAAGATCAACATAGGCGGGATGACCATCTCCCCTGTCTCTTTGGTATGCTTCACTGCACTGGCGACTTCCCAAAGCGCACTGCCCTGTCGATTTCTCGTGTCGTCGCGGTTGAGAGTCCAGATTGTATTACCCCCCGCAAGTTCGATCTCGTACGTTGATCCGAGGTCAGCGCTAAGGGCAAGACTTTCAATATCGCATACTCCTGCTCCTGCAATAGCTGCGTTGAAGCGCCACCCCAGACCATGAAGACCATTGCGCACGCTACACAGATACGTCAAAAGACCACCTTGACTCCAACCTCCAACAATCAGTTTCTTGGGGTCTGCAAAACCCTTCTTGATAGCATTATCGGTGATAGCCACAACATCAGCGTAGTCATACTTCCCCTGTCCACCCATACTATACGAAGCGAATTTCTCACCGCGGCCACTTGAGCCGCGATATTGAGGGAGGAGAATGCCGTAGCCTTTTGAGAGGATGTATGGGGCCCAGTTGAAACAAGTTGTGTCGAAGGTATCAGTGTCGCGAGATGTTGGACCGCCGTGGATTAGGACGAATGTTGGGAGGGGTTCAGTTGGCGTCGTGTCGGAGTTGGCTTTGGATGATGGGGTGAAATAAAGGCTGTCGAGTTCGACTTCATCGTCGGTGGAGCGACAGGTGAGGACTGTGCTTGAGCCAAGGGATCTGTCTGCAAGTGGTTTTCCATGGTTGGAGATTTTGATCTTTTCCTTTCCTGACTCGATAACGAAGATGTCGTATGGCGTACCAGCATCTGACAAGCTCGCTGCAAGAGTTGAAGTCCCAGTCTCTTGATTAACAAAGACATCATAAACCCAAAACTCCTTCTTCTCATCGAAAAGATCATCGCCTTCAATCTCACTGATGACATCGACAAACCTAACCTGACGGTTCACAAGGACCTTGCCACCAACGACGTGAAGACCTCCAGCGTCGTCATCCACGCCACATGCAACCTTGACGAGATCGCGAGTATCGGCCTTGGGATCAGTCCTGTAGACAGCTCTTCCTCCAGTATCTTTATCAGCAGGTACACCAGTGATGAAGTAAACCTGCCCATCCGGCGACCAGGTAAGATCATACGGCTCATTCATGATCTTACAAAGCTCCGTGACCTCGCCGGTCTCGACATCAACTGTTGAGATAGTCGTGCCAGTCAACATCGCCTCTTCGATATGAGGATTCTCCTGACTCATAAAAACAACTTTCTTGCCATCAGGGCTCCAAGAAAATTCACCAACGTGCGTATCCCCACCAACAAGAACCTTTGTCTCGTGAGATTCCACATCAACGAGCCTTAATCTCGCAAAATCCCACTTCTCGCCCCAGACTTCAGGATCAGGCTCGTCCTTGTCACTCTTTTCCTTCTCATCCTCCGATTTCTCATCCGGCGAGACATACGCAATCGTCTTACCATCGGGTGAGAACAGAAAAGTCTCAATATCCTCCTCATTCTCAGCATTAGTTATAGGTATCGCATCACCGCCGTCCATTCTCAGGATGTAAATCGCCGAAGATTCACCAGCTTTCGCACGGTCTGACAGAAAGGCAATTCTGATTCCGTCAGGGTGCCATTTTGGCCAAGTGTCGTTGTAAAGACCGGATGTTAGTTGGCGAGAAGAGTTTGGTTCAAAGGATGATGCGATCCAGAGCGTTGACAGGGCGTTTTTGCCTTTGCGATGACCGCCGATGAGACTGGTGGAGTACAAGAGTTGTCGGCCGTTTGGGGAGAATCTGAGGACTTTGGGGACTTGGAGATCGCATAGGGTTTGGGCGAAGGCTTTGTCGAAGCCTGGAGTGGTGGACTGGGCCATGGTGATTGAGGGGAGGGTGAATTGTGTGCTGAGAAGCACAGTGAGGGGCTCTGAGGGGTTGTGTCGGGTGTCCTTGAACGGCGAAGCCTTCAGAAGATGTGTTCTAATCGAAGAACAGTTGAAAGCCCGCGAGGTTATGGTCTTAAATAGTCATTGGTCAGCATGAGATTCAATGTTAGATTGAATGAATCCATTCTCGTTACATCATCAGTTTGGATCAACTGGCTTCCATCTGCGCTGTTCTCAGATGCAGTGAGAAATAACGTTGACTCACTGATACTGATCGACTCACTAAAGTAAGCGTAGATCAATCATCCGATTGGTTGGCGCGTACAATCGCGCCATCTCCACAGCGGCTCGCTGATGCTGGACCGCTGAGATCCTTCGCAATGGAGCGATCAGCTCTGCAGTTGAAGAGAGTTGCCGAGCATCAGCCCTATAGATGCGGTATGTGACTCACTATTCTTATTTGCTTCTGATCATATATATGCGTGTGTATTCGTTTCGTCGCACTGTTTACTCAATACGGTGAAACTTGGTGATAGGCCGAGTCAAAGTGCGGCAGCTTACGTGCAGCGAAATAAATGGTAACGAGTCGGATCATGTTCAAAATTCGTTACTGAGGGGGCAATTGTCAGCACCTTGAGTCAAGAGCTGGAAAACAGGCAGAATACTAAGTTAGGCGCAATTTGGAGATTGTTTGAGAACTCGATCAGCGATAAATGCTGTGTTACATCAAATGCCACGGGATTGACACAGAGGCACATTGATGGCCAATTGGCTATGCATGTAATGTATTGCAGGTGGCACAGCACAGCCTTGTTGTCTCCAAGAGGCCTCACAATTACATTTCATTCAGCTCTACAACCAGGCTGCTAATGGGATCCGTCATATCGCCTCTTACATCTTGGCAATAGAAAAATGGAAAAAGTCTGGTTCAAGCTCCGTCAAACCGATTATCCTCCTCCCCCAGAGGACACCATCCTCCGCGGTGACGGCGATGATTCCATTGCCCCTCTCTGTCTAGGCCACTTGGTCTCCAATCTCAAAACCCTCGACTTCCCTCTCAACGCTGATTCAATCCTCCCCTTCCCCCCACGCATGCGCGTCTTTTGCAACACTAGTCTCAACTTCACATGGGATGATACCAGATTAAAGTCTCCGGGCACTAATCTCGCTGCCGGCGCGCCGATTCTTGCAGCAACTGGCGTCACAGCCAAGGCGAGTCTGCAGTTTGCGTTTATGAAGGCTGTGGAGAGCCATGAGGCGTATGATCGACTGGATACGTATATAGTGCAGCCTACGAAGGGGTATATCGAGGATTGTCTAGAGCAAGATCAGTTGAAAGCCTACGTCAAGGGAAAAGTCTCGTGGTCCATGTTTATGATCACAGGCATCAAGGTCGCCCGTGCGGGGAAGCGGGAAGTGCAGGAAGAGACCAACGTGGCAGCTGACATCGGTCCAGAACTGTGAGTCTCACTTCTCGTTATAGATCTCAGCAAATATTGATGATTTACAGTGACCTTCCATTGGTTGCTACAATGCGGGCTACAGCCACCAACAAACGCATCGCCTCCCAGCGAGTTTCTGGGGAGCACGCCGGAGACTTCATCTGGGCTATCCGCCTTGCCAAGATCCACAAGGGCTTACTGATGAAGGACTGGTCAGTGGACCCGTACACCAAGAGAGCTACGTTTGCAGGTGGTGATGATAGTGAGCTAAATGTTGAGAGCGTATTGCGGGACGAGGGCTTGGAGGGTTTTACCATTGTCGAGGATGATGAGCTTGACGAAGTTGTGATCTTGGATGAAGGCCCGGGAAACTAGGCTGATTGTTGATGTGAATTTCTGCTGTTATTTAACGCGAACGCTCCTCTAGTTTGCCCTCTCCATCGCTTGCGATAGAACCTCCCTTACACGCTGTCTGTTCGCTTCTCGACTGTCTCCGTGCCTCAAAGGCAACAACTCCAATGGTGATATGTATCTTAGATTACCTGCTGGTTTCGACATAGCACCAAATATGGCCAGCATACCAGGTAATTTACCTACATCCTGTGCTCTGAAGATGGACGCCTTGTTATCCTTCTGTCGTGAAAAGTCGACGATCCTTGCAGCAAGTCCCGCAGCCACAGCCGTTGCCACTGTTCACAATCAGCAAGTGCATTTCCCCTCAAGATCCGCGGTTCTTACTTGACGTTCCGCTCATGCGCTCATTCCTCCTTTGATCTGGATGTTGAAACCCCTCGCCCAGGATCGCAAAGTTCTGTGTATCAGCACGAGGCTCTGGATTAAAGCTTGAGCTCTGATTTCCAGTATTTGTAGAGTAAATGCACATGGCGCTGAGGTTATGCCGAGCTGGGAATGCGACGGTATTTTTGTTCTGCCAGTTTGACGCTGCAGCTATGACAAGAACACCAGAAGCTTTGGCTCTTGTGACAGCGTCGTCTAGTTCCTTGGAGTAGTTTCGGAAGCCAGCGGAGATGCTGATGATGTCGACGGAGCGCGGTGGCTCAATAGCCCAGTGAATAGCCTAATTGAACATTCAGTATAAACTGCGACTTCACAGGTATCGGAAACAGACTCTTGCCATTCGAAGAGGTCCTTCAATCTCATCCGCGTGGTCCCGTTCAAAGACCCTTGCGATGTATAGCCTAGCCTCCTCATACATCCCCTGGATGATCCCCGCACAGCAAGTACCGTGCCACGAGTCATTCATATGTACATCAGTAAAGTCTTTATACTCAGCTCGGTAACGGCCTCTCTCCCTATCATGCAAGCCAGAGTCGATGATGGCAATCTTGACTCGCTCGTAAGGATCTTTTCTGTCGCCTCGCATAGCTCTGATCAGGTCATCTACCTCATCAAGCCAATCGCCGGCCGTAGGGTCGTTTTCGCTTCCAAAACTGTAAGCTATTTGTTGGGGTTTTCTGGGAATGCTTACCTCTTGATGAATGTTGCTCTTAAGCTCCGGGACTTGGTCCCTCGTTGAGTGAGTTCCTCCCAGCTCATCTGGGAGACAACAAACTTGCCATTGGCATCGTAATCACTTATCCATACCTCGATGTCTTGCAGAGACTTCAAGAGGCCTCTTTGAGATATCTGTGGCGTTTTGTCCTTGACTGTTCACTCCGTCAGCCTCGAGGCATTTATATAAAATGCGATAGGAAACTCCCTACAGTCGATACAGACAGCATCAGAGTATCCCTCTCGTGAAACAACTGCCCTGTACCTCTGCTCTCCAGCTCCCTGTGATGATACCAACATAAATCTGATTTTTGCTTGTGTGTCATCTTCGGTGGGTATTCGAAACTCCAACCAACCGTTAGCCTGGGCACGTAGACTGTAATCAACATCAGACAACAGAGAATACACGATTTGCTCATCCTCCAATGGGCCACGGACGAACATATCACGCAATCTGTCCTGAGCAGCTTGCAGATACGCGGCGAACAACTGTGCGTCTATCGTCAGTGCGACAGTCAGTTTTCAGAAAATGCTTAAAACGGTTCGAATGACTGACCTTCACGTAGATCGAAGTAAAAGTGAACATCGCCCTCAGGTCCCTGCTGGCTCTGGGCCATGGCTTGGTGCACCATCGTCTTCTGAAGAGTGACAACAAGTCTGCCAAGAGGGTTAATTTCGTGGCATATTCGTGTATCCGCGTTGACTGCAGTAAGCTTTGTTAGTGGTAGCACCAAACCACTACTCTGCTACTGGGATCGGACTGACCTCGAACTTCCCAGCCTTCTTCGTCCGACCTAGATCCTTTGGAAAGGACACAGAAGTAGGACTGAGGCAATAGGTTTGCGAGAGCGAGTTGACCGACATCCTTCTCCGGAGATTGCAATACGCCAAAGTGTTTTAGCTCGACACTTGACGGCTTCGGAAGCAATGTTGCGGTGTTGGACGAGTGGAGGATAACTTTCATTATCTTTGTAGATGGGAACCTCCAGTCGCTTCTACAGGTCAGTTTCCAAGAACAGTCCGAATGGTTTCGAGCAAGATCTGGCAGAGACTTACTTCTGTATCATCTCCACCGTTCTGGGCCCAACTGTCATGCCAATACCACGCTCAGAAGATATTCCCCACGAGGCAATGTTCTTTGACACGGTTTCAACCTCTTTAGAATCTATGCAGAATTAGCAAAACGGCGGACAGATTTCAAAGAGAAGTGTCTGACATATCGGCGATACTTCTGATAGTCTCAAAATGACAACTTGGAGCGTTTCTGGCTTCAGTGTCACAATAAACCATTTGCGCAGCCCATCAGGATGTAGTTCCTCTCTGAGAAGGCTTCTCCCTTTTATGACTAATTCAAATCAGCTTCCATACTCCGAAACGTTTATACTTGAGTAACTTACGCTTGTAGGTCAAGTCTTTTGAATGCGGTTCGCCTACACAGCAGCACCGACACTTGAAGATTTTTGGCCTCTTCTTTACCGTAGATTCATGGAGACGAGCTTTCGGGCAGACGAGTAGTTCCTCGGGAAATGAATCAGGCCTGGCGTTTCTCTCTACAACCCTCTCGCTGAGTGTGAAAGTTGCCTGTGAGCTATCGGCAGGTGGCTTGGATTGGAAAATCCTGTCCGAGAAATTGACAATTTCCTTCTCCAGTTCATCGAAGACTTTCTTCGCATCTTCATTCTCTAATCTGCTTGGATGTAGCGTATTCATGATTAGATGTTTTGGTATTATAAGACGAAAGTCAGGCGACACGTAACCTACCGCTTTTGGGGCGTTTTGTCAGCCCCCTCAGCTAGCCCTTAGCCCGCACATAGCCTATACTAGCCCTATTTACCCTATCTCTAGGACTATAACCTCAAGTCCTATTACCTGCTATAAATCCTAAACTTATAATAGTAACCCTAGGTAGGGCCAGTTTTAGAGCCTAATATTTAAGATAGAATGTTATCTTTTTATCCTTTAATTAGAATCCTGGAATATAATTATATTTATATCCTTCTATGGCTAAATGTATAAATAATAATCTTTATGTAGGCTTTCATAAAAATCTAATAAGTTAATGGAAAATAATATCATACATAAATAAATAATTTATAAAATACTTCACCTTATAATAAAATAAAACTATATAAAGAAAATAAGATTCTAGGTTAAGTAAGTATTATATTCTTTTTATTAATTTAAATATATAAGCATTAAAAAATAAGAACTAAGGCTTTAATATATAATTTAAAGTCCTTGAATGGTTTTGTATAGAAGGTTACTTGTAGTATTAATACTCTTAGCTAAAAATTATATAGAAATATTAGACGCATCATAGTTGCAACGGAGGGGGATTCTCCATCTGAACACGAAGTGACCCTGGCAGCTAGTATATGCTGGGTGAGTAATGCACAAGAGGATTGTTAGCGTACTTCAGCTGTTCCTCTGCCCTTTCTGTAAGTAGACTGTTCTATTTCACTGTCTAGTACTATTCATGCTGGTCGATATGGTGCCCAGGGCAACGGGAGTTAGTGCAGTTATCCTGCAGGTGCCCTCTTGTCGGACCTATTCCTCACTAACTACGCGCTGAACACGTCACCGACGTTAATATGGAGTCGCTAAGTTCTCTGTGGTGATATAAGCTCTCAGCTACAAGTCTCAGCTGCAAATAACACATCTGTTAATATCGAGTCACAGATACTCAGTATCCCAGCCAAGGTTCAAGCCCATGCCATCTAACGCCAGTGAAAATTCACTCAGCGGCACCGTCTCCATGCTCCCATCCAGCTTCTGGAACACCAGGTCCAGCAAGTCCACAGCCCTTTTGGCGTCCGACGACCACTCGCTCCATCGCACCCACGTATCCTTGCAATTCCTCAACGTAGCCTCGATGTACGCTATGTCAATACCGTGGGCCACACCGCTAGTCGCAGGCCATGGTCCGAAATGATAGAGGAATGTGCCGAGAACCGCAGTCGCGACGAGGGACTCGTGCACTGCGAATATGGACATCTTATTCTTCAGCATAGTCAGAGTGCCGCCGGGTCGGGATTCCGTGTCCATAATGATCAGGAATTCTACGTTTTGCAGGGCTGAATGTATGCATTTACGTCGTGAGTGCAGTTCATACTCAGCATCGTCTCCCGCAGCAGGGTCTCCATCGTCGGCCGATCGGGGGCTCTTGAGGAGGTGGGAAATGTGCAGCATGATGTACATCTTGTTTTAGAGGCTCGTAAGGCCGATCCGCTGCCCTACTCCTGCTGGGGACTCCGAAAGACAGTTGCTCAGTGATTCAAACTTGAATCTATCCGGGATGGTATTCCACGTCTCTGCAAGGCGGGCCTCTGCGCGTCGCATTTCAGAAGGCAATAAGAGACCATGAAAAACGTCGGCGTCAATCAGCCAGCCGACGGTGAGACTCAGCTTATACCTGGCCAGTGGACACGACACTGGAGTCAACTCCGAGTCTGGGCGTGAGTCAGGAAGAGTAGTACAGCCTGGATCAAGGTCACTGTCGTGCAGGTTCCGAGGCGGTTTGGTGTCCCACGATCCTTCAGCTATGACCCTTGGTGACCCGCTGAGCACAGACATTGAGGTATCGCAAATATGAACCATGGCCCAGATTCGCCGCCGCATCTCGCCTTCAAAACAAGATATCTCGGGGAAGTGGCACGGGTCACGGTGGTAGCCCATGCGCAAAGCAATCTGCGTCATCAGCCCTGTTGTCGCACATATTCCTGAATGGACATCCGGCGAGGGAGATGCCATCATAAGCTCCAGTACTATGTAATTGATCAGTGTCTCAAGAATGTATGGTCCTCCTCGAACATAGTCTCCGGCCTTTAGGCAGTGTACCATATGATGGGCATACTCTGAATACTGCGCAGTGTACCCGGAGTTCGACATGGTATTACTGGTTGGGGCTTCCGATTTGCGTGAGAATATGGTCGATACACTAAGTATGCTGTACAGGAGACCGATCCAGTGGATGGACACTTCACCAGGGTTGGCCCAGAATTGTTCATACTAGTGAAAGTTGCTCAATATGCCGTCGACCTGTTATGAATAAGCGGTGCGCTTACTTACTTGTTGAAGAAACGTCGGGGAATGAAGGGCAATCACTTAGAACGTATCGTTAGTGGATGCTGCTCAGCACCAGGGAGTCGCAAGTCCAGTACTCACGTGGCATCATCGACATCTCACTGAAATAATAAAACACCATCCTGTCTACTATGTTTTTCTCAGGTAACTCAGAAATCAGCATTTCCTTTGGAGGCGCCCGTGTACCGCTGTATAGCAAGAGTGGGCGCTGGCGCGACTCGTCGGGTACTTCCCGACCGTGTCTTCCGGGAGACTGGCTCTCATTGAGATTCTCAAAGTGGCCTTTCAATTCCGCTATGCCATCCATTATAGCAACCCAGTGAACGCCTCCGAAATACTCTGTCCCTTGGTTACCACAGCGCATCGTCCCAGCCTCGGCTAGGTGAGGTCGTGGCGAGATCCCGCTGTTGCTCAAGGGTGACGAAGCCTCAAGGTCAGGCCGCTCGTGACGTATGGTAGTCAAAGTCGATATCATCATCTGCTCTAAGGACCTAACTTTGTCCTCAAGAACTGAAAGGCTCGGCTTTTGCGCAATTTGGGTTGCAGGTGACGGCCGCGACACAAGCCGGGGTGCGCGAGCACTGGGAAAGGAGCAGCTCAAGTTGCGTGATGCACAAGCAGAGCATGGCTGCTTCCTGTCACATTTCAACCTGGAAAACAAAAAGTAAAATTAGCAAGTTGTTCTCAAAGAGTTTGCAGAAGCGAGCAGGCTTAATCTGTACTTTCTCTTCCGGCAGAATTCGCACGAAAGCTGCTTCTTATCCCGGCGGCGATGAGGGGGGGGACGAGCGGTCGGAGTGCTAAGATCCGCGGCACTGTGAGTAGAACAGAGGTCCGTTTCGTGAGGACTTTGATCAGACATTTGGGCAGATACAAGCTGATGGACTCAGGAAGAGAAACGGAGGCTGAAAAAAAAAAGCGCCTACAGGACGAGGCGGGCGGCGATTTATGATGCTCCGCATGCGCCGACCATCCGCTCCCGTCGCCGACCCTCCGCTATAGCGCGCCCCGAACGAGCGCCGCTTAACCCGAACAGGTTGCTTAACCGAGACGACTCAAACACGCATCTTCCGTGAATGAGTATTGCATGTGCCGATGGAAAGTTCCCCTTGATTATGTCCGTGGACATATCCAGTCCAGTTTCCCTTAAATACTGATCCACGTAACGATGTGGCTTGTTCACGTTTTCCCTCTCACTTTTTCGTAAAACCTATGCTCCTCTGCTATTGTCAACATGAATTCCGACGTCGAGACCGCTGTCGAATCCAGCCATGACCGGGCCTCGAAAGAAATGTTGGAGGCTGAGATCAAGGCAAATGCCACGTCTTCAGACTCCAATGTCATTGACTGGCAGGAAAATGACCCGGAGAACCCTTTGAATTGGCCTGCTCACGAGCGTGGAGCTCATGTTGTTATCATCTCCTTCATGACACTCACTGTGTAAGCCATCTCTTTTGTACACTCCACCAACCTCTCGGTCCAGCTGCTTACCTCTGCGGATAACAGTAACCTCGCCGCGACCATGTTCGCCCCGGCTGCGTCCGATCTTGCCAAGGACTTCGCCATCACAAACGCGACAGTCGTGACCCTCGTTGTTTCGATCTACCTGTTGGGGTTCGCCTTCGGGCCCCTGCTGATTGCGCCTCTATCAGAATTGCACGGAAGGTACTGGATATACAACGTTTGCAACGTGATCACCTTGGGTATGACCATAGGCTGTGCAGCCGCTCCGAACTTGGGAGGTTTCTTAGCTTGCCGCTTTCTCGCCGGTGCCGCTGGCTCTGCTCCGGTCACAATCGGTGGCGGCACGATTGCCGATGTGACAACCCCGAACAACAGAACAAAAGCAATGGCGGGCTTCGTTCTTGGGCCTCTCCTTGGACCCGTAAGTCCACTGATCCAATCTACTGTTCTGTTTCCCTTGCTGACGTCAGCTACCAAGGTCCTTGGTCCAATCGCTGGTGGCTTCATAAGTGCTGATCTAGGCTGGCGATGGACATTCTGGATAATTGCAATTTTGGTAAGTGGTATCTGCGCCATCAACGACACAGACTTCTCGACTGACTTGGGCAACAGAGTGGCGTCAATGGCGTTATCTGTGTCCTATTTATGCGAGAGACCTATGCACCATCCATCTTGTCCCGCCGAGCCGCGCGACTTCGCAAGGAGACTGGCAATGAGGACCTTCGACCAGCTGGAGCCCGCTCTATCAAGACCTCCACCCTTATCTTACAGACCAGCACCAAGGCCATCACCATGCTCTTTACCAGTACCGTTGTGTTCCTACTGTCACTGTTTAATGCTTTTGCATTCGGTCTTATGTACCTTCTATTCACTACCTTCCCCCAGGTCTTCGAAGGCCAGTACGACTTCGACACGGGCATCTCCGGTTTGAGTTACATTGGACTTGGGATAGGCATGTTCATGGGCCTCTTTATCTTCGGAATCACCGATAAAATGATAAGCGCAAAAGATGCATCTCCCAAGCCGGAGACTAGGCTGATGATGACAATGGTCGCAACTCCACTCCTCGCTGTTGGCTTGTTCTGGTACGGTTGGGCCGCAGAGGAGAAGGTCCACTGGATTGTTCCGATAATAGGAACCTCCTTCGTCGGATTCGGCATCTTCTCCATCATGGTGAGTAGATCGCGGCCAAACAATATTTGCCAATTCACAATTCTAACCTTACTCTCATCCAGATGCCCTCTCAGCTATACGTAGTCGACGTGTTTGGCGCACAAGGAGCTGCTTCAGCTCTTGCCGCGCTCGCTGTCTTCCGCTGTTTGTTTGCAGCATTCCTTCCCCTGGCCGGACCACCTATGTACGATGATCTGGGCCTTGGCTGGGGCAACTCTGTCCTGGGCTTCCTCGCTGTAGCCTTCATTCCGCTACCTATCCTCTTTTACAAATTTGGAGAGAGATTAAGGAATAGGAATTGAAACAACTCCGCCGTGATGGTATAACAGCGCCTGGCGCTAGATGATATAGGCCATGAAGATTAATTGTGTTCAATATCAAAGATGGAAGCTTGAACCTAGTTCTTTTCTATACCTTCTCTTCTTGTTAGATATAAAGATTATCGTGTAATATATTACTATTCTCAATAATACAAATTAATATAATAAGTAACTATGCTAAACAAGTAAGCCATTCCCCATGTTAATAAATAGGTTATTTCTTATATCTTAACTTATATTAGTTTAAAAGGCTTATAGTCAAGTATTAAGCTTATCCTTCCCCGCGGGTTAGGATGTTAGGGATAAGTTCTCGTCAGTTGCTAGTTTTCCTAGTGGAGTTAATGGTAGGCGTGTAATCTGGAACAAAAGAACAATATGCACATCAACCAGAATTAGAATTAACTATTCAGTCAACTTCTCAGCTTAGACCAGGGACCGAAGAGGCTAGTGGGGGCAGTACATGTGCGGTGTGCCACTTACATGAGACTGATTCCTTGCGATACTGGGCTAGGTTTCTCAGATACCTATGGAGATGGACACTCACCTGCCATTGCAGGAAATGATGCTTCACTTGCGTCATTGTCTCTGTTCCTGAGAGTCATGTATCTCTCATTACGCTAATGCCTAGTACAATGGTAACCTATGTGCACCGAAGAAGCAATATACGTTTTCCTTGCACCTTTTATTTTCCAGGAAGTCACAAGCATAGAACATCATATTCATTTGAGTCAAATTATGCAAGCCACCTGAGGTGCAAGTCGCCAACAACAGTTTGTTAGGTTCTCATTAGACAGGGAAAGCCTTTGGCGACTCTACTCTCGATATTCCGTATAGAGTGTATTGTTAAACCGCTGCAAGCGGCTAATTCCGCAAGGCCTTTTAACCAAATGAATCTCGGAATAGGAAAAGACAAAGTCACCTGATATAAAGTATCTCAAGTAGGAATACAGCAATGCAGGACCTAAAATTGAGGGGTTAGAATGCAAGAGGCCAGATAGATACAAGAAAGCAGGATAATAATCACAGTTAGGTTTAACAGGGTATCACAGATTTGTGTTGCTTTCAACCCAGTGAGCACTAGAGTTGATCGGGTTAGCCAGCAACTCGACCAATCATGTTCACCACCAAATGCGGGACAGCTGCAGCTTCCAGTAACACAAAACTGTGATACACACCATCAGCTCAAATTCGATCCTCTTGGTCCCAAGACTAGCGAATCACCTTCACTAATTTTCTAAAGCGACAATCCCAGGGCCAACCGCTTGGACATTGGAACTAGAAACCCTGGACTGTCCAATTTCTTTTCCGGCAAGCTTGATTTCATTAAACACACTGCTGGCAAATCATGGAAAGGTTAGTCCAACATCCTCTCTCGTGCTCAGGTGTCGGTGGATTGCAATGCTCCCCAGGATGCATGAATGCAGGGGGGACGTCAAGTAGTCTCGACATCACCCTTCACACCGACAATCTCAAACTCCAGAAAGACACGACTGAGAACCGCGCCGTCGTCGAAGAGCGAAGTGGTAGAGCCTTAACAGAGAAGTATCTTATCTTACCTATACCTTGTGAATTAGCTGTCGTTTAGTGTTAAAAGTCACCCAGCAGTCACTCAGGGAGTAACAATGGCGCAATGTATAAGCCTCATGTCAGAGGTACATATAGCCATATCCCAGCCGTGAAACCCTGCTTTAACTCGACGCGTCGACTGGAAGATTTAATTCTAGTGCTAGCTTACAAGTATAAAGGCCTCCTTCTCTTTCTTCACTCTTCGTGTCCAGTAGGCTAAGCTAGAACCCGAAACCTAGCAGTCAAGCGCAGTTTGCCTTCACAACAATCCATGCCGCAGGGTGTGAACTGATGTTCATTTACCAATTCTTCTCTCCCCTGATTTTCCCAATCCCAAACCTCTTCGTTTTATGCCTAAGTTCCGTCCTTGCTGTTGACTACATGTCTACCAAGAGGTATTCTTCATCCCTAGCGTCCCCTGCTCCTCTTGCAAATATAATAGCATGTTAAGTGACATCATGTTTTAAAGGGTACATCCGAGTTCCCCTGCCAGGGCAACCCATAGGTCGTCTCAGCTGGTCTCCTACAAAGAAAAGGGCGACTCTAAGGATCCCGATCATAGAGATGGTACCCTTTTATCTGAAATGACAGGAATTGGGACGAGGAAAAAACAAGAACAAGAGCTCAGAGGTACTGGCTCATGCTTTGACAACATTGAGATGGAACATCTGCGAGCAATCGCATTCCGACTCTGAGAGGGCCGGAAAGTGAGTGATGGGTTCAACTACTTTAGGCCAAGACGATACCTTGTTAGGGCTCCAATGCAATGATTGATTCATGCAAATAAAACTTTGGCTCTGGAATACATGATCATAAAACGGGTACCTGGAATCAAAAAGACAAACACAATTTCCTGAACTCATCATAACTGACACCAGTCATCTGCTTGAGAACCTTCCCCAGCAAGCGCGACAGGACAGGCCACCACCGCTGCAATGTGATTTGACGAATGCTCTATTCAACGATGGCAAAACTGAAGATGGATTTGGGTTGGGGACAACGTTGAGGAAACTCGAGGCAAGAGGTTGAAAGTCATTTGGCAAGGTCCACTCAAGGGGACTAAAGGGCTCCTCATTAGTTAGACGTCGACCGCACGGCCGTCACCATTTGTGACTCCCCGCACACACGAATACCTTTAGCCTTGCAGTCAAACATTTGTGACTACAGGATTTATGTTTGTGTAGGTAGAGAATGAACAGCAACCTCCCAGTACTGCGCTGCAAATTTGAGGTAATCGTAGATATCAAGTCAGTTGCGAAACTACTTTATCACTCATCATGCATTCGACTGGCACTATTTCTCAGTTCCTCGAAGACAGAAAGCATATGCCCGAAGCCTAATTAGATAAAAGTCTTACTCCAGCTCATTATCCAAGATGCGCCTTAACAAGTCCCACAGTACTCGTACTGTACCTATGAACCGTCACAACCTTGAACCTAGAGTCTGCTGCATTCAGCAGCTCCTCAAAGCCGCCCCTAGTCCTCTCCTTCGCACCAGCCGCTACGAAAATGCACATATCGCGCTGTCGTGACAAATGCTCCTCATACTTTGTAACCTCGTTTGACTCCAGCAAGAAGATGATGCTCACCAACAGCTCAATGGGTTAGGAATCCTATTATCGGCTCAGCTACCCTTCGAGGAACAGGTTGGGTGTCAATAAGTAAGCGAACATATCCCCTTAGGCTTACCTAGTTCCTTACTTAGCCTACCTCCTAAATTTACTTAGTAGTAGCTTAGCTTAAAGCTATAGGAACTTAGCTTCAGGGATAAAAATAGATTTCAGGATGCTTAAGTTTTGTCTCTGAGTACATTAAGATGTTAGAGACTTACTGAGACGCAGGCTATATGGTTATAAAAGGAGAAAATCAGGCTGGCACAAAGAAAAGCCTTGCCAGCGGCGGTGCTGCTGCGGCTGATTCTGATGGTCACATTAGGCATCAACACAGCCGATGTTTCAGGCCTTCCTCGGGTTGTTTACCCAAGCCTTATTTTAAGAGATGTAATCAAGTGACTGTGGGATTGGTTCTTTTGGTGAATTAGTATTGGTTCTGGTTTTCCTTGCCTTTCCATTCCCCTTTTTACATACTGGAACTCTCTGTTTTCGGTTACCAACAGACAATGATCTTAGGAAATGACGTGAAATAAGAGTTGTTTCTCGATAACCGTAGCGTGTGCACCCTCCTCTTTGATCTACAACCTCTCTACCTGAATGTGTAGTCCCTCGCATGTCTGACAAAGGGCAAGTATCTCATATCATGATTGGCAGCAACCCCGCTTATCAGACCACCTACCCCCTCATTATGCATGTAATATGCACGTTCATCACACAATCGTGGGCTGCACATTCATGGCTCATGTATCTCGTTCAAATAAATTGAATCGAAAGCGGGACAGATGTAGTTTTTTTGTGACAAGGTCACACTCTTCAAGCCGCAAATGTACTTTTAGAATGGAAACTGAAATATATTATTCCATAGAAAGTTGATAGGTTTGTCCCTCATCTTCATGCACCCTTGAGCGATTATCTGCAAGCCACTTACCCAATGCTACACCCGTCTTACTCGGGCGAGCACTGCGGCTGAGGCATGCGGGTTGAAACTCCTTATTGCTTAGTCACATGCTTGGCGATGATGCTTTGCATGCAGAGTAAGCAGTGCAGGTTTATTGATAAGAACAGCTGCACAGAACTCCTCTTCCTTCTATTACTCGTAAACAGCTCCAGTTGATATTCCGCCATCATCTTACCGACTAGAAATCAGTTACTCGACGGCAAGATGACAAGCCGCCACGTCTTCACCCAGCGACTAAAGTCGGGGGTCATATTCTCAGCCCCGGGTAACATGCTAGCCATGCCCGAGGAAGGCTGGGGTGACGATACACCCATGAACCGATCGAAAAGGCCCAAGAAAAAAGTCAAAAACCGTGGCCTGGATCAGTTTTCTCACTGGATAGCGAAGGTGACACCTTATGACGAACCATATGATGATATCGGCTCTTTCACGCCGGAAAAGGATACCCGCAATTCTGAATACAGACCCTACTCAATACCAGCGTATCCCGAGCCTCTGGTAAGACCTACGGAAGCTGAGATACCTGAGGTGACACTATGTCTACCGACGCTCAGTGTTTCTTTGACGGCGACTGTGGACGGCACAGTCGCTCATACAGAGCTGGTGCAGAAGTTCCGCAATCCTTCTGATGAAATAATCGACGCTGCAAAGCACGTTTTCCCTCTATACGATGGCGCTGTTATCACATCCTTCGAATGCACAATCGGTGATGAACGTCGTGTCAGAGGCGTCGTCAAGCCCAAGGTGCAAGCGCGAAAGGAATTCGAAGAAGCAGTGCGCGATAAAGTGGCAGCTCCCGCTCTGCTGGAAGAACATACTCCTGAGATCTTTGAGACGTCTCTAGGAAACATTCCCGCCAATACCACGGTGGAGATCAAGATCACGTACGTCCAAGAGCTGAAGGTTGTCATGATGGAGACAGAAGCAACCGAGGGCATAGCTCTCACTATTCCGATGTCTATCGCTCCGAGATACAGCAAGTCACCAATCGAGTGGGAGCCTGCATCAAGAGTACCAGAGGAGAAGCTTGACATATGGATCAAGGTCATAGATAATGGAAAAGTCAACCATGAAGGTTGTGACGAGGAGTCAGGTCACCTCCTCAAGTTTGAGGGCGCCAAGCCTGTCGAATACTCCAACTTGCTGGAAAAGGATGCATCAACCAGAACCTACTATGTCTGGCACCATGAGTCAGAGCCACCCGTTCTGAGAAAAGACTTTGTGTTTGTCATTCAGATGAATGAAGGCCACCAAATCAAGTCACGAGCCATCGCTTGTCCGGCAGATGACAAGGGTCTCGCTGCTATGAGAGTAAACATCCGGCCTAACAATCTTTTCCGCAACGCCATTATTCCCCAATCATTCACTGGAGAGATTTTGTTTCTTCTTGATCAATCTGGATCTATGGGATGGTCAAACGGTTCACCTGGCTATGGCAGACGGCGTACCGGAGGACGAAAGATTGATGTTATGCGGGAAGCAATGCTCCTAGCTCTTTCAGGCATACCGTCGACATGCATCTTTAACATTATCTCATGGGGTTCAGCGACAGTAGGCCTATGGGAAAACTCCCAACCTCACACGCAGGAGAATATCAGAGAGGCCAAGAGTTACGTGTCTCGGATGGAGGCTAATATGGACGGAACGGATCTCCTTCGGGCGCTGGAAGCAGTGGTGAAGCGGCGGGTTCAAGAGCGAGAATCTACACAGATCATCATTCTCACAGATGGTGAACTGGAACCCGAAGATTCGATCCAGTTCATCTGGAAGAAACGCCAGCTATTCGGGGATAAAGTTCGGTTCTTTGCTCTGGGCATTGGAGATGAGGTTTCTCATCGTCTAGTCGAGAGTATTGCGGAGTGTGGTGGCGGCTACAGTGATGTAGTTCATACTACGCAGACGCCGAGATGGCATGATCGGCTGAATCGTCTGCTGAAGTCGGCTCTGGAACCGAACAGCTGGAGTTGTGACATTGATCTCGGTAGTGGTTTTGAAAGGAAGAACGTGGTTGATTACAACCTTGGACAGGATAATCCTGCCGACGGTAGCGACATACCTTACATCCAAGCCCCATTTCCGATCTCATCTCTCCATCCCTTCACCTTCGCGTCTATTTCCTTCTTGATCGACCTTCGCCATGGGGGAGCCATCCCAAAGACTATTACTATAAGCACAACAACAGCCGGTGCGAAGAAGAAAACCTATGAATTACCCATCGAGACTTCATCAGGCAGCGACGGCACAATCCACCGACTAGTGGCTAAGTCTGTCCTGCTGGATCTTCAAGACTCAATCAAGCGCGGGACAACCGAAACAGAAGTCGCCAAAGGAAATGCAGAGTCTATTGGCACGATGTACTCCATCACCAGCAAGTGGACAAGCTTCGTAGCTGTCTCGGAAAATCAGCCTAACCAAACGGTGGAAGAGCAGAAGATGAACCATTACAAAGCACTATTTGACGAGATAGACATCGACGAGCTTCTCAACAACGTCGATGATGAAAGCAGTATAACTTCTGGTTCGTCGCTTGAGTTTTCCGGTGTTGACAATCAGGGTCCCGGAATGAATAGTCTACCCTGGTCACCACAGTTCGCTAGGCCTCCAAGCCATAATGGTTACGGCCGACAACTCGAGTCTGCGAACCCTATTCCAATACCTGCTCCTATGCCTAGGTATGCGCCAGTACAGCCATCACCCGGACAGAGTTCACAGCCTCGGTACACTGGCGATAATCGACTTGGCCAACATATTGTCGAAGAGGGTAGCCTTAGGAACCTTTATGATGAAGATGATAGTGATGAGTCCGAGGCCCTACCACGCGCAGGCCCTCCAGTCACCCGGTGCATGTCCCCTCCAGGGCCGGTAGCGCCACAAGGATCTGATGATAGTGGCGATGCCATTACGAGTCGGCGTCATAGGGTCTCGGACCATTCGAGCGAGGTACTTCAGCGGAGACCTTGGGAACGCCCGGGTTCTACTATGTCCCAAATTCGGCCGAACAGCGTCGATGATGATGTTACCATACCCTCAAGACAGCGCGTTTATGGTTACAGTTCCTCGTCGGTTAGCGCTTTCCAGGATATTCCTCCCTTTCCTAATGATTCTTCTTATCAAGAAGCAGAAAGATTGGAGCGCACGCGAGCGGAAACTACAGACGGCAGCGTGTCGGACTTACTCCTACTTACGGAAGAAGACGCTGTAGCTGGCGAACTTATCGCTGTTACAAGTAAACCATCTGGCGACGAGTCGCACGGTCAAGCTGCTGCTACGCTACGAGGTTCTAAATCTTCGTACGCTCTGCCCTTGGGTAATCGCAGACCTCGACTACCAAAAGACTACGCTTATGATGGTAACTCCGATGATGATACAGCTCAAGGTTCTCGGCCTCAGAAATCTCCTCAAAGCGCTTCGCCATCTCGACGCCCCAGCGCGGATGAAAACGGGCGCGTCCTCGAGCCTGCAAACTCGACGCCTTCCCCTGAGTTCTATGCACCGCCAGTATTCTCCGGACACATACCACGTCCCAAGTCTATTGTCGTTTCTGAGAGACTCAGTGAAAAGGTCCATCGACGCAAGGAATTTGCCCAAGCAGAGGTTGCTGATGAGCCCATGGTCGCACCTAGCGCCAATCATGGATTTGCCATACCTGCAGCCATGATCAAGCCGGAAGAGCCACAGGCATCTGATGATAGCGACACTAGTCAGAAAGCCTCTTATCCTTCGAGTTTGGCTCATAGACCAGGTTCCAGTGATGGGTTAGCTCGGGAGAGGTCTATGGTGACGAACGTTGACAGTGAGGTTTTCATATTAGGAGGGCGACAGCGCTTTGATAGGTTGTCGAAGCCTGACATGCCTCGTCCAGTCGCGTCGCCGTCTGGACGTCCTAGTGTCGACGAACGTGGCAAGGCCCCCTCGTCTCAGGCCTCGTCACAATCGGGTGAGTTTGCCTCTCTTGGCAGGACACCACGGAGAGAGCGAGAGAATGCACCTGGTAGTCCTCAATTCTTAAATCCTAGCGCTTTCCAAAGACAGCCGCGTACCGTCCAATCTTGGGACTCAGATTATGATTCGGATTACGATATAAAGAGTTTAGGCAGTCGAGATTCAGCCTCACCTCAGCCGGAAATCCACGGACCCCTGGACTGGCAGTTCGCGATGGAGTGCCAAGACGGTCAGGGTCTCTTCGATCTTGGTGAAAAAAAGCCATTTCTACACTTGCACTTTTGTCCAGAAACCGCCACGAAGATCAGTCCCAAGATTTGTGAACTTCTGCATAACTCCTCGATTCCAGAACAAGAGAGGGATGATATATCTGCCCGACTGCTTGACACATTGATGATGATCGAGTGTTACAAAACGCACCGGGCGCAGGAGGAAGATACCTGGGATCTGATGATGGAGAGGGCGTGGGACGCCGTAATATCGGTTCTTGGACTTTCCGATGAAGAAGAAGAATTGGAAGAATTGGCGGGTCAATTGAGGGGAGCAATGATGCACGCACATTATATTGCTGCAACTGGAGTTACGGGTTCGGAGACGGATGGTCATACTGTGAATACTGTGAGATGCCCAACCTGTAACGTGGTATGGCGAACAACAAGGCAGTTCTGGTGTCCTTTTGATCACGACTACGACAACGAGGTTGATGAGATTTTGAACTGGGATGATTTTTGGAAACATCAAGTAAGTCAGGGACACGTCGTTTGTACGCAGCACGTTATGTACTAGCAGCGAGAAAGGGCAGTAAGGGGAGATGTATAGATTACTTTCCATATTATCTTTTTTATTTGAGGCCTTGTTCATTCTTACATCATGTCTTTGAGGCTTGCTTGTTGCGCGGCGGCATGGATATCCAGACCTATTGCATTGGTAGAGAGTTGGGTACCCTACAGCTGTATCCTCGGATACGAGAGCCGGGTCCTTGCGGTTCGTGCTACTTGTTGATAAGAAGATTGTATTAAATTTGAGGAGTTCATGCAAAGTTTTACACTGACCTGGTGTGAGTCTGACAATATTATGCGCCCAGTCAAAGTGAACGTAGCGTCGTAACAACTATTGGAAATCTTCCAAATGATTAACTGTAACGACGTTGAAATACATCGTGCTCACAGCCGGTAGCAAAGGAGATCAACAAAACGGTTTCCCGAGGACTCCGAAGCAGTCAAATATGGATATAGATGCCGACTTCACCCATGAATAAAGGCTATAGTAAATGACTGCAACAGCAATCCACGGAATAAACGCAGCTCAACAGAGCGGCATTGAGAGTCCACGCCCGCTCGGGCCGTCCGAATCCCCACTTTTCCAACTGCCGATCTCTTGCGGAGATATCCACAGGCAATGATCGACATCAAGGTACCAGGGCAAGCTACGTCAATTGCCGTGTCTTTTCTCCGTCGTGCTCTTTACACCTTTTTTTCTACAATTTATATCTGAGCAAACACGACAGAGATAAAGTCTGGGACCGAAGTCACAGAGGTCGAGCGTCCCATAAGATCTGTCGATATTTCAGTGTCGTACACTATTGAAGACATCATGGATCCAGACAAGACCAGCACAGATGGCGGAGAGAACGTGAGGGGTTCAACAGGTTCGCAACCTCTCCTCTCAACACCCGACATGGACCGAAGAATCAGACACGCCGTAAGCCAGCTCTCTTCTCAATCTCCAAGCTCCAACTCCCAACTCATAAGCCAAATCTAGTTCGACCGTCGCGTCATGCCCGTCGTCTGCTGTCTCTACGTCCTATCGTACCTCGACCGCGGTAACATCGGCAACGCCAAAACCGCCGGTGCACAAGAAGCCCTGAACCTAAGCTCCGATGACTGGTCATGGGTTCTCAATTCGTTTTATATCGCGTATATCCTGTTTGAGTGGACGACTATGCTTTGGAAGATATTCCCTGCTCATATCTATGTCTCGATCCTTTGTGTCTGGTAAGTCTCGTGGAGCTTGTTCGCAATGTTTACTGCTAACCGAGGCGAAGCTGGGGAACGGCTGCGATGTGTTCCGGGGCAGTGCATAATATGACCCAATTGATAGTCACGCGCATCTTCCTCGGTATCTTCGAAGCTACGTTTGGCGCTGGTGCTCCATTCTTCTTATCGTGTCTGTATAAAAGAAGAGAGCTGGGTCTCCGGATGTCTATCTTACTTGGCATGTCGCCTCTTGCAAACACCTTTGCGTCAAGCTTAGCATACGGCATCACCCATATAAAAGGGTCTCTAGCCCCATGGAGACTACTATTCATCATCGGTAAGATCATCCCCAGCATAAATGGCCGTACTGATTTGAGGTAGAGGGCGCACCGACCATCGCCTTCGCTCCCGTGGTCTACTTCTTCCTCATCGACTCCCCCGCAACCGCCAAGTTTCTCACTGAAGAGGAAAGATATTTCGCCGTTCAGCGCGTACAAGGTCCCGATGGAGTCAAGAAAAACGTCAACTGGAGACAAATCATGGCCGGAATACTCGACTACAAGAATTACGTCCACTCCATTATTCACTTCTGCTGCAACTTTTCATTTGCAGCTTTGTCCAATTTCCTTCCCACCATAGTCAGCGCCATGGGCTACAGTTCTATCAACGCCCAGGGACTCACAGCGCCGGCTTATTTCACGGCGTTCCTTCTCTGTATGGGAGCTGCGTTCTTCTCAGATCGGTGCGGAAATCGTGGGTTTGTCGTAGCTGGCTTTGCTGCCATGGCCACCGTTGGCTATGGTCTTCTTGCAGGTATACAAGATATCCATCGCCCGGGCCCCAGATACGCTGGTGTATGGCTCGCAGCCTGCGGAATCTTCCCAGCGCTCTGCATCAACATTACATGGTTACTCAACAACCAGGGACGGGATTCGAAGAAGGGAGCAGGTCTTGCCATCACGTTGATAATTGGGCAATGCTCGTCTCTCCTCAGCAGTTACATGTTTCCAAAAGAAGATGCGTAAGTCACTTATGTCTTCTGTACTTGCATTCCAGCTAATATCGAGGGAGACCATTCTTTGTCAAGGGTTGCGCAATCGGCTGTGGTATGAGCGGCGCTATCGTCATTCTGGCTTTGTTTATGCATTTCGCTCTGGAGAGAGAGAATATGCGTAACGAGAAGCTTTATGGACCTTTGGACAACGACGCTGAGGTGGACGATGCAGATGACGGCGAACAAGGCAAAAACTTTCGATACCTGACCTGAGTAGATAGCGTTGCCAATTAATTAGACGTCATGTGTTCTCGCTTTCAACCTGCCCACCATGTCAGCATTAGGCTGCAAGGCATATCAGAGGGCGGATGAGGGACCCCAACCATAGCCTAAATACCGACTAAACAACGAAACAATCTTCTTGTCTGTAATTTAAACTTTCATAATAGGTGTATGCCAATTCCAGCTGATCTATATCTCACCTTCGCCTAGGCCCTGGGCAATCTTCTGGAAGACAGGTCGCTTTGCAATGGCGACAAAGGCGGGGTCGGTCCGCAGCCCAAGCAGACCGTCGCCAGGGCTCGATATCTTCAGAACGCCAGAGAATCCGACGTTCTATTCAGCGAATCTGTACGAGAGCCTCGACACAAGCAAGCGAGAAATTCGACTCATCGAACTTTCTACACAAACTGGACGCGGTATACTCGAGTGCAAGTTACTACCTGCGACATTATTAGCCGACGCACGAAAACAGTATCTTGCTTTATCATATTGCGCAGGAGAGCCGACAGAAACAAAGGACATCTTGGTGAACGGGGTAAGATGCAACATCTTTGCGAACTTACATCACGCACTGGTACTCGCTCGCCGTTATTGGATTCGATCCTCTAGCCAAGGTCCACCTCGACTTTGGATCGATCAGTTATGCATCAATCAGCACGATTTAAGAGAGAGGTCACACCAAGTCGGCTTCATGAGGGACATCTATCAGGGCGCAGAACGCACACTGGCTTGCTTATCGACATCAAAAACTAATGGGAGGGGAATGAAGTGGCTGATCGACCTGTGCGACGCCGTTCCTTCACAAGAAGACGATGGACCATTCCAATACGACAGAGAAGACGAAATAGGTATTGATGGCGAGGCTGAATCAGAAGACGGTGCCCGGGAAAGTGACGAACTGTCCGACACCTCTGACTCGGAGCGTCTTAGAGGTCACAGACAGCAATGGTTTCGCATAAGGGACTATCTCTGGGACAGCATGCACACCGAGAAGTTTGTCAATGGATGGATTGCATTCTATGATGTTCTGACCAGCCCATGGTGGAACCGAGCTTGGATCTGCCAGGAATTCCTGGTATCCGGCCAGATCACCTTCATGTTCGGCAGCCATTTCGTCTCATGGGAACAGTGCTGGAGAACCATGCAAGCCTTTTGCGGAACACACAGACACGACCTGATAAATCGGAATCTCTTTCTGGAGCTCCGAAACCTCTCGGAAGGCTGTCCTGAGGATCACCAACTTTGCCGCATCCTCGACATCGTCAACCAAAGAGACCTGAACCGTCAAGTCGACCACGTGGGCATGGCCTTGAAAATGAAGATGCGTTGGAGTGGCACCATGGACATAAAGGCTCTTCTATCACATTCGCGATCTTGTAGGTCTTCCGATGATCGTGATCGGGTATATGCCATCGCCGGGTTAGCTTCGCCGGGTTATCAGATCTTCCCCGACTATTCACACGACATGACCGCAGCCCAAGTCATGATTATGACTACCAAGGCAATCATAGACAAGGAAAACAGCTTGTATATCCTAGTACAAGCTACTACATTAGTTAGATCTAGGAATCTCGACGTGCCTTCATGGGTCGTCGACTGGACCAGTACTGAAGCCTCGGATATTCGAAATAACCATTTCGGGAACAGGCTGCTCTACATCCTGAGCTGGATACCCCAAGAATCTCCAGAACATACTTTTGAAACCATCACAGACACGATCCAGCAGACACAAGCACACATACTAAGGGTTTATGGAACATTCATCACAATCATCACAAAAATATGGCTAGACACAAGGGAATGGCCGTTTGCGGACTTTTATGGCGCCGGGGGATGGCAAGGCGGAGCCCTTGCTTCAATCACCGACGGAGATGAAATATGGATCTTATACGGGCTTAGAGTACCCATTGTCCTGCGGCCATATCGTGATGGGTACCAGGTCGTTAGCTGTGCCTTTCTCATAGGACAGCAGGGTAAGGGTTTTGGAGCACCTGTAATATCCACTGAAGAGGGTAGGGCTAATAGGAGTCGCATAGCATTGTACTAGCGCATATCAATGTTTATGGAATGATAGTATAGGCTCTGTTCAGAATCATACGCGTAATCCGATGCGTAGTTTTGATCTCTGGAAGTTTAGCATTGTCTCAGCTGACTCCTAGTTTAGTGAAAACAAAAATAGATAATTATGTTCAACGGGTTGAGTGAGCTACCTCGGTAGCTGTCCACAATAGTGCTTAAAGAAGCATTACCTAAGCGGACCGTTCTCTCCGATATGCATAGTACCCATAGATTATTTGGGATCTGCTTATTTGTCTCCAGGCGGCTTGATGTCTAGAGCCCAGCAAGCTGCTCGAAAGAATATAAATACAGAGCTTTCCTCGCGTCACCTAGACGGATTCTCAAACCCTCAATCATCTTTCGTTTTGTACCTCAGTACCCTTCAATATTCAGGATGACTTCTACCAAGCTTCCTCTTGCCGCTTGGTCTCGGATCACTTCCAGCAAGCGCCTCTACCGATCCTCCCAAGCCGTCTCCACCATCGATCAAAAGATCTATATCTTTGGCGGCGAGTTGCTTCCACGTGAACCGGTTGACAACAGAATTGATGTTGTCAGCCTCGATGCTCAGGGTATGTTGGCAGCCAGCTATTATCTAGTCCTTGCTAATCTTCACAGAGCATGGCGCCCAAACACTTACGGCTCCCGCCAAAGCCCCCTCACCTCGAGTTGGCAGCCCCAGCACCACCATCGGAGGCAACTTCTTCCTCTTCTCTGGACGCGGTGGTCTTGAAATGAAACCTATCGAAGAAAAAGGTGCTATCTGGCGGTACAATACTGCCGACAATACATGGGACACTATAGAACCTGTAGATCCTTCTGCGCCGTTGCCAGATGGTAGAAGCTATCATTGCATCACCTCAGATGGAGTTGATCAGCTTTACCTCCACTCCGGATGCCCTGAGCAGAATCGACTCAGCGACCTCTGGGCTTTTGACCTGACAAAACAGGCTTGGAAAGAATTGCCCTCTGCACCAGGACCTGCGCGCGGTGGCTCCTCCATCGCATTTCACGATGGCAAGCTGTATCGCATGAACGGCTTTGATGGAAAGACAGAACAAGGGGGCGCCCTGGACATCTATAACATTGAGGCTGGCTCATGGTCTACGGTGACTTACAAACCCGATGGTGTTGAAGGTCCTGAAGCACGAAGTGTAGCAAGTCTTCTGTCAATTACAGTACGGGGCAAGAATTTCTTGATCACCATGTTTGGCGAGAGAGACCCAAGCGCTCTAGGCCACGCTGGGGCCGGAAAGATGCTGTCTGACGTCTGGGCTTTTGACATTGAGGAGAGTACCTGGCAGAGAGTGGAGATTGGTGATGATAGACCTGTTGCTAGGGGTTGGTTCGACGCTGATGTTGCGCGGGGCGAGAATGGGAAAGATGTTGTAATCGTTCATGGGGGTCTTGGGGAGGATAATCAGCGACTCGGCGATGTTTGGGCATTGCGTTTCTAGGTATTGTAGTTGGTTTATCCACATGTCGCTTATCGTTCCACGCAAGAATCTCAGGAAACCCCACAGTCAAATCATGTCAGCGGCGTACGGACTCCGCGTCCCCATTTTGCTCAAAGTCTACCAATAACCGGCGAGAAGCCACAGCACTTGTGAAATTCAGGCTTAGTATAGTTCTTTAGCTTGAAACCATGGCCCATGCCTTTAAAGGCACTACGGAGTCCGAATCTCCGATAGACGCTGTCAATCATCCAGACCAACAGTACTCACCATCCGATGCCCCCAAAGCGAGCTTGCGACGTTTGTTTCAAGCGAAAGGTATCATGCTCAATTACTTCACCCTGATTTGGACTGACCAGGGCGAGTAGATCCAATGTATCAAACCGGATCCCGAACAACCGTGTGAATGGTGTGCGCATCATGACCTTGAGTGTGCTGTGAAGAGGGAGTCCCAGAGGAAGTCTGATGTGAGGTAAGTCCATAGTATTGCTACTCATACTATCACACTGCTGACCTGTTGCAGCGCGGCACTCTCGAGCCACGTTCAGACACTGGAGCGTCGTGTTTCGGAGCTTGAAGCCGCTCTTGTGCAGATGCGCTCTGAGATTAGATCTTCAGCCGTCTCTGCATCGACCCCAACTGTTAATTTGACATCTCCATACTCAACCTTGGGAGCACATTCTGATGCTAGTTCGTTTTGTATCACTCCATACCCACAGCAGGATAGTGCAGGCTCTGGGAATACTGCTAAGACAACGTCCACTGCCATCTGGACATGCCTCGGGCAACATTGGTACTTCAAAGGCATACCTATCAACTCCACCAGAGGCCGTGAGTGGATGTCTTCCAAAACAGGCGAAAATATCTTCCTAGATGGCTTCCGCCTCTTTGGTTCACAAGCAGGCAATCCCAGCACTTCTCCGGCGCTTTTCAGCTTCCCGGACAGACACACGGTGGAGGAGTCTCTAAAGTCATACTTCGGCTCGCCATGGCGAATTGTATACCCGGTCATCCACCCGGTGCTGATTGAAGATATTCTGGCAGTAGCGTATGATGATTCTCAAGGTCCTTCTCAAGGAAAGGCTTCATCACAAGCGTGTATTCTAGCGTTCATGGCCATGACTTCACGACTGAGGGGTGCGCATGTCCAGCCTCTTGACGGTGATGTCTATGTGCGCTCATCGCAATGCCATTTATCCCAAGTCATCAGTCAGAGTACGATGGAAACTCTACAAACAGTTCTTATGCTGGTAAGTTGAATTTTTACCAAGCTATGGTTTTCTCAACTCTGACGCATCGTACAGCAAATCAGCCACCTACTATCAGGTCAGTGGGAGGCTGCAGCCACCCTCCATCCCCATGCTTGCCGTATTTTATACGATCTCAAAGGCCATATTTCACATCCCCTTGCAACAAGCGGATTGGATAGCGCCGTTGATCAAAGCCGGCGCAAGCATATCCGGAACCTCTTCTGGCTATGCTACATCTTCGATAAGGACATAGCCATGCGATCTGGTAGACCTCCTTGTATCACCAGAGGCTATTGTGACTTGACACTGCCGGATGATTGGGCTAGGATATATGACGGGCCAGCCACTGGACCCGGTACTCCTCACGGTGGGATCTTTTCCAAGGGCAATACTGTCTGTTTTCCCCAAGACCTGGACCTCTCCCAACTCAAAGAAAAGCTATGTCTGTTTCTCTGCTCTCTAGACAACTCGAGCCTATCAGATGGCACGATTCTCTGTCACGTTCGCCAACTAGACGTTGATCTTGAGTCATGGCGCTCGAACATCCCTGTGGATTACAGGCCAAAGCTATCCGTCCTTCCGGACCAACCGCTGTTCAATCCGCAACTGTCGTTCCCACAAAGGACAAGATGTATTCACCTCCAGCTCGAGTACAATTACATAACCACAGTGATTCACACGGCTGTTCGAAGATGCGGCGCAGTATATGCTGTCCATGACAATCTCCCCGACGATCTACACAGCGTCTATCATTCAAGCAGTGACATCTCTCTAGAAGCGAGTCGCACTACCCTCCAGATCTTCAAGTCTCATACAGATATCCTCCAGGAGAATGTGTTTGGGTATGTGGAATGCGTCTCCTCTCACTAACCCTGTGCTAACATCTACAGTCACATTGCATTCTACCCTCCCATAGCGGCCATGGCGCTGTTCATGAACATTCTGATCCATCCTTTAGATCAGCGGGCTAGAAGCGACCTTGATATCTTGGCGGGGTGTACAACGGTATTCCAGGATATGGCGATGGAAGAGTTGACGAATGATGACATGGACGGCATTCACGAGCTCAATAGATTCGTATCGGAATTGGTCCGGCTTGGTAGCAGTGCGATATGGAAGGCAAAGAGATAATGAAAGAGCACAACCGGGATATCATCCTGACCCGGAATGAGAACCTTCATATAAACTTCCCAACCATCTTGTTTCGTGACCGGACCGTGTACCTGATGACGACGATACCTCGTGTGTAATTGGTCTTGGTCAGACCTCGAAGGATCTTTATCTTACGCGCCCTCTCTTGACTCCTGAATTCTTGCAATTTACTGCCCACGCCCTGTAGATGACGCTTTTCATTCTCATATTTCGATACTACATGAACCGGATCCAGTTACCGGCCCCGCTTATGATAAGCACCAGTTGTGCTGAACGAGGCGCTTCCCCGCAATCATGACTAGCAGAGGGTATTTAGAGGGCGCACGCCAATGATAGACGAAGAATAACAAAGACATAAAAGAGAGCAATCGAACTGAGCAGGCAGTGACAAGAATCATCATCAAACTCGCTCATACTATACAATTGGCATCATGTCTTCAACCACTACCATCCAAGCCCAAAGCGGTACCCTCACCATCGCGCCCAAATCCACGCACGGTCATGAACTCAAAGACAAAACCCCCCTGCAAGCAATGTCCCACGGTGATGTCGTCCTCAGCGGCATCCCCTCCCACCCCGACTTCTCCTCCCAGCGCCAATGGCAGCTCGAGCACATGGCCGCCGCCTTTCGCCACTGGCACCGCGAAGGCTACGTCGAAGGCATGAGCGGTCACATTTCCGTGCGCGACCCAGAATTCACCGACGCTTTCTGGACGAACCCTCTCGGACGACACTTTGGTCTGTTGAAGGTTAGCGATATGATCCTCGTTAACCTCGAGGGAGAGGTCATTGGGGGGAACCGCTCAAGGCCGCCTAATACAGCGGGGTTTCTGATCCATGCTTCTATTCATAAAGCTAGAAGCGACGTTCACGCTATTTGTCACTGTCACAGTATTCATGGAAAAGCATGGTCTGTGTTCGGCAAACGTCTCGAAATGCTAACGCAAGACGCGTGTAAATTTCGAGGCGATGCGCACAGCGTTTACGACAGTTATGGTGGCGTCGTGCTAGGCAGCGAAGAAGGAGACCGCATCGCAGCAGCCATGGGCTCCAAAGGAAAAGGCTGTATCTTACGAAACCACGGTATTCTGACCGTTGGACAAACAGTGGACGAGGCAGCGTGGCTGTATACGTCTATGGAGAACAGTTGTCGTGTCCAACTTCTCGCCGAGGCTGCAGCGGCGAATGGCATGCCTAAGGTACTGATTGAGGATGAGGAGGCCAATTTCAACTTTGACGTCGAGAGTGATCCTGAGATTTGCTACTGTGAGTTTCAGGTTTATTATGATTTGGAGGATGAGATGTCCAATGGGGCTTTTAAGAAGTAGGAGTACGAGATGCAGCATTATCTTGCCTTTCGCCCGCAGTGTCGTTGGTTCATTGATAGCTAGCTGATGGAGATGTCGAACCACAAAGTATAGTAACAATTAAACATGTTCTTTTGTCAAAGTTGAGGCAGTATTCTAGATAGGCTGTGAACAGACTATGTTCTTTTGGCCACGTTTACATAGAGTTCTTCATACTGCGCCACAGCCCTGGCGTCAAGTGTGTTTATGGATTTAACTTCCCACAGCTCGAGGATTCGTGCCTCTTGTGTTATGCAAACCTTATCAACAATAGCTGAATTCGTGAATTATTGCTTTATTCTCTCCTTATCCAATCCCAGGCGGCCTTTCCCTTCCTAGCCTCTTGTCTTCTCTATTTGATAATATCTACAGAGACATCTAGCATCTCTCTCTGACAAGTGTCTCTTTAATTATCCCGTGCCTTGGGCATCGTAGAAGAGTAAAATGGCGAGCATGGTCGACTTCGCGTCCTTTGAGCATAAGACCTTCTAATTATATCCGACTTCCCAAAAAGAGATAGGAGGAAGCAGCCTAGCGTATTCCTTCCAATTGTAATCCTGACCTTGTGAAGACAAGAACAGCTAAAAACGTCATCCTATTCCCAGGGCCACTGTTTCGCGTACTGTTTCGTAGGCATGCCAGAAGCCTGAGACTTGGATTGAGGTTGGCCAAATACCTGAGAGCTCCGTGAACGAGAACCATGCATCGTAGCCCTAGTCCCGAGGCTCTGTTGAAGTACATTTCCAGCAGAAACCCTAATCGCGGCCTGGCTGTTCCTCTTGAGTGGAGATGCTTGAGGCTGGCCGAATGGTTGAGCGCTGCGTGAGCGAGCACCATGCATCATAGCCCGAGTCCCGAGACTCGGCTGATTTGTAAATGCTCTGTTTGGGGAGCCGGGTGTTGGTGATTGTCCCTCAGCTGCCTTGCTCTTGAATTTGGATTTTGAGACACTACCACAGCACATGATGGATGGTAAATTTAATAGGGGCTGTTTGTATGTGAACGTTATGGTAGATTGACAAAGAGGGTGGCTGAATGACTGTTGGAGCTTATAGCTGGATGAGGGGGGAGGTCGAGGAGGTGGCTTGTTTTGAAGAAGGGGAATTCTTTTTCGCAATGGCTGAACGGGAGGGCATCCTTATATGGCTCTTCAAATGTGGATATTTGTTTTATGCTGCTGTCTTTCGTCTATTTTCTCGTCATGTTGGGGTTGTGAATCTTGTGCAATTGGTAAACGTGTCTTTGAAATAAAACCTGCTATTTATGGCCTATTACCTTCTGTATATCAGGATTGACGGGGCCACATTTACAATTTGATTCGTCTAGCAAGTAAATTCCCTCTACGGGTTCCTGGAGCTTAAGCTTCAAGATGAAGACGTGTTCAGTCATTAATGGATCTAAAACTCATCTTTGGCACCTTTGTTTGCTCAGCTATATCGGTCCAACCAAGATCCTGCGAGGAGAAAAGTTTACGTTCAAGCTTCTCTGAGGGGGGAATACCGGGGAAACACATCGGACGTGGGCGTTAAACATTCCTCGACCACAAACGCCAGGAAGCGTGCCACCTTTGAACCTAAAAGCTCAAGGCAAACTTTTAGCTTATAATCTAATCTAATGTAATCTCACGCATATATACGTGGCAGATCCGCGAGGGTATTTACCACTGGCTTCACAGCTTTACAAAGTATGCAAAGAGCTTAAGCTTAAGCTGAAAAGCCTAGCATAAAGGAACCAAAAGGGTTCCACGACAGAATCAGGAAATTGAACAAGATTGGGCGACGCATCACCACAAGATGCTTCAGTTGCATGGCTCAGTTTAGCATCAATCTCAGGCATTGTATTTTATGTCCCCTACCAAGCTCGATACCATAATGCGTCCCAACTTGTCTCGCAATGCTGTCACTACTAAGTCTCATAAAACGACGTATCAAGGCCAACATGCTCATGATTAATCTCATCCAGATTCCTCCCGGACCAATCACAATCCCAGAACGTAACCAACGCCCAAAGCTTAATAAAGCTATGTACATACCCAAACGCAATCTGACAAATAACGAGTGGAAAATCAGAAGGATACTGAAGAAAGTGCGGGATGATCTTGATGATCTTTGTCCAGAACATAAAGATCAAGAAAATTACCAATTCAGCGCCGCCGGACTTTTCAGCGAGGACAAAAGTCGTGATGAGCAGCGCATCCCATACTATAGCAAAGTTGACAAGGCCAGCCCAGTACACCATGAAGCAACTCCATGTATACCGATAGATAAATACTGGATCACGAAGCATGACTGGATTGCTTCGAAAAGTCGTGCGTGCCCAGCGAAGTAGTTGATCCTTAAACTTGGGCCACTCACCAAGCGTCGTCTCAATCGTCGCATCCTCTGTATCCTGAAACTTGACAAGCCACTTTTTCTTCATACCTTCTCTCGTCAAGAAGTTATCATCATCAGGACCTAATCCCTCGCCACCAAAAAGTCCCAAGCAGAACTTCTCATGGCAGAAACGCTGAAGCAGGCCAGTGTCATTGAGGAATTCTGTGCGGTAGACTGCTGTCCTGCCCGAGATAACGAATACTCCACCGTCGATAGCATTAGATGAACGGAGTTCCCAGTTATGACGCTGGAGGTAATTGCACGCGATGAAGTTAACAATGGAAGGCCATGTCAAGACTCCAGGTGTTGTTCGCCGAACTCGTTTCTTGGTCGCCACCATGCCGACACTCTGATCTTCAAAAGGCGCAAGAACAGAAGGGATGAAGCTCCTCGGCCAGAAAACATGGTCATCTGCGAAGATAGTAATAGCTGTAGTGACACTTGGCATGGCATGAGTGATTTGTCGCCTCTTACTCGGTTCAGAAAGCGCCGAGACAAGAATCTGAGTAGGCGGAGCATCGACGCTTAGTTTTCTGAGAACAGCCTGACATTCCTCCCGAAGAACAGCACCAACTGTGACGACCAGAATGCACGCCGGGATGTTCGCAAGGATACTTTCCACGCACTCTCGAAAGTCAGGACCATGAGGATCGATAGTTGGAAGAATAACAGTTACATCACTCCTCGAAAACGAAGGATCCTGTTTAAGTGGTGAAGGGCGATAAATCCACGATCCAAAAACATGTCCGAATAAACGGAAATATCTCAGTGTGAAGAGCGTACAGAACACCTGTGTCCAGATATCATTGACGAGAAGCCAAACGCAAGTCAAACTTGCAATCAGTGGAACGATCAGCAAAAGAGATGGAAGTACTCGAGAGGGAATGTGTTCCTTCGAAGGGAGAGCAGTTGGCCAAGGAAAGAGCGTCATGTTGACGGTGATCTTCTTACCAGGTGGGCTGTTTTTAACGCAGAAGTTGGAAAGGTTGGCAGGCTTCAACTGGTTTCCAAGGAATTGGAGGTTTTATAATGGCATGTTGAGGGTTGTGACACTGCTCTATGGTCTGGGCTGTGATTCATTGTGGTTGTTCATGGCGATGAACAATGAGCTTTGTTTGTGAGAGCTAAGCAAGTCAGTGGCCTTTGTGAATGGTGCTGAACAAGGCATACGACAAACAAGGGAGAGGTAAGAGTTCGTCTGGAGTCTGTTTGGCTTTGAAACAAAGCATTCTGTGTTAGTTGGAAACTTGAAGGCGACTGCACAATCCAAGGCCCGATGGAGAACAGACTTTCCAGCGCGAGGATTCACTGGCCGTGCCAGTGTGCTTCGTTCACACTAGATAAACACAGTTTAACGTTCAAATATGCCAGGTTATTCACAGATGGGCGACGTGTCTCTTAGGCCTGACTGCCGGAAGGATGGCGCGCATTCATAGTGCCGAGCCAGTACGTTGACGGAATCTTGAAGCAACTTCAGCAAGTAGGTCAAAGGTCAGGTTTATTACTTCAACTAAGTCTCTTCATACCATCTAATTCTAAGAATAGATTATCTAAAAGATGCTAAAGAAGCTCCTCTTTCCCTTCTTCTTCTCAGGGGGATAAACCACAATTCTATCCAGATCCGCACCCTTGGCATCCTTCCCGTTATTCAACCCGCCGACAGTAATAGTGTTCTTGCCCTTCTTAAGGGGTAGCAGCAAAGGAGCTGATAGAATAATTCCCTTGTGAGTATCCTTCTGCCATAGAGTGTGCACCTTGTCCTTATCGCCGTTGACGACAACACTGCTGATTCGTCGGATTGCCCAGGTACCGTTGATGCGATCAGGTTGACCCATTGGCTGGTCGCCAAAGCCCATGTCATCAATATCTGGATGGTTATTAGTATGTGAAAAGGAGGGAATGGAGGGAAGGGGGATTTACTTTGGTGGTAGAAAGATACCCATTGGTCAGCGCCTTGACCTTCGACTGTGAATGTTGCGGTGCTGTCGTTGCCGTAGATGCCAGTTGCGATGACATGGTCTGTTCCAAAGGTCTAATTATTTTCATTAGTAACCCTCTATAAACTCGACAAGATTGACGTACAGCTTCTTGGAGGTGAGCGTCCCCAGCAAACTTGGCGTTCTTGGAGGGGTAAGTCTTGCCCTTGATAGGCTTCCATTCACCAGTTTTGCTACAAGCAGTCAGTATAAACGGTGCAGTTGACTGAAATATGACTTACACATTCAAATCGTAAACATCGTGCCAAACGACCTTGACACTCTTGTTCTCCTCATCAATCTCGATAGGAAGCCAGACGTTGCGACTCTCCCAAATTGACGGCAGATCCCACTTCAAAATGTCAGCTTCGACTTGCAACAGAATAGAGGGCGTCATACCTGGTCAGCCATGTAGAGATAAGTCGTCTTCTTGGTGCCCTTGATCCTCCACGAGAAGCCACTCTGCGTACTAAACGTTCTCGTATAAGCCGGCGCGACAAAGAAAGGCTGCGACCAGGGGCCCTCAAGCTTATCAGCCCTCATAGCCACAACATCTACACCAATTAGCCCTCACCCTCACTATCATCCCATCAAGACTTACTGTTAGGTCGATATCCCGTCTTGTGACTCATAAAAGTCCAGTAGCTCTTCTCCGTCTGAATAATAGTCGGCGCCTCAAAGTCATATTTATTAAACCGAAACGTGACCTTTTCCACATCCGTGAGGTTGTTGTTAAACTCGCTGACGTAGACATCTCGACCCTGGACTTTATCGCCGTTGGAGTAGAGAGCGTACGACTTTCCGGTCTTGTAATCGGTGAAGGCGCCGAAGTCTTGAGACCAGTTACCGAGGGGGGAGACGGCGTGCTGGAATTTGTAGGGGCCGGCGATGTTGTCGGATGTTGCGAGGCCTTGGAGCAAAAGGCTGTAGTTGCGGTCGTCGGCGTGCCACCACATCTAAGGACACAAAGTCAGCTTGGTAATTGGATGGCAAGGGGAGGACATACGTGGTATTTTCCTGTTTCTTCGCTGTAAAGAACCTTGGGTCGTTGGATGATACTCTCTGGCGAAACAAACTCGTGACCTTCCTCAGGCTCTGTAACACGTCAGTAACAATCCCAAGTGTCAATTTGGGAGACACACTCAGGGCCAAACCGTGAGACTCCCACGTAGCGAGGTCATCAGAGCTGTAGACCGAAATGCCGCCGCCTTCTTCCTGCTCTTCAGTTTTATGTTCACCAAACCAATAGAACTTGCCGCTCTCCCTGTCAACACAAAGACCGCCAGCATGAGCGTTGAACAGGTTTCCATCGGTATCGTACCATCGTGCACCGGGGACAATCCACTTTGCACTCGCTAGCGCAGCGAATGCAAGAACAGAGAAGAGAGTCATAGTGGCAATCAATTGGCGACTCTGTTATTTGTACAACCAATTGAGAAGCTCTCTAATGTGTACAACCAAACGGAAATGCTTGCATTTTATAGCTACCTCGGTGCATCTCCGCCCGACGGCACAGAAGTCCCCCAACGGCGTCATACCTCGTCTTAGAATCACAGCCGTTTATGCTTGTTTGTTTTGCGGGGGAGCCCCCCAATTTGCACGTCGATCCCCCGCTGGTTTGGTAGACGCTTCAATCATAGGGACTCTTGGCGCTGGGATGCCCCCCGGGATAATTGGCAACCACCAATCGGCCCGCTAGCGAGAAAAGCCTAAATTACGAGAGAAGTTGAATCGGGTGAGCTTTGTCCGTTGCATTAGTTGTTGGGTATCTCAATTGAGTTTGAGGTGTTGGCTGGTTGATTGATTGGTGAAGATGCTGTTGGTGAGCTTAGTGCGTGCTGTAATGCTTGTGTGCAGGCGTCGGGTTATCATTTTCCCTTTGGCGATGATATCTGTTGCTGACATGCATCGAAGGAAATCTTACAATCTCCATATGCCGCAATGGCTAATGCACCAGGACGTCCGAGCAAAGCTTGTGATGTCTGTAGAAAGCAAAAGGTCTGAAGGAGTAAATTAAAACGGCCTCGGTCTTATTAACTTTGCCGTCCAGGTTCGCTGCTCCGGAGAGCGACCCAGCTGTAAGCGATGCGTCAGGTTGAAGAACACCTGCGAATACGGGACCAACCTAATCCATCCTAGACGAAAGAGAAACGTCACAAGAGCTGTAACTGCAAATGGAGCATCCCAATCTGTTGGGTCGAGGCGTCTAGCCCCAGTTGCGCTGTCAGCTAATCTCAACGCCGAGTCTGTCTCAAACCATGCTTTCTTTCAAGGCATCGCTCCGTCTTTAGTCAACACCCTCGTAGAACTATACTTTGACAATGTCTACCAATCCACTCTTCTCTTACACAAAACCATCTTTATGCACTCACTTGCAGATCAGACCGTCAACCCTCATATTCTTCTTAGCATCTGCGCCTGGGGCGCCAAGTAAGAATCCAATCTCACCACCGTGCTCCCTCGCTGACAAGCTATCAAGTTTCTATCGCAACGAAACCGGGAAGGCTACTCTCAAAGAACAAGGCCTCATGACGAAGTGGGCTAAAAGAGCCGGAGCACTTGTCTTCCAAGACGCAGAAGAACTCAGCGATGATAATCTCGTGACGTTCTGCAATCTATCGCTGTTCTGGCATAGTCAAGGTTCCTGGAGGATAAGCTATCTTCACAAGGGTACGTCCACCCACTTTGGATCTTTTCATTGCTGACTTGACCAGGTAATGCCTGTCAACTCCTCCACATAAATGGGACAGGTCCAAAGAACGGCTCTTCGTTCGAAGCTGAATCACGAAGAAGACGATTCTGGGCATGTTATTTATTCCACTGCTTCAGTTGTGAGAAGTTATTCCGGTTTGAGGCGATTGCTGATATTGAGAATCTACCACTGCCTTGGTCTGAAGAAGACTTTGCAGTTAGATCTTCACACTCAGCAATCGCAACAATTGCGAATAGAGTTTGCTCAGCAAGTATTTTTGGCGAGCTTATACGCGGCCTCAATCTCTGGTAAGTCGAATCTCAACGATCAGACACTTCTGCTGACTTGACAGGTCGTCTGTCGTGACTGTTGTTAAATCCGAGGGCGATCTCAACTTGCGTGTTCAAGAGATCTTCAGGGTTGAGAACAAGATCTCATCATGGTGGAATAACGTCCCAAGTAGCTTCAAACTTGACGCGCCTTTTGTCACAAGTATATCACAGAAGGACTTGCCCAAGATCATTCTCACCAACCTAATCTATCACCAATCCCTCTGCGCACTGCACTCATCCATTGTTCCGCTCTTCTGCTGGTCAAAAGGCGATAAGACTTACTCATCGGCCAGACAATTATCTGCACAAGTCGCGTTTGACCACGCTACTGCAATCTCCAGTCTCATCTCTGCGATATTAACTACCAGTTGTCCGCTCAGTTCGATGCCGATATTTGTCGCATATGCAGCTTACTCAAGCTGTGCTATTCAGATCCCTTTTCTTTGGTGTTCCGAGCTATCAGTTAGAGAGCGAGCTCAATCCAACATCGACGCCAATGTCAAGATGATACAAGGAATGTCGAATTACTGGAAGCTAGCTTCATTACTGGTAAGTCGTATTGGCTTATCAATATGCTGTCGCTGAGACTAACGCGGGGACAGCAACTCTACGTGCGCTGCCTTCATAACGTTCATAAACGCAACCCACCTAGAATATGTGGCGAACCCAAGTACATGAATATTTCGGCACTTGTTGACTTTGACGTTGATGCGTCGCTTGCAAAATCGTCGATTTTACAGTTTGCTGGCATGTTGCGGTCTGACGAGAATGGATATGTCAAAGCTGGAGACGAGGCCTCAGATCCAACAATCGCCAGTGTTGCAGATAGTGGTGACATAACACTTGATCTTCAGGCTTCAAGAAGCTTCTTAGACCACTCAGCGAATACGAACAACCCGAACACGACCCTTCCACAAACTCCGAACCAGTTCGCCTCGGGGCCCAGTGAATGGCCCACTCTGGATATCTTCAACTCCCTTATCGATGCTGATATGGCTGGTCTTTTTCCCGTCGACGACAATTTCGATTTATCGTTCTTAGAAGCAGATCAAACCTCATGGGACTTGGGTCTCGATCTGGAAATACCCTAGAGCCTCGCTTTATCATATGACAAATCATTTTAGCGCAGACGATATCGTACTAGCGGTGACATTCTCCGAGTCGGTAAATTACATCATTGGTCAATCAACTCATGAGCTAGATAGTGGGACCGGTAAATGCCTCGGCACGGAAAACATGAACTCCATAATGACGATTGAAGTCGAGTAGTATAAGAACGATTGACGCGTCAATCTTAGAACTTTTGACTCTACAATTCTCAATTACACTTAGCGCAAACAATTTCACTAAAATGCCTCTTACAGTTCATCATCTCCAAGTCTCCCAGTCAGAGCGCATCCCCTGGCTCTGCGAAGAACTTGGCATTGACTATGATCTCAAACAATACAAACGCTCTCCCCTCCTCGCACCCGCCGACTTCAAGGCCCTTCACCCCATGGGCGCCGCTCCCGTCATAACAGACGGCTCAACAACCCTCGCCGAAAGCTGCGCATGCATCGAATACATCAGCCACAAATACGCCAAGGGCTCCCTCTTCCTGCCCCCAAGCCACCCAGCATATGCTGATTTTCTGTACTGGTGGCACTACGTCGACGGAACTCTTCAAACAGCATTAGGTCGAATCATGTTGATCCGCTCTGCTAAGCTCAGCGATGATAATCCTGTCGTGCAGTTTGGAAAAGTCAAGTCGAGACAGGCGCTGAAGTTGTTGGATGAGCGTGTTAAGAATAATGAGTGGCTTGCGGGAGAGGAGTTTACGGCTGCTGATATCATGGTCATGTTTCCGCTTACGACGATGAGATACTTTTCGCCGTATAGTCTGGAGGAGTATCCTAATATTTTGAAGTATCTTGAAAGGATTGCGGGGAGGGAGGGCTTCAAGAAGACGATGGAAAAGATCGATAACAGTATGGAGCTATCTATGGGTGCCAGCCCGCCTCAGAGTCCTTTCAAGCTGTAAATTTGGGGGTTTCAAGCATAAGATGGTATAGGGTATAGAACACGTGGAGTGCAGAACAGGATTGTATAAAGGTCTAGACTTTCTCTCAATCAACTATCAGCCCTACTCTCACCTTTGTAGCTGACATGCATTACAAGTGATAGCTCGGCCTCTCATTGGCGGACTTGCCGCTGATACCCTGCCATCGCTGACAGGATTCGATATCGTCAGCACTGTCAGCCAAATCACCAGAATGAGGTACATCAAGAATGTAGAATAAGATGCTGCTAAGCCCGATGGAGCGCCGTAGTGCAAGGCGCTGGTAGTGCTGACATTGACCCTCAACTATATATAATCGCTTCCATCTCACTTAGCTCCCCGTTACTTGGGCGCCTCAAAGAACTCATTTTATCACATCATGTCTACAAACTCGGAAAAGCCCGTCATCGCCATCGTCCAAGGCGCATGGCATCGCGCAAGCCACTACCAAAACCTCGTGCAGTCGCTTACCAACAAGGGCTTCACAGTTCTCCAACCTGACAACGTCACAGCTGGCAAGGCTGAAGACATCAATGGCAAAACTCACTTGGACGACGTCGAAGCTATTCGCAAGTCTCTTCAGCCGGCCCTTGATGAAGGCAAGCGGATCGTCTTGGTCTGCCATAGCTACGGAGGCATCCCAGGCTCCGCCGCCGTTGAAGGCTATCAGGTTCACGAACGAGAGGCCAAGGGATTGTCTGGAGGTGTTTCGCACGTTGTCTATATCGCGGCGTTTGCTCTTCCTGTGAAGGGCCTTTCACTTCTGACTGCCGCCAGAGGCCAGCATGGTCCCTTTCTCGATAGGACAGTAAGCAGCCTGAACCTTCCGTCAAGGTCCAGAGTACGACTAACAAACGCGTAGGAAGAGGTTTGCTACCTAAACGACAAAGCACAAAACGCCTTCTACAACGATTGCATCCCCGAGGTAGCAGAGAACGCAATCGGCGAATGTGTCAATCACAGCACCGCATCTCTCGAAACACCAGCCGACTTTGTCGCGACGGATATCACTGTGCCTAAGACGTATGTTGTCTGTGAGATTGATAACACTGTTCCTGTGCAGGGACAGTTGGCTATGGTTGGTGCTATGGGAGATGCTGTCAATGTGGAGAAGATAGAGGCTGGGCATTGTCCATTTTTGAATGAGAAGACTCTGCCTAAGGTTGTGGAGATTATTGAGAAGGCTGCACAGTAAACATGGATTGAAGCGGATCAGGAAGAATGAGAGGGGCTCAGGGACAGGATTTAAGACAGGGCCATAGAAAGACACATGTGTTAACTTTTGTTATTTATATCTAGCCTACAGAGTAACAGAGGGGCTCAATGGTCCAGAAGGATCCATATCACCATGCAATAGTAACAGAAATGGACCGTAAGTCGTTTGACATGCTCAAACAGAGCACCCAACAGATTCCCCTTCACCTGCTGCCTCTAATCATCTCCTACTTAGTTCTCAACCGCCAAAGCCTTTTGTAAAGCCTCAGGGTTTCTAGGTTTGAAGATAGCCTTGTATCGACGAGGCAAAGCAACAAGACTTGTAGGATCCAGGCTTCCAGTGATAGGATGGCAATCCACCTCGTCAGACTTCTCAATCTTGAGACTGTTGAGAAGTCTCATGTAGACAAGGTACAGTTCTCGGTTGGCAAGGAGAGAGCCAGCGCACATGCGATAACCGACTCCGTATGTGAAGAGAGGAGCATCGGGCTGTTCGAACCATCGCTCAGGATGGAAGACCTCGGGATCAGACCAGACTTGATCATCTACCAATTGTCAGTATATCTTTCACGAAGGAGAGACCGGAAATGACCTACCCATATTGCATGCCCAAGCATTCAAGAAAACAACGGTCCCCTTGGGGATGGTAACGCCCTCATAAACAATATCCCTAATCGAAGCCCTGGGCAGCGCCAGCCTCAGAACAGTATAATACCTCAACGACTCCTTCACAAGCGCAACGATATACTCGCACTTCTGATCATCCTGCTCATCGCACATGGGCTGCTTCTCACTGTAGAACTTCCTAATCTCCGAGACAGCCTTTTCCTGAATCTCAGGATGTTGGCTTAGATACGCAACAAACCAGGCAACTTGTGTAGTAACCGTGTCAAGACCGCCAGAAAGCATGGTGAGACTGATAGAGGTGAGTTCGTCCTTGTTCAGCTTGGCTTCCTTGTCCATGATCACGTTGGCTTGGATACACGGCTTATAAGTCCCGTTTGCGATACGTTCGTCGAGACCATTGTTAAGAGCAGTGAGGTACTTATCCCGACGGTTGCGCATCTCTCGCGCCTTGGTGGAGTGCAGATTAAAAGGGTTCAAACGGAGAAGAGGGATGTAATCTTGGAGATTGCCGGTGGTTGAGCGGAAACGACTGATTTCTTCCTCGACGTGGGTGATTTCAGAGAAAAGATCGTCTTTTTGACTCTTGAGACGAATGCCCCAGTTGAGAGTAAGTGCAAGAGAAAGAGAAAGGCGTTGAATCATAGGCATAGGGTCAACGGGGATACTGCCGCCTTTTCCATACTCGAAAAGCTCCTTGACAAAGTCGCGGGTTTCGACATCGAGATGATCGACGTATGTGGCGACTGATGGGCGGTTGAGAGCAGAGGCAGCGCCCTTGCGACGACGCTTGAGGGAGTCGCTGTAGGGTGATGTACCGATTGTAGTACCAGCAGTATCAGAGAGGACCTGGACCGTCAGCATCTCCCCTGTAAATTACCGATACTCAGAGTATGCTCACCTTGTGAAATGTGTAGAACTCAGGTCTCGAGCTCAAAGCCTGTGCATTCGCGCCAAAAATACTCCTCGCAGCCGCAGCAGAATTGACGACAACGATAGGAATATTCCCCAGCTGAATCTGATAAACGGGCCCGTACTTCTTCGCCCAAGCGCGGTACTTCTCAGCGGCGTTGATGTGAATGTCCCAGATATTGCCGATTAGCGGTAACCCAGAAGGGCCTTTTAGATTGCTGATCCTCGCATTGTGACGAATGAGTTCGTTGATGAAGATGTAGATCAATGGCCCAATCAGGAGTGTCACGAGGAGGGACTGACCCTTGTTCTCGTGCACTTGGTTATTCAGCGAAACAAGGAGATTAGCGATCGTCATGATGAAGACTTGATGAATCCGATTGCTAAGTGAGTAAGAATTTTCGAATACGGATTTCTTTCAGCTCTATATACCACTTCAAAGTCAATGCCTACCCTCCATAACACGAAAATACGCCAAGTGTAACCCCACAGTCCAGAAGCTCTCTAGCTCGTCCAACCCCGCAAATCTTAGTCTTCCGACTCGGAAAACTCGGAAGATTTCCGAGAAACCCTCTTTAACCAGGGATTTCCAATCCAAGACCCCTCAGTCGATTCTTGTCCTTTCGGAAATTGTTTACAGCGTTCTTTTCGTCATGTCTGAAGAGCATCCGGTACTAAAACCGAAAAAGCGGAACTCGGCCGATGCTGAGAGTGTTGCTGATACACCTGCTCCAAGGAGTAAGAGGGGCAAATACACCTCTGTTGCTTGGTGAGTTTAACATATGGTTTTTGATGAGAGTGAAGGAGTGTTGACTTGGATTGGGGTAGTGATGATTGTAAGAAAAAGAAACTCAAGTGTATTCCCTCAGAGGATAACACGTGTGAGAGATGTATCGCCGGTGGCTTGACGTGTACGTTCGCGACCAGCACACAAGCTACCAAAGAGAAACCCGATGAGTAAGTAATCCACTGAATTGAAGGAATAAGCTGACAAGTTAGCAGCAATCAAAATATTCAAGCTCTGAACCATCAATTATCAGAGCTTCGTCAACAAATGTCAGATCTTGTCGGCGTCGTCCGCGAACTCAAAGACCAGAACCAGAGCCAACACCAAAGCCATCCCCAAGATGCATCAACCGTATCATCCCACAACATAGTAACCCACTCACCCGCCAGCACCCACCGCGGCGAAATGCCCAAACAGCCCCAGTTCGTCGGTCCAACGCGTTCAGCATTCGGTATCCTCGTCAGCGAACGCTCGCTAAACCGCATGGGCGTGCCCAAATTCGACTCAATGCCCCCTAGCGGCGCCCAATCTCCTATTGAACCAGTCCTGGACTCCATCAACGACTTAAGTTTCTGGCACTGCTGCACGGCGAGTGACATCACAAAGTATCTTGTTAATTTCCAGGAGGAGGTTGAGTCAGTGTATCCGTTTATTGATATTGCGGAGTATATCGCGCAGTCGAAGGAGATATTGCAGGCGATTCGTGGTGGGGCGCTGGGGTTTGAGGATGAGGGGAAGGTGAGTAGTAAGGATATTGATATTGCAAAGGTGGCGATATCGACGGGGATATTGTTGGAGGAGCCGAGTAAGCTTGAGTTGGCGACGGCGATTGTGGACTCGGTGCAGACGAATGTATCGAGCATCCTGAGTCCGCAGGTTGATCTAAAGGAAGTTCAACTATTAGCAATGCTGGTACGTCCACTCCAACATCATCGAGAAAGGGTTTGCTGACAACAGTAGAGTATATACTACTTCCACGCAGGCGAGGAGCTATTAGCATGGCGTTCTATCGGAATTGCAGCGCGCCAAGCTCTGGAGATGGGACTCCATCGAAAAAGGAGTCTTTTGGATAACTTCAAAGACACTGATTCTCGACGTTTAGCTACGCGCGTGTTTTGGTGCGTGTACGTGCTTGATCGACGATGGAGTTTTGGAACGAGTTTATCGTTTGCGCTGGTCGATAAGGACGTTGATCCAGAGTTGCCGAAACCCGTAAGTTCACTCATGGGGGTTGATGATCAAGACTGATGAGAATAGGATGAAGAGTATTTGTATCTTCAATGCATGGTTGGATATGGCCAGCTATGCTCTAAAATCTGGGAAGCTATTCCTCCCTTTGGATCTGCCTCACAAACCATTCCGGATGATACAGCTGCTATTCTTGATCTGAAAACTCAAGATTGGTTGGACTCTATTCCACCTCATCTCCGACTTCGTCATCCTCGTCTTGGTCTTGCACCACGAGCTCAACCTCGACTGCCACATCGCCTCCGTGCTCTATTATACCTCCGTGGCAATTACGCCCGTATCCTGATTTATCGGCATCATCTGATGAGTACAGCTAGCATAGCTGCAAACCCGCAGAACGCATGGCTGGTAGTCGATATAGCGCAGGATACCATTCAAGTCTTGGTCCATCTTCACGCTACGACGGATATCTACAAACGACAGCAGAATGTCTTCAACTACTTCCTGCTAAGTGCTTTGGCAGTCATCTTCCTAGCAGTCTGTCACGCCCCAGATATATTCTCCGTGCCATGCAAACGCACCTTCTCAGACGGCGTTGAACTAGTCAGAGGACTATCACGGCACAACATTGTCAGCAAAAGACTTTGGAAGAGCATTCGCGGTATGATTCCCCGAATGAACACTTTCGGCTTCCCTCAAAACGGTGAAGAGGGTGAGGCTCGAAAGGATGATGAAAATGCGCACAACGGGCCGACAAACGAGCAGAATGCTCCGCAAGTCGAAGTCAATGCAGCAGAGCAAGTCCCCATGGCAATGCCCGAAAACGAGTCCTTCTCCTTTGGCGACATGATGTTTGGCGACGCAGACGTGGCAAACTCAGTACCGGATATGTTTCAAATGAGCGAATCCCTCCTAAATCTCTTCAACGCGTTCGGTGAAGGACAACAATTCTTACATCCTGTTCCAAGTACGTTTAGCGAAGAGGGAGAGTATGCTATGGCTGCAGAGCAAGGAAAGGATATATCCATGAGATTCCAAGGCTTAATATGAGAATCTTATTTTAATCTATAGAACCTCGTTCTCAAAGTAAATCATCGCAACGCCCTCGTTAACACTCTTTGCAAAAGTCCTCAACTCAAGATGCGCTGCGCATTGAGTATCGTAGTAGTTAAAGTCCTCCTGAGATGCGAATGTTGAGATAGCCACGATTGTGAAGCCTTGGGATCGTTGGTCTGCTTTCGCTTTTCCAGCTTGAACAGACACGATATAAGGCTTTCCGTCCTGTGAAGTGTTAGGAGAGATAGATTGAGGGGTTGGGTTTGGGTTACCTTCGTAGCTTTTTGGGGCATTTGCTTGTAGAGGTCCACGAGATGTTGTTGATCTTCCGCCTTAGGGATCTTGAAGAGAGTGACGCGGGTGATTTGGCCGGACATGATGAATATTTGGCGAGAATGATCTAATGAGTTGGTGGAGTGGGGAGAAGGAAGTACGGATATAGATATGCAGAAATGTATTTGGAGGTTCGGAGGTTTATATGAAGTAGCTGCTTCGGAACCTGAGCTGACAATTCCGGAGCTATGTTAAGCTCCACTGCTGTGCAGGAATACGACGAGGAAAAGTATATGTCGGCACTTAGTCCGGATAGTGTCTTGTGGATATAGCTTTTTGAGCGAAATTACCAAGACATGTGAAGGTTGATCACGATTACCTCAAATTCCGACATGTTCTGATCTGAGATATGAAAGCCATAATATTCCTATACCTGACGAATTTGCTATGAGGATACGAGGGGACTCAAGCACCGGTTTCGTGATCAACAACAATCTGCTAAGAAGATCAGAGGACAGATTCAAAAGTTTCCATGTATCACGTTGTGTAACCACTTAAATGAAATGATGTGAGAATAAGAATTGCAGATTCTAGAGTCTAAATAAGCACTTAAGCTAGCAGCCCCCAATGCCTCGCTAGTCCCGAGGAACAGCAGCAACAATCGTACCCTCACACTCTCCAAACCCAACAAGGCCATCTTCAGCAGTACCAGACCAGCCGGTAATAGTAATACTATCACCGTCCTGAATAAACTTACGCTCCTCTCCTCCCTCCAACTTGACAAACTGCTTCCCGCCCATCGTCTGCTCAAGAAGACTTCCCTGTGTTCCCGGCTCAAGGCCAGAAATCGTTCCTGAACCGAGTAAATCTCCTGTGCGCAAGTTACACCCAGAAACGGAATGGTGGGCGATCATCTGGGGCCAGGACCAGAGGAGGTTCTGGGATGAGACTTGGGTGATTTTCGTCTTGTTACCCTTGGCGGCTTCTCTGAGTCAGCATTACTCTATTGGGCAGTCTTGGGGGCGATAACTTACTGGTAATAGAAACCTCAAGGTTGATATCAAGGATCGAGTTCTCCCTCTTCTCATCAAGATACTTCTTGGGGGGTACCTCATTCTCCAACCCCCTCCCCCTAAAGCCCTCCAACGCATCCGCCAAAACAACCCACGGACTGATCGTCGTCCCGAAATTCTTGGCATTAAACGGCCCCAGCGGAACATACTCCCACTGTTGAATATCCCTCGCACTCCAATCATTCATAAGAACATATCCGAAAATATGCTCCTCCGCATTATTCACATCAACAGGAGCCCCGAGCTTATTTCCCTTGCTGATAAACATACCGAGCTCCAACTCGATATCGAGTCGGGCACAGGGTTGGAACACAGGCTCTTTGGCTTGGGGGTTAGGGAGGACTTGGCCCCAGGGGCGGTGGAGAGGTGTTCCTGATACCACGACGGAACTTGCGCGGCCGTGGTATGCAACGGGGAGATGGTTGTAGTTTGGCTGCAGAGCGTTTGCGGCGCCGCGGAAGAGCGTTCCCACGGTGTGAGCGTGGTTGCGACCAGCGAAGAAATCGGTATAGTCGCCAATGCTAAGCGGCAGATGAGACTGAACATCCTCAATTGGAATCAGAGCTTGTTTTCGCAGGGACTCATTATTCTTGAGGATCTCAGGATACGGGGTTTCTTGACGAAATACATCTTGTAGATAAGCCCGTGTAGCTCTATGCACAGGTCTTCCAAGAGCAGCAAAGTCGTTGAGGGTAGTTTGAGAAAAGACCTTGAGTTGATCGGAGGGAAAATCAGCTAGTTTGGAGAAACCATTGTTTTGAGCAAAGGCTGATAAGTCAAGGACATGCTGGCCGATTGCAATGGCAGGACGGTGAGTTGGTTCAGCAGATGTTGAAATAATACCAAAAGGAATGTTTGCCAGTGAGAAGTGGCTGTTAGAAGGGATAGTAAGCCAAGATGCCATTTTGAACGATTTTGAGAGAGAAGACGTTGAGAATGATACAACAATTTGACAACGAAATATCCTCAGTGGCAATACCGATCTTTTAAATCCTCTGCAAATAAAGGGCCCTCTATTTGAGATCATTATATTGCGCTGTAGAGTTGTATTAATGTCGTGATGCACGATAAGTGACCATCTTCAGCGCGGGGTCGTTTCGGAAATTTCCATGCTTTCCGAGATGGTGTCGGATGGGCCGGGAAGTATCAACCACTCGGAAACTCGGGCTTGAACCGAAGAATATCGATAAATAAAGCAGAAGGAACTGATTGATAAAGATTTCTTATCTACTCTTTTGAGCATGACATATGTGATTTGATCATTGCCAATATGCCTGTCACCAAGTTTTCTACGCCTGAGAAGTATTCTTACCTCAATGGCTTCGATTCATTCCACGAGTAAGTCTCAACACTTCACCTTGAATATGAATAGTGACTAATGGAACTAGATCTGAGTCTATCAAAGGAGCACTGCCGATAGGCGCCAACTCCCCTCAAAAGCCCCCCTACGGCCTGTACGCCGAGAAGCTCTCCGGCACAGCCTTCACAGCTCCCCGCCATGAGAACCGTCAAACATGGCTGTACCGCATTCTTCCCTCCGCCTCACACTCAACCTACAAACGCTTTAGTGATCCTTCATCCCCAATTCTCAAAGCAAAACTAAACTATGAGCCCCAGCAACTCCGCTGGGATCCTTTCGACATTGATGAAAACGTCGATTGGGTTCGTGGTCTAAAGCTTGTCTCTGGCGCAGGTGATCCCACCGTTAAATCCGGTCTTGGAATCTACGTTTTCGCCGCGGGGAGGGACATGGATGCGAAAACAGCTCTGTATTCGTCCGATGGAGAGATGCTTATTGTTGCGCAGCATGGAGTTTTGGATATTCAGACTGAGCTGGGACGATTGCTCGTGAGACCGAATGAGATTGCCATTATTCCTAGGGGAGTGAGATACAGGGTTACGCTGCCTGAGGGGCCGGTGAGAGGGTATATCCTTGAGTTATATCAGGGACACTTTCAACTGCCGGAGTTGGGACCTATTGGATCGAATTGTCTGGCGAATCCGCGGGACTTTCAGATCCCCGTTGCAGACTTTGATGAGGATACGAAGAGTAGTTGGACGATCTTGAATAAGTTCAACAACGAACTTTTTGTTGCTGAGCAGGGACATACCCCGTTCGATGTTGTTGCTTGGCATGGAAAGTGAGTATCCCTACCCATTATTTACTGTTCAAAGCTAACCTTCATAGATGTGAGTTACAGACATAATTCTACGCATGTTGAGAGTATCTGCTGACAGTTACAGTCTACCCCTACAAATACGACCTAGGCCGCTTCTCCGTAATCGGCAGCACATCCTTCGACCACCCGGACCCCTCCATCTTCACCGTCCTAACCGGCCCGTCCGACCATCCCGGCACCGCCATCGCCGACTTTGTGATCTTCCCCCCGCGCTGGCTCGTCCAGGAAGACACATTCCGCCCGCCCTGGTACCACCGCAACACCATGTCCGAGTTCATGGGGTTAATCTGCGGCCAGTACGATGCCAAGACCGGCGGTGGATTTCAGCCCGCGGGGGCTAGTCTGCACAACATCATGAGTGCTCATGGACCGGATGCTGATTCTTACGAGAGAGCGAGCAATGCTGAGTTGAAGCCTGTTAAGGTGGGGGAGGGGAGCATGGCGTTTATGTTTGAGAGTAGTTTGATGCTGGGGATTACGGATTGGGGTTTGGAGACGTGTAAGAAGGTGCAGCCCGATTATAATAAGCATAGCTGGGAGGAGCTGAAGGTGCACTTCAAGAGGCCATCTTAGATATAAGGCCGATGGCGATGGATCCAACGTTTACATCTTGACTTACTGAAGGTCCGATACTCTTGGCTTATACTTAAGGTACAGAATTATAAAAAGTACTATGAATAAAAGAATAATAAATAACGTTATTGGAATATATATATATATATATATATATATATATATAAGTATCTAATAGGACTACTAAGTTAAAAGATTGAAATTAATACTATGTATAAGCTTTGAAATACATGGGCTGGGCAGTAAGCAAATCTGAACAACAGTCGGAGAGAGAAAACCGGGAATTTTAGCCGGTCACCGTCATCGCCATGTTAGCGCAGTGGGGTATTGCGGATCAACACTGATCCGCGAAGCTTCAGATGTTGACCGGACCCGTTACCAATCGTGGAGTCTGCACTCGAGAAAGATGACCTGTCCATACAGTAACTCGCAACGACTTGTATGAGCCTCCGCAGCTAGCCCTTGTACGGCATGTCGCGCATTGGTACACCCGCCTTGCCACAAGCTGTCCAGGAAAGGGGCTCCCTGCGCACACTGGAGAAGGGCAAAAGCAGGGCTGCCGTCAGATCAATCAAATCAGATTAGGACCCAAATCTGATCTGAACTGATAAATCACCATTCGAATCTGATCTGATTTGATTGATTGATTGATATCTGATATGTCGTAGCTCACGTGAAGCTTCCCTCGGCCTCACGACCCCACCGTCGGATTCTAATCGGCCTTGTTACTCGAGCATAGGCCTCCGAGAGTAATACATCCTCCCCTGACCCAGTTCTTCAGTAGCTGGATCGATTCAATGCTTGATCCAAGTAGAGAATGTCGCTGTGAGCTGACTGTAAGCTTCGCAAGACTGAATGCCCTCTCGCAGTCGGTTGACATGGCCGGAATAGCAAGAATATCCAGTGCAAACCTACTCAAACGTGGGAAAGCATTGCTATGATCGATCCACCAACGAATGGGATCATCTACCTGTTCTGGTTCGAGCCTGTAATACCGTTCGAGTTCACTGCCTGTTGCCGAGAGCTTAGGTTGTCGGCTTTTTATCCACTGCTCAAACCTACTTTGTTCAGGTCGGGGCGTCAACGAAGGCGTGATAAAGACACTCTCAGAGGCATTATCGTCATTCTTCGAGTACCAACGCTCAAAAATAGACTTTGATGCCGTCCTTTGCATCTCGAAGCCATTGTAGCTGTTCTGGGGAAGTCCAATTGGTCTCCAGCCACCGGAGTCCAAGGTCCGGATTCAGAACAACAGAGGCTGCAAACAGAGGCGACCGTCCGAGGAGAGTATAGTACTCGTTTAACTTAATCCAAGCATTGTTTATACTTGCCTTAATGCTAGCGCGCTCCTGACCCTCCATACTGGCAATATTGCTCACCGAACGAGCATCGTCTTGCAGGTAGTCTTCTCGGGAATGTACAGGAAGCGCATCTTCATTAAACTGTGAGCTGGCGGGTGGGCGAGCTGGAAGAGTCGTTTCGCGACGGCGGCGCAATGGTGTAATTTCGTATCCTTGAAGTCGTGATGGTAACCGTGACTGCCGTGAGGGTCGCTCCCGGATTTGTCCGACTGTCGGTGGCCGCGAAAGTGTTGATGTCACACCCATGGCCGGTCTAGCTTCCTCCCCCTGGGTTGTATACCATTCTTCCGCAGCCGGATCAGCAGTTTCATCCTCGTAGAGAACCTTCCAGTCTTCAAGATGTTCTAGGATAAACTCCATTCCCGTCATGACTTCCCAGAGCCGACCGTGACCCCCGCTTGTAC